TGTCATGTACCTTATCAGCGAAATTGCCTGCCTTGAAGCCCTCAAGCGCGACGGCATGGACGACATTACTCTTTGCCAGCACGTCCATGTCCTTGGCGACCAGATTGGTTTTACGGAGATGGGCGAGACTGGCCCCAAAATGCCTTTCAATGCCAACGGCACGCTGAGCCCTAAGCAGCTGTCCAAGAACATGACACAGGCTTTCCGCCTCACAGCGCGCATTTATTTGTGCAGTCTTGTGCCCGGTTTCAACCCTACCCAGCCCAGCTGCATCGATCTCGTCGAGCGCTTGACCAACGTACTGCAGCATATCCCTTCGGGACCGGGTGGCTTCGACCGTTCATTGGTCTGGGTCTACCTGCTCGGTGGGTCGATGAGTGGCGTAGGCTCAACATTCCGCACGTTCTTCGAAGATCGCGCCGCCCAGCTTGGCGAACAGGCCAACTACGGCTCATTCGGCCGCGTGGCTTCCCTGCTCCGTGAGGTATGGGCCCGCAACGACGGGTTTGTTTGCTCACCGAGCACGGCAACCAGCGCTGCGGCGGGCATCAAGCCTGAAGATTCACAGCAGCAGGGACAGCAGGCGTTTGTCCACTGGAGGGACGTGATGCAGATGAAGGGCTGGGATTTCCTGCTCATCTAGACGATGCTGCGAAGGGATACCCTTAAGTCTGCATCTGCGCCTTACGCACCCGCGTACTTGTCCCTGCTGCCGACGGTGGCGATGCGGGGTATCGCCCCGTTATTTACATCCACCAAAACACAAACAGAAAAGAACACACACACACACATACCCTTTTTTATATTCAACTTATACCCCTTTTTATTTGAGATTTGACCAAAGACCCTAGAGGCTGCCGCAAGGCAAAATTGAGATGAGAGGACTTCATCAAACGATACCTAACTTCTTGGACGACACTGGACCTTCAACGGACACCCGCAGCTGGACTGGAAAGCTGCGCTTTTTTTGATTGTTATTCGAATGATGAGACGGGCAGATGATGGCATGGAATGGAAGCGAGATGTCAGTGGGCGAACAGTGCCATGCCTTTGGGCTTGATGTGCGATGGATGATAAGACGAACCTTTTTGTTGTTTCCCACTTTCTTCCTGGTTGTTCGTCATCAATTGGCTTTGCTCTCGGTATACCAAAGCATGCATGGGGCCAGGAGTTTTGCCTTATGTCTTTGACGTATCGGGATTGCTGGTGTTTTCTGGGATACCAATCCAGTCTTTTGGACAATATTTGGGAGCATTTGGAATTGCGTTTGGAAAAGACAAAGAGATGATCTGGATGCACAGGCGAGCGCGTCTCTCCCTCCTCACATTGGGGGCAGCCCGACCTTTATCTTGGGCAAATGTGTAATCTAAGTCGATAAATACCCTCCCAAAGAACCAAAATCACACAATATTTGAAGCAAACCAGTGCTTAAGAGCCGTCCATTGGCAGCTTGCGCGTAAACTTGAAACTATGATTCCTGGGTTCTGAGGGCGGTTACTGTCGTTGCCACGGAAGCAGAGGGGAAAAGAATGGGGTGTCGAACTTTTTCTTCGTCCTTTCTAGACGCGCGCGACGGGACACGGGCTGAGGGTTGAAGCCATCGCGGCCAGTCAGCATCGGGACCTGGGCTGGCGGCAAGGAAATGAATAAGTAAAGGCCCCCCCCCTCCCCCTTGCCCGGCGTACCGCCGGCTTTGAAAGAAGGAGGTTTTTTTTTTTTAAACATATGGAATTGCCTTTTTCTTCATCTCATACTATTTCGAGTTTCATATACATCATGTCATTTGATTGATTGATTGATTTGCAGATTGATTGCCAGAGGCCAGGCTTCGGCGTCAATACTTCTTGTCGCCCTTCCGCCCTGGCTGATCTTCTGGCCGGAGCGGTTGCGGGCATTCTCACGAGTGTCGCGGCGGAGGCCACGCCCGGCCGAGCGTCATGATCCTCTAACTTGCTCGAGACATGGCTTGTCATCAGCACTTGGTATGAAAGGGTGTGCATCTTTCACATCATCATTCTGAGAATTTTCCTTTCATCTACATTTGCCATATTGATTTAGGAGAAGCCTCGATCACTTATACGGACCCTAACCCTTGTGCGAGAGGAGCGGTAGCCCCCCTCCCCCACAGCACATAGAAGAAAGTTCGGTGGAGTCGGTCGGCGCTGACCGTGCTCCAAAGGTGGCTTGAAACAAGAGCCCCTCCAAAATGGGGACACAGCCACGGGAGACAGGGCAAAACCTGCTTCTGAATTGACTGACGTCCAGTCATCGCTACTGAGGTGGCAGCCCATGTGACCGCTTGTCCTGCAACGACAGCATTCCAGTCGTCCCAGGCCACGTCAAAGGGTGCATCCATTCTGTCTCCCCGCCCGCCCATTCACATTCGCAACAGAGGCAGATCTGTGACAATTAGAGAAGGGACGAGAAGAGTCATCGTCACGAGCAAGGGGGGCGCATGGGCCAGACAACGCAAAGGGCGAAGCAAAAAAAAACCTGGCTGCGGGCAAGCGAGCGGACACGAGCCGATGTAGGCTTTGCGTCGTTTCTGGGGTCTTTGATGGACTCACTCCCTCCCATGTGACCAAAGGTGTGCTACTACTGTAGAGTACGTATTGAGTTTCACGATGGGTTCACCGATGATTTGGCCCGTGATGAGTCGGTGAGGGTTTTCGCCGCCGGCCCCAGTTGCGGGTACCGGCGAGGCGTTGACTCTTTTTCCAAGGTTGTGGCTTGGTTCTTTGCTGGGAGGGAGCGGGAGAGACAGGATAGGTAGGTCTAGCTCGGGGCGATCCTCGGAGGGAAGGGAGGAAGGGACAAGGGCATTGTCGTCGAACCCTGACGAGCTGAAGAATCAGATCCCGTGGATGGCATTCTTAATTGTCTTGCCAATCCAGCCCATATCGGCAGGGCCTGAATGGTCCCCTCGACTGCGAGGTGCCGGGACAGGGATGCGAGCGCGTTGAAAGTGACTGCCTCGAGCTTGTTCTGGACCGAGGGATGATCACTTTGGGACGTGGGCGGTACGGGATCGTCAAGGCTTTTTTTTCTTTCTTTCTCGGCCCAGGCGAATCATCCAGCCCGTCCCGTCCAGTCCGGTCCATTGCTACTGATTGATAAGTCCGGCGGGCCATTCACGGTGAGCGGTGTGCCACGCCGTGGCGCTCATGTGATCTCTTGTGTCTCGCGGGTTACCATCGGCCTGGCTGAGCAGGCATGTTGGGACGATATAGCTGACCCTGGGTGATAGCAAGCATCGCGGAAGACCAGATGTGGAAACCCACGAACCGCCGTGCAAAGCCTTAGGGCCAGAATGGCGGAATGCCTGAATTGTCTGAATGTGCGTGCCAGTTGTGTGCACGTGTGCGAAAAGTCAAGTCACAGGGTCGGGTTGGTCGGTCTGTCTGTCTGTCTGTCTGTCGCTCGCTCGCTGATCTCGTCGCAGGCCTCACTCGGGTTCATGGATTTTCACGGCGTCTCCACATTGTGGAGTGCGGGTGCGACTGGCTGGGTGCGGTGACGTGCAGTGAAGTGCAGTTCGGAATCGTGCATGTGTTTGGTGCCAACACGGAAAGTTAGATAAGAAGACGGTCCTTCTCGCGACCACGTCGACATGGTATCCGCTACCGTCTGCACAGCACAGACAGAAACGAGGTTGGGCAACAGACGGGACGGGCGATGTGGATGTGGCACAGCAGGTAGACTGGACCACCTATCTACAGTAGGTGTCTAGGGTGCTAGGTAGACTATGTACGTACTCGAGGTACTTGGGTACGAGATCCAGCCTGGACTGATCTGAGACGGGTAGACCACCGCTTGAGCCGTGCGACCCTGGCCTGTTTGGTGCAGTTCGTGCCTGGCCCTTGTCTCCGTTTGAATAAGCGCCAGCCAACCGTTTGCGGCTTTCTTTGATGGACCTCGACGGCCGACCAACCTCACCTCGCCCTGCTCTCCCTCTCCAACCCAAGCCCAGACAGCTCTCAAATTTTATCTGCATGAGCAGAACCCTTGTCCGGCCTGCCGCCCGGCCCTGGCGCTTCGTCGTGGCCTCTCGTTTTCCGAGTGTCGCCCACGTCGAAACCGCACTGCCCCGTACCGCGTCTCGCACCCGCGCGCTCGCCCACCCATGCCGCCATCAGGACGACGACTCGACCCCGGATGCGCCCCGGATGCCCGTCTGGCACCGCCGATGACATGTTTCCACCTTGCCCACCGCATCCATCATGCTCTTCTGCACGCAAATCTTGCGCTGCTCGCGTGCCCTGAGACGGACTAGGGGCTTCTAATTATGAATGACATGGGCACTCTTCTGACTGCCCCTGCCCTGGCGGCTACACCACGGCCACTCGCCATGACTGAGCATTGCCCTGCTGCCGCCAAGCACTCCCTGTGGCTCGCCCTCGACTGGACATCGAGGCCGCGAGATGGGTCTCCTGCGTCTAAGTGCGTCTGACCTCCCCACGCAGACAGGCCAGCAGTCGTCCTGCCATCGGGCGATGCCTGGCCTGGGCGAGGTCTTTGTCACCTCAGGCGGCACGCACGGCGGTCGTCTTTGTCCAGACTGCCACCTCTGGAACGTCATATCCGCATGGTCAGGTCTGTATACGGACGGCACCTACTCCCCGGGGGAGCTTGCTTTTTCTTTCACATTACATCGGCATTGTTCTCGAATCTGTCTTCCTCAAGTCTTTGTTTCCTCTGCTTTGCCGCCCTAGTCACAAGTAATTGTCATCTTGACTGCCTTTGAGAGTGACCTAAATCACACTGTCGATCATACATCTATGCCTCTCGGCTCATAACCTTTTGCAAAAGGCCTTTGGTCTTTTGGTCTTTCCCCCCGTAATTCTCCACGTCGACTCCTTTGCAACCGCCGACTGTCTGGTGCTCCGCAACTCACACATCACCCACCGCGCTACGCGCCGGGCCTCGAGTACTACCAACATCTACGGTGCACGAAACAAAACAAACGAACAAACAACATCGTTGGGGACACACTCATATCAATGAAGACACAAACCAAAAGCCCGGCGCTGTCAAAGGCGTCGGCACTTCTCCTTCTCTCCGCACTACCCTCCTTCGCCTCAGCCCTTTACATCCAAGTATCACCAGCAGAACTCTTCGGCCGCCAGGACTCAACATGCGGCGACTCATCATACACACAATGTTCTCAGGCCGGCCTTCCTGATGACTTCTGCTGCCCTGCGGACCAAGTATGTATTGCCCTCGCTGGGCAGACGACGGCGCTCTGCTGTCCCGACGCCAACGACTGCAACGCTATCAAACCTATCCCCTGCGACATCAGTCTGCAGGACAAAACCCTACATCCGGAGAACGTGGTGATGACCAACGCGTTGACGGGGACGCTTCCAAAATGTAACGGTCTGTGCTGTCCTTTTGGCTACTCTTGCGACGGCACAAACTGCGTCATCAACCAAGACCAGAACGCCAAGCCATTCACAACCGGAGCGCAGTCATCAACCGCGACGGCGCCATCTACGGCCAAGAGCAGCGAGACTGTTGGTGTGACCACCGCATCGCAACAATCGGCATCTGCCACAGCCTCTGCAACCTCATCTGGCTCTAGTGAGGCTTCTGCAACGGGGACGGAATCTGAATCATCTTCGTCGACGGCCTCGTCCGCAGCCGCCGCTTCGGAATCCGGGAGCTCCAGCAGTTCGAATGGACCATCAGCTGGCCTGGTAGCCGGAGGTGTCGTGGGCGGCATCGCCGCTGCGGTCTTCCTGGGAATGCTGGTGTGGTTCTTTATCAAGAGGGAAGCCAAGCGCAAGAACGAGGCCAAGACAGAGCTCCCGCGATCATCGCGGTCGTCCTCCTTCGGCAACATCATCAACAACCCCATGACCAACTCTCTGCGGGAAGGATGCCCCGTTATCTCGAAACCTATTGTGGACGAGGGTGCGATGAGGAGCGACTTTGGGCGTAAAGTCAGCCCGCAGGCCGGGTCATTCCAGGACGCGGAAGACGACTATGAGAAGGAATTCGGCATGAGTGGCGACCGGCCCGTGAGCGAGGTGGACATGAGCGGCCTACACTCGGTGCCTCACTCGCCCCCGAGGATAACAACCCCGAGGGCAGTGAGTTCGATGTATGCCGTCCACGACTACATGGACCCGCACAACAGCGCGTATCAGGCACCGCTCAAGATGCCGTCGGCGCGGCAGTTCGGCGGCCAAGATAACAGGGTCAGCGTCGGCGCTGAAGGCCGGGATGCCTTGGGTTCGCCGATATCTGACTACGGCGGTCAGAGGGTCACACGAGATCCGAACGGCGCATACATAGATGTTTTCGCCGATTCGAACGTGCCTCTTACACCCCCACAGACGTACGCGGGCGATAGAATGACTTCCTTCACGGACATAATGGACGAGTCTCAGGGTAGGAGGAGGTAAAAGTAATTAGAAAGACTGCGAACCGCACAAAGCTTGCATGGGATGGCGTTGTGTAATTTGACATTTTTTGGATAGGGAGTGGAACGGGCTGAGATACCTGTCTTTTACGAGCACCTATTACCAGCGAAGGCTCTTACTTACTATTTTAACACATATGAGTACATATATTTCTTCCATTCTGGATAGATCATCTACAATGACCCCCCCACTGCTGAATGTGACAAGTATACGATTTGCAGTGCGGCCATGTCTAAGAGGCTTCTTGTTCATAAGACCACACACTTGAAGCGGGGAGGCGCTGGTTGTACTCGAGTCTGATTTGGCCTCTTTATTTGTGCGCCTTTTGGTACTTTATACACTTGATATGTCACAGGTCTTCTGCGTCATGAGCGCAAATGTCCTTCGCCGTAGCCATAAGCCCCCCCCCCCTTTCTCGCGCACCTAAGGACAACTTCAGCATCATCAAATCCGCTGTTGCAGCAGTTACTGAGGCGCCCCAGCTGTGCGCTCCGCAGCGACCCCAGGTACCCGCCTAGCAGCCGGGGCAATGCTGATCTTCGGGTTTGCAGTCATCTTGTAAGGTTCGTCAATGTGGGCCAGATCGTTCACCTTGCCCCAGTTGATGGTCTCCCACCAGTTCTCCACGAATTTCGCCTTGCCGCCAATGCCGTAGTCCCACATCCAGACGTGCTCCCACGTGTTGACGCACAGCAGGGGGACGATATGGGAGCCGCCGGGCGGCGACTTGACGGCCTTGCTGGCGTTGGAGGCGGTGGCGCCGCTGCCGTGCAGAGGCTCGCGGTTGTTGGCGATGTTCTGCCTGTCAAAGTACTCCTTGATGACGGCGCCGCCCTCCCTTTGGCCGCCGTGGTTGTTCATGTCGACGCCCTGGCTGCGCCAGTGCGCGCCCGGGTGCGGGCTGCCGGCCTGGTACGTCGTCAGGAGCTTGAAGGGCCGCGCCACCGCCCCGGGCGAGTCCATCTGCTGAACCATCCAGACGAAGCCCGGCCCGAACATGGCGTCGGCCGTCATGATGAGCTCGCGCCGCAGGCTCTCCAGGCTGCCGAACGACATCTCCAGCATGGCCGCGAGCGGCGCGTGACTGGAAATATGCTCATTCTTGTCGTTGCCGCCGGTCTTGGACAGCCCGTCGAAGAAAAAGTGGTTGTTGTGCGCCATGGACGCATAGTTGAACGTGGCGGCGAGGTGTGGCTCGCGAGCGGTCAGGATCAGCGTCTCGAGGGTGGTCTTGCCTTCGAACGAGGTGCCTAAAAGGAGGAGAAGCAAGTCGGGTTAGCCAGGTGATGTAGAGAAGGGCCAAGTCGGGCGTCTGCAGGAAAGTCCACGGCGCCGCGGTGGCTTGCCCTGGACCTCCCGAACCATGGGACCGTAGGAAGCGAGGGGGCCAATACCTGCTGTCATCTGGTTCAGCTTTTCTAGCAGCCACGATTGGTAGTTGGTGTACGCGAATTCGAATCCCTCGGTCGTCAACAGGCCCGGCACACCATATTGCTCGAACTTGGCATCGTCGGTCAATGGGGCGACCTTGTGCAGCCGCCGTGATGGTGAGGCGTGTAAAGACCTCTGTTGTTGCTGCTGGTGTCTCGCAGTAACCGCGAAGGGTGACAACGGCGCAGGCCGGGGGACTGCTGAGGACAGCCTTGGGGCGCCGGCTCCCCTTGGTATCCGTAATCTGGGCTTGAACATGGTTGTCGCGTGTGTAAGTCGACCTGCTGCTCCCCTACCGAAGAACAGTGTCGCGCGCTCAATGGCTTAGGCTGGATCATATGGAAGCTCTGAACTTTTTTGGGACCGGCCCCTGCACGCCGGGTTACGTAATCAGCGATCGACGTAACCACTGTCCGCCCTTGCAGACCATCGAAGTCATGTAAGTGAACTACTCTTAATGAAGACATTCTGGTGAGTGCTGTTGCGTATTCCATTTCGAAATTTTTCGAACGTGCCCTCGGTGTAAGATAATTGATCCTGGTTTCATGAAAGTCGCTTTCCCGGCCTAATCATTGACCATACACGTACATCTGGTGATTTGGGGGAACAGAGGACCAGACGACAGTGGTTGCCTTTCATTCACAAATACGAGTGGGAAGACGATAACGATTTGCTCATCTGTATGCTGAGGAATCCCTCATGCAGCTACACAAATGAATCTATTGTGATGCTCTCAGGCAGCCATCTTATGGAAGGCGTGTCTTTTGAGTTGTTGGATGGTCCACAAGCCCGCAGTGATCTCCTAACAGCTGGCGCCTCTCCCAAAGTGAGCACAATATCTAGGTCAGCGACTCAGCGCTGCCCAAATTCGTGAGTTTATTTCATGAGAATTGCAGTGGTATAGACTGCAATATGGTACCAAAGACTGTCTTTGCTAAAACCAGAGCTCTTTTTGGATAATGCTCGAATGCTCTCATTTTCATGTCAGTCGATCGCAGGACAGTCTGCACCTCTATGTTGAAACTTGGCATAAGCGTCACCCTCTTGGCCACAGTCCTCTGCAGAAACTGGTGAGCATTGCTGGCGATCGCGACGAACTCATCGTCTCGATCAAATCATTATCCTCTTAACTCGACAGAGATAACGCCGATGATCTTGCGTCCCCAAACCGAAGCGAGGGTATAGCCATCGATCCGGCGGTCAAGCGGCAGAGATTATCGTTTCTTGTCTTTTTCTTGCTGCGATAGTAGGAGATCGCGCATCGCAGCTCGCGCATTCCTGCTGCCGCCCAACTTCGGCCCCTTCAGCACCTCCTCTTGCTTCGCTCCAGGCCGAGCTGGCTGCGGTGCTGCCTTTTTCCGCTGCTGCCGTCTCTCGGACATTGCATCCATAAACTCACGGCGGAACTGTTCCGCGATCTTCTCATCTGCGGCCTCATCGAAGCCCGGCTCACCAGAAGCCTCCGGCTTAGCGGGCATGTCGTATACATCCACTGCGTTTGAGTTAGCCAATTACTGAATGTGAGTTTGACCATGGGAACTTACGTCTGTTCTCTCGCATGAGCTCTTCCACGAGTTGATCACGTTTGACATCGTCGCTGCCGCGCCTTTTTCGCCCGCGCCATGGCTTGCCGTCCTTGCCGATTCTGACTCGCTTCCTCGAGCTGTCGTCACCGACCTCGACGGCCTCGCCTGCCAGGCGCCTGCGTGCCTGTTCCGTCATGTTCGCATTGCGCATCCGGACTTCCTCGCCGAGATCAACCTCCTGTAGTTTACCATGCATGGTCGGCCGCTCTCCGAGTTGTTTGGTTGGATCTGTGCTGCTCGAACCCGCCGGCTGCGAAGATTGTTTTTGTATGTTCTCTGCTTCAATAGCCTTCTCGGCGGCGTGCCGTCTAGCCAACTCGGATTCTATATATTCCTCCCTACATGATCAGCCCATGCCCAGAATGACACGATGCAGTGCAGCAGATGGAGCAACCTACATATGCTTGTTGACAAGCTCGCCGACCAGTCCTGCCTGTGGTGCGAAACGCCTTGAGATGCCGTAATCCATGGAGTCCGGGCCACTTGGATCTTCTTTGAGGACGAGGCTCCGCTCCGTGTTCATCTCGTCCGGGAGTTTAGGTGCACCCTCTGGCCGGAAGCCAACGCCCTTGAGTCTTGCCTTGCGAGCGTTGCGTAAACGGAGCGCTTCTGCCACCGACGACTGTTCCGTATCTGAATTCCCATCGTGTGCGTCGCGAGGGTTGGCCTCGCCGTCTTGGGCTGGGAGCGCTTGCGCGGCACCCTGATGTGTCGCATCCTCTGGTTTGGTCTCCGACTCCTCTGCGCGCTGTCTGAAGTGCTTGCGTTTCTTGCTAGGTTTGAAGACGACCTGCGGTTCGGGGTTCTCAGTAGTCGCCGGATCCATATCGGAAGTGGCCATAGTGATGCACTTCGAAACGGCGTGTTTGATATTAGATCTTGTAGTTGTTGATTAATGGGGAAGAGAAGACGGCTGAGACACGAGTGGTTCATAAACCAGGGGAGGCGGTCGAAATAAGCTCCCTTATCTTATCAGGGCAGCCGCATCCCGCTGTCTGGGGACCTGTGATGTCAGAGCAGTGCCTGCATTCCTTTGACAGCGGCGCGAAGGTCTAGCACAGCTCTAAATCTCAGATGTCAATCAACCTTATGTTACTACATGCATACATTGCGTTTTCCAACGCTTCAGTAAGCCACCAACAGCTAGATATAGAAGCTGGAAGCAAGAAGCCATCGACATGACACGACGTGTAAGTTAAATAGCTGCCCAGCTCATAATGGGCCAACCAACAAAGTTGACTCTACCAGGTGTACTTTGTCGCCCACGGAGGTATGGTTCAAGGTGTTGGATTCAGATATTTTGCCCGGAAGCAGGCAAACGAGTATGGAATCACCGGTTGGGTCCGCAACACGCCAAACAACAAGGCAAGGCAATGTACCACTTCATTCGCGCAACACGTTGAATCTAATACCATGCCATAGGTTGAAGGCGAGGCTCAGGGCGATGACGATGTCCTCAAGACCTTTCTAAAGGACGTCGATGCTGGTCCACGTGGGTCCAAGGTTGTCAAGCTCGACACGGAGGACCGAGACGTAGCAGAAGGCGAGACTGGTTTCGAAGTACGACACTAGACTTTATTGGTGTCTTGGGTGATGGATCGTACATGACATAAAATAGGCGTTCGGAAACAGCCTGGAGATGGCTTGGTACCAACATTATCTCTAGAGATTGACCTCATCCATTGACTGAGATTGCTCCATACTAGACTTGAAGTCTTCCAAGAGATCTCTAATCATCATCCATGGATTCATCTCCGTCCCCCTCGCCCTCACCCTCCTCTTCCTCCTCTTCATCGTCATCATCAGAGTCGCTCTCATCATTAGCAATACCAACCAGCCTCTCCTTGATCTCTTCGTCCGGTTTCACATCAGGAAGTTTGCCAGCGAACGCACGACGCACTGTCACGTTCGTACTGGTGTCCCAGATGTGCATTGTGCCTTTGCTGCCCGCCACTGCTAGCCGGAAAGCGACCTCTGGATCAGGCCCAAATGCCGTGGAGAAGACCTTTCCAACATCAAGGTCACGGGACACTACCAATGAAGGACCCGTGGATGTTATATTCCAGAGCTTGACCGTCTTGTCTGTAGACCCTGTCACCATGAACCCGGGTATTGCGCTGTTCAGGTCAAATGACGAAACGGACTGGTCGTGTGCCTGTAGTGTCCATACTGCTTTGCTCTTGGCCGGATCTGAAGGCGCGTTCCTGATGTCGTAGTAGTGGACAACACCGTTCTCGGTAGATACGAAGAAGAAGTTTGGGTCGTGCGGGTCCCACCGCACATTCTCGACATCGCTCTCAACACCCCACCTGGATGGCTTTGCATCTGGCGCTCGCATGTCTGCCGCGACGATGGTGCGGTCGTAGCTGCCACTCAGGAGGACCGTAGATTCGACGGAATGCCATGCGAGAGAGCAGACCTTGTCCGTGTGGTAGGTGTAAGACTTGGCGCACTTTGCCGTGTGAAGGTCCCATAGCTTGACAGTCTTGTCAGCAGAGGCGGAAGCCAGCAGGTTCCTGTGTTTTCTATTCGCTGCAAGCGACAGCACTGCGTCGACATGATATTCGTCATTCGCCTTCTTCGACTTCTTCTTTTTCTTCTTCTTCTTTTCATCCTCGGGGTTGCCTCCTTGTCCCAGGATTGCATTCGGGTACATGCAGTCCACTGTGTCAAGGTCCCATAGCTCAATATCGGGATCCATGGTGCCAACAGCCACAAAGTTGGCTGTCGCATCCTTGTCGACACTTGACTTTCCGCAGGCGATGTCTAGCCACTCGACACACAGGGGTATGGCAGGAAGCATGATGTCGTGATGTACGTAGAGATTGTCGGAATCATCTTCGTATACGTAGACCTCCAGATGTGCCAATTCGTCCTCGACCTTCGCAGCGAGCACCAGGTTGTCTGTCGCAAGGATTTGTAGCTCTTCTCGTTCCTCGTTGTCGTCTACCTCGTCTGGTATCGTGATGTAGGGGTCCGCCTTGTTGTTTTCGTAGTATGCAAGTGATTTGACGTTGCCGAACATGCCCATGCTCTGCGCAACTTCTATGTCCTCCTCTGGGTCGTCGTCATAATGCTCGAGGTCGTACTCTTTCAGGTCGTCATCAATTTCAATGCTGCGATATTGTCAGAAAGGAATGGTATAAGGACCAGATCATACCACGTACTCATCCTTGATTGCGTCAGAGGCCTTCTTTGAGTCCTCCGTATCTGAGCTTCCCTTTTCCTCCTTTGCTCTCGCCTCCTCGAGATCATCGTTCGCATCATCCAAGTTGAGCTTAGCCAACGAGGCGATGCGCTCGAATTCTTCCTCGTCAAAGTCGTACTTTTGTGGGAAAGGCGCCGCGAATCCTCGCGGTGCCCATGTTGCCGTTGTGATCATAGACATTTTGGAAACTGGGCCACAAGAATGTGCAGCTTGTTTGCGACTGGAAATATAACAATCTTGAGAGTTGACCGCAAATCTCGACCGTCTGGGAAACTTTTTGGTCGAGGGGCTTATCGATAAGCGCACCCTTGCTTTCCAACGTCTAGCTTGCGCTTTGCAGCCAGCCGCTTTCTCAAGCTCCCCCAGGCTTTACGCTTCACCACTTCGCGAATCCAGGTGGATGGTGGAAGGTTTCGAGAGTACCAGGAGCACTAACGTCTGGCTATCACATTAGCTGCTGTCGAATGAGACTTTGCTTATTGATATCGCCCCATGGCATAGCGAGGACAGAGACGAAACTCGTACGCCTAGGAGGACCCCTAACAAGGAGTGGACCGACCACGATATTCACAATCGGAGCCGAGAAATAGCATCCTGCATCCTAGACTCAGAAACGACCAAGCCGGCACTGGGGCGATCGTGTCATTGATACAACGACAATGGATCGCGACAGCAGGGATCCCAAGCGGCGGAGGCTCAACTTCAACCCCTTACGATCCGATGACCGCTGGGGCGACTTACCTTCGCGGAACGGCCGCTTCTCGTCAGGCCGTTCGACTCCCCGTGACAATCGTGATGTGGCCACGCCTGAGCCGGCCAAAGCCGACGACTTTGAGGCGCAAGACCAAGATGATACAGCCCTCGACCGGGACTGGTACGCTGGAGACGAGTTCGGGCACGCCTTCGGCGATGAATCTCACAACCCTTTCGGCTCGTACACAGTGGCAGAGTCCCAGCAAGCCGAACGAGACCTAGTTGAGAAGCGTGTTGGACGGTTTGACAAGCAAAGCGCACGGCAGGCCCAGAAACAAAAGGAGATCGATGCGTGGGAGACAAACCGGATGCTGTCTTCCGGAGTAGCGCAACGCCGCGGTCAGGAATTCGAGGACGACGAGGATACTATGCGTGTGCATTTACTTGTTCACGATCTACGGCCGCCATTTCTGGACGGGAGGACAATATTTACGAAACAGCTAGACCCGGTGCCCGCGGTCAGAGACTACCAGAGTGATATGGCAGTGTTCAGTCGGAAGGGGAGTAAAGTTGTCAAGGAAAGGAGACAACAGCGGGAAAGACAGAAACAGGCGCAGGAAGCCACCAACATCGCAGGCACGACGTTAGGGAATGTCATGGGCGTGAAGAATGACGACGACACGGACAGCGCGCTGCCCGTACTGAAGGAAGAGGACGGCAAGGAGCCCGAGCCTCAGTCGAACAAGTTCAGCGAGCACATGTCGAAGAACGACGGCGCAAGCAATTTCAGTCAGAGCAAGACGCTGCGAGAGCAACGTGAATTCCTGCCGGCTTTTGCTGTGCGCGAGGATCTCCTGCGCATCATACGAGACAACCAGGTGGTCATCGTGGTCGGCGAGACCGGGTCTGGTAAAACGACTCAGCTGACACAATTTCTCTACGAGGACGGCTATGGAAATAGGGGCATGATCGGATGCACACAACCCCGGCGTGTGGCGGCTATGAGTGTTGCAAAACGTGTCAGTGAGGAAATGGAGTGCAAGCTGGGTGGTACTGTTGGCTACGCGATTCGATTCGAAGACTGCACGAGCAAAGAGACGGTCATAAAGTATATGACTGACGGTGTTTTGCTAAGAGAATCCCTGAACGAGCAGGATCTGGACCGCTATTCCTGCGTCATCATGGACGAGGCTCACGAAAGAGCACTAAACACCGATGTGCTCATGGGCCTTTTCAAGAAAATCTTGCAGAGGCGGCTGGACCTGAAGCTCATCGTCACCTCGGCGACGATGAACTCCAAACGATTTTCAGACTTTTTCGGGGGTGCACCCGAATTTGTTATTCCAGGCCGGACATTCCCAGTGGACGTGATGTTTCACCGGTCACCCGTCGAGGACTACGTGGACCAAGCTGTTCAGCAAGTGCTGTCTATCCACGTGTCGCAGGGACAGGGAGATATTCTTGTCTTTATGACAGGCCAGGAGGACATTGAGTGTACTTGTGAGCTGATCCAAGAGCGGCTCGATGCTCTTAACGACCCGCCAAAACTCAGCATCCTTCCCATCTACAGCCAAATGCCCGCAGATCTACAAGCCAAGATCTTCGACCGAGCCGCTCCAGGTGTGCGCAAATGTATTGTGGCTACCAATATTGCAGAGACCAGTCTCACGGTTGACGGTATTATGTACGTTGTGGATGCTGGGTATTCGAAGCTTAAGGTCTACAACCCAAGGATGGGTATGGACACTTTGCAGATCACTCCCATCTCACAAGCCAATGGAGGGCAGAGATCGGGTCGTGCAGGAAGGACAGGCCCCGGAAAAGCCTACCGGCTCTATACAGAGAAGGCTTTCAACGATGAGCTGTACATACAGACCATCCCCGAGATTCAGAGGACCAATCTGGCCAATACCGTGTTGCTCATCAAGTCCCTCGGCGTCAAGGATCTACTGGATTTCGACTTCATGGATCCACCGCCGCAGGAGACAATTACGACGTCTCTCTTCGACCTGTGGGCCTTGGGTGCGCTCGACAACATCGGCGAACTAACCGACCTCGGTACTAAGATGAATGCCTTCCCGATGGACCCCTCGCTCGCGAAGCTTCTCATCATGTCCGAGGAGTACGGCTGCAGCGAGGAGATGGTGACAATCGTGTCGATGCTGAGCGTCCCCAACGTCTTCTTCCGCCCCAAAGAGCGCCAGGAGGAATCCGACGCCGCGCGGGAGAAGTTCTTCGTCCCCGAGTCTGACCACCTCACGTATCTGCACGTGTACTCGCAGTGGAAGTCCAACGGGTACAGCGACAGGTGGTGCTCGCAGCACTTCCTGCACTCCAAGTCGCTGCGGCGGGCGAAGGAGGTGCGGGACCAGCTGCTAGACATCATGCGCATGCAGAAGATGGAGATGGTATCGTGCGGGACCGACTGGGACGTCATTCGCAAGTGCATCTGCAGCGGCTACTACCACCAGGCTGCCAAGGTGAAAGGAATAGGGGAGTATATCAACCTGCGCACCAGCGTCACCGTGCAACTGCACCCGACGAGCGCGCTGTACGGGCTTGGGTTTCTGCCGGACTACGTGGTGTACCACGAGCTCATCCTCACGAGCAAGGAGTATATGTCGACGGTAACAAGCGTCGACCCGCACTGGCTAGCGGAGTTGGGCGGTGTTTTCTACTCAGTCAAGGAGAAGGGCTATTCCGCTAGAGACAAGAGGGTCATCGAGACGGAGTTCAACCGGAAGATGGAGATCGAGGCCAAGATGGCCGAGGATAAAAAGAAGCAGGAAGAGAAGCTCGCTTTGGAGGACCAACCCAAAACAAGCAGCAGCACCAGTGCGGTGAAGAAGAAGATCGTCACGTCTGGAGCGGTCAAGAAACCTGTGGTCAAGAGACGGGGCGGTGGAATGGCCTTCAGGTAGTTCCATTTCTGATCACCCAACAAGCCTTAGAAGGGCATCCTCATGAAGTCTCCTCAAAGACAAAGAGTCAAGTAGATCATACGTAAATTAAACCCCGTTTGCGGGCAGAACACTTACAACACTCGCCAGCTAGCTGATGATTAAACGCTTTTAATGTGTCAGGGAAAGTGCGTATAGCTGCTGTCGCGGCAGTACATGACGCATTAGCTGAGTCCGCACCGCATAGTAAATCAGTTATCGTGTAATGTGAAGGAGTCAGGACAAAGCCCATGCATTGCGCAGACGTTGAGCCGCGTGAAGCAATTCCAGGTTTGATGATCCTCTAGATCCCCCTTAGCTCTGGTGGCCAAGTATGCCAGTGCTGTGTACCTGGTAGCAAGGACAGCACCCAGATCGGGATGTTCCCTGGCGGGCGGGAATAACCACTCGCCGATCATTTGTGCTCTGTCTGGTAGGACGTTGCCAGTTTTGGTATTGTCCGCGGCGACCCTCTGCCAATTTGGGCATGTCAGTATGCCAGGCTAGCACAGGCGCTACAGCAGGTGTCGAAACGCTTCTACTGCAGGTGTGTTGAACCCCACTGGGAGCAAGCGTTGAGGTCATGCGCCTGCTGCTAGGCGCAAAATGGCTGCGTGACGAGATAGCATTGTCACTTCACAGCATACATACATGGATAGCACGGCGGATTTTCGTGGGCATGGTGTGGTGCTGTGGACGCTACTGAGGCGCCCAAGGCGCCTGGCGCGCGCAAAGGCACAATGTCGCGATTGTGTGCAGCCAAATCGGGCCGTTGGCATAGAGTGCTTGTCGCGCATCAGTTCCACAAAAGCTGCCGCCGGCGCCGTTGCTCAACGAGCGACAAGAGCTGGAAGATGGGCTGACAGGCTGGGCACATCGGGCGACAACCGGACTGACTTACTGACAGACTGGCTGACAGAGCAGCATGAAAAGCTTCTGGGGGAGCGGCACTTCGCATTCGGAGATGGTTTGCTTGGTTGGCTGTGGAGGGTTGGAACATTGTGCCAATGGGAGAAACGCCTGGCCTCGGTCGGTTTCATCTACGGGCAGCTAGGCCGCTTGAGGTAGCTCGTGGTGCGGATCACTTTTTGAGTCATCCCTGCTGAGCTGCTTTGACTCAAAGGCGGACAAGTGAGATACAGAATTAGGAACCCGAGCATCCAAGGATCGCAGGGTCCACGCTGATGTCTCTGGATGCTCACAGAGCCCACAGGCATGGCACTCGAGCCTTTGAGACCCAGTCGTTGGCAGTCGAGATGGTTGTCGCTCGTGTGCAGCCTCGTCGACAGCCAGCGAAGAGCAAGAAGGCCCGGCTGAAGGCCGAATTTGTGGCGCCTGGTTGACGTGACCGGGTGATGATCATCAGTGCGTTGCCAGTTTGTTTTACCGGGCGATCTGAGGTTGACCAGTCCACCAGTCCGGGGTAGCGGGTACGTTCCCAAGAGCCGGTCCTGTTAGGTGCGTGTGCGTGGTTTTCCTCGCGGGCCGCCTCAAACCAGATCAAGCGGCTAAGACACACGCATCGCCAGGTCATGATGATGGCGCATGCACGTACAACAGCCAGGTCAGGAGTACGGTACGCGTACCATAAGTAGCACAGCAGAATGCTGGTGATAGGGGGAGGGAGGCACGGGAGGCAAAAGCGGCCAACAAGAAGCTGGTTCTGGCTAATGGAACCAGACCAGGACAGGAAGGATGAAAAAGGTGCAGCGCCATGCAGCGCCATGCAGTGCCAGTGGGTCGTTGCTACTCTGGTGGTCCTCTCTTGCTGTCTTGGTGGTCCAGCCTGCAAGGTGCAGGTGCGACTGCGGGTGACATCCTCCCTGGTTCCTGCATCGTCCCTGCCCAAAGGAGATTAGAGAGGACTTGACCCCCGCCAATCAATGCTGCCCCTGCTGCACAGACCAGGGGTGCAGAGTCACTGCACCGTCCTCGTGTACCACACATAGCACCACCGCAGCCTAATAGGCTCTAGACCATTGAACTTGACAGTTCGAGGGTGCGAGCCAAACCGATTTGTGTTTCCTCTTGTCAGTTGCAGCGCGGGTGGGAATGTTTACGTGGCAGTCGATTCGAATCTCCGATCCGAGGCGACAGTAGCAAGCAAAGCCCACGACATGAGTCCATAGTAGGGAGATGTCATCCTATCCTGCAAAAGTGTGTCCAAGAGGTGATCAATCTAGCGCCATGTGGCTCAAGATCTGTCCGAGCAGGCCGAGCAGCTCGATCTATACCAGTGCGCGGTGGCAACTGGACTAACAGTTAGTTTCTTCACCGTTCTAGCAAACTCTTCGACGCCGGATAACGAAGCACAGTCGTCTTTTCGTCAGCTACAGGAAAAGATTTGCCTCGTCGAGCTTCTCTCAGGCCGGGCAATCTGGTTGAAGATGGGGGAGTGGCCCTCGGGACGCAAGGGTGCCCGTCATACCATCCATGAGCTAACAGTGGGTACCCCTGAATCAGAAGTTCACAGGACTCTTCGCTTGCGTATGTCCAATGCCAAAAGCCATGTCTCATCTACCTCTCTGTACCTGGGGCTAGCCAAGTTTTCCCTCCACAGGGAGATGGAGGACCAGACTGCCCTGCGTGCAAGGATGCCATGCTGTGCTCCGAGCTCGATCCACTCGACCTTTTCCACTTGACTTTTATTACTGCGCGTTCCTCCTCTGATGCTCTCTCCTGCAGGGCGACTCTGTAGAGCTTCTCTCTTATCACCAGGCTTCCAAGCCGTTGTTATTCTTCTCAAACCCGTCAGTCATTCCTTTGACGACAGTCGTCATCCACTGTGCGGTCTGCGGTACTCTGTCCCTCCCTTTATAAGCCACCCATTTCCATCTACAGGATACGCCATCGCAGGTTTCGAGAACGATTTTGTAGACACTAGTGGGGATCTTCGCCTTTCCTTCCAGAGACCGGACTTGATATTCAGTCACAATCCACGGCCCAGCAACTACTCGCACAGCCACATTTCACTCCTTGAATCATCCTCAGGGCTTTGGTACATCATCAGAGTCATAAGGCAGGAAAAGCAAAAACAAAAGCAAGCGAGGACGACTGACTCTGATAAGCCTGGAAACGATTTTCGAAGCCCGGTGCTGCACCGTCGATCTCGGGAAGCTTGGACTGAGAATAGCACTACGAAAGGAGGGCAGGAGACTCAGACATTGGCTTCTTCTGCAACAGCAGTGACTTCCAAGCTCGAGGTTCGAAACACGCCTCGAATCTGGTGAACTCACCCTGGAGGCGGGGGACCGGAAGCTTCAGCAAAATCGTCCGATATCCATCCAGCTATCACCTCAACCCAACTGCCCGTTACTGTCAGCCAAACTTGCAAAAGGCCAAACAGGCCCTTACACTTTCCACTTTTCACAAAAGGACTGGTTCCAAGCTGAAGAGCACACCTGGTTTCTTTCTCATCCATATCACTCTCTACACTACCTCGCGGCAAGCCTGCCTTCCCTCGGTTTCCGGTTGTTCTTTCCAGTCTCCAAGCTCGGGGACGTACATTTGCCGATTGCCACCAACCTTTCCAGAAGTCCCGACATAAAACTCCACAGCCCTTGCGAGACATCTTCCGCTAGCCGCTCGTCACCTGGATCAAATCTTGTGTTGCACCTGGAAAGGTCACCTGTGATTGTCCGACTCTCGGCAAGCGGCTTTTGGGGATTTTGGAGAGCAGCACTTGTGCACCCGACCGATTCAGAGCGACGTCAGACCCAATCACGCACTTCACTCGACTAGTTGAGGTTGCACCCACCCACTCACCGTTTGTCGCATTTCAGTTTGTGACCTATTCGTTAAGACACGGCACGTCACTCACTCTTGACCTTGGGTAAAATCAGCGCAAGAGTCTTCACTTTGATCTCAAACTCCAGCTCAAATCTCATCATCTTACTGAGAGCTTCTCCTGTGCCAAAAGGAGAACATTCGGAAAAGGATTGAAAACCTGCCATTTTCACCACATCTCACCACAACAGCAAACATGTCTTTAGCCAGAGCGTTTACGACCCGCCGGGCCAAGGTCTTTGGGGGCGGCGACTCAGAGGGCAAGCCATCCAGGAGCCATACCGTCAAGGGATCTCTCAGCGGTCCCATTCGAAGCAAGATCTCGGGACCAGTCGAGTTGATCCACACTACCAACATGCTTTCTTACAATGCCCCGGACATCCAGAAGGAGCCCAAGACCGCTGTATCAACGTCGTCCTCTTCAATTCGATCTGATGGAAGTTCTGACCACATCCCGACTGGAGCCTCTTCACCTCTCACAAGCCCAGACTCACCTTTCCCCCGTGAGGACAAAGACACCAAATTATCTTCTACTGCCGAGCCGAACCACCTTTCATGCTACTTCACTCTCCCTGGCCAGTCTTCCGTGCCAACACCAGAGGTGCCATCCATCCCGAAGCGGTCTCCTTCGCACACAAAGAGATCTTATGAGCCCCTGGCCCGGAAACCATCCGTCTCGAGGCTCGCAGAGTCAAAATCCCATGAACCCCTTGGCCGTAAACCTTCTGTCTCGAGACTATCAGAGCATTCCAGCCGGACCGTCTCCACCAAAGGGAGCTTCAGTTTTTCCCGGTCATCGTCCGCCTCAACCAGTACGACGGCTAGCAGCCACCACTCCATCGGCGGACAGCAAGTTCCTAAAACATCGCCCATGGCACCTCCACCTGTCCCCGCTGCGCTGTCGACATCTGCGTCAGGTCAACACCACAAGGAGCCCGCCAGCGAATCATCCCACCCATTCGGCCAAGAGCTGGCACAGGTGACGGAGCTGGCCGAGGAGTATGCCTCCACGGCAGCGGACAAGAAGCGCGCCGCGGCATCCAAGGAGGAGCAGGACTTAGCTGATCTCGGCCTCAAAAAGTTCACACCCGAGGACTACATCTCTGAGATCCAGAGCCTCTTCGCTACATTCTTCAGCGAGACGACGAGGCATGCGAGGGCCCCGGCTCCCCAGTGGATTTGAGCGAAGGAGTGGCTGCGGCTTGAGTAGCGATCACCAAGCACAACTCACAAAGTGGTCCATAAAACTCGACTGGCCACCCAACGGATCGACTACGGATTGGATTTTCTTTTCTATACCCCATATTCAGGATGCTCTATTCAGGTTGGACAGCTTCAGTGGTACCGCGTGTCGTGAGGCAAGAGGCGTTGAGAAGTTGTGCGGATCGAGTTCATTTTAAATTGTTCTATTTATTCCCCGTGCCCACAGTGGCAGCAAGCAGCGCGATTCTCTTTCTTTCCCCTACTTTCTCCAGCCACTCATTTCGGAGAACTTTACATTACTACTACTACTTCATTCTGGACTCTCCTTACATCACAATTTTTATTTGTCTTCTCACCTCATGACGGATGGTCGGACGATTGGCAGCGGGGGGAGAGGAAATGGTCTGCTGAGAATGGTGGCTCAAAGCACAAAGGAAGCGCACTCTGTAGCGAAAGACACAGCTGCTCGTGGAGTCGCCAGCGGCGAGATCCCGGCACACAAAGAAACGAATTAAGACATTATGACACCGTCAGAAACGAAGGTCCTCCATTGCAGCATATGTGACCCAATTGGCCGTTCGGGACTGGCTGTTGTGGGCTTCCGGACTTTCCTGGACGTTGACATGTTTTGAGTTTATGAAGTGCTCATCTCGCCGATGCGGCCGTGCCCTCGGTCGGCCCTGGGGGGCAGTTCGTAGTCAATTTAAGTGGGCACTAACTGCTTGGGGGAACGGGCGGGCCGGGGTGGGTGCCAGCTCTGTGGGTTTAATCTATTTCAGACGGCGCCCGGCGGCATCATCTCGTCTTGTCCCAAACGCCATCTGATTACACAGTATTTATCTATAGACAACGGCTGCGGCACCGCGGTGTCGAGTTGGGGCTGGTTCCCCGGCCGTCCGGCCTCCCACGACAGCTTCACCAGACCGGAACGCCGAGGCCGCCGGTCCAGCCAGATTTCCTTCCCCGCTTCTGGAGCTCCTGGGCAGTGCCGTTTGGGAATGTTTCACGGGGACGAGTGACTGCTCTGCCGGCCTGCAGCTCATGCCAACCTTTCCTCCCACCTATAATGGCCAGGATTTTATATGGAGGTTTCCATTTGTTTCATGCGACATTCCGTGAAACCCTAAATGTGACCTTCTCCCTGGCGACGTTCCTGTGGGAGTATAACTCTATTCACCAAGCTTAATTGTCTGATGCAGAGTGACGGGTGCTCAGACCCTGCTTGGTTTTGGTGACCCCGTCCCACCGCGCTGGACCTCCCGTGTCGTCATCGCGGACGGGACTGTTGATCAACTTGGCGAGCCAAGACACCGCAAAAAGGCCTCGTAACCTCGTAAGAACGAATCAATTTTGTCTATTGTTGTTTATCTGATGTTGCCCGTCCGGCGATGTCCTCGGTGGTCGACGAACGTGTAGACACAATTTCCAGCCTAGGATTCTGTCCACCAAGGCAGAACCGAGACCCGCCACGATCATGATGCAAGTTGACTTTAAGGCGCGGAAAAGCAAGCGAGTCAGGACGTTGATCAGATCACCAAAGCAGCCGGACAACTTGTTTTTGGACTTGCAGAGCGCACCCTGGGAGCCAGGGCAACGGTGTCGTTGTGAGCGCCACCAGCTTGAGACCAGACTGCAAGGTTGCTGAGAGTCTTTTGCAGTGTTGCAAACATTGGCACAGTAATGAACCATGGAGTATCTGTGTATGTGCGATAACTCCCATCAACCGGTACTCGGCCTCTTTGACGTAGCAAGCGGACCCAAAAATGGCAGATACACAATTTACCTCGCAGTTACCAATACTCCGCCGAGCCATCCCACGCCGTAGTAACACGATCTCAAGTGATCCTCATCGCCCTGTCTCTAAAACTTGAAAGGTTCATCTCTATGCCAGTACGCCCACAATATGCCTGTTAGTCCCAGTGCTATGCACACACGCTCATGCTGCCGGTCTGTTCAAATCATTCGCTGGCCGCCTCCAGCAACTCCGAGACGGTGACAATCCGGTACCCCCTCCGCCTCAGCTCGGGCAGCACCTGCCTCAACATGGGTATCGTCCAGCTCCTCCGATCATGGCATACGATAATCCCTCCGTTGCGCGCCATGCTCAATATATGCCAGGCGTTCAGCCGCCAGTGGGGGATCTGCGGGTCGTGGGGGTATATGCTCCCCAGCACGAGGCGGTAGCCCAGGCGCGAGACCATGGCGCGCATGTCGGTGCTGAACAGGCCGCTGCCGGGGCGGAAGTACTGGTGCTTGGGGGCCCCGGCGGCGACGCCGGCGTCGGCGTAGGCCTGGCGGATCAGGCCCTGGACCTTGTCGATCTGGTCCTCGAGGGTGCCGAGGTCGAGGGCGCGCGCGGCCTCGTCGTGCATGGCGTGGTTGCCCAGCTCGTTGCCGGCGGCCACGACCTCGCGCAGGACCTCCTCGCGGCCCTCGACCTGCCCGCCGATAACGAACATGGTCGCGTGCGCGTCGTTGTCCCGCAGCAGCTGCACGATCTCCCGCGTGTACTCGGACGGCGCGTCGTCGATCGTCAGCGCGATCACCTTGCCCCCGTCGCCGTCGCGCGGCAGTGTTGACACCTCCCACAGGACGTCGGGCCAGCGGTGCTGGAAGTAGCGGATGAGGAGGCGGGGCGGGCGGTAGATGGCGTAGAATGGCGCGAGGAGCAGCACGCACAGCAGGAAGAGGTAGAAGAGGGTCGCCATCCTGTTTCGCCGGGCGCGGCGCTTCACCTTGGACGGGAGGCGGAAGAGCGCAGAGAACCGGATCATATCATCGGAGAGAAGGGGGCGAGGGACCGGGGCTTTGGAATCGGACGAGCTTGGGATGGCGGCGACGGTGTGGAGAATTAGCGAATGGATAGGAGCCGAGGCTTCATCTGTGTGGGAGAGGGCGCATTGGAGTGTCAATGCTGCTGCATGAGGACAAATTTGCGGCGAGGACAGGTGCAAGTGGATTGGCGAGGACGAGCATGACGAGATGCCAAATTGACATTGCCTTGCACAAGGAGTCGTCGTCTGGACCCGGGCGGGATGGTCAGTGCGCCCCCAAGTACCGAATTCCAGGGTCTACGGTACAGTACAACGTGGAGCCGGGGGTCCTCTTACCGGGCTCCCGACCACCTGGCCGCCCAGAAAATACTGGGCCGTGTATCTCCTCAAATGCTCGCTTAGTGGGTCACAAGTAGACGCGTGTGTGAACATATTAAGGGGCATTCGCCTACATACCGAGTAGGAGTGGTAATTAATGCCTACTCTTACTCTTTTTCCAAAACAGGCAGACCATTCTCTGTACAATGAAGTGCATAAGCTGGAACTTTTATGCCTGGATGCAAGGTCCGTCGAGTCGACGAGCCAATAGCGACATGTGCATTTGAACAACGTCTTCCGAGGCACCAATATATCACCGATGATGCAAAGCTCAAGATTCAGCATTAGTACGTCGTGTTGCGGAGGACTTCTGCCGTGCTTCAATGAAACAGCCTTGAAAGCTCTCATCTAGGGTCCTTTATCGACGACTAGCCCGGAAGAAGTATATCTGAGCCCGATCGATCATGGCCAGTATAAGGTGCTCGCTTTGAGCTGAAAGGCATCGTGTGCAAGTGCTCACACCAACTTCTTCACGATACTGTGACGGGGTCGCGTAGAGCTGTGATAAAAGTGTATTTGATGGCATGACAATTTGCCGATCAGACTCCCACAGAATTCACTTGTCGGCATACTTGAGCAACGAGTATATCTAGTGTTTTCGACGGTATTGAAAATGTGTAGAGACCCATCAAGTCCTTCCAAGGGCCGGATTCCTGCTCGTCAACCGCGCCGCCTGGTCCCCAGGAGGGTTAGGCGTGCCCCGACCTTGAGGGGCAGCTACCCTGGCCCAATCTCTCATCATCTCTCACTTACACTCAACCCCGACCCAGGCAGTCTGATATCAAAAGAATGATCCTGGCTCATACAAGATGAGCGACTTGCCAAAATTACCATTAGAGCTCATCTTCAGCATCATCGCCAGCCTGCTGGGTGATCCGCGAACCATCCACAATCCGTCTCACTCATCCACCAAGGCCCTCCTTTCATTCACCCTTGTCTGCCGAGCGACATACTCAGTGGCCACCAACTACCTCCGCGAGCAGTGTTTATACATAGACAATGACAGGCGCCTGCGCGGCCTGATTCACACGGTCGAATCCACCAAGCACAGGATCCAGGGCTACAACAGCACTGGCACAGATATCCCCAAGTCGCTGTCGATTCAGCCAGGCAGCAGCCTACGGCCCATAACAAACCTGTACCTCTCCCCATTTGGTTCAAGCATCGACGACCAGCCGAAAGCAATATGGATCCGCGAGCTCTTCTGCCTCATCCATCCCACGCTGCGCCGCCTCGTCGTCGACATCCCCCTGCGGAGCCTCTACCCGGCGGATGACCACCTCAACGTGCGCAAGACGCTCAGGGAGGCCTTTAGCCTGCTCACCGAGATCGAGGAGTTCGTGAGCGTGCAAGATGAGTTGTACCTGGATATCCTGGAACCCGAGTGGCGAACTGAGAAGGAGACTTCGGTGTGGACCCTGTGGCCGAAACTGAAGAGGCTTGCGCTGTACAATGTAGACGCGGATGAGAGGTTCTGGAAGTCTGTGGAGGGGATGCGAGAGTTGGACACGGTGGTGCTGACTCGAGCAGATGGGCTTGAGAGCACTTGCATGAAGAGCGAATATTTTGGAAGTGCAATTGGGAGCGTTGCCGGCGATGATACTGGGAACGCGGCTGGTGAGGAGTCGGCACCACCGAGGCCGCTAAAGGTGGTGATTGTCAACATCGCGAACAATCAGCCGAGCTACCTGGCAGGCAGGTGGAAGTGGGACAAGGTCGATCCGAACAACCTTATGAGGGTCATGACGTACGACGTCCCTACATCATTTTACGGCGATGAGGACCCTATCTATCTTTGTCAACACTGGGTGAAAGTGGCAGCTTTAAGGGGTGATATTTGGGAATGGGAAGGTGATCTAGTGAAAGGAGGACCGCGAGATGGGTCGGGCAATGCTCTGGTTTTTGAGTTAGAGGCATGAGCGCTGCATTGGGCTGCTATATCGCCCTGTATAGAGACGTGATTGACTCCAGTCTTGCTGGGCGCAACTGTCTATTAACAGAGAACATTCAGTGAAATGGCGTAGAATTGTCGTTTACTACCATAGGGCGATCGGTGTGACGGCACGGAGTTTCTTGACATATGCTGATGGCTCTGTCATGTCCCGGGGCATGGGGCCACTTGTCGGGTTTCAATAAGGTCTTCTAACTAACGATGACATCGTCTCTGAAGAAGATTGAAAAGTTTCGTACGACGGAGTGGAACTAGTATGTTGGTGGACGTGACGGTGTATTTCCTAGCTCGGCCTTTTTAGCATGTATCGTGGCAGGGACTGACATGGGAAGGCGAAGACCAAGCGCGTCAGGCGAACAGTATTCAGCGGTAACACAATGCGCGTGGAATGTTCCAAGATTGATATAGCGCGCTATCGAAAGGTGCAGTATATTTCTGTATTGGACCAGTTGTATAAGCCAAAGAACATAGACTCGATCTTTCTATCCCGAAAACCTTATAGTACCTATAGATCGGCAGCCATTGTGAGCCAGCCATTGTGAGCCGGCCATTGTACGTCTAGATCTATCATCGTGGCCATCCCAGGGCTAACAGAAGAGCTCTCTGTAGCAGATTGTTTCTAAGTATTCCGTTTTCCAACTCACGACACCATCATTAGAGGCCCCACAAGACATTAATTGAGAGCAGTCTCATACCGACTCCTTGCTCTTATAGTCTCCCCAAACTTGAATAGTGCCCAAGGTACCGGGAGCAATGCCACTGCGATGAAGCCCAACAGACTGGTGGCCCATCCGACCCCGAGATTCTGGTACATTTGCACCGTGAAAAGGGGGAATGCGCCGGCCAGCCCGTACCTCGCCAGACTATTCGCGCTCATGGCGCTGGCCACAGTGGTCCCGTGAAAAGTGTCCACCATGTATTGCGTGGTTGATACGAACAGACAGATATTTCCCCACGCAAAAGGCATGATCGCTACGACCGGACTCGCCCACGAGATGCCAGGTCTCGCCGTCCAGCCAAACCAGAAAATCCCCACAGGGACCAGTACGCTGCCTATCATCGCCGGGAGGAGGCGATACTCGGGCGGGACCTGGTGTGGAGGGTGTCTAGCCGCCTGCGGCCTGTAGAAGCACACGTCGCAAACGACGATTGTAACGAACCCAACGAGGCAGCCGACGACGATGCTGATATATACCAGCCCCACCTCTTCAATCCCGAAGTGGTAAATCTTGCCGAAGACATAGGGGACGGAGGCGAAGAAGCAGAAGAGGGTGGCGAACTCGCAGGCGACGTATAGGCAGATGAAGGCGATAATGGGCTCGGTGAAGAGCATGTGGACTGGCCGAAGCAGTGCGACGGTGACGAACAACTTGATCTGGGCGACGACTGATGGAGACGGAGGCAAGGGAATTTTCAGCTTCTTTGCCTTTCTGCGCCGAAGTACGGGTGCGTAGGTCTCGCGGCCCCATACAACACCGATTATCATAGCTTGAACGTAGAAGAACAGCATAGTCCACTGTGTCCAGCGCCATCCTTTCCTGTTCACGACAAAGGCACCGATCAAAGGGCTAGGTCTGCAAGTCAGCAAAGTGACCAGCCTATATGAATGATGAATCTGAGGAGGGAGGACTTACGCTATGCCCGGGCCGAGGAAAGGCGTCAATATAAATATAGCCGACGGCAGACCCCTCTCCATCGGCCTGAAAACATCGTTAAGCAAGCCAGCCGACACAGCTAGGCAAGGTGCGAAACAAAATCCAGCTAGGAAGCGCAGTATACAGAGTCCCGCAAAACTGTGAACGAGTCCACAGCCGAGGGTGAAAAAGGCGCCGAGCGTGCACAGGAATGTGTAGGTTGAATAGCGGCCGACGGTCTCGGACAAGGGGCCACCGAGCACAGGACCAAGGGCCAGGGCGAAGACATACAGCGACAACGGGACTATTGATTGCGTTATGCTGACGCCGAACTCCTGCTGGAGCTGTGTTGTCGCGGGCGACATTATCGAAGTCCCCAGAGACCTGGAGAAGCGGGCGATGTTAGAAAATATGTGAAGGCTTCTAGCCCTAGATACAAGTTGGCAAGGAAATTATATGGGAGATTCCTTACGCTAGGAATGCAAAGGACGCACACATAGCAACTTGTGACCATTTCTTTGCTGTGCCCCAGTTGTACGGATTCTCTGGGTCCTGCTCCCAATCTGAAGCGTCCGAGTCGGACGCGAGGGCCTTCTCATTAGGGGTGATGCCCCCGTTTTCCATCCTCTCAACAGTGGCATCGGTATCTGTAGCAAAACCAGACACGGTATTTTCATCATCTGAAGGCACTGGTCCCCCCAAGGCACTGTCATTGGACTTCTCGGGGTCGAATTTCGTGGATGCTTTCTCCATCGTTGAACACGAAGACACAAGGGATGACTGAAATTTCAAGGAGAGCAATTAGAAAATATAATAATTGAATAAGCAAGAAACGTCCTGCCCGGTGTCGCAGCCCTGCAGCTCGATATATGGGTACATGAGATCTCATGTCGCACTTGGACCTGGCTATCTGATATATACTGCCACAGCCTAGTTTGATTTTGTGATCAACCCGCTAGTGGACCCAACTTGTCGGACCTTGAATCGCATGGCTTACAGGGCTGCTCTCAACACTTTGACGGAATCTATGTGCAAGGGCTCTCAGGGGCTAGACTCGATCGAGGCAGACATCTGGTGTTACGGCACCAGATAGCCATGTTATGTGCCTGTCTGTCTAGGGCATCCTGCGTCGGAGGTAGGAATGCACGATTCCTGCGCCTGATGCGTCGAGAAGAGATGATAATGTTGGCGATCAGCGAAAGAGTAGCGCATTAGGAATTGAGCGGCTACGGGAGTTGAGTAATCAAAAGCGATGGCAGTGATTAGCCGCGGCTCGAGAAAAAGCAACTCTTCCTCTTTGGGAATTGTCCCAACGGTAGACTGTCGTGGGCTTTCGCGCCCTTTGCAAGATCACTACAAGGATCACGCCGACGTTGCGATTCTTGGCCACATTGAATCCGCCAGCGCTCACAATAGTCTTGCACTTATTTCAAGGGAACCTCGGGCGGCCTTCCAGATCCCAGATAATTTCGTTTGATTCATAATCCCGAGAGACATACTCGGTCTGCTGTACCTAATTTTCTCTCTGTCGCTTTGGTTTCTTTCTCAATTCGACGTAATCCCTCGCTAGGACAGCTAGCCCTATCAGGACTTCGAGAAGCAAAACGCCAGTCTCCGCAAAGTACCTACAACACCCAGGGAGGGAGCCGTTTCCGCTTTCTCCTCGAGTGGCTCTTCCTCCTGAGCGCCGTCATAACAAAGCAGTTTCGCTTTCTCGGAATCCTCAGAGGACGAGCGTGCGTGATACATGGGCAGGACACCCCGTGGCTGGGCTCCAGGGCCGAGGAATATTCTCGCCCATTTCAGCCACCATATCGTGCTATGAGCTGGTGTGTACGAAGGGCACTCGGGGATCTCATCTTCGGCGTATAGTTCCATTTCTTGGATGTCGACGCTGGCTATTTCCTCCATCCTATCCGCTATCCTGCTCTTCTGGGCGTAACCCACAGCTTGCCCAGAGCGGTACTCGCGACGCTGCCTTGCCCTGAGCCAGAAGGTTTCGAGGTCTATGAGGTAGTGGGAAGCTCCGCTCGGCTCAGTGACGATGATTTGAGGACCGCGGTTGGTGTCATCCGGCTCGCCCCAGAATTGCCAGCTGCATTGCGGTAGGGACTTGGGGCCTCTGACTCGCCGGCGGTTGGCACTAGCCCGGCAATTTCCACGGATCCGAGGGCCCTGGCGGCCCTGGACTTCCCTCGATTGTCGAATGAGTTGCCTTTCTCTTTGTATGCTATCTGCCGCAAGCTCCTAGAGCGGCTGTTGCGGTGAGTTCGCCTGGTACGTTTGGGCGAGGGATCTATACCACACGTCTAAAGTCGACGTGTCGCAGATGAACTCCTTACGCGGCGTGGCTAGTAGCCAGCGATGAGAGTCGCCGTTGAGCTCCGGGCCTGGGTAGGCACCGTCAGGGAAAGCTGCGGCGTCCTGGAGCGTAAACTCCGCCAGAAATTTCTGTATTCTTGGCGGCAATTTCGCCCGGTCGATGTGATTCCACCCTGATTCTGGGTTGCTGACAGCCATGATTCCATGTTCGTCACTGTCTATAGCGGGAAGATGCCTGGCCTTTTGGATGCACGTGGGGACGTCCTCGAACAGCTGGAAGATTCTTTCCAATTCCGCGCCGCCTGCTTCTGCTTCCGCGCCCACATCCTCGTCGTCGCTGCTGTCGCTTTCGGAAGCGTCCGAGTCGGTGGTGTTGAAAGATTGTGGGTTCTCATTATTCTCCTCGTTTCTGTCGGCCATATCACTGTGACGGTCTGTGTTGTTTTGCGTATCGAATGGTCTGGCTTCGGTTGATGACTCGGAAAAGTGAGCACCGGACCCTGATGGAAGAGACGAGTCCTCGGCCCGCGCTATATCGCGAGCTTCGTCCTGGCCGAAGCCACGGGCCCCATCGGCAGCCGCGTTGGAGGCGTTATCAGGTCTTCTGGCAGCAAGATCATCTGAAAGTGAGTACTGTTGGGACGAAGTCGTCGGCGCTCTGGAATTCTCAACGTGGCTTGGGGCCTCGACGCGTCTACTAGACCGGCGACGCTCAGAATACCCAGTAACGTGAAGCTCCCACCTTCCATCAGCATCAGGCTCCTCAAAAATATGCGGCTCGCCGTACCTATCGTCCTCGTTCGCAATGTGGACGATCTCGTCGATTCGCTCCATAACGGCAACACGCCTTTGCCAATAGGGCACTCTGTACGAAGGGCGGGAACGGCGGTGTCGCATCAGGGCCTCCTTGAGGGCTCGGAAGCCTTGAGTTAGATTGTTGGTCGAAAAGAGGGCCACGGTGCCCGGAGAAGACGCATTGGTGCTGGACCCTGCTGTCCCTGCGGAGACCATAGGTTGTTGTGAGTTCGAATTTTGCTCGGATCCGTCCATGGTATTTCATGTGCAGATGCCGGTTTCCTGGCTGTAATGATCGTAACCGGATGGGTGCCAAAGCGTGGGGGAGAGCGAATGAAGAAAAGACTGACGGTATTGATGGGATACTCGATTGAGATAAGCGAATGGCGATCATTGGAACATACAAGCTCCCCGCGAATGAATGAATATAAGGAACATAGCGACGGGTTTTGAACCAGGACATTGGAAAGAAAACAAGCGCCAGATCGAGCTGGGGAAAGAAGGACCGGATGGTCACTAGAGGGCGCCGGACTGCGGACGCCAGAAACACCGCTCGAATCCAAAAGTTCGGGAGGTGATCATGAGGCTGCTCAGGCACATAAGGCACCAGAGTAGCACCTGCGGTCGCAGAACAAGTGATTCCTTCAGTTAGGCACCGTTCATCCCCACATGAAATCAGTCCAGCATATAAGCAGCACATTCCTAACAGAACAGATGACAAGCCCGGGATCATATAAATAATGTTGTTCGTCATGCTTAAAGTTTTCAGTGCTCATACTAGATCAATACTGAGCAGATAGGCAACGGGTCTTGGCGCCCAAGTCTCAGTGTGTCTTCACACCGGTCTTCAAGAAACTACTCTGGTCAGCTTCGAGGTAATAGAAGAAGAGTTTCTCTGCTGTTCTCATCCAGTGAATATATGCTAGAAATGAGGGGCTACTACTCATATGGCTTTTCACTACGCTGGAGCGGCCATGCCCCAGTCGTTTTGCACATTTTCTCTGTGCTCCATAAGCCTTTATCTCCTTCTTTTGGGGATCGTCACCATCCAGGGTCTTGAACCACCTCCGGCATACGAACCTGTCGACGCATCGGCTCTGGAGTAGAGCCACGCATAACGACCAGAACCAGCATTACCTAGACCACAGACACACATTTGCTCGGGGAACTTCATTCACTTTTGCTGAGCTCACAAGCCAGAGCGAATGCTGCCCGAGTGCACCGCAGCCGCCCAGCTCATCTGCGAACAGGTTTGGGCTATTAGAAATGCCACGAATTTCGGCTTGAGCTTCTGGCCCAGTTCCGTGACTTTGGAGCGCATCCACAAGATCTTTTCCAGACGCTCATTACGAGGGAATTTAGTCTTGTAGAGGTCTGTAGACTTCATCAGCAAGCAGTTAGAGGCCAAGTGAAATAATCCATTGTCGTACCCAAGATAATCCTCGTTGATGCTACCAATAGCCCTGATCTCGCCAACCTCGTTCCTGATACCGGCGATCTTGACGCGAACGTGGGAGCCGCTCTCGATTGTCAAGCCTTCGTGATCGGTGAACTGGGGCGGGGTCGCGTTCGCGTCATATTTGCAGGTCTTGGGCATCAACTAAAGCAGGGGTCAGCCTGAAGGAAAGTCCAAACAAAGAGGCCCCTCATGGCGCAGCGGTACGTACGAAGTTCGACACGAACAGCTGCAGCGGGCCAGCCTGGCAGAAGAAGCCGTGAGGATTGACGGAGAACACCACGGCATCAACCTTGAGCTTGGTTAGCACATGATCGTAGCCATGCGCAGCGCTTTTTACCCTACCGTCTCGCCCCTAAAGGGAGCCCACACGACCGCGCGATAGCCGACCGTGAATTCTGCCAGCCCACTTCCAGGCAGGATGCGTCCCTCCGAGATATCGAATGTGTCCATGATGGTGATGATGAAGTAGTTGCCTGCGCATGTGCCTTCGACATCCTTCAGCAGCTTTGTGGTGACCAGCTCGTGCATGTTTCGGCCGAAGTAGGAAGGGTGCAGCGTGACATGACGCGTGAGGTTGTGCAGGAAAAACATCTTTTCTCGAAATTCTGTTTTTTCTTCGGGAGTTGGTCGCAAGGGTTGGGCTTGAGATGGGACGGCGCAAGTGTCGCAACCTCGAGATGGTAGAGCCGTCTGTGATTGACCGCTCGCAAGGGCTGGTCGCAGCCGCGAAATGGGTGTCGCGTCAGGTCGAAATCAAAGGGGTTCGATCGAAGGGTATCGCGGGAAGCTGTTGAGTCGCAGGAGTGCTCTGAACTGATGAAAAGTGTCGGCTGGCAAGTTTTGCGCCCAAGGACCTTGGAGGCAAGCTGCTGGTCGTGGAACGTATCGAGACCGCCTTCGGCAACAAGGCAGATCCAAGAAGGTAAAGAACGGTGATCCCCCCAAAATTGGGTCCCCGGGATGAGGAGGCTGTTTTCGCAGGAGTGGCTCGTCTTTGGGCGGAGACTGAGCAAGTCGACAAGGAGGAGAGGGCGGCGAGGGAGAGGGAAAGGGCTGATGGGAACCACGGATTAGGAATGCGATTCGAAGGACTTGGAAGGCTTGACGTCCACTTCCAAAAGCCGTCCGAGCTTGTACCACAAGCGGCAGGGGTGCAGGGCCCACCTTCAAAGCGCAAGCACGCGCCAGTTCCACAGTGCCGAAGTCTACGTGAGAGAAGCACTATCGATGCGACATAGAGTTTCCTTTGCATTCTGCCTTGTTCACTAGCAGACTTCGTTACCTCACCCAGACCCCCACAAATTGAGGCTCAAGAGCTCTATGCTTGGCAGGTCCAAATCACTGTCAATCGGGACAGGCCACATGGGGACGATCGCTTTACCTACTTGAGTACCAAGGTACCGATAGACTGCATGTACATGAACAGGGTTCTGCACACAATGGTCGAGTATAGCTCTGTACATGCCTCATTGTGAGAGGGCTGCTTGCACCCGGGAGGGAAGCGGTGTCACAAGTCAGCATGATGTTCCCTACTGTGGTCTCAAGATCTGCCGCGTCTGTAATGTCACGGGGCTTCCCTTCAAGATGCGATTCGGTCGTGTGTACTTCGTAGGTACATGTACAACGTCTGGACTCGAACCTAGCTGGGTTTGACGGGGTGTTTGGGGTAGCTCCCCAAGTTTTGCAACCTGGCAAGCTCTGGCCCGAGGTCAAGATTTCGAGATGACAGTAGATTGGTAAAGGGCTTCACCTGCCTGGAGGAGACACCCGAGGTCCCATCAAACAAGCATGGACGGCAGCACGGCTGGGTGCAAACATGACAAGGGCGGGACCCACCTGGGCACCGATCCACGGGTGCGCGAGGGCGACGAGGGGTCCGCGGCTTCCTGGCCAGTGCACTCCCGCAGCGGAAAACCAGGCCTGTGGACCTCTTACCGGCTGCAGTTGGCCCCCGTTCCCGAGGCACCTCACCAACAATGCAACTTACTATCAGGAGACGTCAGACGATTCCCTCGCGTAGCAAACCTTCGCGACTACTCCGCCCAACAATTCCCGACATCAGGTCCCCACCCTTCCCTATAAGAATAAGTCGCCAGTTCCCAACCTTGACGCGACTGCGCTTGGCGTTCATCTTTCCAGCCGCAACCTCCGACGACTTGCGATCATCCCTTGTCTGCCCAATCACCGTGTTGTCTCACTGAGCTCTGCTTTTGCCAACAGCGCCGACGCCAACATGTCTCTTGACTTGGAGCGCCACTTGGTCTTTGTGAGCGTCGACGAACCATTCAATGCCAGCGAACACGAGCTAATGTGCCTCTACAGTACGGCTCCTACCACAATAATGTCGTCAACATCGGGATACACATGTGCTGCGTGCCAATCATACTGATGACGAGCTTCCTGCTGGTACGCCCGCCCTTCATTATCAACTCCAGCCACGCGATCATGCTGACGTCTCGGATGCGAATCAGGCTGCGAATTCCGGCGTCCTACTCCAACTGCCGCCGTCCCTCTCGCTCGAGTACCTTCCCTTGAACATGTGCACGATCGGAGGCATTATCTGGGGCGGATTCTACGTCCTGATGGAGCCGGTAACCGGCAGCCTGCTCTGCGCTATCTGCTTGGGAATGGCCGCGGCGGACAACTACTTCTACTCCGTCGATGCGAAAACGTCGACGATGATCGCAGGAGGTATCTTCGCCGTGGCATGGATCCTGCAGTTCGTGGGCCATGGAAAGTTCGAGGGCCGCGCTCCGGCTCTGCTCGACAACCTCATGCAAGCGCTGCTTCTTGCGCCGCTTTTTGTCTGGCTGGAGCTGCTGTTCTACTTTGGCTACCGGAAGGAGCTCAAGGAACGCGTTGACAAGCAAGTCGAGAAGAACATCGCGAAGTTCAGGGCTGAGCGGGCGGATAAGAATGGAAAGGCACAATAGGTGCTGTAGATGTCGAATCCAGACGCGATCTTATCACCATTTTTGCCCCCGATGCCAGTCGCTGCAGTACAATCCATCGCACGCGGCATGCTCCATCATACGATGGAGGTGATGAGATAGCATGGGACACCACAGAACAGTCAGCAAGATGTTGGTTGTCAGCACCCAAATTGCAGTATGGCCCGCGATTACCCGAACTTTTCTCAGGCAGCTCGGTCGACCGCTGCCCGAATCCACAACCCACGCTCACTGTAATGTGCCTTAAGGTTTCACAAAGTCTTGCGGGGACAAGGGCAGAACTCTGCTTTGACCCCAAACGCCGAGTTGGATCTACATGGCAGTGTTCCAAGCCGCCCCGCCATCCCACAGTTACACAAGCCCAAATGTCAATATCGCTCAAGGAGTTGATTCCACTAGTTGGACCCGGCTCAGTCCTCCAGCTGCTTTCATAGCGGCATGGAATGTTTTTTGTTAGGTTCATGTGAAGGGATATTACGCTTCTGCACTCGGTCTAGCACTGTCTCCTGCATGAGAAAGAGCCACATTCAATATTACGGTTCCAGTGGGCGCCTACTTTGGCACGATGACACAAGATGCAATCAGAACTCATCTAGCCCCTTCAGCCACGCTTTGTTTGCATGCAAGGGAGATGAGTGAGAAAGGGTTCACGGAGAAAAACAATCAAATAATCAGAAAATCGCTACGGACTGATATGAAAAGAGTGAATTAAAGAAAGAAGATATCTCACAGGATACCCGAATTCAAAAAGGAAGTGATGGGACGGAAGCTTCTCGGAAGCTTCTCTGCCTGTTCCCGTCTGAACATATGACAAAGGAAATGTTGTGGTAGATAACCACTGTGGTTTTTCTCCAGTTTACCTTCTACGTGAGGAGGTGTATGGGAGTTTCTCTGTGATGTTAAGCAGCGAGACCTCGGATTCCCTAGGAGAGTTTCCAGGACTCGTGCCAAGATAAGCATAAATTTCCCTCTCGAGGGAGGACTGCGATGCGGTCGACGCACGACGGCGGTGGGTCTGGGGCTCGCTTCTGAGCGCGGGATGAATGTCGCTTTGGTCCGCTGGGCTTACAGCAGTTCTCAGTGCCGGAGTGGTGTCGCCTAGGTGTGTTGGCCTCGCGTCTGCTTGTTGCCCGTGCGCTTGTGGAGGACTGCGCTGCTGCTGCGGCGTCTTCTTGCGGATGTTTAACGGCGCGGGATATAGGCTGCTTTCGCTGCTGTCGTTAATGACTGGCACCGGCGGAGCTTGGGACCTGTTTTGCTTAGCCTTAGCGAGAGTACGTGTACGGATTTCGTCCACACTACTGTTGCTGGGAGCGAACAAGCGATTCTGCCGGTTCGACTCGACTTTGCCAGCCTGGCGAAGATTTTTCTTGACTTGTGCTTCAGCTCTCTTGCGCGTCTTTGAATTCGGAGGTGTTAGTGGTGCTGTTCTGGGTTTTAAGTATCTGTCCCCCGCAAGAACGGGAGCAACGGGCCGGGGTGGAATTACTTCCTGGTAATGCCTTCTCGATTTCCCTTCTGTGAAGCACATGATGATGATGAATCAGATGAAAGTCGAAAACCTTTCGTGCCCCTGGCCAGAGCCAGAGGCAGGGCTCTCCAGATTTATATATTCCAGACATAGCGGGACGACCTGCTCAATAAACAAAAGAGAAGCAGGCGGTATAATGGATAATTTACTCGACGCGGCTCGGGGCTTTTGATCTCGGCATGTCCTTACGACCGTGTCCCTCAACAATCGTTTTGTTCAAAAGCTCCATGAAGGGCCTAGACCGCCACCTGCCGGCCCTTTCATACTCGTCTCTTGTGTAAGGAACAGTGGCATTGTCATGATATAATAACGGCTGAGTCGCGAATTGGAACAGTCCCGGATATAAAATCACAGATGATTTCGTCCTGGCCGAAGTGTTCCCGACTACCTCACGCATCAAACTACAATTGAGCCAGCTCAACTGCAGTGTGAATTTTCGCGCTGCATCTAGTCTTCCGAAGAGACAAGAGACCAAGAATATCTGACTTTCGACCGTAGTGAGTCGTTTGACCACCATGCCTAGCTGGTGGAACCCTTTCAACCGCACAAGGCGGCGGCAGCAGTCTTTAGGGTACCAGCTTCCAAGGTCCCAGTTTCCAAGATGCGCCCCGCCTGCTCGCGGAATGGAAGAAACTCTTTTGGCAGCCTCTTCGAGTGACAACTCGGGTGCGGTTGCTGCGCTTCGACAAGTCATTCAGGCGAATAGCCCTCACAGGCTTTCAAGCCAGACTGTGGAGTGGGTGCTCGGCACACGGGCATCGGGCGTCTCTGCAGATTCTGAGGACTATATCCGGAATCCGTACACAGACCTAGGTAGCCGTCCACCCAAGAGAAAGAATGAATCTGTGAAATCAGAATCACCCGTTGCCGTCTCTCCGCCACAGAGCGTCAACTCCGTCGGCGACGAAGACCTTGAGGTCATCAGCCCTGACGAAGGTGACCAAGGTGAGGAGACCCATAATCTACTGCGCGACCCGTTTGGAACATTGCTCCATATCACTGCAGCAGCAACTCTCGCATCGGGACCTCGAGGCCGTCTGTATATTACTTCAGGGCCGCCCCCTGCTGACCAGATGGGACACGCCCCTCAGGCAAGTAGTCAGCTTCGGCCCCTGCTAACACCCAGTACGCCAGCTCCACCGGCTCTTACCCGGCCTCGGGCTGCTAGCAGTCCCGTCCGCGGGGATCGAAGCCAGAGCAGCGGCTCTATGGTAATGCGGTCTGTCCGTACATGGTAGGTAAGTCATCGCAGAGCAATTGTACTCGGATGTCTTTGATTTCCTTTGTATTTGCTGTGCGGTATGGTAGTGTCAGAATTAAAGGTGATGAATAAAAAGAAAATAAAAAAAATTGGAACATTTCTAAAAACAGCAATAATTAGTCAAGGCTTGTGGGATTGTTAAATTCTAAGTTCACGGGAAAAGGAGTCTCATGCGGCAGTGTTAGCTGCATGAGAGCAGTTCGTCACGAATGTGCTGCATGTCACTAGATGGAAGAGTTCGTGGGCGAGTGCCAATGGGAAAGACAGATCAAGGCGGGACACTTGGTTGGCATGTGTGGAAACGTTTGGATGAAAAAAGTGAATGCATCAGCACTACGTGCTAGCGGTTTTGCTGGCTGCCTAGGAACCACTCAAGGTCAAAAATAGCCTACCAAGGGTGAAATCACGAAGACTTGGGTGCAAGAGCAGTAACACTAAAGCGGAGGTCTTCGATGCCTGCAGCCTGCACCAGCTTGATCACCCTCTTGATCCCAAGCTCCAGAGCTCTGGGGCTCAAGACATCCTCATCCTCACCAAGAGCGCCTCTGTTGATTGGTCCCTTCCTCGAACCCTCCAGCTCCCAGAGGTGGCCGCCCTCCTTGACGAATGAGACGAAGTGCTGTCCGGCGTGACGAGTGTCCTCGGCCGGTGGCGCAGCAGTATCACCGATACTGACAACGGACTTGTGGGCTGCCTCAAAGGGCTCGCTGTCGTAGAGCATCTGGGCGCGATCCGTCATGTTCAGCGGAATGGCATCGCGCCGGATCTTCTCAAAGTCGCTGCCTGGGAGGATGTGGTTCTTTGCTGGACCGTTGATGACAGAGTGTAGAAGGCCAATTGAGCCGCAGGCGTTTCCGATGGTCTGCTGGAACCATACGACGGGCTCTTTTTCACCGAAGCCGGCGTAGTCGTCTTGGGTCGCGTCCTCGGCCTTGCGCTCGTCATCCCACGGCTTGGTGAGGGGGATGATGACAAGAAGGGCATGGGCTGGCCTTGGAATGTGGGACAGGAGCTCAGGCTCGTCGAGGGAGTAAACATCGTAGAACTCCAATTCGTCCGAGAGGCCGAGCTTAGTCTTGAGGGCGTTCATGACCTCAGGGTTGTTCTCTACATGAGTGGGTTAGGGACACCGGGCTGTACGGCGGGGGCTGATGCTTGCGGCGCCTGCTGTGCAATGGTCTGACGGGCTTACCCAAGATTGTCCAGCATTTTCGGTCCGCCATCGTGGAGAGGCTGAGATTCAAGGCTGGATGCCAAAGCACCTGACGGTTCTTGGTAGGTCTGATGTGAGATTCAGGCGGAGGTTCAGCGCTCAGCGTTGGGCGTTCAGTGTTTGAAGTCCAGGCAGGTCAGGGTCAGGTTAGTGTGAGTTCTCACATTCAGGCAGATGGGCTTGGTGGGAGTTAGCTTAGGTAGTATACCCAGCAAGTTAGCAGGCACCAGCGGCTTGACGTTGACGTGGGCAGTGACACAAGCAAACTAGGTTTGGGTTAGGTTAGGTGCGACCTGCTCACACAACGTCAGACCCCAGCCCTGTCAAAGGACCCCGTGGGCCGGCAGATTCTCCTTGGCAACCCGCTCTTGCGGGCTAGCACGCCCTGCTCACCCAATCATCTTATACCAATTTGGTCGAAAAGCGGGTCCACCTGGGGTAGGGCGCTGTGGGCGCTGTGGGCGCTGCCCTCCATCCTGCTGTGCTTCGCTGCACCAGACAAACAACGCCAACCCTAAATCCTTTTACCAGCGTCTGAGCCACCAGCAGCACCAGCAGCAGCAGCCACCACCCAAGCCAGCACTGCATTTCCGACGCAATGCCGACTTCCACGTCTACAATTCACAAATCAGATGATTCCCAGCGCTTACTTGAGTCCTTGGCTTCGCCGAAATGCGCCCGGATAAGCCGAGTGGATCAACAGCCGCAAAATAAGCTTATCGACTTGGCTCCTAACCGACATCTCCCATTCAAAGTCGGTTGGTTACATCCACCCCCAAGAACTATCGTTCCTTGCACAAGCAATCGCGGCAGGCTCCTTTACAAGATGATCGATTTTCTTGAACTCACATGTATCTTGAAACTACGACATTGCGAGAGCAAGCATTGTGTCGTCAGCTGTAGTCATGTTTCCCTCTATTCAGAGCTTTTCCCCGCTCTTCAATGTTGCTGACTCCTGGTAAGACTGTAATGCCCGAAAACCGTATTCTAACGAATATCTCAGGGCTCACTCAGGTGCTCGAGCTGATTGTCGTACTCGAATCGTACCACTGGCTGGAGGTGATCCCACGCCACGTCGTTCTCTGTCTGACTACTTTCAACCCACGGGGTTTTACACCACAGGGAACTCAGCCTCTTCAGCTGATACCGGCTCTCGTAGATCTCTCAAGACTATGACGGCTCACAAGGCGTTGCACGAAGGCGGTCACCGCCCGGTCGCATTGAGCCCGAGCGGCCGACCACATGGAGGCTGGACACCAGAGCACAGAAGCCTCATAATTACTACATCCATTAATGAGATGATATCGCACTTATCCAAGTATAAAATGGGCGATAGATCCTCGACTCATGACAGAAGTTGAAAGAATCATCCGCACCAACATCTTCACACAAAGCAAATCTCTCACTTCATCTACACTACACATCGTCCATTTCAGGATCCAACACTTTTGTAACCATTTCAAAATGAAGTTCACCACTGCAGCTGCTACCCTCTTTGCTGGCCTCGCCGCCGCAGCGCCGTCAACCAAGGCTGCCCGCTCCGAATACGTGCACCTTACTTTCTGGGCCGCCGCCGACAACACTGTAACCTACGACGTGCCCATTGACGGATCATCGACCACCATCTACAGCGAGCTTTCCTTCACCTCCATCTCCGCGGACTCCCCCGGAAACACAGTCTGCCACAGCTACGGCGTCGATGGCTCTGACACTGTGCTGTACGGAAGCGCCTCTGATGTCCCTATTGGACCTCCTCAGGAGCAGACCTATGCTACCTGCCAGTACCTTTAAAGGCACAAAGTCGACATCAGGAGAGGTGTGGGGAATGAGACTGGTGGCTTTGATGGACTTTTTATCGGTCCGAAATTTTCTTTTATCGGCTTGAAGTTACGCACTTGGCGGCTTCGAGCATTACAACACTCAAATCTACAACGAGAAACAAGAGAACTCAAGAGATATAGAGCTGGGCGGCTTCCAGGGATTGGTATTATGACATACACACACTTCTAGAACTTTTTTCAGAGACTCTCCTTAATATATTATTTTTATCACGGATCTTTCGCCCATGTACGAATGAAAACTATTTGAACGTTAATTTGGGCCTATGAGAGTCTATCAGAGGAAATAAAGCTGGAAACGTATTCACGTAAATCAGCCAAGGGCGTTTCACTCTGACACAGAATCACCATTGAGACCTGTCGGAGATATGGTGACAATAATGTGAGAGATTCTGTTGTCGACTGTAACTCGTATTTCTCGCTCATTTCCATTCATGACTTGGCAATCTTTTCATGTTAGTGTCATTGAGACAACTAATCAAGTGCGGGTATAATCTTTTCAGTCCATTTCGTTCCACGGATTCTTTGTCCAATAAGCTTCCTTGCTTGAATTAGTACTGGTGTCCTGCTGGGCTATGGATGGCCTTCAGCACAAGGACACGGCCAGCAACAGAAACACTCCGGTAGCGTTCAATTGAGATGGAAGAGGTGCGAGATTGGAATGCTGTAAGCTGTTGATGATGTTGGAACAATTTCAAAAACCAGATACGCTGCCCCTTCTTTGGCGTCTCCATCCAGACGGGGATACAGCGGGTGACTATGTCCAGATAGCAGACTCACCTGTGTACTTGGTCGACACACTGTCATCTTGGCGAGTTCCAGACCTGTCGTATAAAAGACTTCAACGGAGCTGTCTACGTAGACGAATTTGCCACCATTAAAATACTAATGGAAGGTAGTGGGGGAATCGGACCAGCAGTATCTACTAGGAGCATATTGACTGAAAGAGCGGGCTGCCGGACAAGGTCTGAGCACCGACAGTTGATCCCATATTTAGAGGCCCGAGGTTTCCGGAAACGCCAATCTCTATACTATGTAGTGCTAGCCATTTGCGCGCTAGTTCGCGCGTGGCTGTGATTGTGTAGTCGTTGAGTCGGCAGGTTCGGCATATATCGCACCAGGCTTGGCGAGAATGCGGGCCGACGATTCTTTTTTGGTAAACACTGTGAACATGCGACGACAAGAAATGTGGATAGAGTGCCCCCGGGCTGGTTACTGATGAATAAAGAGAACCCGGCTAAGCTCACTGACAACGCCCACTTGACCCACGGCCCTCGCTCCATGGCTAGCCGACGGTAGAAAAAGAAACGTCTCCTTGAAAGCTTCACCATTTCCATCATTCGTGGGGAGACACTCTTCAACAACCAATCTGGCAGCTTCCCTTAGATTGTCAAGGTCTGCAAGGCATGGACGATGTACCAGGATATCTACTACTCTTTGTTCATTGAGGGAACAACCATTGGTTTTCCACTCAACAGTACTCGTCGGGTACTGTTGTCTTGCAAATGTGACTAGAGTCTTGTCAAAATCTCTCCATCCGAGTGACTTGCATTGACTTCGGCTGACTTGTCCGTACCCGTTCGCGAGAGGCTGCTCATAGGCGAAGTGAGCAAGAAATTTGCTTCGCTATCGACATCGTTACTAATTTAGCTGAGACTTTGAAAGCACCAATGTTCAGAATATATTGCTCTTCGATTTTCCAGGTATTTATACTTGCTGCCAATTCAGGTCAATTTACTTGCGTGTCTCATGGCAATCATGGTCAACTTCTAGCATAATGTCATGACTGCTGAGGGAAGGAGCGCGTTAATACTCGTTGACAAGCGTAACTCGAGAAATCCCCTATTGAGGGACAAATACCTGACTCAATCAGTCTAAAACCCGAAGTCGAGAGCTGCAAATATTGCTGTTTCCACTGAGCGATGCCGGTGGGCATCCGACTCGGGGCCCGATCCTGTCGCATACCGATCCTTATTTCCAGCACGGTGCCTGGGCCGTCACCCCTGCAACACACCACTATCACAAGGAGCTGGGGTATTTTCAAGGATTAGGACCAGAAGCTATGAATTTGTAATGAGGAGGGACAGCATAGCCCGGCAGACCAAGCGCCAAATCAAGGGTCCAATCTTGACATGCGAAAACGACAGATAATCTTGGCCCAAGAGGCGCTATGACTGATCTTGTCGCATATAGCACAGTTGTCGAGTAAATACACAAATGGGATAACTTCGAGCCTTTAGGGTATGCAGGGAGGCCGAGAAAAATACGGCCCGCTCATTTCGTTGTGTTGTCTTGAACCTGCAATGCCTCGAGGCGCATAAGAACAACGGGGAAGTGGTGGACAGAGAAACTCGATTATGGGAAGCATCTTTTTCATCCTTGGAACGAGAAAACAGCGGGGCTGGATACAGATGACTTACGGCATCGAGACGATAATGGATAACGATGATTATCTCCATCGGGGATCCACTCGGGCCATTGACTTTCCCTTCACTGCAGGCTTATGAGGACATCTCCTGGCCTTGGCCGCCGTCTTATGCAAGGCACCATGAACGCATGTCACTTCGTTGGCATTGTGGGGTCCGCGGGAACTCCATGCATGAGTTCGAATTCGGACCTCTATTTCCAACCCGCATATGCCGAGCCGATTTTGGAGTTGGCGAGAGATGGAGACTAGGTATTGGGCGGTGCTGAACCGAGGACGCGTCGCGACCGAAAGCTGTTTCTCTCGAAGGAAGCGATGCTCGGGTTTTTAGGAGCAATGTGGTTGGCATGTGATCGTGAGCGACAATTTTCTAGCGTTGATCAACAGAATGCGTTCGGATTCGTATGGGGCGCTGCCTGCGTGTGGTGCATGTTCACCGCCGCGGACCGAATTAGCGGTATCCCATAGATAGAGTCATCGTCATAGCCACTCGCGCTGTGCGTCGTTATCTCACCGCGTTGACGCTTGCACTGTTGGCATCTATTCCGACATTCTCTATGTGGTTCCCATTGCGGCATATAGTCGTGGTTCTTGGGGAGTGGAGCGAGGGTGATCATCTGTGAATCCAAATACGAGTGCGAGAGCGACCCTGATCTGCGATAGAAGTGGGGCGGAGCTGGTGGTATAATCCAGTCATTATGCTTGACCCCAATTGGGGACCCTAAGATCTAGACCCGAAAACGACTATTGTGAGCGACTAAAGTCGTGCGGATGAAACAACACAAATCGAACGGGGTTAACTAGTCCGCAGCTAGGAGCACAGTTCATCGACGGCAACAGTACGAGTACGATACTACATCTCCGTTGCAGGAACAAACATATTATGGGCTACATCAGGAACAAGACACTACTTGACCCTCGGCCTCGAAAGGCTTAGCTGGATATTCCACGAAATACGTATTGGCGAGCACTTCAGCCTTGCTGCCCTCGCGTACCCTGGAAACCGAGCGAACTAGTGGCCAATATGCACGTCACCTGGAATATCAAAATAGTAATGGATGCAGAGTGACGAGGGTTGAATCCTCATTGTGATCAGCGGTAATATATAATGCTGAGTGCTGCTACGTGAAGTCGTCTGCCATCACCTTACCCACCACATCCACAGGTCTTCCAACATCATTCGTTCCATCATGAGTGTGTTTCGCGCCCTCTTTCTTTCTGCGTCCGCCGCATGTATTGTAGCAGCAAACGCGCCACAGCTTTCGGATCCCTCTCAAACATGCGCGCTTCTGAAGCAAGCCCACCCGAATACTACGTTGCTGCCCGAAGACGCGGGGTACAAAGCCGAAAATGAAGGTATACACATCCAAGGGAAAACCCGAAGAATTCACAATGCTGTCTGTCCATCAGCTTATCGTGCTTAGGATCATGGTCGTCCGCTGCTTGGCTTAGTCCTGCCTGCGTTGTTACGCCAGCGTGTGCAACCGAACTCTCCTCGATCATCAAAACTCTTGTGAAGACATCCACCCGCTTCTCCATGCGCGGAGGTGGTCACATGCCCATCGCGGATGCTGCAAACATCAATTCTACCGGCGTTCTTATCTCCAGTAGCAACCTCAAGACGCTTCAACTATCTGAAGACAAGGAGACTATGTCCATAGGTCCTGGCCCGCGTTGGGGAGATGTTTTCGAGTACATGGATGGCTCAAACTTGACCATCGTTGGAGGACGTCTAGCACCCGTCGGCGTTCCAGGTCTATTGCTTGGAGGAGGCATAAGCTACTACAGCTACAACCTGGGTCTCGGAGCCTCAAATGGGAAGATCAAGGCTTATGAGGTATGACCTTCTCGCACTTCTGTGCAATATAAATTAACCCCAAGTACAGGCGGTCCTCGCAAACGGTACAATCGTCACCGTTACAGCCGACAACGAATATTCTGATCTCCACTGGGCCCTTGCTGGTGGTGGAAACTCTTTCGCCTTGATCACGCGCTTCGATCTCCAGACCTTCTATGCACCGACACCTCTCGTAGCGAACGCGGTGTACGGCGATACCAACGAGACTCGTGATGCGTACATCGACGCCCTCGTCAATTTCGCCAACAACGGTGACCAAGATACCGGCGCTGCTGTCACACCCGTTGCCCGCTGGGGCCCCAACTACACGGCCCCTTCTTACGAATCAACTCTCTTCTTCAATGGCACGACTGCGCCGACCTCCGGTCCCTTCGCCGAATTTTACTCCGGGACTACGTTGAAGGCAATCAATGACTCCTCAACCCTCCAGCCAACAACCCTCGCCCAGATCTCCAAAGCTATGCGGCCAGCCTTCGCGCCCGGTGGCGCGGGATACGGCTTCAGGCAAAAGTTCCGCGTTGTCCCGATCAAGGCAACCACGGAGGCGGCCAGGATCGTGCACGACAACTTCTTCAACTCGCTCGCCGCCAACGGCCTCGCGAACCGCGCCCCAGGCTTCTTCACCGGCCTCGCGTTCAACGCCGTCACCCCCACGATGGCGCGTCAGTCGGCCGGCATGCCCCAGAATGTTCCACAGGAGCCTGCATTTTGGGTCGAGCAGTCGGTGTCTTGGTCTGATGCTGCCAACGACGCCGAGATCGAGGAGTGGCTGGTCAGCGCGGACGCTGCCATGGACGAGGCGTTGCAGAAGATAAATGGCACGAGTCAGTATTTGTACCTCAACGACGCGGACGCTGGGCAGGCGGTCTTTGAGAGCTATGGCAAGGAGAGCGTGGACAGGCTCAAGGAGATCAGGGAGAAGTATGACCCCAACAAGGTCTACACTGAACTGATGCCTGGAGGCTTCAAGGTCGATGCTGTTGAGGACATGGAATGATTTCATTGCTACCAGGCCAGATTACTGTACATTGCTCTTTGCCTACGCAAATATTCGATTCTACTTCAAGGGACTTCGAACCTCCCTTATTTTTACACCTCTTTTTCCTTCAGAAGATAGGCATTACATATTTTATGTATAAAATCGAGCACGATTTCGGATCATTGCCCTCCTACATATCCCTCTCCCGACGATTTCCCTCCCTCAAGTCTTCTGGTTTCCCTATCCTTACTTGGCAAGATTAAGTAAACTAGAAGAGGCAAAGAGGGAAAAAATACAAATAACTAGAGCCTTTAAGTCAAAGGGCCTTCACTAAGCTGACATAGTACTCCCCCCCAAAAAGCCTGTGTCATGGATCTGTACCGCCTCGCCGTTACTGAAAAGAATCGATACTAGTCATGACATTAAAACCCTGCTCCTCAAAGTCTTTGAAGTAGTTGAAATAGGCTCTCCAGAGTTTAGCCCCACATTAAGAGGCTGCAAACTCAAAGCGGAACTCTATATGTAGCATTACATCACCGATTCCGAGTCCAACGTGTAGTGATTCCGACTGCACAAGAGATCCAAAATGTACACACAATTGCAATTAGCCTTGGTTATTTGGCCTGGCAGGATTACTGATTCTGGAATGACTGCAGACAAAATTGAGTAATAACTTAGAAAGTCCTTAAAGATCATATATCTGTAAGCTATCATTCTATCGTATCTCGATCACGGGTTCAGGGCTACGACTCGCAAACTCTAAAAAGCTCGGAACATTCCGCTGCTGCCGTCAGGTCTGGTACTATTGTATCATTGTTAATATATCACTCTAAGTCAAACATGTGTTGATGCACATGTACAGTCTTCCCATACAGCTAAGAGATGTAATTTATTAAGCACGCCTGCCTGAATACGCCTACCTCACGTAGGATATCGAGTATGGATTTTGCAAGCCAATCGATCTCTTGGCGTAATGAACGATTCTTGTGAGAGTCGGTCAAGAGATGGTTATCCACATATTTCAGAAGGATACTTGCCGTTTCAGGCGGCTGTTGAAAATTATCCATGAGAGGCCGAAGGTGTGGCATACGGTCTTGGTGGCGTTTCAGAATGTGCGCTCCACTTCGAATGTGGTCATGCAGCAAATTTCTCAGTCAGAAGTGGCCGGAGCGTAACTGCCTGGCCAGAAACACAATGGTATTAGAAGTGCAGCGGTTGAGCCCCATTGAAGATGTGATACCAAGTTTTGCGAGCTTTGTTTCTGATTGTCGCATGTCTTCGAGGCAGTAGCTATCCGCTGCCAACTGTGGAGAAACAGAGATAGCAGGGGTTACCCAGACTCCCTGCAGAGTCCCCCAAGTCCCCCAAGTTCCCCCATCCATGCGTCGATTCTCAGGTCCACATGCTACCTCTGCCTACCGCCGCTGTAACAGTAAAATGCATCCTCCTCAACAAGCATACTACTACTCGGGCACCATAAATCATTCCAGGGTCTGTGATTCGACACTTGATGGATACGAGCTCATGACCTCAGGCCCGCCGGTATTGGTCAATTTGAGAGGAGTCCTTCCTCCCCAGGCCCATGAATTGTGTCAGGTGAGTCCAGCTTTTCACTCACCGGACTCACTCTGAAACGACCGCCTGCATGCGCGCACTCAACAGAAAAATTGAGGCTCTGCGGAGCGGAGGAACCTTGGGCCAGCGAAGATGCTGCCGTGACTGGATGGCGAAATACGAGATCCACATCAAACATCAAAATTGCCCAATGTCGAGCGAGCCACGAACGCGCCAACAAGCAGTGGGCGGGCGAGTGACGTCTTCGCAGGTCTGTTCACCCGGTCACACCGCCTGCTCCTTGCATGTGCTGCTGACTGACTGACTGACTGACTGACTGGCAGGCTGGGCTGGCAGGCTGGCAACTCGGCTGCGCATTGATCGGGACCGATCGACAAAACAACGGCAGGCCGGGGCGCAGCCAAGTCCACAGTAGATGCAGCAGAAATGTACCGCAGCATCTACTGTGAAATTGGCTGCCAGCCTGACACCCTTCTAGCGTGCTTCTCGAAGGCGATCGGCGGCCGATCCCTATTGTCATGGTGCGCTGGGATCAGACCAACTCATCCTTGCCCGCTTCCTTCCTTCGCCCAGGCTTTGAAGGGAGAGACACCGCGCCAGCCTGCCCGTGCCTGAGGATGCTGACCGCCAACAAAGACGGCAGCGAACCGCGGGTGCGTCAATTATTTGACTCCTTGTAAGGATGCTCGCCTCCTCCACGGCAATCATTCCTCGATCGTGCTTGCCCCCGCTCCCCAAGGCTGATCCTGCCTCCGCCCCCAAGTTTGGCAGTATGCATTAGTTTCGTGAATGTGATTTCCCTCAACGGACAGGGTTGTTTTGATCGTGGATGCTGATGCTTCTTGCCGCGTTGGACTGCTGAGGATCATTACGCGGCCAGTACTGCAACTTACCGCAAGACACCGCTCAACCAAGGTCCTCATCCGACACGTTTGTGGAGCAGTACATGCTCATTCCAGCCTGCCAGGCCTGCCCGAGAGACCAACAATGACCATTGCGGACTTTTAATCCGAAAGGTTCTACTTGATGAAAAATTGCGTGTCAGCATGGCTTGTACGGCGGGACTTCATGTGCTGGTTCCACTGTGGCATAGACATGCTAGTGAAAGCAGCCACGTACCGTTCCGAACCGTATCTGACCGTGAGGTGCCGTGTAGTGTACGTATCCCATGCCGCTCAGCAGTTTAAGCTCCCTTGGACCCGCTCTTTAACCTGCCTGCCTGCCCCTGTCCCTGTTCCTGCCCCTGCCCTACCCGCTCTTCGCCGCAGGCTCCAGCGGTTTGCATAATGGACGCTACTGTCTTCTTCCCTTGCCGGCTTTGTTCTTTGTTTCAACAGCAGTCCAAATCCACCTCAGTCGCCAATTGCCCCCCGTAAGCCACGGAATTTGCCATGTCCCCACGCAGTAAACAGGTATCGTCGCCTTCGCCTGCGTGCCGCATGCAACTGACGTGCATCTCTCTACCGTAGTGGTCCACCATGCCAGAACCCTGCGAGAGCGCCATCCATCATCCAGCATCCAATGCCCGGAGCAGGCCCGAACAACGGGAACTGTCGCACGGCTGAAGCGCTTATTGTCTTGCTTTTCGCACCAGCCCCCGTCCTCCCATCTTCCCTGCCCTACCCTGCCCTGCCCTGCCTTGTCATGGTCGAGTGTGACAACGTCAGGTCCAGGGGAGGCCCTTCTCGAGATCGGTGGGACAGAACTGACAACTTCCAGCATGCCTGCATCGAGGACGACAGTCGGCCAACCAAACCCGCTGTTTGGTAGCCCTACGACCGGAGCTTTCCTGTAGGGTTGCATCCAACAAGCTATCGCAATGGTTTGGATGCGACAACGCACCATCCAGTCCCAGCTCGTTCCAACCCCTCCACCAGACAATTGCGCGCTCGCCCACGCGCTCAAGTGCGGGGGATGGGGAACGGCTCAGCCCAGTCTGCTCCCCCCAGAGCGAAATTTTCTTCTCTAGATCATCGGGACCAGAGGTGAAATTGCACCGGCTCTTGCAGGGTCCGAGGTGAGGCGGGCGAGGGCGCGGGTCGCTGCTTGTGTCGAGTCCAGGACTGGCCTAGGTCTGACTCCTCATCCGTGACGAGTCTAGGACAAATGTCCCGTCACGCTCCTCCGTCAACCCAGAGCTCCGAAATCTACCGCCGTTAGCAAGGATCGATGGATCAAGCCCGCCCGAAGCAAGTTTGTTCTTGAAATCGCCCGTCTCTTTTGCCAACGTCGCGCATGGGCGCAATGTACAGACCTGGCCACCGAAATGGGTCTCATACTTACGTACCGCAGTACGCACGAGGGCTAGCCAACGTGTTCGCTGGCCGTTCTAACTCAGCCACCACGCGACCTCTACTCTGCCATCTTCTTCCCCGATGGCGGCGACAAACAGGCCAAATCCCTGCATTCTCCTCCGTTGGTCACTTATTTTCTTCACCGGTATCACAAGTTGACAGGATGGTAGCCGTACATGAAGCAATAACCTTTACGAGTGGACAGGGTCAAGACTGGGCCCACACGCCTGGCATAGGAGCCCAAAACCACAGCCTACTACAGACTTCTTCCACACCCCTGGTAGTTACACTACCTCGCTTTCTCAAAGGAGCCCATCGAGGATAGGTACCAGCTAGGTCTGGGCAGTGCCGTGCGACCTCCCCCCACACCTTGGACTGCCTCCTTGTCCCAAGAGATGGGTAAGCTCCTCAAGTGCTGTCCGGGCCGACGACTCAAATATGTCGCGTCACCCACCCTCTTCTCCCTGCCATCCCACCTGTCTGGCTTCCCTTCCAAAGCTTCCCGCTCACACTTTACAACACTGACAACGCGAAAATTGGGATCTGGACGTGGGTGGCTGTTGTGTCTTTTCGTTCTTGTTCCTTCCTTCACACTTCCTTACTTATCAACTATAACGATTACGTGAAGCCTACCTGGCGTTCAACACTGTCAGGCACTCCCAATCTGATATACCAGAGTCCTTCCTTGACTCACCACTTACCTGCCACGTCTGCGACGCTTGGCTCGACTGACCTGGGGCCCTCGAATTCCTCACAGTCCTTACTGGGTGGTTTGTAAACCCACAGATTCTAGTTAGTTCCCAGTTCCTCGTGCTGCCGACAGAGCGGCCGGGTACTGACATTGAGCAGCCACACTGGTCAACAACCTTTTGCCCATCAAGTTCACGTAACCACTCCGACTGACCCACGCGAGATGGCCCCGAAACTTAGCAACATAGACCACACCGAAGAGGAACAAGACGATTATTGGGTTGTGGTTCAGGAAGGAATGTACTCCGAAAAGAGGAGGCCGCAACTCAAGGAATGCAACATCTCGCCAGCTCAGAAGCCTGCTAGCATCATTGGTGATGATGCCCTTTCTGACTTGGCTTGCAAGCCGTCGCACACCAATTGCTGTCCCCACGCCTTGGGCGTTGGGTTACACGGCGTCAACACCTCAGATAAAAACCCCACTATCAATCCAAAGATGGAGTCCGCCGATTCGACGGCGACCGATCTGACATTCGGCGCTCCTGAAGACGTCAGCAGCGACCCGCAACCTCACACACCCGACGAAGACAGCCCACCTCAACCCCTCACCCAGGCCAATCTCGGTCCAGACAACACTCCCAGACTGATCCATGACATTCAAGCATGGATCAATGGCGATCTCGGCTGGTTGCGTATTGCGGTGGGCTGCGATCAAATTAGTATCCTACCATTTGAGAAGAGCACCACTTGCCGCAGCAGCGACGGCAGCCTCGACTTCGTCTTCATTCCGGCGCAATCTTCGAGCTTTGGGCGTGATGCACAGGCGATAGGGACTGTGTTTGAGCACCTGCCCTACGTCACCACCTACAGCTCCCAAATGGAGCTTGACGAAGCTTGAGACTTCCTGGGAAAAGTTCTCAAAACCGATGTACCGCTCTGCACTGTGTGTACTGCACAGCTTCCGTTTCCACGTGCCAGCGCCCTGACAGTCCCATTTATCGCCGTGTCGCACGCCACGGCGGATTTGCCCCCCCCCCCCGCCTTCCGATCTAGTTTTCTCTTTTCATTTATCTTCCTCTCTCAGCATGTCTTCGCGTCTTTCCGTCCCATTACTGGTCTGTACACATATATTAAGAGGATTGCTGTCTTCAAAGACATTCTGGTGGGGTGGCCTAGTGGGCTGGGCTAAGCATCAGAAAATCGGTGCCTTTACGGTTGCCCAGCATTGGTGCGGCATGTGCTCATTGATGGATCGGATGTTCTCTTGGCTTTTAAGGTTTTTGGTCGATTGATTATAGCTTTGATTCCCCATTGTGTCGCATGAGGGTATGAGTCCTTCGCCAACCCTTTCCAACAACAGATTAATCAGGTAAAATTACAGTGTGCGTTGAGCTTAATGATTTGAAGAGTAAGTCTTGATGAGGGGAAAAGTAAAGGGGCCATGAGACTCTAAAAGAGTTAGGATATGTTGAATCAGTTCTACAGCCGTTTTACACAGTTCGAATGCATATGAAGGCAGGGTTCTCGGTAGCAGAACAGTTTGGAAGAACACTGAATGGACATGAGCCATCGGCAGTTGGCATCTGACAAGTGCTGGTATTGCTTGCCACGCACCATGACTATAGTATCTGTCACTATGAAAGAGATCTCTTCACAAGCTTGCTTCTTTCAACCCGCACCGAATGACAAGCTACGAACTTATATGCCCATATCCCCCTTACTACCGTCCTTACTTCTTTCCCTCCACTGCGATATGAGCCTGAATACTCTTCGCAAGCTGATTGATCCACTGACATGAATCTTCCCCAATGAAGACCTTCAATTGAAAGTCGATAAAGTGAAGTAGGACCTCTGCATTGATCAACTGTCGTGGCTGAGATAGCACCTCATGCGCAGCATCACCATCTCCATTGACCTTGCTGCCGTTCCCACTGCCGCGCGCGGTCTGGGCATCATCAGCCTCGACTCCCGGTTCATCACCACGGCGCCACGGCGCAAACGAATCCGGCACAGGCAAAGACGTGAAGGAACCATTATCTATCCATGGGCTCTGTGCGCCGCTGCCGCCGTCCCCAGCTTTGCCCAGTAGCTGTAACATCTCACGCCAGTCTGAGTGACGAATTGCTGGGCGTCTGAGTGTAGGTTTGGGCCATCGAAAACACTCCTCTACAGGAACGGGCATGATGAGATACTAGAACATGCAAGATCAGCCACTCAAGAACAGAGGAAGGATATGAACACTTTCAAACAGGCGAAAAGAGTGTTTGGGATCAACTTACATCCGGGAGGGATTTGGTATTCTCCCAGTCAAGAATCGCAGTGAGCTCAAATTCTTCTTCTCCCTGCCCGTCGCTGTTGCTGTTGTTGTTTCCGTTGATGATGTTATGATCAAGTTGGGCTTTGAGTCGCCTCGAGACAAGAACATTCGACACGTGGAGGTCCGGGTGGGATATGAATGTCTGTATTCGCTCCTGTTGTCCTGGAGTGAGCTGAGTCACGAGCCACGGCAGTATTATATGACGAAGCTTAGATACTTGGTCGTGGATCATCTCTGAATCGGCCTTTGTGTACCAGTTTCGTAGGCGTGTGTATGTATCGACAGGGACGCTGTCGGGGTCAGTGCCAGTCGTTGCGTAAGACATGTTGGTGACAGTATTGTCAGCAAGACTCAGGCTCTCATCCTTAGACTCTCGCAACAATATGGCAAGCTGTGCATTCAGATACTCCCCTGCGGTGCGGAAGGGCCCACGGGATATGGGAAAGTCTGGGTCGTCTCCATTATCACCATGATACAGGAGCCTCCGGCCCTTGATGAAGATTTTATCACAGACAGGGCCCAGGACGAATTCGTGCTTCTCAAAATCCCAGCATAAGCTGCCAATGCCATCAAAGCCAGCTGCTTGTGAATGACCTTGACCATCAGGCCGGGCCCCTGATCGCAGCAAGTTGAGCGAGCCCGCCACCTGACGTCCGAGCCTCACCCAGGCTTCGGACTTGTCCAGCTCCCCCAGGGCAAAATCAGGCACCACGCCACGTGCTATGAGGGCGTCGCAGGCCTCCTCCGCGGTTTCTTCGAGGTCGCAGGCGGCGCCAGAAATCTTCTGGACGAGCTGCCATTCGAGGCCGAGGCAGTTGGCGGCGGAGGAGTCGTAGGCGTAGATCCTGGGCACAGGGATCCCGCGGACCCGCGCGAAATGGACTGTAGCTACTTCGCTCTCCGTCTTGAAGTACGGGTCTAGAGGCTTGGCGAGCCGCAGGAGGACCTCTGTGGGTATGTGAGAGTGATCGGCATTTTCTTCGTCGTTGCTGATGCCGCTGCCGTGATAGAGCAAAGAGGACTTGCAGGAGAAGAAAGATTCATTGGAGCTGCTGCTATTCGGAGGCTGTTCAGGCGTATTTTGAGGCGAGGATGATGACAAGCCTGGGGGCGATGGTGAGCGTGGCTCGATCAACTCGACATCCGAATTCGTGCGAGAATGGGGCTCCGCAGCGTGTTCCTGCTGTTTTGGCAGATGGCATCGACAGTGAAGTGTGAAAAGCTGATTGTAAGATCCTCTTGAGAAGAATGAGATCTGTGCAGCTGCTCCCTGATCGCCACCATCATCGGTCCTTGTCATCAGGAAACACCTGGGTAGAACGTTGCGGAGCACCATCTCATCGACAAGGCAGCGGGCGTCGTCATGCGTGGGTTTCTTGACCCAACTTGACCTCCAAAAGCCAGGTCGACTATCATAATCCTTGTCTGGATTCCACATCATCCATCGTCGTGACTCCTTGAACGCCTCAACTGGTGAACGTGGACCTGGGTGTTTTGGATAACCAGGCGGCGTGATACGGATGGGGAACTGGGAGGAAGAAGAGTCTGATGACTGAGGTTGGAGTAGTTGACATTCAATCGAGTGTTGCTGCATGGCTTGGCCGTCTTGTATAGGAGGCGGAGGATGAGAAAGGGAAGTAGACATTGTTGCTTGAGTTTGTAGGGGCGTTTGTCTCGTTGATACCGTCTTCCTGTTGATTTCGGTTGGAACAAGATCTGGATCAGAAGCCGTAGATAGGTCAGGCTTAATTCTTTTCTTGAAATATGGGCTTGAATCTCTGGCTCACTACATATTCACCCAATTTTCACTTCAGTTTGCCTTGCTTTATGGTCCGCCATTTGATAGCGTTACAGTATTCACTAGTAAACAACAAGTGAATAGTAAATTGACTTGAATTGAATGGTGCGATTCTATGAGCCAGGGTGTAGCTTTGGCTACAGACAAATTTACCGATAGCTTACTTAATTTACTCTGTTCTATAAGTTTATGTGTTTGAATTGAGACTGTGCCGTTTTCGAACTAATTGTACACGTTACAGTAACTAGTTCGAACTTGCTCCCACACCAGACGTTTTCCAAACGCTTCACATACTACCAGTACAGCCTCCTGCAGGGCAGCACGTTATTGACAGACGTCAATGTGAGGCAAAGAAAGGAGACCGAGAACGGAACAATGGAAAAAGACGCATAATTGGCTTTGGTGAGTGTGGAAATCAGCAAGCCTGTACCTGAATGCCAGGATCGACGATAGTATCTGTTTAGCTTTGCGCTTCAAATCTCGATTGTTCTGCTAGCTTTCTCGAATTCACTGCCAGTGGGATGGGGTGAAGTTCTCCCCAACTTTCTCCAAACCAGTACCCCTGACTCTTTCCAGGACATCCCTATCATCGTCCGGTCTTTGACATGCGAAGACAAAGACTCTCGGATGGCGAAGCTTGGTTTAGCTTCGGCTGCAGGGAAGCCAGTGTCCATCGGGTGAAAGCCAAGTCTGACCCATGCTCATGAACGCTGTTCGCCCCAGAGCCTTCCCTGTCCACCCCGCAGATCATCTCCGCGATGTCGTCTTCCACTGCCCCACGATCCCATTTTAGCTTCTCAGGGGTACGTCGACATTTGCTCTGAGCAGCAATTTAGCCTAATGTCACATGCGAGATGACCCTTTGTTTCCATAATGCCGGGACGAGGTCATTTAAGTTTCGTCATTCTGCGTTGTACTCACGGGCTGCGGCAAGAATATAAACTCGACCGGAGCCCCGGGGTTCTCCTCTAACGCCCACAGCAATGTCGTGCGCATTCTTCCTGATTGATATTCATCCGAGGCGTTGCTGTGTTGCAGTCTAGATCCCCAATGGCTGGATATGTGTTCAAGGTGGCCCTCGCGGCCCTCCTGTTGTTCCAATCATGGACAGCAGCATATGTCAAGAGGCAGAAAGAGAACCAGTGGGTCGACATCTGGGGGACTATGCCCCAGCTTGTTGAGCCAGCCAATCTCCCACCCACGCCATATGCAAGTTGCCCCCAAATGCTTCTTAGACGCTGTGCCCGTGGATTCCGGACCTGGCGAGAGCTGACCGTTTCCAATAGAACGCTACCGGCGTGGTTTTCCAAAATGCCACGATCCGCCAGACAATCTTTGTCACACAGTCGGCCCCCAAAATCCGTCTCGTCATCTCGAACGCTTTTGGCGGCTCAGACCTGCCCATCACAGCAGCCACCATCGCGGTGCCCCTGAACGGCTCGGCCGGGACCTCTGCCATTAAGCCAGAGTCCCTGGTACCGCTCACGTTCTCCGGCGGCCTGCCAAATTTCACCATTCCCAACGGCGCACGCGTGATCTCAGACCCCATCGACTATCCAGTAACCTCACAGCAGATTTTGACCATCTCGCTGTACCTGTCAACAGGACAGACTACCAACAGCATCACGGGCCACCCAGGCAGCCGGACGACATCCTTCTACGCGCCGGGCAACCAGACTGGCGCAGGGGACCTGTCGACCGACTCAGCGACCCAGAGCAGCGCACACTGGTACTTCATCTCGGCGGTGGAGGCGTACGTGCCGACGTCGACGAGCTCGGGGGCGCTCGCGATCGTGGGCGACAGCATCACGGACGGCCGCGGCAGCACGACGGACCGCAACGACCGGTGGCCGGACAACCTGGTGCGGCGGCTGCAGGCGGGCAACGCGACGGCGCTGCAGCGGGGGCTGGCGGTCGTCAACGAGGCGGCGGGCGGCAACCGCGTGCTGAACGACGGGCTGGGGCCCAACGCGCTGGGGCGCATCGACAGGGACGTGCTCGCGCAGTCGGGCGTGCGCTACGTGCTGCTGTTCGAGGGCGTCAACGACATCGGCACCGCGGCCGCGACATCCGCTGCGCAGGCGGCCATCGGCGACAGGCTCCTCGCGGCGTACGCGCAGGTCATCGGCCTGGCGCACGCCAAGGGCTTGCCTGTCTTCGGGGCGACCATCACACCGTTCAGTGGGAACAGCTCCGTGCAGGCGTACAGCGACCCGACGAGGGAGGTGACGAGGCAGAGGGTGAATGAGTGGATCAGGACCTCGGGCCGGTTCGACGGGGTGGTGGACTTTGACGCCGCTGTGAGGGACCCTGCGAACGAGACGATGCTGAACCCGTTGTATGACAGTGGGGACTATCTGCACCTGAACCCGGCTGGGTACGTGGTCATGGCCCAGGCGGTGGATCTGAGCCTATTCGAGAAGTTCAAGGACGGTGTTGATGAGTAAAATGAGAACTTGTGTGTAAATATAGAGCAGGGGGGGAGGATAGTGAGAAGAGAAAAGACAATCAATCGGTGAACCGGGTCAGAACCTGATCCGGTCAGCATCAGGCTTTCTTATAACAGAGCCCAAGCATCAAACCAGATTTACTCGAATCAAGGAAGTTGAGGCTGCACAGGTGGATCCTCAGCTGCAGGTAGGCTTTGTCTGTCTCGAAGTAATTGGGTGTCGATACGACATGCTTGCCTAGCCTGCCACCGAGTTGCCCAATGATCTGAGCAAGGAAGGATGAGAATGCATCACGGAGGAAGATGGCTAGCCAGAGCCCCTAGCTGATGATTACTTTTTGTCTTATTGGTATTCTTGGCTTAGCCCTCTCGCAAACGCCACGCCCATGCATGCATACACCATGTTCTCAGCCAGCAAGCGCCCCCTCTTTCCTGTTTGCATGTTTCCCTGCCTGGTCTCCTCTCGCTGTTCGTCGCCATATGTCTATATCCAGAGTCTAGCAGTCCCATCGCTTCCAGCCGAGAAGAGCCAAGGATGGCTCGGATGCCAGTCAACATCCATCACACCTAGCGAACTGACGACCTTGTGGCCACTCAGCATCTTGAGCGGCACAATGGTCGCGTTCTCCATCAGATCCGTGACAACCTTTCCGTGGAAAATCTGAAGCGTGCCATCGTCCGATGCATCGGCGAAAAGAGGCAGGTCCCTGTGGTACTTCACCGCGCGGATGGCCTTGGGATGAAAGCGCATGGTCTTGTGCGGCCGTGTCGACAGCTCCAGGTCGTGCCAGAGTAGCCTGCGGTCATAAGATCCCACAATCAAGTTGTCGCCGCCTGAGTGAACGTCGAACGAGGAAATCCACCGTGCGCCGGGCTGGATGGTTTTGACGAGCTCAAGCTTCTGCAGGTCGTAGCAGCGGATCATGCGCTGTGTAGCGACAAAGAAAAGGGGCCGTGAAGGATGAAAATGTGCTGCTTGTGCAAGACCTGCGAGTTTCCGGAAGGGTATCTGTGTCAGGTGCTTGGACAACGTGTGGATAGCGACCGAGCTCCTCTGCCCTGTCGGTGAGACACTGCAGAAGTGGTCGCCACGTCTGTGCCAATCTAGTCCCTTGACTGTTGACCGAACAGTAACCCTCACAAGAACGCCCTCGTCCTCAAGCCTCGAACCTGGTCGCGCCCACTTCGCGGCTGGCTCCTTTGTCTTGTCGATCGCTGGGTTGGAGGCCTTACTACTGGCGGCATAGCCAAACCCGGCATCAAGAATATTCCGGCTCGCCTGCTCAAGCGGTGGATCATTAACAGTAGGTATGATCAGATAGATGTCCTCTTCAGCAGCTGCAGCCAGGATGCATGAGTCCTTAGCAGGCCTCCATTTAACCACGTTGACAGCCTCGTCACTGCTGAGCCTGGCGCTCCAGAGCTGCCGTCCTGTCAAGATTTCCCAAACCCTCACTGTGCCGTCGTCACCACCAGTCGCAAGATATTTTCCGCTTGGGTCCACAGACAGCGTACGAACGCGGCCCTCGTGGCCTCGGAAGATTGTTTGGCACACTGTCGGGAAAGGCTTGAGATCCTCCGGCCTCGGCAACTTGGGAAGAAGCGAGTTGGGATCGATGTTGAGTTTGTTCTTTCGCACGCGAGGCGCAAGATACAGATCCAGAGATCGCTCGAAGCGCTCGTTGACGAACATGTCGTAGCCAGGAACCTTCCGCAGGGAGTCGTACTTTTGGGGCAGATACTCTTTCTCGCGATCCTCCGGGTCCTGTTCCTCCCACGCTTTTCTCTCCTCCTCTGTCGGCAGGTACTCGGGCGGTGGGTTGTAGCTGAGATCGTAGCCTGGTGGCGCGAGCTTTGGCGCAGGGAGATGCATAACATGGGGATCTCTGGGTTGTTCGTCCTTCCACAAATCAAAGTGAACTTCCTCCTCTTCTTCCTCCTCGCGCTCCTCCGGTGGCTTGTATGGCAATATCCTACCCTCTCTGATAGCACGGACCAGCTTCATGATCCTCTTCTGTTCGTTCTTGGAGGGGAGGAATCGGCGCTTTGGTTCCGGGGCGGCACTCAAGGGCATGATCTCCTCATGGCTGGTAAACCATTCGACAGTGTCCTGCAAAAGATTAGCAATGATGTTATCTTGTAGGCAAGGCCAGGTCACATACAGGGTAGGGATCGTAGCCGTCAGGAAGCTCGTTCGTCTGGATCTTCTTGATGAGCTCCAACTCGTCCCGGCTGAGGTTCAAAGGTTTTCCAGTTGCGGGATCCGTGAGGCCAGTCCACCCCTTGGGCACCTCAATGCTATCAAGGAGGGCGTCCAGAGCTTCACCGGCAGCGGGGCGCATGATCTTCTTGCCATTGATGTCGTAGCCGATGTGAGGATAGGAATCGTAGAACTTGAGGTCGATGTCGCCGATTGTGTTGATTGGCTCATTCGCATCCGTGTCGTCCGAATCGTAGACCGCATCTATCTCGTCGTAAACGTATTTCTCGTTGCCATTCGCATCAGTCTCGACTCGATAGTTCCGCAGGTCATTATCGTCTTGATTCGTGTTGGGTGGATCGAGCCCCGGTTCCTGGCCGGGCTCCAGCGGAGGTACTTTCAATGAGGTCCCATCATCGTCTGAGGGTATATCGTCGCTGTGGAGCGCATCGTCTTCATCTGGGTCCTCGACACCTTCTTCATCATCATCCTCGCCGTCGAAATCGGCATGCTTTCCCGAGTGTTCAGAGTCTGAATCGTCGTCTTCACTTGCGGACAATGCGCCTTCGAGCTGGACGTCTCCAAATCCATCTTCATCGGAACCCGCCTCTTCGGCTTGTTGTTCGGGTTCCTCCTGGGTCTCCTCCACGGGTGAAGCTGCCTTCCGCTTGAGGGGCGACGGGTCACGGTTCTTTGGTGGGCGACCTCGTCTTGCGGGAGACGCACTGCTCTTCGATGAAGACGGGTCAATTTTGGCCGAGGAAACCTTGGTCTTGGTGATCGAGGTCTTGCGGGGTGTTTCCACGGCTTCCGGGACGGGCTTTACGCCCTCTGCCGATGGGGTCTTGATCCCGGACCTCAGCCTCATATTGTTGACGTTCATTCGCAAGGTGGAAGCAAATTGCTGGGATCAACTTGAGAGTTGTTGGTCTTGATCCTCCCGCAAGAAACCTTACACTGAGGGCAACTGGGAACTTTTTTCTTTTCTGCCGGAATCTGTACCTTGGCTTGGCGGCAGGGCGGTGAGCTGATTCGGCTAGCTGGACTGCAGGGGGCCCGGCCCTCAACCTACGCAGTCCAGGTACTTACCCGCTCAATTATAAGCTGTGTATGGATCACCTCAACCACCCCTCTGACCCAACGCATCTCAACGCGAGCCGGTTCATACCCGAAGTCGATCAACTTTACGTGACCGTGACTATGCATCAGGATTCCGTTCTCGCTGCTTGGGGGATGGATTATCGTTGGCGGGTAAAGAGACTCGGTTGCTGGTAACCTTTTGCCCACCATTTGGTTGCCCGTTGCCCGGCTGCCAGATTCTCGCAGCTGCTAGTCAGCCGTTTAGGAACTGCCAATTGTATTTTTTTAACCTTCTTGAGCACCGAGGGATGGTGCAACTTCCCAGCCCATAATATCTACTTTTCCCTGGAACTCCCTCGCTTGCTCAAGTGCTCCAGGGCACAACTCAGGACGATTGTCGTTCGGGTCCCCTCTTAAGATTTGATGTCTCTGATTGTCTAGGACAGCGTTTACACGTCTTAATGGGAGCCCATACACGATTTGTGCGAAGATCTCTTCCGCGATAGGTGTGGAAATGATGTTCGTCACCGCACGGCCGAGCACTTGTTGGTGGGCATCGTCGAGAACCCGATTCATCGGGCTTTTGTGTATGAAATCTGGAAGGTGAATAGTGATATACAAGGAATCCGGCGCTTCTAACTAGTACCGGGCTACCCACTACAGTGACAACTGCCTCATCTTCGTATTGTTCCAAACATTGACAAAATGAGTTATGCGAGCAGCTTAGGGCAAGTTGAAAATTGTAAAAATGATGCTGTGCGTATTGAATGACATAGAGAAGTGGTGAACAAGAGTTGAGCGAGGAAAAGTGGGCATAAAGGCCCAGGAACTGATTTCCAAGAATTTCTTAGGACACCGGCAACTTATGCAGAGGTTCCACCAAACATTATCTTTCAACGGCTACAAATCTGTAGTGCCTCTTTCACAACATCATTTCACGTTGATTCCATCGGTTCCTGTATTTTCTCTCAACCTGCGGTTTGCAGTTACATTTGATACTCGATGGTTATCATATAATTTGGCAAAGACAGCATTATGTAGGACTTACCTGTGTAGATTCTGCAAATACTTAAGTGACCACACTTGGCTCTGATCTCAGACAATTCTTGACCATGAGATGGCGTGCAGACTGTTCTCAATTCTATGATATCTCGGATCCATGTGTTCAATGCATTGTCTGTTGCCATGGAGGCTGACGAGTTGGATTAGCTGCAAACAAGAGTCCCAAGAAGAGAAAGGCAAATCCTTCGTCTCGCCTGGAGAGGGTACGCACATGCAATTCCTGTTTGGACTGGCATTGTAATTTGTGTTCCTGGCATTGCTACATTAATCTGTCCAACAAGCCTAGACATTGTGAAAGTGTGGCAGAAGTACCATGTCATGTTTGAGTTCACACTCAAACATGTAGTCTTTTCCAGCAACTCCGACCCCTTTCACTTCTCTGCAATTCGTATTGAAGGATCCAACAAGTGGGAAAGTTTTACGTACTTTTATAGTCTGATATCCAGGGTTTGATTTCTCCCGAAAGGACGTAGACGGCAGACCTAGGTAGACAACGAGTACGTACGCATAAACGATGGTCTGACTGCGCACGGGCCACTCCGCGTCCTACACGCCAAGAGACGGGCCCCCTCGCAGCTTACATATACCGATCTGCGTGTAGCCTGGCTACCTCCAACCTTTCGATCATCAACAGCCACAATTTACAAGCACTCATGTTCGAAGACCGGTTCTTTGATTTTGTACGTACCGTGAGCTTTGTCACGGGTACTGGCTATCAGGGCCTGTACTCGACCACAAAACATGAGCGCCCTACCAAATCAACCAACCACCCATAACGGGTCACCGTCAGGAGCAGGCCCAGTTAAGCACCGAGCCTGCGATGACTGCCGTTCGTATTTTTACTATGCGCACTCTCATCCCTCAGAACCTTCCTCTGACACCTTGTAGGGACTCGTAAACTTGCTTGTACCAAGGAGCCGGACGGATGTGCCCGATGCAAAAAAGAAGGCCTTACCTGCCACTACTCGGCCCAGAAGCAGATGGGTAGACCGAGGAAGAAGCCTAAGGCGGAGAGTGCCAGTGTCAAACCGCCATCTTCGGCGTCAGATACCATCCTGGCCCAGCAGCCATCTTATGTCACCACTGCAGAGCAGCCTGCTACGGCAGTTCCGGATATGCTGATGGATATGGACCCATCGCCGTTCATAGACCCGAGCTTGGGCACGCATCCGGATGCAAGCTTCTTGGAACTACTCGGCCCAGACTTCGTCTCGACCCAGCCCTTTCATGCACAACAGTGGCAACCCAAGGCGAACCCGCTGGAACGGGATATCTGGAGCTTCGATATTAGTTTTGACAACCATTACCCACCCCCACCGCCGCCGGAAAACAGCGACACAAGTGTGCATATGCCGCCATCACTTAGCACTCCCAGCCTGTCGTCACAGGGAGCATCAACCCCTGAGAATGCTCACAGATCCACATCAGTCCCCCCAGGGAGCTGTGGTTGTCTTGCGAACCTGTATCTCGCCCTCGACGCCCTGACACATCTCCCTACGGAGGTCGAGCCGGCAATCCGGGCAGCCCGAAGCGCCACGAAGGCGGCCCATGAAAGCACCCATTGCCGGGTCTGCTGTCCGCCACTGACCGAGAGCATGACGATCACGATGTCGTCCTTCCAGAACATGATGATCCTCGGCGCCCTGTTCCCCTCCGTCGTCGACGCCTACCGCCGGATCATCGACATGATCGAGATCGAGACGGCCCGCGCCATCTGCGAGCGCCGCCAGATGCACTTCTCGCTGCCCGGCTACGGCGGCATGTGGGGACAGCTCGGCTCGGAAGACAACCTGTGCGGCGCGGCCAAGCAGTACGAGGACGTGACCATGGAGCCGGCCATGTGGAGGCTCACCATCCGCGCGCTGCTCAAGGTCGACGTCTACGGCGTCAACTGCGGCCCCGAGGGCCCCGGGAGCAAGTCCCTGCGCTTCTCGCAGATGGGCCTGAAGGACATCGTCACCCAGCTGGAGGAGCGGAGCGTGGCCCGGCACGCCGAGGTTGACGCTTTGTTAGAGGCCGGGCTGCCTGGGCCGGTAGGGCCCGTGGGCGTGCGTGCGAAGCATTCGCTTGGTGAGGAGCCACAGTGCAAGAGGATCATTAAGATAGCAAAGGACGCGATAGCCTCCTTGGACATTCCTTGAGTGTACGAATCACTTGGATGCCGATTCAAAATGACTTCGTCCGGTTAAAAGGGGTGGAAACGACTGGATTCAGCGACACGAATGGGCTTCGAGTGACACGAATGGGCTTCGAGTGACACGAATGGGCTTCGAGGCCCTGGATGTTGCGCAGCTATCTGCCAAGGTCGATGTTGCCAGCCACGTTGACTCGAGTGGCCGAAGTGTCCGACTCAAAGTGCTTGGTGGGCACAGTCGTTGAGCCAAACGCCCGGCCAGCCGCGGAAGGGGACCGCAGGCACGGCCGTGCGGATAAGAGAAGCACTACGATACTGGTAGATCTTGAGAAACCAAAGCCAGCAGGTCGTTCAGAGTTCCAATCCCTGGGTAATGCACGGCTGGAGGACGGCAGCGGTTCTCTTACCAGGCTCTGCTCAGGCCCTGCCTGTCGCTTGCGGCGATGGTCGCTGTCAGCATCAAGGGTCATCGAGCCCGGTGTCACGGAGGCGCAGAAGAGACCAACGGCATGGCTGAAGGAGAGGGCCAGGTCTTGTCTCGTGGAGAAAGGGCAATGTTTGGCAAGAAGATGAGTGTCGATATATGTACGCACACAGCTACATAGCGCTTATGTATATAATGACTAACAACCGAGGTGGCAGAGATAGTATGTCACCGAGTACGCGGTCCCTTAGACCCAATATATACGAATCAAGCATCTCAAGTCATACTAGCTCTTGTTGACTCAGTGGCCTTCTTTTACATCGGTCTTCCGTGAGAACGACCGCAGCCGCCCCTGGGAATCGTCTGCGCAGTCACAATGTAAACTTGTAGGGCTTGCTCGGCGGGAGTTGCTATGGCTCACCTCCTTCCCAACTGGCGCACACGAAGCGGAGCCTCGAGCAATGAACATTGGTTGGCGCAGCACTGTTGACGGGCGCCGCGAGATGAAGGGTGTCGGCCACTCTTCAACGCAACAGCGACGACCTCCTGCCTTGAAGCGTTGATTGGATCTTGGCAATTATGCGCGGAAATATTGATTTTGCCCACTCAACCGTAAAACGCCTTTCGGGATGGTTTTCCACAACTTTGCCCTGCTCCAAGTACCCGACCGCTACACACTGGATCAACCCGCAAGATCCCAGTATCCCGCACTATTTATCCATTTCTCTAATTTCGCTGGCACTTCCGTCCCAGCTGAACCTCCGAAGCCTCAAAAGGCTTAGTACACCTTCTTCTTTTCATCAATGCTGAATTGGCCTGGTCCACTGTTGACCAGAAGCAAGAGACCGCCGACAATGGAGAGAATCTGGAAGAAGTCGTACTTGGCGAAGTCCTTGTGGGGGTGGTGCTCATGAAGCTGTGTGATCGCTCAGTCAGTATCTTGGTATCTCGTGAAAATAACGTCATCTCGAGGGTGAAGCAACTTACAGTCCAGAAGTTGTTCACCAAGACGTTGAACACACTCAGAATGAACACCAGCAGTGTGGCGCTCCACTTCGCCTTGAATCCCACCACAACCATGACACATGCGACCAGGCCGATGACGGAGACAAGTACTCTCCAGATGGACCACTGTCCACTGAACACGAAGCCCACAAAGAGGAAGATGAGGAGCACGCGACCCGCGAATTGGAAGTACATCTTGCGGTCCTTCTCCTCGATCTGGGGCAGGCCAGCGAAGGCCTTGGTCTTGCGAACCCATGAGTCTGACAAGACCATCAGGAGACCACCCATGACGGACAGGTTTCGCAGGAAGAAGTTGAGGTCGAAAATCAGACCGTAGCCGAGGGCCTGTGTGACAACAACACCGATAAGACCGGCGACGGCATATTCGGAGTGGCGGCGGGCGATGACAAGTGTGGAGCAAGCGACCATTGCGAGAACGTTGACTATGAGGAAGATATGGGTGAGGCCGTTGGGGACTGCCAGAGGAGATCAGTAAGTTGTTGCCAAAAATAGGACCCCCCCCCCCAAGCCTCTACGAAGTTGGGAATGCTTACTGTGGCGATAGTCGTGTAGGTAGAGGATCTGGTCGCTCCATTGTGTTATTATGCGCAGAGCATCCTCAAGGAATGTCACGACGATGAGGAAGCGGCCGATCGCGGGCATGTAACTGTGATGTCCTGTCAGCAACGTGTTCACAGCTCACGGGCATGCAACGCCTCGGGCTGGTATTCGAGGTGCCGCGTCAGGTTGACGTACGGCTTCACTGGCTCGGCAGCGGAGTCGAGCATGTCCTCGATCTTGCTCGTCTGTTGCCTGATGGCGTCCAGAGCGTTGCCGCCCTCAGAAGGGCTGTTGTTGATGCCGCCATAGCTTGGTGCTCCCATGCCGTAGCCCCCTGCATTTCCTCGCATTGTAGCCATCTCGAAAACACCAGGATTCCTCTATTTTCTACCCCGGAATAACAGGGAGGACGATTGATTCCTCGAGGCAGGCCCGCTGGTGCGACGAATGGTTGTGGTCGTGGCACGAACCAAAACGAGAGGCGCCGTAACGGACGGGAAGAGGAGCTCGAGGGAAAAGGAAATTGAATGACGTGGGTGAACCACAGACAAGATCCAGTCTGGGCTGCGATGTTCAAGGCAGAGGGGGAAAAAAAGATGCAGGATATCAATGAAAGCAAGTAATCAGTCCGTTGAATGGACTGTACTGGACTAAACCCTGGCGGTTAGGGAGATAGAAGGACAGAGAGAGGCTGTCTCTGGTAGTGGTGTGTGGTGAGCTGTCGAGGCGGAGAAGGCAAAGTAAGTATTGAGGCCCGAGGCGAGGGTTCCTGAGAGCTGTGGATTAACGACACCTTGTCCTTTCCAATTCAAAGCCGGAGCTTAGCTTAGGATGGTGGGCCGTGGGCCGTCAGGGACCAGACCATCCATTGTGTTAGTTAGCTGGAGCGGTGGGCCCACCCGCAAAACCGCTAGCGATCTGATGTGCATTCCGTGGTACCTAGCACGCCTAGGTACTGTAGCTCCAACCCAACAAAAGGTGGGGTTTGTGGGCCATGGGAACAGTGTACCTGTGCACCTCTCTGGAGCTGTTTTCGGCCTCGAGGATCGATCCTCGGGAACATGCCGCCGACGCCAGCCGGCCAACCAGCTCCGGTGTGAAGAGGCCAGCTCGAGGTAAGCAGTTTCAACATTGTTCTACAGGCCAGACACTTCTTACTCTCGTGGACCTGCTAGCCATAGACTATCAAGGTACACATTACATTCAGCAATCCTCTGCTCTCTGATGTCTCTCTGAATGGAAACAAGACCGCATTTGTGGGGCAGGACCCTGGCGTGCCTGGCCACCTCACCCTCCGTTTCAAGTTGTCGCCCTGTAAAGTTGATCCGGGAACTGATACCGTACAGTAAGACAGGCACTAAGTAAAAACGACCATCACTCCGTCCATGCTCGATAGGGTAGTATACATTCCACCGCACTGATCAATGCTCAATGTTTCCTCTCTCTGGCCTCTATCACTGTCGCACAGCGTCCCAACGGCATCGACCGGGTGCTAATGAAGCCGCGCGAACAAACTGGTATTACAACACAATGACTGCCATCAGACAAGAGCTCGGCTGCCGATCATCCCGGTGCCACCTGACATGGACAGCTTACGAAAGGAGAATCTTGCTCCATTCGGTCGAGTCATCTTCTCACGGCACTCAACAATGACGGGTCCTCGGTACGCCTAAATATCCAGGGACGATGCGCCTGACTCGACTGCTCTTCTCATACTAAGTCTCCGAGGCCACTTGTTAGAAACGTTTGACATAGCCAGCGGCATTCTGCCATACCTGCCAATCGTACCGTTTGAGCTACGCGTGATGGATTAAAAATAAGCTACGACACACAGGCTGCGGGGTGAAAGACTTGGCAAATCTTTGTCCGGCTGGTAAGACTGTACTTTGCCGTAGACGTAGGCTGCATGAAAGATATAACGTAAGGCTGGCTTGAAAGATGGTGGCAGCCATCCGTTCCGCAGCCACGAACCTAGTTTGCGTTGAGTCTTATGTTTGGTCTGGTGGCCTAAGAGGCTCTAGTTGTTTCGGTCATTGTCTAGTCATGGCAGGTGGCCAAGCAGGGAATGCCGAGCCTTGGACATAGAACAAGTCCAAGCATAGCTCAGATTCTATAGAGATAATGAGGTGCACACAAGCTCCTCACTAATCAGCATCTCTAACAGAGGTGCAAATTCGGAGCTGCCTAATGGGCATCCTTTTAACTTGCTGTTCGGCCTACTCACCCAAAGCTACAACCCAAAATAGCTCTGCAGCTCGGAAGCAGAATAAAATCAATAGAACTTTGGCGGAAATTGACTTAGAATAATGCGCAGATAGCGACCATTCAACGTTGTGGTCTCTTTTTGTCTTCAAAGCAGACACAAGTTCCGTACGCGACAACTACATTATAGATGCTCTGACTTCTGATTAAAGAAGATGAGATTGCTAGGGCGCGTTAGGCGAACTAGCTTGTATCTCAAGCCACGGTAATATCTGGTACCCTGAAACATCCACAAGACTGCTTATAAGAAGCCAGGAAAAGACCAAGTGAAGCGGAGGAGGGATGGGAGCGGGATTCCATCAAAGCAATCCCAATTGCAAGAGCATTCGGGACACACTACAAGATCCATGTGAACATATTACAAGAGCCCTGGTCTGAATATAGGCACTTTTTACCACTCGTGGAAATGCTATCTCCTGCTGAACTTGACATCTACATATGCTGACTCGCCGTCTTCTCCCACAGAAACAGAAATGCATGCTCCCCGTCCCGATGGCAGACTTGAAAGTCCGGCTCTATGACGGTGACGATTTTTCACACTGGGAACCGTCAATCCTTCAGACACGAAAGACTCTGTCAGCCAGCCGAGCCGTCCTGAGGATCTAGCTGAAATCCAAAACCCATTGCTTGGATCGACATCCCGGCTGGGCTGCGAGTATCTGCAGTGTAGAGAACGAACCCAAGTTCGGCTATGGCCTCTTTGGCTGAGCCTCGAAGACATTTCCGTGATGCTCTGACGATCCAGATTGGCCCCTAAGCAGTTGTGTCTGGGCTTCATCAATTCGTTGGCGGTAATAGTCAGTCGTATGAACATGCCACCCATCACGCGGAACAACACGCCCATCGTTAGAGCTCTCGGGCCTGGGAGTTGGGTCATGTGCCATCCCCGCGGCCTCAAGATGCTCAGCATGATTGCGATGAGGCTAGAGTGGACAGAAGTCAGTTCCTCCGTTGCCATTTCTTTTCCAACAGTCGGAGGGAAGGGGGGACTTCTCACGCTTTCACGGACGCTGCCTACACCACTATCCCGTGCAATCAAGGGTCGAGAGTCTTCAGGTGTTTCTCGGATAGCTTGATTGTTCAACACTGCAACTTGTTCCCTGAAATATTTAGCTTCAGCAAGGCCGGCTTCGTTGAAGATGTGACCGTGCGGGTGGCGGAAATTGATGGATCGCAGATGTTTCGCCATGACCCAAGCAAGGTTTCGTGTCACTGATTTCGAGGATGAGCCCTCTGCGTGCAAGACTGCAGAGCTTCCGTCGAAGAACAGGCAAGGAAATTTGCGCTCAGAAACGCGGCGGCCATGGTCTTGGAAGTCTTCTTTCCATCCGGCAATTTCTAGGCCATTCTGCGAGGCTACCACGGCAAAGCAGGTTGGAAGCTTTTGGTTGAAGAGGTCGGTGTCATCCAAGCGGCCAACCATTCCGACCTCGCGTAAGTCTCCCCAGGGCAACACTGTTACTGGATACCAGCACTTTTCACTGGGCCAGTACGCTTGATAAAGCTCCCCTGGCACAGGCTCGATAACGCTCACCAATGGCTGAGCATCGCCGCTCTTGCACCTGGACAGTCCAGTGCGCAGATCTTCTCGGGACCAGTCAGAGTCTCCGGGAGTGACAGATTGTTGTTCTGTTCGGTCTGCGACTGAGGCACGGTGGCGAGCGCGATGGCGTCCTCTGACGACTGAATCCGGGCGATAACCTTGCTCACACGCGAGCTCATGCGCAGTATTGTTCCGCGACGCTTTCTTCGCATCACAGTCAATGACACGTATTCCCAGCTCCTCGACTGCTCGATCGCCTTTACAACGAATGGAGCTATGGTCCCTTCCAGTGAGGTGCGATGCTGCTCCACCAACGTTCAAGAAACTCATTCTGTGCCGCTTACAGCGAAAGATATACCACTTGTTCGACCTCGCCGGAAACTCATTGATCCTGTAGATCTGTTCGTGTCTCCAATCCTTGTTCTCGGCATTGACTTCTTTAAAAAGTATCGTCTTTTCTGCCTTGTGCTTCTTCGCAAGCGGCAGCTCAGAGTCAGAATCGGACACCGAGGCCTGGCTCCCGCGCCTAGTTTCTTGCGTTTCGAACAGTGTCTTCATCTTAGCTATGTTAACCTCTATTCATGGAAACGAGGACGCTAAAATCCACCACACTTACTCTATCTCTGGGGTTCAGATCCAGAGCTTCGCGGAGTATCGAGTGAACAGCAGTGATCGTGCTAGTCCCGGCGCCCGTCTGTGCTTTCTGAGTGAAATTAGACGGGGTTTCTGTATTGTCGAGATGTCGGTCACTAGTTGGCTCTTTCATGGCCTGCACTCCTTCAGCAGGAATGCTAGGTAACATAGACATTTCTGGGTGACCGCGTGTGTTTGAAGTGGGCGAGGATGTAGGGTTCGAATTCTGGTCTTGTGTACCTGGTCCAGGAACCGCGTGTCTCAGGGGACCGTTCCGTTTGTCACTATGCAGTCTCCATTCAGCAGTCGCCCTCTCTGCTTGATACCGCCCATGATGATCTCGGAAAGAGACAAAGCCTCTAGAAGCTGGCTTGGAAAGCTTGTGTTTCGAACGAATCATAGAATGGTCCGGCCTGCGATCTGTGGTTGATGATTGAACAGTATTTGACTGCGGCTTCGCAGGAGCTGACAATGTATTGGGCTGATCTGAGGAAGGAAGCATGTCTGAGCGCAGTGGAAATGCTATTTCTTCAGTACCCATCGCGCTGAAAGATTCGAATTGCCTTTCTCGTGGAGGCCTCCATCTCTGCCCGTGAGCTGCGGCAGAGGTCGCCGCTGAGGCTTCTTCCGAAGAGGCTTCTTCCGCACCAAGGTTGGCCGCTTCTGGGCTCGGTCTCATCCGCCCCTGAACGGAGTTGTCTAGGAGCTTCTGCTGTCGAATATTACATTGTCAGTAAAAAGCATAGCAAGCCATGTACTTTGACTCACCGTGTTGGAAGGACCTTGTTGACTCTGAGGCTGCCACAGCTCTTCCAGCCGCGCCCTGAGTCTCCGTGTCTCCTCTCTCTGGGCTGCGGCGTATTCCGCTGGTAGGTCATCAAGTTTCTTCCGAGTCTTTCTGATACCTTCCAGAATGCTCTTCTTGTCGACTCCATGTCCTGAGCTGCGCAGCCCATGGTCATTCTCTGATTTGATGCTGTGGAACTCGCTCACCCATCTGTCTCCTTCAGCAAATAGCTCTCCGCTGTCCGGAGATTGTGTGTTTTGCATCCAGGGGCGGTGGAGAAGGTCTCTCAGCCCTGTGGTAGCTCTCCGCTCTTCCTGTTCCATCTCACTTAGACATTTCCTCAGCTGGTGCAGCTCGTCCTGAAGATCCAGCGTCTCTATCCGAAACTTCTGCTGCTGCTCGACACACCATTCCTCAAAATCTGCCTTGATGCGTTTGTAAACTCCAGTTCTCCTCTCACACATGCCTTCAAGTTCTTCAGCTCCCACGGGGCATTCGCCTTTGGCATTCGCCATGACCACGTCAGAGCTCGGGTAGCTTAGTTGTTATTGCCGGGTTGTCACGGATTCAAAGAGGCCGTGTTCGTGACAAACTAGCCAAAAATTGCAGGAGGTATCCAGGTGGACAAAAGAGAGAGTCTAAGGGCATAGAGGACTAACTGATCATGGGCCTGAGCCGAGACTGAAGCAAGCGTGCTAGCAAACGCTCTCGGCGATGCCGAGAAAATTCCAGCTTCTCCCATGATATGTATCATCTTTCATCGGCTATTTGCATTGGCTGAGTATCAAATTCCTTTATTCAGTCCCAAGAAGTCTCAGTCTCGGACTGGACTAGCGGTCTGGCGCCTCCAGTCTCTACAAACGGAGGAGCCCACCAGCGGGGAAATGGCCCAGTTTGTGCAGTGATGCAGCGATGTATTTTATTTTGAGCAAGAACATCGTCGTCATGCATTTAATTCTTTCGGCAAAGGTTACGATGTGTCTTTTACGTAATGAGGCAATCACAAGGGTCGCGATGAAAATAGTCGAACGGTACGGTCTGCATGAGACCACACCACGTAGGACTATCTCAGACGCAGCTACCCGATACTTCAGGCTTCAGCCAGCCAACTTTTTGTTCAATTTGAGGACGGTATCTTTCCTTGATCATTCTCCACATCGTCGGCTAATGGCACTCTGTCCTTTTAGGGTGCCGAGATTTCAGGTGGAAGGATGAAAACCAATCACTCTGTCAACCGTGCCGCCTAGGCTCTACGAGAGTCGTACAACACAGACGTGTTCTTCAATTATGGAGTACTTCTCACTTGTGTAATTAATGTCGTGAAGAAGTGTAAAAATCTTGTGATTATTGTGACTGATACTTAAGTTCAAGGCTCGGACCGAAGGCTCCAGCTTGGCATGTTCGGACCGAACTCTTGACAGAACAACTCCTGTTTCGCATCTACATGCCGGTGAAACCACACCTGATGCTCAAATCAACCCATTTAGGAGTGATACCCTGTTGTCTTTTATTTCTTTATTCTTTCGAGTTGACCACAGCTTCTGAAGATTGTGTTCCCGCTTCCCAATCAGCCGTCGACAATGCTAGGCGCATGATGGACCACGACGACGACATAGATCTGGACAATGCCCCTCTCGTGGGAAAGCAACCCTCTTCCAATCCTGCAGAAGATGCTGCGGCTGTTAGAAGACCGAGAAAATGGGACTTCTTCGTCCTGACCGTTCCTTTTTTTGGGTTGGTGCCTAGGTGACCGGAGTCAGTTGCAAGAAGCCAACTAACCATAAACGCATCATAGTCTGCAGCTGGCTTGGACGATTCAGCAGGTGTATGGAATTGTGAGTTTTGTTGGAGAATATAGTCCCCGATGTGTGAACTTCAAGGCAATTCTTGTGTCGTCGAGAGCTGACAGTAACCTATCAGCCTTACCTGTCTTCGCTCGGAGTACCCAACACCCAGATGCCCATCTTTGTGTTGTCCGGGCCATTGGCAGGCCTCATTGGGCCGCCAATTGTTGCAGCGATCAGCGAAAAATGCAATGGACCTTGGGGCAAAAGAAAACCTTTTATTTTTCTCGGCGGCGTCGGGACTATCGTCTCCTTCCTCGTCCTGGCAACGGCTAAGTCGCTCGCAGTGAGGTTGGATTGCAGCATCCTCAGCTCTGAATCTCCCAGCGCGGCAGAAACAGGTTCACACATTATTGCCGGCCTGAGCATTTACGCCTTGAATTTCTCGATCCAGCCTCTCGCGCTCGGCCTCCGTTCTTCTGTGGTTGACTGCTTCCAACCGCAGCACCAGCCCTCCGCCATGTTGTGGGTCAGTCGCTTCTCGGCACTGGGATCCGTATTTGTCGCTCTTGTTGGGCTCGTGTATAGTCCGGCTTTCTGGAATCTCAGTGTTGTCGTGACTTCCGTCCTGGCGTTGCTACTATGTGTCGTGGCCTTGACGGACACTGCGAGGCTTTTGCCGCAGCAGTGTTTGGGGCGCAGAAAGGAGGAAACAACGGTTCGCGTCTCACTACGTGATCACGTTTGCTGGCTCGTTGAAAAGGCGCGCCATCTGCCACCCATGACAAGACAGACGTGCCGTGTGCAGCTGGTGTCATGGTTCGCCTGGTTTTTGGTTCTGCACTACACCAGCGCGTAAGTTGCCGAGTCCTTCTCATGAACGATATGTGCTACTTGCTTCACGGTCAAGTCGTTACGCTAACAGAGCTTCGAACTTTTAGACTCACTTCTCTCGTTTGTTCGTCTGCCAATTTCTCTAGCCCATTAATTAACAAACTGACTGTCTCTTAGACGAGAAGACCGATACTCCGGAAGAAGACTCGTCAACACTGCCATCAAAATCTGGAGATGCCATGTCTCGCGTCGCACTACTCTTCCACTCTGCCGCTTTGGTCACTCTCGTGGTTGTCTCCATGGTATGGCGGCGATCCGTAAATAGAAGTGCCTTCACTGGAAGACAGCCCGACACTGAGACTGACGATGAGACCACCCTCCATCACCACAGCATCAAACTAGCCCACACGCGCAACAAGCTTATGCGATGGGTCTGGAGGCCGAGTTTGGCAGCACTTGCGGCCTCATTGACTGGAATTTGCCTACTTATCTTAATGGCCACTAGTCCGTTTTCGCCTACCATCGCAACCACGGTATCACTCCTGCTCGGCGGCAATGGTATACTTTTCGCATTATCGAATTGGGTGCCGTACGCGCTGATTGCGTGTGAAGCTTCGGCACAAGCCCAGTCGCAGCTTCTGACCATAGCGGGAGACGATATTGCCACTAGTGAGACTGGTATCATGTCGCTGCAAGCGGATGCCGACGAAGTCGAGTCTGATCATGGCAATTTTCAAGACGATACACCTCTGCTCCTGGCATTCCATAACATGGCGATTACCGTGCCGCAAATCGTAGCGTCAGTAGCAAGTTGGGTCTTGATGCAGTTGCTAGCGCTTTTTGGGTTCGAGCGGGATGTTGTGTGGGTTTTCACTCTGTGTATCCCACCTGCGATGTGGGCAGCTTGTTTGTAGATGTAGCGGGAATATTTTACATACTGTGTTGCGACTAAACCAAATGTCTGCACCTACAGTAAACATATCAGGAGACTCTGATTCGAGACATCGACACCACACTTATGTAGCCATGGATACTGTGAAAGATGCCATTTATTCTCTAGCAGGCGATGATCATCGTCCGAGCACTTACTGACTCAACTTGGAATTCAACTTCAGGAATGAGCTGATATGATTGACTTTTTCATTATTCTAAAATATGGGGCTCTTATTATAAGTCACTGGTCAGAACTGAGAAGTAAATGCCGTCGGGACGACCTACAGTGAACTCTAGAACAAGCTTTCGAAGTGAGGCTATAAACATCCTAGATTCTACGTCCAATGACAGAGTCTAGCTTGAAGTCCTAAAAAAAGGGCTGAAAGAGTCTCACTGAAGCTAGCATGCGGCAGATGACGTTTGCTGAGGGCACAAACAGCTGCAATTGATACATTACATTTTTCCGCAACACGCATGGCATTGCCTGTCTAGAAAGCAATGAGAGACCTGAAAATCTCATTCCTCACCGACCCTTTTTGAAAAGGAAAGATTTTGGTCTTGAGGCGTTGCACGGTCAGTGTTTTGGAGCATGCGGGTTCCCACCGGGCGTGCTCCGAGCAAAACTTTTCAGTCTCCACCCCACACAGCAGCTTTATAACACCCACACAACCAGGGAGGCACAACAACAACAGGTCCTCACACCGTAGTCGGATATGGTGTAATGGTTAACATCGGTGACTCTCACTCACCAGCTCGGGGTTCGATTCCCCGTATCCGAGGACATTTGTTTTGCTCATGGCTCGTCCATGTCAACTTTTTTGGTCGGAATAGACCTGGCTTGGCTCCAGATCTGTGAATGTGTGCCCACCATCCCATTCCCTTCCAGACCGGGACGCAGATCAGCGCCTAAAATTACTGTGCCATGTTGATGCTTTCGACGGGATGACATGGAAGAATAGCACTGTCTCCTGTTTTGATTTCACGCGTCTGGGGACAAACAGTTCGCACCTTCAGCACCTTGAGCTTTCGGGCTATTTGCTCAGATGAGTACGAAAGCAAAGATTTTACTTTTCATGAATATGCCCACTGTACCAGGAAAGATTGCTAATTTGCCAGATCAGGGCTCAGTCTTGCCTTGTACCTACTAGAGGTCAAATCGGTCCGGATGTGCAAAGTGTTGGTCGAATCAGTTTGATCAAACGCGCGCTTTGGCTCAGCTCTCTGGGTACCACCTCAGCTTCACATCCTGGATGTCGACTTCTCGATGGCTTAAGATCAATTGAAAGAAATATGGCTAGATTGAGATGATGTAATACCTATAGGTAAACTTACTATAGGCTTGCAACAGCGAGTGCTGTTTCCCATCAACTGTCTTGATCGAGGTCCGCTACAGGAATGTCTTGAAACTTCTCCAGGATTAGAACTACTGTCAATTATTATAAGGTGGATGTAATGGTAATTATCACTGTCTATCTTGAGTCTGGAGATCATGATCCATATCACAATCTAGGGAAGTGCTGCTACGTGGGCGTGTTAAGATGAGAGGTGACTCATCTCTGGACGTCTCTAACCAAACCAGAAGATCAGATATTTGAAGAAATATGTCAATTCTTCTAGATGGAAGCTATAAAGCCTTATCTCTCACTCACTTATTGTTATTACAAGAACATTCAGTTTGGAGACGATTGAGATTTCAAGCGGAAGGGCAAGTCAGCAACCAGATAACACAAAAAGCTCCATGGCCGGCCTTTGCCCAGAAGGACGGCGATGACTAAAGTTGTTTCATTTCGCTCTCAAATATCAATGATATTTTCAGGGTGTGATCTATCGCAAGGACAAAACCCAAGAGCCCGGGAGCTAATTTTATTAATGTGGTCTATCAACGTAGGATGAGAGTAGCCACGTAAGTGTCAGGGACCATCCGCCAGTACGTCAACGAAGTATGTGAGGACAATAATCTGTGAATGTCATCAAACCAGATAAGTGTAACCATTGAGTTACATTGCGTTAATTGTAACTAATAGCAATGATCCAAGAGCGTCTCAATGGTTGCTATGAGTCCTACAGCGGATGAAGAATCCAAATTAAAATTGGATCTTCCTTCCAATATGTCAACTCCTTTGCCGCTCCCTTCGATTTAGAGATTTCGAGCCTATTGGTAGTCATGATCTGTTTTCAAAGAAAGTTATGCTATAAATAGCTTTGTTCACATTCCACTCAGGAGCAGTTGACTCTCTCTTCTGAAGTTTACAGAGACAATTACTTAGAGAGAAATCAAATTTTAAGCCTACGCTACTGTTATGACTCACTAAATGATATTTCTCAAGATATGTTATATAACTACTAGTCTTGTAAACATTACCATGCCGAGACTGAAATTCGGACGCGTTTATGCCAAAAGAAGCCATAGCACGGGTCAAGTCACGACCGCTTCACTGGACCGTCGATTCAAGACGTGCCCACGGAAGCAATGTAATTGAGTGGTTGCCGAATGCAAATCAGGCAGAGTTCCGAGTGATTAGCAGGAATTGACATGCCAGAATGCACCCGGAAGGATCTCTCTCCCGCGCAAGTCAATTTCCTGGAAAGTTGTGGTGGAAGGGCAAAGAGGTTAAGCTGAAGATTCGTACGAGAACTTTCGACAGCCCGAGATGAGCTTCTTGGGCGTAATTTCCCAAACGGTGCTGCCCATGAGCAAAAAGCGTGAAGTACGGGGAAGAAGCTTCAGCTGCCCGAGTCGTGTCTGCGAACCACTGAACTCTATCAAATTGCTTGAAAGCAATACCCGCTTGACACGCGCACGACGGAAGCGCCGGGACCGGGTGTTCACGATTCGAACATGACGGTGGATCACAGGTTGGACGACGAAAGGCTCACGAGACTGCATCGTATGCGCGAAGTATAAGAAGTAATTCGTCTTCTCTGCTACGATCGCCACTGGTCTTACTCTCTACAACCAATCCGTCACTCTTTAATACTAATTCCTCTGCCTGTCCCTACAACTGTCACTCATTTAACAACACATTCATTACTTCTTCGGAAATCCTTCAGTCTCAGCAAAATGCGTTCGGCTCTGTTCACCACCGTCCTTGCCTTTGCGGCGCCCCTGGCCTCTGCGGCGACCGTCCCTAGAGACGTCAAGGAGGTCGAGGCCCGAGACACTACTGTACCTGGTAAAAGCCACCTCGATCTGTGCCGGCCGTGTCATATTCAAGCTAACTCCATGCAGTCTCTTACGCCACCGCATACCTGGACATTAGCCTCAAGATTGCCGACTTCGGCTGCTCTGCTGCCCCCAACAGCAGCATCGTGAAGAACGTAAGAGTCCACCCACTCCAGGAGAGCCAAAACCTAGAATTCAGCTAACATAGAACCCTTGCCGGTAGTACGAGTACTTCGTCGACGTCCTCGAGGACTATTATAGCATCATCGCCACGCCCTGGGCTGCTGACGACAAGACGGCTTGCGGCCAGTGCGTGGAGGTCACCTACACCAACGCCGCCGGCGAGAAGCGCAAGGTCTATGGTGTCACGGTTGACTCCACCGGAGGCTACTTCAACTTTGACCAGGCTGGATTCGCCGGATTGGACGGCCGTGGGTCGTTCGATGCCGGCACGCTGCAGGCGACAGCCAAGACGGTCGACCTGGAGAAGTGCCGCCGTGCAAGGCAGTAAATCTTGCATGCTCCCACGTGGCCAGGCAGTGGAAGCTCAATGAGTTGCGCTTCATAGAGACGAAAGTCTTGGAGTCGCGAACACTTATATACTATAGTTCTTTATTAGTAGTAATCTGTATAATGACACTGAATCTGACCTCTGAAGAGAACAAATTGATACTTGTATGTCCTGTCAAACATCAAAAGTGATTCAAGCGATAAATTCCATCGCGCCATGTTCTGACCCAGAAATCCTTGGTTCGGATATTGTCGTTGCTCTTCTTCGCGTCACCTTGCCAGCCTTCTGCCCAAATTCCGTATTCCGTTATCATCACTTAGAGGAAATTGTCGACCTCGAAATAGCCGGAAATTTTGGCTTCAGCAGGTCAAAGCAACATTACTTGTGACCAAGGACTTGTTGACGATGTTGCGGCTAGGCTCACTGTTGGAGGCATCGCCCTCGTGCGACCTTGATATCTAGTCAACTTAATAACGTGGAAATGCCGGATTGATGAGCGACCAATGGTGTTGGGTGGGAAAAGATGGTTGTGGATGGTTTGTTGCAGTTTGCATCAGAGCGCGACAAAGTCACCGAACCCTGTCTGGCCTTCACCCCTGTCGGCCGGCTGCAACCACAGTAGGAGAGACCTGAGCATTGGACCCTGGGAGAGCTGCAGTGTTTGTTCTAGGCCCTGCACGCATGTTGGCGTGTTGGCGCTTCGCCGCTCCAAAATCTTGGGCCGCAGAGGCAGAGCCGCATCTCCGTTGACCTTCCCCGCCATCACCGCCTACTTTCGCACCTCTCTCTTCCCGCTACACTACATCTCTCCACGCCGGCCTGGGCACCACCACTTACTTGATCAACCCACCACGAGAGCTGACGGTGACGCGCCTGGCATAGAGGGCAACGAGTCGGATCACAAGGCTAAGGAGACGAAGCAGCTGGTTTTTGAAGGCTGCTTTGGTGTTGAGGTCGTGTTGCTCTGACTGGACACTATCCAGGACTTCGACACCATCCCCGGAACAGCCAGCGATAGAGACCGCGCCGTCATGATGGATGACTTCGTTTCTGAGAGCGAGAGTGACTACACCAGTTACTGGCGCGACTGGGTATGTCAACCAAAGTTCCCATTCATCCCATCCCGTCGCAGGCAAAGTCTCGTCGTCCTGTTTTTCTTGTTCGGTTGCGACCTGCCTTGGGTTGGGGCCTGGCCGCATGCACCACACAGCATTTCAAGAAAGCAAACTCCCCACTTCATACGGCATTGTTGCCCTTCACTTCCCCATCGCATCCGCTTCAACCCCTCTCGAGGATCCAAGCTCTCTACTTGAAGACCTGCATCCCCTCGTCTTCATCATGCCGCCAGGCAAAAGGCCGAGAATATCTGGGCTAACGCGCTACTACCTCGACCAGTTCATCTCCTCCCGAGGCAACGAATACTTCTGCGAGATCGACGAGGAATACCTGACTGATAGATTCAATCTGACGGGCCTGAACACCGAAGTCCAGTATTACCAGTATGCGCTCGACCTGATCACAGACGTCTTCGACCTTGACTGCGACGATGACATGCGCGAGGCCATCGAGAAGTCTGCCCGCCACCTGTACGGCCTTGTCCACGCTCGGTACATTGTCACGACTAGGGGTCTTGCAAAGATGGTACGTCACTCCACGTCATGTCACATCGCATCACATCGCCTGGCATCGCATCAACCCACACCATTACCCCGCCATCCCGAGTGTTGTGTCAAGGGCGTGTAAACTGACAACGACGGGAACCAGCTCGAGAAGTATAAGAAGGCCGACTTTGGCAAATGCCCCCGCGTCCACTGTAACTCGCACCCCCTCCTACCCGTCGGCCTGACCGACGTCCCCAACCAGAAGCCCGTCAAGCTCTGGTGCGCCCGCTGCGAGGATCTCTACAACCCGAAGTCCAGTCGTCACGCGACTATTGATGGCGCCTACTTCGGCACCTCCTTCGCCCAGATCCTCTTCCAGGTCTACCCCTCCCTGACGCCAACCAAGTCCACCGAGCGACACACACCCCGGTGCTACGGCTTCAAGGTCCACGCCTCGGCCGCTCTCGAGCGCTGGCAGGATGAGCAGCGCGACACCATGCGCCGCCGGCTCAAGCGCCAGGAGGTCGAGCCGGGCTTTAAGGACGACGGCGACGTCGATGATGACGAAGAAGAGGAAGAAGAGGACGACGACGAGGAACTCGAGTTCCAGGAGGGTGCTGCCGCCGCCGCGCAGGCTGAGGCGGGTGCTCAACACGTGGCCGGCTAGACGCTGCGCTGGACTTGTCACCCTCACTTTTCACGCCCGTTAGACATCCCGATCAGGCCGAAGAGGCAAAGATCTTGACTTGTGTTGTGTGTTTTATGGCGTTCAGGCGGGGCAGGGTTAACGGTTCACGATGGAAATACCTCAGTTGCATCGGCAGGGCGTGCAGTTTATGGTCATGCATTAGGCATTACGGCTTGCCTCATTGATACCTGTTCAGGCAGATAATCCCAGTGATTGACGATCACAATAGCACCGTCCCGATACCATGTGACATGTTTATATGCCCCGCAGTGCACATTGGTCTTCTGCCATATATCAGGCGGGCAGCGATGCGTGATGTCTCAAACACTTACCCATCCACCGAATCCTTTCTTCACTCGTCCGCGGCTCGCAGGCTAGTATTTGGTTCTTGGAGCAGGCACATGGAAGGGCAAGTTTTCAATCCTCTGAAGCATCCACAGGTCTAGATCTCCACACCGTTGACTTGTACGATACAATCGTGCCCACATGCCCTCGCAAAACTACACAATGTCTACATTGCTGGTGGTTCGTCCCTATCTGAGTGCCACCACCCATTCGATACTGCGAGAGCCCGGGGCGAACATGCGGCATAAGTCAATAATCTGTACCTTCCTAATTCACGAATACAGTGTGCAATCGGTGCCGGTCATTATGGTCATATTGAACGTAGAATTGCGTTATTTCTGGAGCCCGATGCACCGATGCCTTCGTATCTACACACCTAAATGCTGTCCCGCCCAATCCACGCAGAACGCCGTACGGATGATGTGGTTTCTGAACAAATTTCCAACACCCTGAAATAGAAAAATAGCAAGACACTCGTCCGTCTTCTATTGCGCACGCCGCCTTGCCGCCTCCTCGCCATCCTCGCCCCCGCGCAGGCCGTTGCCCGTGCTGGCCATGGAGCGGTCCTTGTCGCCAACACCGCCCAGAGCGGCCTCCTCGTCCACGGGCGGGGCCTCCTGGCTGAGGTCCTCCCAGTCCATGGCGTAGCTGAAGCTGCCGACGCCGGCCCAGAAGGCCTTGTCGCTGCAGCGGGGCCCCCAGGCCCAGCCGGCGCCCTGCGAGATGGGCAGGTGGTACCAGCGGAAGGCGAAGAAGGCGCAGACCAGCCCGATGAGGAAGCCGAACAGGATGTCGAAGCCGTGGTGCCGGAAGTCGAACCACCGCGAGCTGGCGATGAAGATGGCCGTGAAGAAGGGCGCCGACGCGAAGATCAGCAGGTACAGAGGCGGCGCCGCGGCCTGCTGCCGCACCGACGCCAGCCGCTTGTTGTGCCGGGCGAAGAGGTCCGACGCCGCCGGGTCGTGCGTCTGCGCGTGGAGGGACTCCTGCTCGAGGGTGGCCTGTAGGCGCCGGGCGCCCGGGTGGCGGGAGGGGAAGGCGGAGAAGGTGGCCGCCGGGTTGGCCTGGCCCGCCGGCGCGGGGGCGAGGAAGGGGAACGTGATGGCGAACTTGCTGGCGATGAACAGGCTCAGGTAGATCAGGCCCGCGGCGGCGGAGCTCGAGTGGCCCGACGGGTAGGACCGGAACCCGTCCTCCAGCAGCTCCTGCGCATCGTCCCTGTTGTCCATGCCACGGCAAATTTCGGCCGAGACGAGCCGCTGGAACCCGTCGGCGACGTTCTCGCCGCCCACGATGTACTTGGTGAAGTTCTCGATGTCTGGGTTGCAGCGCGACAGGAGGTCAGGGCGCGGCTTGCCGAAGAGGTTCTTCATCCCGTTGGTGATGAACCAGGCCGACGCCAGGGACAAGGCGAGCCCCAGCCAGCCGACGTGGAGCTCCCACAGCTTGCGCTTCCAGATCAAGGACTTGGGCGTGCCCTTTGGCACGGTGTTTCCGGGTACGAAGATGAGGGAGACGATCAGGACGACGGCAATGGGAATGGCACCCATGCACGTGACAAGCAGCCATGGTGGGACTGTCTCGTGCTCTGTAAAGGGGAATCTAGGGGAGGTTAGCACCAGAAACTCTGGAAACGAACGGCCAGTACCCAGTCTGTGAGAGCTGGAGACGGAGTTGGAGCTGGATCTTACGAAATATTTGGGTCCTCGAGGAAGAAAGGACGCTTATTGGGTGGGTGATTGCCCATATAGTAGGCGACGCCCAATGCGACGAATATGATGATCCAGTCAAAGACATATGAGGATACAACGGTGATGGCAGACCTGGTTGACCGTTTCCGGGGCCGCAGCTGGGCAGCGATATGTGTGCGAGCCATGTTGATGTCTGGGGTGTATGAAGGGCCTGGATATGAGGTGTCGACCTGGTGGCGCATGTCAGAGTCGCGGTAGGCGTCGTGCTGGTGATGGTCGCGGTCGCGGTCGTCGTGATCGTCGGGGTCGTGCTCTAGGTCATAGCCCACTCGAGAGTACTGGCGGCGGCTTTGTATAGGGATGAGGGGCACCGAGCCGTTGTTCGGCTCACCACTCGACATGATGGGGGGAGCTAAGAGATCAAAGAAAGGAGCTACGAAGTGGTGGTGGCAAGCGGGCCGTTTGTGTTTAAGAGGACTAGTCGTCACTCGGGTACAGCATTCAAAGGTCCCCGTTCCCAGATCAAGTGTCAGTACCCGCCGATGTGATACGAGACGGCCTTGTGCTGTGGTCCGAGTCAGCTCCTAACAGCAGGGTTTCTTGGCCAATTGTCCGGGGAACGTGTGAATGAATTTGATTAATGAACGAATGAACGGGGAATCGGGCGAGTGAGTGGGAACCGTCGTGGGTACAGCCAGGCAGGGAGGTCTAGGTCCCTCAGAGCTGCGTATGTTGATCTCTCGAGCTTACTGTGAGACTAATGTCGTGGGTGGCTGGCTGGTTGGAGGAGTTGGTAAGAGGATTCGTAGGTAGTCTCCTTCCAACTGCCGTGTGGAGGGATGTGTGTGCGTGTGCAAAAAAACCAGAATACGAACCCAAAGCCGAAGGAGGGAATAGCTCGCGTGGTTTCGATTCCCAAGGTTTATAATCCGTAGCGTCTTGGTCCTCAGGAGCCTAAGGTAGGTACCGGCCGCACAAAGGCGCTCCTTTCTGCAAAGGAAGGGAGCGCGCGTTTGGGGGTTTGGGGTTTGGGGGCTTCTAAAATGGTACTGCAGACCAAGGACCAAGGGCCAAAGATCAGACCAAACTAGAGGCCAGATGAAGGGTGAAAGGCAGGTGAAAAAGGAGGCAGCTGGCACAGCCACTGACCGCGGCATGCGATGTGCGAGATGATCCTCTGGGCATTGCTATGATCGCCGCGAGCAAACTCGAAGCATCCCTTCCCTTCTGTTGGCCGGCTTGGCTTTTGGCACAGGGCGTCCAACTGACTGCCAGACTGTCAGCGCCTGCGGTAGATTGCGATGAGGTAGACCAAGACTCTGTGAGCCTGGCGACCTTGGCACTCAGGCGCGGTCCACTCTTGACTGTCTGGCGATCGAATAGGAAACCGACTTCATGCTGTTGCTTGTATCAGGACCAACAAAGCAGCCCAAATGGTAATAAGTATCATCCGAGGGGGCCGCTGTTGTGTTGCACCACACAGCTCAGCCCCTTTTGCAAGGCGCAACCGATTCAACTTCTGGGACAAAGAATTAAGCTATATGTCTTTCGGTGACAACCGAGATCGGGGTCTGCGACCAAAATAGCAGTGGCTCAGAAACAAGCATACTGTGGTATTTGTTTATCCGGCACGCCATTCGGTCGACGTCTGGTCGCCATTGGACGCCTCGATGCCGGATCGAATTGCGATCTTGATAAAATCTCCGCGTCAGCGCAGGGGTGTGGGGTTGACAGCTCTCTGTCTCTGAGGGGATTGCTGGGCATGGCATGGATTGCCCGACGTCGCATCGGCACATCAACCTCTTTCCATCAGTCTACCTATCTAGTGTAGGTAACTTGATAGAATTACCATATACATCTACAGTACCACTCAAGCATCACCAGGAATTGATCTTGGCATCAAATTCTAATTCCTCGAGCCCAACGCACATGACCGTACACTACTTTCATAGCAACCCTTATATACATTTCTAGCCTCCCGCGGCCATGGTTGAGGTCAAGGAATACCGCTTGCCACCGACATCTCGGATTCCTAATTCCCCATTCCCTCTGCTGCACTACCCCCGCTTCTTCCCCTCGCCCTCATCGCGATCCCCGACCGCCGTGCACGACGCCTTCGCTGCCAACGGCTGGCAGGTGCAATGGATCTTCAGGTACGGGCCGACCCAGCAGTCCCACTACCACTCGGCCGCGCACGAGTGCATGGCCGTCCTCAGCGGCGAGGCCACCATCCGCTTCGGCGTCGCTGATGACGAGCGTGCTGGTGGTGGTGACGGTGACGCCGGGGGCATAGAGGTGCATGCACGCGCCGGGGACGTCTTTGTCCTGCCCGCGGGGCTGGCACATAAGACCTTTAACCCGGAGCCCAGCGACAGCACATTCAAGCTGCTGACGCCCGGGGACGGCCACCACCACGTCTCCGAAGGTGGTGATGGGGGCTCGAGGGCCGGCCTTGAACGTGTTGAGTTGTCCGGATTCACGATGATCGGGGCGTATCCTGTCGGTGCCAAGTGGGACTTTGCAGTTGGGGGTGAGCACGAGGGCCGCTATCAGGAGGTGTGGTCGGTGCCGAGACCTGAGCGAGATCCTGTCCTAGGAGCGGACCCGGCTGGGTTGACGAGGCTTTGGAGTTGATCTTCTTCCGATGTGGGAACATTTGTCATCGTTATGGTTGGTGCCTCGATCTTGTGGTAAGCTCGAGCGCAGTATGGTTCCTGAGTCTCTATTATCTGTGGTAAGCCAGTTATGCACCAAGGAGTTCAGTTCCCTTGTGGGATGAAAGCAGATGGTCCCGGGCGTGGAGCATGACCATCGCAGGCACTTGAAGAGTGACGTTGTACAAATAGTCTTACATATATAGCTCGGATATGTACAGACAAGACTCCTCATCACACTCAAGACGAGCCGCCCTTCCTGTCTCTCCTCTTGCCCATGTTGCGCACGCGAGGCGTGACAATAAACCTGTTAATGTTGTGCTTTCTGCGGGTCTTGTAGCCTCCCTTGGCCGGTGTGCCCCAAGGACTGACCGGGTGCCGGTTTCCCTTGGATTTACCACGACCACCACCGTGCGGGTGATCGACTGGACGAGTGTTAGCGTGCGGACTGCCCACGGAATGTACTTGAGGAAGGGAAATCGTGGCTCACCAGTGTTCATGGCCACACCTCTCACTGTTGGCCTGATACCCAGCCACCGGCTCCTGCCAGCCTTTCCAAGCGAGGTGTAGTTGTAGTGGACATTGCTCGCAACACCGATTGTCGCAATGGCATCCTTGTCCACCTTGCGCACCTCGCCACTCTGCAGCCTCACGCTGACGTGCTTTCCAACCACGATCTTGGTACCGTCGTCCCTCGTCTCCTCCTCCTTGGACGCAATGACGCCGTAGGTGCCCGCGCTTCGGCAGAAACGGGCGGGGCCATCTCTCCTCGACCCAATGCAGTAGATCATGGTGCCCACTGGGATCATGTGCATGGGCAGGCAGTTCCCGCGATGCGCCGTCTTGGAGGCCAGGATACCCGGGTCGATAATACCACCCATGCTGTCGAGCAGGTCCTTGGGGATGCCGGCTCGGTAGCTGTGGACGACGTCACCGGCCCTCATGCCATCAGCTGCAATGATGTAACTCTTCTTGCCATCCGCCTTGTTCGAGACCAGGGCGATGTGTGCGGTACGGTTGGGATCGTACTCGATGCGCTCCACGAGGTGTGGCCCGGGGGCCTTCCTGTCAAAGTCGACCGTCCGGATACGTCTCTTGTGTCCACCACCACGATGCCGCACAGTGACCCTACCCGTATTGTTTCTGCCACCTCTTGCTTGGCCCTTCTTGGGGAAGGTCAGCGCCCGGTATGGCCTCCCTTTCCATAGGTGGTCGTTGATGGGGCGCTTGAGATGCCGCACGCCGGGGGTTCGGGGCTTGTAGGTTCGCAGGATGACGGTTTCCTCCTCGTCCGTTCTCAGGGAGGGCTGGATGGACTCCTCAGCGCGCAGTGCTGGCGCGGTCGACTTCTCCCGGGTAGGCGTCTTGCTGGCATAGGCTCGTGCGAAGGTAGAGGCGGTGAGCAGCGACCTGATGGACGAGGCCAGTGGCCTTAACCGTGGCTGGAGCATCTTTCGGGGGGTGGGCAGATGTGGATGCTCAGGCTCGAGCTCCTGGGCGTCCTATGATGTGGTGGGCTCAATTGGGCCGGGCAGCCATCAATGCAAGTAGAACTCTGTGCCTTCGGCTCGAGTTAGTAAGAGTGGACCCAGCGAAGGCGAGAGTGCTCGACTCGATTTGTCTGAGGTCACCTTGCGTTATTGTAGGGCAGCCGGATTGATGGGCCTACAGCTGGTTTGGTGGTGTCAAGCTCGAAAATTCGAAAGTTCGCCGACGCCGATGGCAGGGGTCTGGTGATGACTAAGCCGTCCCAATATAAGACGCTACACGGTTGGAGCCCCGTGTCATGCATCTCAGTTCTAACAGATTGAATTGCTCGCACGTATATTCAACATTCAATTGCGTATACTTGGGAGCAAAATAATCAATAGATAGCCGTGCTTGCCTCACCGGCACTGTCTAAGATCCTGATCCCTTCCTGGAGTCCACGTCTCTGTGTATATATGGACTATGTCCCCCGGTGTTGAAGTGTGTCTCGGACGCGGCCTGTCGGCGGTCTGTAAGCTTTGCTACAATTCATAAACAGATAGACTAAGGTTAACAGTCACAGACTGCATAGAGCATGGCTCCACTGGTGTCATGGAGATGGACGTAGCTGATGCCGTGAGAGCTACCCTGAAGCTTTGGAGCTGGGGGTTGAGCAGCAACGGTGCTGGCGGCCAATAACGGCTCGATTGAGTAACGGTTGCCGTGGTTGCGGGAGGGAAAGGCCCATCCAAATATAAACAAAAGGTCGGGGGTTCTGTCGCGTCGACTTCCGGCACGACCCCACAGTCGAGCTACCCATACATGGTCCACCCAGCCCGGTCAGCTTCAGCCTTTACTCACTCCCAAGGTTGTCTCGACTTGGACTTTACCTCTTCACACACTCTCTAAACACCAGACAGACAACCTCTCTCCTCTTCGTCAACAGATACATTCAACGTCAGCGACTTGAATTGCACAATTTCCAGTAAGTGGCTGTCAATTCTATTGCGTCTTCTCATGGCCCCTCGTCGTCGCGCAATTTCATTGTCATACCTCGACTCCAGACTGCTGCAGTGCAGACTGGACGCGTCCCAGTGATGCGAGCAGTTGCAGTACAGTACAGTGCAGTGCCTGGGCTGGTCTGGTCTGGCTGGTGTGGTCTGGGTGGCAGCAGGCTCTTCCCAAGTCGCGGTCTGTTGCGTTGCAGGTGCTGCAGGTGCAGGGGTCCACGTCCACGTCCGCCTCACGTTCACGCTCACGCTCCGTCCGCAACACGCTCCTTCCCACACCTGGCACCGTGCAAGTGTTGCGGCAGCTCTCTGCAATTGCAATTGCACTTGCACTCACTCTCTTCTACCTGCACCCGCACCTGCACTGGGGCTCCACTCCCACTCTCTGCTACCCGTTGACCTCAAAAACAAGGTCTGTCCGCTCGGCCTGCCCTGCACATAAACACGCCTCCGTCCAGTCTGCCCGTCTGCTACCCACCCCATCGTCCACCCCCATCATCTCCGTCAGTCTTGATCTTCCTAGGAGCAGGTCATTCTTTAGCCATCCATCTCTGCAACACTAGACGGCGACAACAGCAGCATCACCTCAAGCAGCAGGCAAAAAGTCAGGACATCCACAGCTCTGCCAACCCACTGTCATCAGTCTTCCCACACATCCACGCGCTGCTCTGTCCTCGGGCATCCATACCATACTCATCGAGACCCATCTTATCCGGCTGGCCGCTCTGTTGATTGACATTGTTTGTTCCACGCGTCTAGAGACAATTATCATCTCTGCATTTTTGTTGCCGAGTATTCAATGTCAGTCTTCATTGAGCCTGTCCCCAATGCAATATTTTTCACCAGACGCGCCGAGCTGCCAGAAGCTCCACATCGCTGAGCACCTCCCATCCACAACCATCTCCTCCAGCTGTCCGCAACCACACCAAACAACACATACACACATCAAACCGGCCTCGAGCCTCCTGCCTTAATGCATGACTCGTTTGTTTACTGACTGTACTTTGCAGCAACCCCTTAGTGTTCGGGTATCTTAATACACGTCAATCGACAACATGCCTCCCGCAGGTGTAAGATATTACCCATAACACTAACTTAATTACGCGATATATCAACCAATATTGTGGCACAGCACCCGTTCTGACCTTGCTCATAGGGACGTACTACGCGCGCCCGCGTCATCGCCAGCGAGAATGACGAGAACAGCATGACCGGCAGTTCAACCCGTCTTACACGTGCTAAGGCTGCGGCCCTGAATGTCGACGAGCTGTCACAGCCATCCAAGCCCCTGCAATCCAAAAAGGCAGCCGTCAACACAAATGTCGCAGGCGCTACCAGGAAGCGTGCTGCTCTTGGTGATGTTTCCAATGTCACCAAGGTCGAGGTTACCGAGGGAAAGAAGGTCACCGCCACCAAAACCGGCGTTGTCTCAAAGACCACACAAGCGAACAGAGTCCAAAAGAGCACATCAGCTGCCACATCACGCGCCCGTGCCCCACTTGCATCCAAGGAACCCAATGCCACCAAGAAGACCACCAAGGCATCAGGCCCTGGCGAGATCGGCTCCAAGAGAAAGGCCCCTCCCGCAGCGGCTCCAGCCATGAAGAAAGAGAAGACGCCCGTCGAGGAGGGCGAGCCCGTCCGCAAGAAGGTTCACACTGCAGAGAAGGAGAACCGACGCACCAAGGAGGATTTCGAGGCTGCTGATCCTGCCCTTAAACCCGCCGCTTCCCCCCAGGAGGGCGAATTTGTCTACCCTAAAGGCGTCGAAAACCTGGACTTGGAGGATCACGATGACCCTCTGATGGTGGCCGAGTATGCGCACGAGATCTTCGACTACCTTCTCACACTCGAGCCTAGCTCGCTTCCCAACCCCGACTACATGGATCACCAAGATGAGCTTGAGTGGAAGACACGAAGCATCCTGGTCGACTGGCTCATTGAGGTTCACACTCGGTTCCACCTCCTGCCAGAGACTCTGTTCTTGGCCATCAACATCATTGACCGCTTTCTGTCCGAAAAGGTTGTTCAACTCGACCGTGTCCAGCTGGTGGGCATCACTGCGATGTTCATCGCGTCCAAGTACGAAGAGGTCCTGTCGCCTCATGTCGGTAACTTCAAGCACGTTGCAGACAACGGATTCTCCGAGTCTGAGATTCTGTCTGCCGAGCGCTTCATCCTCCAGACTCTCGAGTACGATCTCAGCTACCCCAACCCCATGAACTTCCTGCGCCGCATCTCCAAGGCCGATAACTACGACATCCAAACCCGGACCGTCGCAAAGTACTTGCTAGAGATCAGCGTCGTCGACCGTCGTTTCATGGCATACCGCCCCTCTCATGTCGCTGCCACTGCTATGTACCTGGCACGCCTGATCCTGGACCGAGGTGACTGGGACGCGACGCTGGCATTCTATGCTGGCTACACCGAGGAAGAGATTGAGCCCGTCCTCCAGCTCATGGTTGACTACCTTGCACGGCCCGTTAGCCATGAAGCCTTCTTCAAGAAGTATGCCAGCAAGAAGTTCTTGAAGGCGTCTATCCTGACGCGTCAGTGGGCCAAGAAGAACGCGGCCGCGTTTGACATCCACGACCTGGACATACCTCTCGATGAGTAAGAGGCTGTCGTGTGCTTGGCTGTCATTCAATACGGCCATTTGGTCATGAAACGACATAGCCTCGAGCCTCTGACTACGACAGCTCTCAACGCTCAGCATGTGAACAACTACTCAAGTTTACGACACTGCATGAATTCATAGGCCAACGACGAAGCTTTATGTCAACATCACACTCTTCAGCGCCAATCTGTATTCATTGCGCGGCAAGCGGAGAGGTCATGATGATACCTTTCGGGATTTCGCTACTCGGTCATTGCGGCGGCGTACGGGTGTTATTGGTCTGCTCAGGGATGCAGGAAAGGGGTGTTCATGGCATGAAAGTATCCAACTGGTGTTGGTTTCTGTTCTATTTTTATCGGAAGATGCATCTTCCGCCATCAACCCTCAAGTTGCTATTGCTGCTGGCACTGCTTGGTCCTCAACAACGCAGGCACTCTTCTCAATTGCTCTCTAGCTTGGTTCAGCGACAAGAGTCATATTAATGGTTGGATGATCAGTACGATACGGCAGCATTTTGAGGGGATTTTGCTTCTTTTTCCATAGTGGCATTGGCCGGAAGAAGGTGACGAGGGAGGTGGTGCATTGGACTGTACATACTACCGATGTCGTGTTGGACTACCAGCTTGTGTTTTTACGGTAGACGGGAATTAAAAGGGATCATTGTTATGAAACTGATGCTATGCGACGGGCTGCCTCGTATTACTTCTGCAAGCATGTCGACTAGGCAGTGGCAACACTCGAAGTGCGGCTCAGCGTACGACCACCTCATTCTTTCATTGTTGTGCAGCACGCGTGGGACACCCCCCGCAGTGGTCATCAGTCTGCTGTGGCCCGAACCGTGATCTCGGTCACTGTCCTCGCGGCTGTATCGCCATCGCCAGTGTTGTCTCCTTCAGTTGTCCCGGCGTCATCACTCGCGCCGTATATGTCATCCTCTATGGGCCCCGTCTGTTGTTGTCTTTCCTGCTGCTGCTGGGCGGGCTGCGCAGCCGCCTCTCCAGGTTGCTCGCCTCGTCCAATCCTGCCGTCCCCAGCGCCGCCGTTCTCCCGGAACCACCGGACCAACGCCATACCCCTTGGCTTCGGCGCTGTCCCCCGTGCCTCGTCCACAGCCCCCGGCAGGCCGGACCTGCCCCATCGTCCCTGGTGCTCGTCCAGACCGCGCTCCTGGGCGAGAGCCCAGGCCTGGCTGGCTTTCTTGAAGTCGTTGCGGTCTTTGACCATCCGGTTGAAGGAGGACATGGTCGATGGGCCGCGGTTGGTGCCGCCTGTGATCCAGTGGGCCAGGCGGGCCTTTTTGGAAAGGAATGAGGAGGGGTCGTTTGGGTCATCGGTGGTGTTGGACATTTGCTCGCGAGTGGCTGGGCTGGGCTGCTCTTCTGGCTATTGGTGGGTTTCTCTCTCTGTGATGTTACCATCTCCGGCTCGAGGGTTGAGAGACTGAGTGGTGTCTTGTACTGTTCATTCAGAGAAGAGCTCTTTCCTTCAAGTGACTTTATATCACCCACGAGCCCACCGTGTCATGGTATGGGTAACAAACTTCCTCCGCTTAAGGGGAATCATGCCAGAGGCAGCGTGTTCATGTCAGTCACTCAGGACCATTTCAGTCTCATCCTTAACGTCTGCGTCCAACACTTTTCGCCGTTGCGTATCCTAATTATTATGAATAATGATGGAACTTCCACTTAAGTGAGAGAGGACCCACGAGTTGTCATATATGAGGCAAGGTCATGGCGGCCGTTCTCACTCACAAGGTTGATCGTCATCCAAGGAGTCACTAGTGACTTACATCAACATCCACTTACTTGTGGCTGATTGAAACAACTAATGTACACTGTCCAATTTCGTAGTTCTTGAGTGTAGTCTAAGCAGAAAAATATGAGTGTACAAGAAGGTTGTCAAAGGAGCATGACAGTTGAGAGCGATGGAATTTCAGAAGACAGAATACCCCTTCATTGGGCGAAGACCCCGATAACAATACAATTCTTGGACCACAATAAAGGGTTGGCTCATGAAAATACGGTACATTGCGATTGGAGTATTTGTATGCAACCTTGAGAGACCTGTTGTAGCCAGTCAGCAGCATGGCAAACTCGAGTGGAAGCATGTTTGAGAGAGTAGGCCATCCGGGAGATACTCGTTGACCTTGCCGAGACACAGTCGAGGGTGGAAACCTTGCCAAGCGGTCAGCAGACCAAAGATGGGAGTTCCATGCCGGGACTTCAAATTCATCCATCATGAGGCACCCTCTTCTATGGGTTGTGTAACATGCTGGGCCCACCCCTCGTTCGAGAAAGTCACTCGTGGGTACGTGGGTGCGTGGTTGCTTACACAGGCACAGGATGAACACGGATGTCGTGTACCTGCGCTGCTGCGGATGAGCGTTGTCTCCCTCACGAGACCAAGAGAAGCAGTCTGGATTCTGAAAACGACTCGCCTCTTGGACCTTGAATCTTGAAAGAGAACCTGAGGCTTCAAGATCCCCCGTGGCTGCGAGCAGGCCCAGCGCCAAACCTGATCGCACCCACTTGGGCACCGAAAAAAAGAAGTTGCGAGCCACCCAAACCCTCTTCCCTCCGAGGCCGACTCTTCTCTGCTTGTTCCTGCTCCATTTCTTGGACATGATTCCATGTTCTCGGGTCACAGCACGATTGGGCCCAACATCATCACTGCCCAATGACTTGCGGCATTTTGGATCCCGCTCTGAGTGCCGACGCCCTATGCACTTGTCAGGTGGTTTCCGACCTGCCTGCTACATTAGACCGGACCGCGAAGCCTTGGGCCAGAGAGGAAATTGTTTTATGAAACCGCCTCCAAAACCGTGAGCGGTCTCGCGATGGTTGCCGTGTCTACCAGGTTACACCTCGGAGACAGCCTGTATGCCGACAGGCTAACCGTGGGCAACCGACCGTCCGCCTGGCGGCCCAAATCCCAAGAACGGCTTCCCAAGTTCAGCAAGCTCGATGCACTATCACCCTATCACCCTATCGGCCAGGCCCAGCCTTGCTTTTGGGTCCCGCGGGCATGGTTCCCCAGCCGCCTCGCTCAAGACGACCAGAAACCTTATTGACATTTGGGACGACCTATTATGCCTCTGGAAGACGTTGTGGAGTTCCTGGTCACGGCGCACACCACCAGCAACATGGTTCATGCCCTCAGCGCCTAGACGTGCGAAATAGCCCTATCAAAGCGACTGGCGCACTCAGGTTTCGGCAACGAATCTACCACTCTGGCTGCTGATGCCGTCATGCTATAATACAGCAGGCAAAGACCACGAGTTGCTCGGCTGCTGTCAAGTTTGATGCCAGGGAAGGGCCTGCCTGCAGGGGGGCTGCTCTGTTGCAGCCACTCATGATCGATTCCAGGCCACCCACTCCAGCGCACCAGGCCTGTCCAGCCCTCCAAGAACTTGAGGAAGACCCTGGAATCTTTTTCCCTGCTTTTCTGGGCAGTGGTCTGGGTCTGCAGGCCAACGTCATCGCCTGATGCGAGGTCTGGCCCATTGCCCAACCACGCCCGCAGCCCACGGGAAGATGCTCCCGACGGCCCTCTCCCTCAACCATGTGGAGGGTAGCAGGGGTTGTCGCAGCCTGTTGCTGGGAGCAGATGCGACCTGGAATTCCATCACCGCAGATGGCACCTTCGAATGCTTCTGTACTCGCTGATGGGCCACGATACCCTGTCGGGAATGGGCAGACCTGCCGAACCTTGGAAGAGCCAGGAGGGAAAATGGCTTAGCTTGGCCCTTCTGGGTGGCAGAATGTCACTGTTGTTCGTTCCGAGGCGCAGGTTGGGCAAGTGATCAAGGTCGCAGACGGGCTGTGTCATTTTTTACGAGGGCGGTCCCTCCGCCTACTTAGTACACATACATGCGCTGCCCCCATGTGGTGATGTCGACCCGCGTGGACTTGCGCTACACACATATCATAACGCAGCATAGACTCCATATGACTCTCCCGCCCCGAATATATACCCAACCTTGGCCACTTGACTTCCAGGCCAAACCCTTGCGTCTTGTTTTTACATCTTCCTAGTTTCAAACCTTTCAGCCCTTCCTCACCCGCCGCCGAGAGACAGACAGCCCATTCTCTCGACCCGTCATCCATCATCCCCCCACCACCTTCAACCATACCTGCGGCCGCCTCACATCTTTGCGATTGTGCCGCGCCCCCAACATTCCTCCTGGACCCGGATCTCATCGACCGCATCACTTTCGTCAAGCCGAGACCCGCCTTCAGGCACACTTAAGCTTTTCTACTGGGCCCCCGAGAATCCACCATATAAATAGCACCTTGTTTCACGGTCGCAGACACGGTACCCGCAGATCACTGCTGCATTGATTCACGAATATACACCATACGTTCGCTTGCGCGCCCCCGGCTCACACGACGATATCGTCTTCCGCCTGCGCCTCACAGCTTCTCGACAACGTTGGGTAAATTCTTATAATCAATAACCAGCTGCTGTTTCCGGGCTACTACTCATCAGTCAGTGTGCCCAATTTCTTCATCTTTCCTGCTTTTCTGTGTACATACCTCCACTGCTCTGTCTACATACATACACATATACACAGCCATGTACTTCTACGTACCAGTCATGGGTATTGACCTAGTCCCAAAACCACACGCTTGCACATCCTCTCCCTGACTTTGCTATAACACACCGTTCATTGAAGAACCCCATCGCTGACCTAGCTTTCCGTGCAGTGCCTGTGAAGGAGAAGAGGTACAAGAAAAAGGTGGTCTACCTTGAGCCACCTACCCCCGGCAGTGTGACGCTTCGCAGGAAGATCACAACTGTCGTACCAGCACCTGCTCCACCACCTGCGCCTCCAGTCATTGAGCCGCCGCCACCACCACCTGTGCTCGCTCTCCCCCCGCCTCCGCCTCCGCCGCCTCCAGTCATTCACAGGCCACCACCGCCAGTCTTCTTGCAGCCGCCACCGCCACCGCCGTCGTCGGCTAGAGATGAGATCGACGTGATCGCTGTGGATGTCGAGCCTTCCGAGAAGACCAAGTCAACCCGGTCCTCCTCCTCGTCCAGCTCGTCTTCCAAGTCCTCGAAGAAGACAAGCCGCAGCCGCAGCCGCAGCCATAGCCATTACGATGAGCGGGAGAGGGAGGTCATCATCGAGAGGGAGAGGATGGTGCCCGTCCCGACGAGGCGGGAATACGAGACGTACCGTTACGTCGAAGGACCGCCGCAGAGGAGATACCTCCCCGCTCCGCCCTCGCCACCGAAGAGGATCGAGGAGGATAGAGAGAGGATCGTCATCAACATCGAGGATCGAAAGAGGGGCAGAGAATATTATTATCGCTGATTTCACTTTCTGTCGATGCTGTTGAGTGCTGGGGGCGCAGGTCTACCAGCCTTTTGCCTGGCACACCTGGTCCTGGGATGAACCTCTTCTCAGCACCAGCATGACAGCGACCGGTGGTTCCGCCCTTTTCTCATTCGTGGACCTTCCGAGATCTTTTTTTATTCAACTGAACGACTTGAGAAGGTATCCTGTGCTTGGGATGTGGAGCTTCTGTGACGAAATCTCGCCTGGATCAAGCTGGGATCAATTTTGGGAGGCACGAAATGACAGCGTGGTGTTTGGAATTTTCTAAGGGATCAGTTTGGATCTTTCTTATACTTCGATGATATCCTTACTTGTCTAGTTTTTTTGGAGGCCCTGCAATACAATTTCTATATCATTTCCCACTCTACGTGTGCCGTCGTCGATTGTGTGGAGCTATGTGACTGATCCCTGCATTGTTCAGAGCCATGATGATCACTGCTGATGATACTGGTGACATGTGTTTCGATAAACATCAATGGTAACAGTCGTACTGGAGTTCTTGTCAGCAATTTCAGTGACTACAGGCCCAGCCTCCTGAACAGTGATTAGTTAGTGTGAACCTCATTAGTGAGCGTTCAGGGTATTGGAGGGATCTGCAATATGCAAAGTGACTCGTGCTTTTTCATTCATTCTACCAAGTGTCACCAGTGGTTCACACACGCCCTAATCTCTAGGAACCTATTTAAACAGTTTCTCACCACCCTCCCATGAGCAAATGGTCGACTCCGAGAGCAGGTTGCTCGCCACGTCCCTTCCGGGAGAACGTGCTATCTGTCCGACTGATCCTTCGCCAGCAGCTTCTTCAAGCTGTCCTCGTTGTCGTACTTGGCCAACAGCTTTGCCTTCAAGTCTTCAACCTCTTGCTTCTGGCTCGCGTAGACACCATCCAGCATGGCCCTGGCCGGTCCGAGAAGGTGAGCATCGGCCAAGCCCACTAAAAAGAAGATATAGAATCAGCCAACTGCGTATTTGGGCTATTTCGCCTAGGGCAGACAGTGAAAGACTGCGGGAAGCTCAGGCGGCTTTTCACAGAGTCCTTAGCCGTTACCGGCAGTCCAGAAGGGGCATGATCAAAATGAGACGAGCACTGACTGATCACAACCATCAGCAACACATTATCACCCAGCGACTCCAGCTCACCATCCTCCGCCAGCCCGTTCTGGATCATCAGGACCCTCTCGAAGTCCGCGTCCCCGGGCGTGACCACCACCCGGAGCACCGTGTCCTCGTCGCCCACGAGGTACTTGTGGTAGACCCCGGGCGGCACGGTGGCTTCCTTGCGGGGCTCGAGCTGCCGGGCCGACTCCTCCAGGAGGTCGAGGTCCGCGCCCTCGTCACCGCCGGGGGGAGTCTGGGCCGACGAATACACGGTAATGGCGCCCTCGAGCAGGTCGAACGTCTCGGCGAAGCGGGTGTGGTAGTGCGGCGGGACGGTGGTGCCCGGAGTCATGTACTCGATGAAAACGGTGCGCTGGCCGCCGTTCTGCGTGGTTGACTCCTCTATGCGGAAGCGTCTTTGGTTCCATCGTCGTTCGGCCGACATCTTGAAGTTTGCTTTTTCTGCACGAAGCTAGCTATAGAGACTGTAGATTCTGGTGTGCACCTGGGCAAACGCTCATTCTGCCGGTGCTGTCCGTCACCTTTATATGCTCGAAGCCCCCCCGCCTTAGGTTCAGACTCCGCTAGGCGGTATGGTAAGAGACGTCGCATTCCTGGCATTGGATCATTGCATAAGGAGGGCAGAGGTTCTGCGTGAGATTTTAGCACCTCCACCGCTGTGTTGTACCTACGTTTCTGGAAAACAATCCTCACCCTGAGGCGCTGTACCGCTTTAGGAAAACAATCGTTTTCTACGCCACCCAACAGTATGGATTGTCTGATGCACCTCAGTGGGCCGGCGGCGCATTCCTCCAACACCAATGTCACCGAATCACTCGGCGTGGGGATTCGTCCACAGCTTTGCAGGGATCACAAAGTTTTGTGGAGGCTCAAGAGAGCAGCATATGCCAGATGTAAGTCAGTGGATACGAAAGTCTATCGCACAACGTCTTCCATGTGAAGCTCGTGCCTAAAATCTTACGTGAATTTCTGAATGCTTGTAAAATTGCCTACCCACCGAAGCGATTCTTGTATATCCGCATGGTTTTATTCGCTTTTGTCCACTGCTTCTACCGTATAGATCAGTGCTCTCTATACGACGACATCGATGCCGGATGGCTAGTAGTGAAAACCAGCTCACTTATAGCTGATCATCTCCCCTACCCAGTGTTCTCTCTGCCAGTAAAAGTTGTCCCGCGGAAAGTTGAGCCTTTCACCAACAAGACTTCTCTGAGCATGGGTGCCAAAAGTAATGGCACGGGACAGAGTCCCACCAGTACTCCAGCCTGAAGCTTCTTCCAAGTGCCCCTCCCAAGCCAGGAAAAATGTGACCAATGGATCTCCGATGCAAGCGTGGCTGAGGCGTAAATTTGGTCTATATTATCAGTATCTATTCTAACCCTCAAGGTGAGCCCCAAGGTATCCCATTTGAAGCTGGTGCTCATCCCATGATCAGTCGCCTATCCCTCTCATGTGGCCTCCTCTCCATCGCCTTCTACTGCTTGCTCTCTCGGAGCAGGATTCTTCTTGGGTTCTGGCATGTACCTCGAGATCACCGTAAAGTTCACTCCAATGGCCACCATTAGAACCCAGATGGCATAACCAGCTAATAATTGCGTCCTCGCCCCCAGGGCAAAGAGACTCGTGAACGCAGCGGGCGCGAAAGATCTCAAGATCGAGGTCCCAGTCAGAGCGAGCGCGTTGAGCGTGCCTAGTACCGCGGGGCTGGGGGAGATATCGTTCAGCGCAAGCTGGATCGCCGTAAAGCTCATGCTTATTCCGCTACCAATCGCCAGAAGGATCGGAGCCGCTATCCAAAACGCCGTATCGAAGCCGCCTCTCAGGATATAATTTCCCAAGGGGCAGAGGGCGAAGAAGAAGGGATATACATCTGAGCAGCGGCGGAGGACCTTGTTGGTTCCCCAGCGAAGCTGAAGGGGCGGGAAGACCAGAAGGAGCCAGGATGCCTGAGCAACACCGTTAACAGCCATCATGAGAGAAATCTGAATCGGGCTGAACCCGAATCCGCCCAATCCAATCGGCGTGAACCAAAAGACGGGCAATATGGCTGTGTAAGCAAGCGCCAAAAGCATGATGTGTCCATACACGTATAGAACCATGGCGACACCTGGAGCCTTGATGATTTGCAAAATGCCGCGACCTTCTTCTTTTGGCTTAACAGTACCATTTTCTGAGCTGGGTGCCTTTACCAGAGTTTCCTTGATGAAGAAGGCACTGGTAAAGACAGAGACGAAGCCCAAAAGCCCAACCACAAGGCTAGAAAGCGCGTATGGATAATCGTGAAAGAATTTGACATGGCCAAATGCTCCAGGATACTGGTGGGCTGGATCGGCGAGAGCTCCGCCTAGGAGAGGCCCAACAAAGATGCCCACGTTTCCCGAGAAGGCGAACCAACTGAAGATGACGGCCTGAGTACCGGGAGTGCTATGCTCTGCCAGCATTGTGCGCATAGTAACAATAGTGCCCCCGAAGACACCAGCTGCGCACCTGAACAGGATCATCTCCCAGATTGACTTGGAAAATCCAAACAGGCAGGTTGCAATGGTGACACCGACCAGGCTGAAGACGAGCACGGGCTTTCTCCCAAGCCTATCAGAGGCTTTGCCCCAGAAGATCATGAAGATGGCCTGGGTGAGCGAGAATAGGGACTCTATGAGTCCACTGTAGAAGCCCACATCGGCGGTATCAAGATTGCCGTTCTCCTGAGCCATCTGGTTGATGTAAGGGAAAATGGAGAAGAAGGCCATCGGCTCGACCAGGCGAGCGAAGCATATCCAAAGAATTTGCCACTTCGGGAAAGGTGGTTCATTGTCCTCATCCTGGTCGCTGGCAGCGTTTCCTATAAACGTGCCTGAGCCTGAGCCATGTAGCGTTGTTGCTTCGGATACTGCTGGGTCTGCCGTTGGCGTGATGTCGTTTGTTGCGAGAAGCGGCGTCCGTTCTGTGGCTGTGTCGTGAGCGGCATGGCTCTTTGAGCCGTTTGAATGCGCGTTTTGGGTCATGGTGAAAATGATAATGGCGGAAGAAAGTTTTCTTCTTTTCACTTTATTTTCTATTTCGAACCGGGGAACCAGAGCAGATAAGAATAGCCAGGTATAGATATCCAAGGCACAGAATTTATACAAAATCAAGTGTAAGAGCGTGCAATGCTCCGACCATCATGAACAGATCGAGATGATAATTGAGACTAATGTGCTGGAGTCGCCGCGTCGTTCTTGTCCATCTAGAGCGATGTCCAGAGGGAGATCCGAGGTGAATCCGAGGAAAAGAGAGGGGCAAGAGGATGCAGTGCAATTTGAGGAGTCAAGAGGTCGATGTAGAAGTAAGCACTTGTTCGTGCTCCAGCAACGGGAATTGATGATGATGGGGAAAACAGGACCCCTGATGCCATGCCCAAGTGAGATCCAGGCACCGGCTATGGGCTTCCTTCCTCTTCCGGCCAAGCTCGATGTCGCATTGGTTGCAGGTCTGCAGGTCTGCACGGCAGCTTGACGAACCGCTGGCCCAGAAATGTCGCTGGGGCCTCTCGACGTGCAGGCCCGCAGGCTGGGGGGCAGATGGCGCAAGAAACACCGTTGATAACAAGCACGATCCTGTACGTCCCTGGGCTCGGAATAACTCAATTGCAACAGCACTGGCCGGACGATACACAATCCAACAGTGATCAGCATCATCCACTCAATGGCTTCGATATATCTGGATGCGCACAAGCAAGTCAATCTTGTGGGCACAACCCGCAAACCACAATGGTGGCACAACCGATAAGGTGGCACCACCTCCTTGGCTGGCCAGTGCCACGGAGCCGACTCGTTCAAGTTCTGTGTACATTCAACATCGATCCTTACCACCTCATCAAAAACCGTGCGACTGAAATCGGTGCCTAGAGGCGACAAGTGTTGCCTATCACATACTATGTTCATGATAGGTCGAGCTGAGCTGCCAGCCTTCCACTACCTGTACTGTTCTTTGATTGCAGGAAGGCCAGACGACCAATGATACTTCAAAGACGAGGAAGCAGAAGCGTGTGAGATGGAGGCCAGCAGTGGAGTTTAGATATTGTGGATTGATCATCTAGGCCAAGAGATCTTGACTCAAAAGCCAGCGGTTGTCTATTTTGGAGCCAGTCGCCGCCTTATTCCTCCGTGCGGCCCGAATCTGCGTCGAGGGACCCGCAGGCAGCCATGGAAGGACGTCCTCTATCATATTCTTGCCTCCTCTCCAGTCCCCGATCATCCTTCGAGTGCGAGGTTCGAGTACGAGGTGTCACTCAAGAACTGCGGCGGACGCAGCTGGACGTCTAATCATCGTTGACGAGGCCGGCAGTGCATAACGCCAGAGCAAGCTCGCAGTCTCCATGGCGGGCAGCTTGAGTCCCACCCCAGTGGTCGATCTGCTTTGTTTCTTGTTTGGTTTTTGCAACTCTTCGTCTTCCAAGTCCCGACCTCTTTTCTTGCAGCAGCTTTGATGAGATGGCTCATCAACATGCAGCTTCTCTACAGCCGTATCCACAGCCCGAGTCCAGTCCATTCTGAACCGTCTCAGATTTTCCATTGTGCAGGGCCAAGGCCCATGATAATATTTTGAATCCCTCTCGTCTAACTTTTGCGCATCACAGTCTTCTTCAGAGACAAGCGAGTAGTATCTGAGCTCGTTGACGTGCGGCCATGTCGGTTTCTCTTGTGTCCAGGGCATCGTACACGAGGTCGGTCCAGTGCGCTCAGTTTGCTCTCCTTTAATGTTGGCATGGCCATGATGAACACTCGACGCTTTGCTGAATATCTCCCTGGCCTGTGGAGGCTTCGTCCCAGCCAAATAGAACGTCGCATTCTGGCTGAGGTGTCCGTCCCACGCACTAACCGTCCGCGGCAACTCCATCACTTCATACTGTGCTTCCTGGTAGAGCACAAAGATCACCCTCTCCAGCTTGGGGAACACAGACAGCCGCTCCAGGAACTTTGTCATGCCATTCTTGATCTGCGATTTTGGCGTTTCGCGACCCAATGATGGGTGCCAAATGCCACCAAGGCTCGCGCTGTAGGAGGTTCCGAAAGCAATACTGCGGACATCGTTGCGAATTCGGGCCACTTTACTCATAAAGAGCAGTGTGCGGTAAAGCTCTCTCTCGAGAAGGCAGGATTCGAGGAGGAGAATATCTCGCGACAGGTCGACGTATTTGGTCGCTGAGCCGAGAGTCAGGGGCTTATAATGATACAGGATGATGGAGCGAGATTCTCGGCAAACGGCCGATGCGGCCGGCGGTCGTTCAGTCGTTTCATTTGCGAAGCGCAAGCCCTGCCTCGCCGGAGTTTTCTGGCTCGTCGATGCGGGATAGATGTCAAGCACACGCGGTTCTGGAAGAGTGAGCTCCCAGATGACATTCCGGACCTCTGGAGGTAGCTGTGTGAATTTGCGGAATCCCGTAGCCATAGCTTCTGACAGCGACATACAAGCTGAGCTGCTTGATCCCATGCGGCGGAGGAAACAACTGTTTAGGGCAATGCCTGAGAGATATAGGTAGGTCACCCCCTTCCGTGTTGTGGTCTCCACTCTGGCTCAATTGTTGTACCCAAGCCCGACCTGCTGGTTTGTTCCCACGTCGAGATGATAGTACACACTAAGTGGCCGCCAGTTCGCGCCGTCGACGTTCTTGAATTATGGTCACCAACGGGCTCCTGGTTCAGCTCCTGGTTCGTTGGCGTCTAAGAGCGGGTGGGATGCCAGATATACCTCCTAATCCAAGTCGATCTTGCCTCAGTCCAGCTCTAGTCGTAGGTCTAAGTGTACCTTGAAGCAGGGTGACTTGCTCACACGATATTCGTGGTGGAGTCAACGGCAGATACATTAAGAGAGGGGAAGTGTCCATGTTGCGAGTCTGTGTGAGAGGCGGGGCATGAGTCGCAATTATCAATACAGTCTTTCTTGTCTGCATTATGATCGAATACAGTCGGTGAGGACCAGGGTAGAGCACACGAAAGCAAGAGATATGAAATATTGGCCGCAGCCCTGCTTCTCGATATTGCAGATTATGGGTCCGACCGTTGTCACTTGACACAGACCATCGCACAAGCAGCCCACGCAAAGAACCGGATAGCCGGTCTTGCATGAATACCGGCGAGTTAGCAGAAAGGAGTTAGCTGACATGCCACCAAAGTGCTGCCAGCCTCTGCTCTGCCTGTCACCGATGGGATTGGGAGCCGAGAGAAAACCTTCCCGCATAGGGACATCCGCCACACCGCAGTCGCCCGTATGTGTGTGTAGTGGAGCATGGGGTGGCATGGTTCAAGGACAAGCCTGTTTCTTGACAGGCATGGGCAGGGGTGCGAAGACACTATCGATTAGATGAGGTGGATTTGCAAGATATTGCAGGATTATACATAGTGGTCATACGCGCCTGCGCTCAAGGGACAGCACGATAGCCTCGTGGGTTGCGCAGCAGCATGGACTGCCATGTGATAGAAGGCACGAGGGATCGTTTATAAACCACTGTCCGAGCTCCTGAGCCGGATCCAGGATGGTGAATCCTGCAATGGGCAGTCAACCCCCAATGGCAATGCGGTTCGTCCGAACCCAATCCATATTCGGAGTTTTAACGACAGCATGAGATGGCCGTAGGGCGTTGATACACGTCCTCAGGCCAAGCAAGCTTCGATCGGCGGGCTCTCGAAGGAAACTTGGTGAAATTGTACCAGGATATGGCGATATGCTTGAGCATAATTGCGAGTTTATATCAATTTGACCGTGTGAGAAGCCCGCAAGACTCAGCTCTCTCTTCCCAACCGAGAAAACATGGGCATTGTGCCGGGTTGCGCGGGAGGCTCCCTTGCCTCCACGGCCAGAGGGATAGTGAGTAGCGTTGATCGGTGGACGGCATTAGCGAAAATGGGACAACCGGATTGCAGGGTTTCCCAATCGTTAGTATTGCAACGCTGGCTCATGTTGTCGATACTAGCACAAAGCGTCAACGACCTGTCATTACACTAGACTTCCATAGTCGGATGCTTGGCGTCGATCTGAATCGTCAGCTACACATTGCCGAAGGCGGGCATGAGACGGATATTGGGACAAAAAAGTAAAAAGCCCGTAAACAAGGCCTGAGAAAGCGTCGCGCGGAAATGCCAGCGCATCCAGTACAGAGACGCTCGAATCCCGAGATAACGAGGCAGATCACACGGTACGCCCAGGTCCACGTAGATGGCACCCAAGGGACGATCACGGTGTGCTTGAGCAAGTTGATTGCTGAGGAAATGAGCATCCGGTGAGATGCCAATGGCGGACGTGGGATTCTTAGTCGATGAGGCCTCATGAGTATTTCTCCGTTGACTGAGCATGACGAAGACCCAGGGCTAAGCCATATTCGTAAATCGCCTTCGCGAAGGAGTGGTAGGACATGCAAGCCACCTCAGTTTGACCGGGCCCGTGGTTCTGGACTATTGGCGAGACTCGGAAGGACTCCGAGGCCTGATAGATTAAACAAAGCGTGGGATGCTTGCGTGTCCGATGGGAGTGTGTGTGCTCGCCTACAGGACAAGAGGAGGCGGCGTTGTGAGAGCAATATCGGCAGTCCTGCGCGGCGGGGGGGAGATGACTACAGAGTCCAAGCAATCGATATCGACAGGGATTTAGATTGCAAAATTGGCCGTTCAGTACCACGCTGCAGCTCGACGATCATGGAGCCTTACTCTGGCTTTTCTATAGCGCTCGAGGAGACGCTGGAGTCAGCCGACTGTCTAATCTCTGGCTACTCGGAGTCAGTCAGACAAACAAGCACTCAGGCACTCAGCAGCAACGCCCCGGACCAAAGATCTTCAACGCTCCGACCTCTAGTCCGCTTCGGGCTAGGCCAATCGGCCTGGCGCCCCACTCTCAGTCGCGACACCATAAAACTTCGTTCTGAGCGCGTAAAGCTACGCTTTTCCCTCCCTCCTCTTGCTCTTCGTGCGGCTGGCCAACTTCAAGTTTCCCCTTGTTGCTCGGATCCTCAATTCTCTATGGATATTTATCGTGCGTCAAGTTGTGCCCTAGATCAACCTAATTGCAATCGGCTATTCCAACCGATTCGTCCACGCCAGAAGTTTACGCCTCCGGGCGGCAGATCTGGGTGGTGGTTGGAGGTCGGACATATCAACCTTCCCTGAGATTCTTTTCTGCTTCATTTAGCTCATATGAGGATCGTCAAAGCTCTATTGAATCTTGACCGTGATCTAGCCCTCAAAATACGAGGCTTGGGTCCTTGAAAGCTAGGGAGATGAACGGGAGGTCAATAGTTCCTCGCGGATTCCTGGCAGGTCGCATTGTCGGGCAAGGTCGCATGAAGTGGAGCAACCTGCTATTGTCATATGTTACCTATAGTTTTATCACTGTCGCATGCTGGACAGATCCATCTTGCATGCTTCCTGAACTATGTATGGTCTATCTTTTGGGTACTCCATGACGTCCTTTGATATCACCTGGCGCCTTCTTGATCCTGGGTGCAGGCGTCCTGTACTGCGTAGTCTTTCCCGAGACACCAACCAAATATGGGGCGCGATTGATATCTTTACCATGCTCGCCCATGCTTCCATCATACGTCATTAATGGCGCCTCAATTTGGGCACGCCCTTGCCAGTCAGATCCGCGCGCATGTGAGACTTTGAGACTCCGATCCTCCTCTGGGGGAGACAACAGCTTCGCCCAATAACGCGTCAAGACTGGGTTTTGATACTGAAATAGTCCTCTCAAGCACCATCGTCTCCTATCTTCTCGAGCTTACCCATGTCGCGTTTCTCGCCCGACTCGCCAATCAGCCTGATGCGATCGATGCGAGTCTTCTCCCCTTCTCCGTCTCCAGATTCGACGAACAATACTAGGCTGTTGATATTCTGGAACTTGACGAAACGCAATGGGATGTTGGCTGTTCCCTCGGCGTTCCAATCCTTCTCGCTGAGCTCGATCAGCTGGGTAGGGGCTTCGCCCTCGGCATCCTCGAATCCAAGATTGTGTGGTCTGTTTGTGAAGAGCTTGACAACTTTGGGTCGCATGATGTCCTCGTCTTCGTCCGGAACGGAGGTAATCTAGGCAGGGTCGTGGTCAGTCTCGGCGCGGTCATGTGTCCAACAGCTGGAAGCTTACTTGGAGAGTGTGCAGCTTCAGCATGGACATGAATGGCACGAAGAGAAGTAGCTGCTCGTCCGTATCGCTGACTACCCAATCCTTCTCCGTCTTCTTGCCACCGCTCAGACCGCCTGGCTTCGACGAGTCGAGAAGTGTGCGCACGCTGCCAAAGTCCTCATCGAAGTTCAGCAGCTCCGTCCTCTGCACCTCGATCTGATCTGTGACGTCCAAGTATCCCCTCGGGAGCTCGGCGCCTCGCCAGCCAAGGGCTGAGCTTCCGCTTGCACTACTGCTGCCGCCGGAGCCGCTACCGCTGGCGACGTTCTGAATCTCGGAGGTCAGCTTCTCGATGATGGACTGTAGCTTCTTCGGGTCCGCGCCCTTGACTTCGTCGATTTTGTTGCCATCACGGAACATGATGAATGTGGGGATGCTCGTGACTCGGTAGGCGGCGGCGATGTCCTTCTGCGTCTCCGTGTTCACCTTGACGAAAGTGACGACACCGGGCTTGGATATCCGAGCGGCAAGTTGCTCATAGAGGGGGGCGATTGCTTTGCATGGTCCGCACCAGTCCGCATAGACTGTGAAATTGGCCGGTCAGCTTCCCGTCATGTTCTCAAAAGGCTTCGGGTACCAAGAGGCTGCTCCAGATGTCGAGACTCCTTTGTGGCGTTGCGCAGCGGGGTGCCGTCGGAGGGAGCTTACAGTCTGCGATGACAATCTTGGAGCTCTTGAGCAGGCCTCTGAATTGCTCAGAGGACTCGATTTTTACTGAGGATGACATCTTGTCTGTAGTAGAGTGACGGAGTAGATTTGGGGTGGCGGCGCAAAGAAACAAAGACAGAAAGTTGGCGATGTTGATAGAAGCAGGCCAGGCAGTGCCTGCCCCGCGGCCATGCCGGAGCTTTCATAAGAGCTACCCACTTTGGTTAGCGCTCAGGCACGTTGATTGACCTTTAGTTGACCCGGACACCGGCAGCCCCTGACTCCCTCTACCATTCATAACCTCAGTCAGCCTGAAAGTAAAGGCAGCTCTAAATTGAAGTTGATTTTGTAAAACAATTTGAGGTCTCAAAATTATGTACAGTCTGGTCGGCCAGTATGTAAGTCAACATATTTTGTGAGATCAATGTACCAGAAGTATAGACTTAAGTGTGCTTCTAGAATTTAACCTATCCTATTAGAGTGTTTAAGGCTGTGCGCAAGATTTTACAGATTTTGAGGGAAACAAGCCTAGATGCTTAGACACTTTCTGTTCTTCAAGCATTCAGATCTGGAGGTGACAAAAAGATTTCCTTATCTTTGGCGTATCCTGCCTCAAGCTATGATTCCAGACTGATTCCGAGAGCATGCATATACTTCGTTGTTTTTGCCTTACAAACCGCCGTTTCAAGACCTCATTTGGAATAAAATTGGTCGCCTCTTCTTTTCTTTCGCTCTAAGATGACGTCGACAAGTAGTACTTCTTGCCATCATTGCTTGCAACAACCGACAAAGGGTAGGATTCGGTGCTGTGTCGGAACAAGATAGAAATATAGAAGACAAGCCGAAGGGCTAGGAGGAAGTGCTCTCTTATCCCTTGGGTCCGCGGGAATAAACAGCTTGCCAGTTACCCAACTTCTCTGGCAGAATCGTCACTTGCAAGATATTATCATGACCTTACCTGCCCCATCGTGATGAGTGGGTTCCTGAAGAGGCCGGCTGGAACCAGAGCTCAAGGTCCGTCCCACATTATGGCGCCAGCGGGATTCAGCTTCCGGCAAGTGTTTGGCTTGCCAAGTCGCTTGACCATGGTGGCTTGTCTGTGAAATACGGTTCCGGCACTTCTGACCAGTTCCAAGGATTGACGCAAGCTTGTCTTTCTGACCTTAAACCTCAAAATTGGCCTCCATTAGTCTTGACTGCCGAGACTGGTACCGCGCTTCGTCCCTAACGCCGTGCTTTCAATATTCCAAGGGTATACCCCATGACTCCTCACGCCTCAGACTCCAACAGCATGGCTGAAAACCCTAGCAGCTAGTTGACTGAGCAGTCTTGCTCTATCACCTTGTGGAAGCTCCTGTGAACAAGAAGAATCAGCATTGTGAGCCAACCCAGTTTAGGCCAACGAAAGACCGAGGACGTAGGCAGCCCCACGAGCAGATATCGTATCGAAGCTGAGGCTTGCCCAATCGAGATCACCCAGACAGAAACTGTACGGACCACCACCCAAAAGTATTAAAACGCTGCCACTCACCTGGAAAACGGCGTACACACTCTTTCCTTGTGTGTCTCGAATCGCACCAAGTCTGTTCCCAGCTACCGCACCGGCCAGAAGACCCGGGACATTGGCAATGATAAAGCCCAGGGCGCCACCACTCGCACCCCCCAGCAAACCCCAGAACCGGTTGTTGGCAGTTCCGTTTGGCTCCGCCATGCCTTGCTCGCGGAGCATCTCCTCGAAGGCATCACCGAACTGTGCATTCTCGGCCTCCTGTTGCGCCTGTCCCGCCTGCTGCTGCTGCTGCTGGGTGCCGGCTTGCTGGGTGAAGAAGTTCCATGCCCAACTGTAGGCAGACTGGCCGGGGTCGGTGCCGCTGGCATTGTTAGTTTCGCCGAAGGGGTCAGCGCCGGCCGAGGTGGAGGTGCCGCCGCCATAGAACTTGCGCTGGCTGTCGTATTCCCTTCGTCGTGTGGGGTCGGAGAGGGTGTAGTAGGCGTCGTTCACGAGCTGGAACTTGCGCGTGCGTGAGGGCCGCTCAGGGGAGTCGGCTGGGACGCGGTCTGGGTGGGTTTTGAGAGCGACCCGCTTGTAGGCATCTCTGATCTGCTGGGTGTTTGCGGACTCCTGGATTTCAAGGATGGCGTCTAAGGGGCGTGTTAGCTATCGGTTTGTTCGGTTTGTTCGTGTTGTTGGTGATTCTCCACCACTAAACAGGAAGCATTTCAGGGATCGTTGGCCAGAGGACTTACAGTAGTTTGGTGGAGCTCCGGAGGCCATCTTGAACGTTGGGATTGAGGTCCTGGTTCTAAGAACACTGTTTGTGTAGGACTATGGGTCGGAAAAGTCTGAGAGGTTGAGATAATAGGAACTCGTGGCAAAGCAAGTGGTACAAGTTCACATGTTGCCCGTGAACAAAGAAGGGGAGCTCAGCCGTCGAGTAGCTGGCATACAGCCAGCGAGATACGCAGTATATGGAGTCACCAGATAGGCAGGGGTAGACGTCATCTGTGGCGCTCGAAACGTGGCTTCCACTGACCAGACACAGTCATGGGCATGTCATGCTATAGCGACCTAGACCATTCATCCTAAGGTAGATCAACCCCTCCAGTTGGTGTGTGATGCCTTTTTGCAAGGTCTGGGCATCATTGTCATTGCGATGAAACTATTTTTCAGTCGCGTCGTCGCGTGTGATATCATGCCTACTTGATGATAAATAACCCAATCTTTTAACATCGACAAGGGTTTGTTACGAACAGAACTCGCACTACAGACGGTGGGTTAGGATTTTATTTCCAAGAGGACAGCCAGAGGCGGTCATATCTCGGAAGACTCGAGATTCCTCTCCATCTGTGGTTCCCACCCCGTTTCGTGTCATGGCTCTATTGGGCAGGCATTACATGCGTCTTGATAATAGATCCGTTTCAAAAGCGGTTGAAGACGGCTGTCATGCGACCATGACTCTCTCTATTGGGAGTGCGTTGGGAGAGAGAAACCATACATCTAGGATGTCCATCACAGCCGGATCTGGGTCTGTTTGAGGCCTGAAGGCCCAAACGTGCCAGGCCGCCATCGAGGCTTGCCCAGAACGGGTCCGGACCTGCTTTCCCCAGCGATGATTGGCGGCATGCTCTGACCCCTCCCCCTGACCTCGACCATCTGGACCGCTTCTCTGCCCCTCATCTCATTCCAGGCCTGACCAACTCGACTGTATATCAAATAAAAGGAAAACGAAACAAGAACAATCATTTCCTTCGCAACTGTCTCCCATCTCCCTGCTGTCTTCTAGTCATAAAATCCCTCCCATCACCAAGTCTCCCAGACTCGGAACAGCCGCCACTCACCGTTTCTCCGATTGCCCGTTCAGTGACCGATCACCCCGCGCCATCCGTCATCTGACGACCGTGATTCATCTCCCACCCTCCGACCAACCCACGAGGCCGACCGCTTCGGACAAACCCCCTTTTCTTAGGCTCAGTAGCTAGAGTCTCCAGACTCTTCTTTTCGCAAGTCTATCATTGCCATTTTGTTCAGCTTTCGAGTACAACAAGTACATAGTTTAGCCAGCCAATATAAACCACTTTGTCTCATCAGAGCGGCTCGACTCTGAGCAAACGGTCAAGACATCCTGCGACCTGCTGATCTCCACTTGCAAACCCAACAAACTGCTTCTTGCGTTGCTTTCGAGGTTCATCTCTCGAGGAACTGGAAGGAAATTGAAGGAGCGGAGAACAAAGACATCACATTGTCAGAACTCACCATATTCTACGAGGTCTTTTGTCTGGTTTAGCGGCACGCAGGGAGTGTTGCAGGCACAAAGTCCCTCCAGATATCTGAACAACAACGCTGACCCTTCTCCAGAACGCAATGATCGTCAACAGTCAGCCCGACATGGCTGTTCAGGATGATCTATCATCTCTCTTCTCCAAGAATCTCACTTTGACTTCCAAACCACCACCAACCCCTCCCCAGGACGATAAGATCGTCTATATCTCCCAGCATTACAACCACAGCGCTCATGTCGCAGCCCAGCAGCCGTCCCAGGTCCAGCAAGATGAGCCCATGCAACGACCATCTTCGGAGCCTCCAAGGTCAGACCTGCAGGACCTCGAGCTCCTCCTCCGCAACCACGGTGTGGACACCTCGGCCCTTTCCTTCTCCCAGGTTGAGCTGTTCCGCAACGCGGCAGATGCCCAAAAGGCGCGGCTGATCCAGCTGTGGACCATCTGCCCCCCGAGAAACTCGACTGACAATCCCACTCTGACCTGGAGCAACACCACGCTCGAACAGGAGGAGATGCTTGCTCAGAGGCGGTACGAGTATCAGCAGCAGCAGCAGCAGCAACGACAAGGCCCCGATGATGAGACCATCATGAGCCTAGATGGCACTGACACCGGAACCACCTTCGGCAGCTCACCCACTTCCATGCAGTCCGGCGACGGAAGGTGGGTCCCGCACGCGCAGAACTACATGGAGCCGTACATGCAGAGCGGGTACGAGCAGCTGGCCAAGAAGGAGTACAACGCGTCTGCAGGCAGATTGGGAGAGTACAAGATCGCCACCGACCCGGTGTACCAGTCGACGGGCGGGGTGCTAGACTATGAGAGGCAGCAGTGGATGGAGAATCAGTACGGATCGGTGGTCGGCGGCTGGGGCGACGACGAGGAGATGTTGTGATTGAGTTAATTGACTCCACTCGGGCGGGAATGAGAGATTCAGCAATGATGATGTTTTTTTCTGGCATGGCACAGCACAATGATACCGAAAGACTGGGTTACGCATATTGGCACTGAAGATGGCGGCGTTGGCATACATTCATAGCACAAATACAACTACCCGCAGGGGAGACGGCGTCAAGGTTTTGTTTTGTCAATACGAATTATTCTATCACATCATACTCGGCTTGGCCCTTCATTGCAATTGTATACCCAGACTGCCAATTTCTCGAGTATCCATGTTGGACAGGGCCTGTGGCGCATATTATTCCAAGCGTCCGGGCGTGACACTCGCTGAGAGCTGGATGTCTACAGATTCGTGGGAGTCACCAAGCAAATGGGCCTTGATTGACCGGACATCATGCGCGCTCAGAGACGGACTCGGACGTGACAATGGGCAACGAAAAACACAGCCCAGTGATTCACTCATGCAGCTACGTTCAAGGTATCATCACATGGTGAGAGTGTGCGTTATGTCGATAAGTCTTTTGTGTTTATGCATGTAAGCGTCTAAACGTGCAAGAGAAATGTTCTCCGCCAGACCATATCCATCCTTCATGTTGCGTTCTATCCATTCAAGCAACACTTTGTATCTCGACTTTGCTTTTGACGTCCGCGCAGCGTGGTCCAAAACTCGTCACCATCGATCCCACAACCCAATCTGCAAGGCAAATACAGCCTGCGACCCCTCCCTTCTTCTGTTCTGCTCTGCTCTCATACACATTATGAAAAAGCCAACCAAAACGCCGCCAATCAAAAGCCTCTTCGCAACGGAAGACGATATCTTGCCCTGCATTTTCTGAAAAGAAGAGGAAGCGACTCATTCATCGCTTCTTCGACTTGCGCTTGCCGCTCTTTCCAGACTTGGCCTGAGGCTGGCTGCCGGTTGCCTTCGAAGCCGAGACGTCCTCGATCGATTTGTCCAACAGCTCAAAGTCATCGTCCGCAGAACCAGTACTTGGAGTCCGCTTGCCACCGGCACCGGATGAGGAGTCCGTCTCGGCGGAGGCGACTTCCTTAAAGTCTGAGGCCTCCTCCTCAACCTCCTCGAAGTCGTCGTCGCCATCCTGGTTTTTGGAGAGGAAGCGGCCGGCGGTGCGGCCATAGAACCAGATTGGCATGCGCACGAGGGCGGTGTCGCTGATAGTAGGCTTGGGAATCTCGTTGGGCTGCATTTGGGTCAGTAAGGGCTCGCATCAACGGCGCTGGAAAGGTCAGAACTGGAATGAACCTACATCAAGCAAGAACTCCTCCACGTTGCCATCCTCATCCTCCTGCTCGAGATACACGTCACCAAGAGAGTCGACGACCAGGACCTTGCCATTCTCCGCAACGACGCGCTTCTTTGCGCCCTGGGGACCGGCGGAATCAGCTGTTGCAGCGGCCGTAGGGGTAGCTGTGCCAGAACTAGCCCGGGTAACAGCTCGACGACCACCACGCTTAGCTCCATCTGAAGAACTGCCCTTCTTGGCCTCGCGCTCCTGCATACGCCTCATCTTGCGGTTCGTAGGCATGGCCTGTTCCTGCTGCTGCTCATCAGCGGGAGCTGGGGGCGCCGCAGTCCCAACTGGAGCACCACCGGCGCCAACGTCAACGGCAGGTATTCCCAGGTTGTCGCCCCACGCGGCGTGCCGCGCAAACTTGATGTACCGCTCGACGAACTCGCGCTGGCGCTTCCAGCTCATGTACAGAGCGAGGTAGTGCGCGCCGCCGCCCAGGGCGAGGAAGACGCCGAACATGACGGTGCCCAGGCCGGGGCGGTACCGGTCGTAATAGTAGTTGGTGCCCTTCCACGTCGGGAAGCCATTGGCCACAAAGTGGTCGTAGCGAGCACGCCCGGAGCCTTTCAGGATGTTGGCGATGATGGACAGGCGGGCCTGTCGGTCAGAAGCCTCCTTGATGGCGGCCTTGATCTCGGATTGCGAGGGGGGCTTGGCGACGTTGACACCGGCCTTCTTGTTCTTCTTGTCCTTTTTGGCCTTGGCACGCTCGGCGGTGAGCTGCTGCTTTACCTTGTCGGGGTGGAGGGAACGAGACTTCTTGCGGTAGGCCTTGTTGATATCATCTTGGGTGGCCGCGGAGGTGACGCCCAGAACGTCGTAGAAGGTAACGTCGGGGCCTTCGAAGGTGGCGATCTCGTCACGGACACGGAAGATCTCGCGATCTGGACGACAGAAGGTTAAGATCAGCTACAATGCGGCAGCATGGTTGGGAAATTGTGCATGTTTGGGTGGATGTGCTTACCCTCCTTTGACCAAGCGGCGGCCAGAGGCGTTAGGAGAGCCAAAAGGCTCAGGGAAACCACAGACAACTTCATGATTGCATGTCGATGGGGTGTTGACTGATGAATCTCCAAAAGGTTCGGGTTGCAACAAGCCCAGGAAAATGTTGGTGTTTGCACCAAAGGGCTCTAAGGAGTAAATTTGGAATTTAGAAGCTGCGATCTGTACTATAAAGTAGGACCTTTTTTCTGGTCTGAAGCAGTGCCGAGCCGAGCCCCCCTGGCACTTGCTTGCCTCCATTGGGAGTCGCACAAGCTTCCAGCCTGCAAGCCCAGGGCCTAGAGTGCAACTTCTCCACACAGGACCCTGAATATCAGCCGCCGGCTCTGGTGAATGGCCATGTGCCTATTTCCCATGAAGATGCGGTCTCAGGGTGCGCCCATTTAGGCCACAATTTGCTACATAGTGGTGCCTGGCCACTATCCAGGTACAGACCACCATTCGATGATTTACTACGTGGACATAAGCAGGTATGACAATGCATGTTATTTTTCATTGGGTTGTCCGCGTCACTTCTCTTGGCTGTTTGCATGAGCCAGCAGTGAGTCTAGTCTCTATGGCTTTGCTCAGTAAGTTCACCAAGAGGAGAACCCGGAAACGTTATCCGAGAGCCTTTCACTGGGTACTCCCGCTCTATGATTAAGAACGGGCTCTTTTGGCAACATACCTTTGTATATTGAGAAGTACATATTTGGGTTCGACAGGCTGTATTTGGGCTGTTCTATGGTAAAGTATAAAGCACGTGCCTCAGTCTCTGAATGAGCACTTAATGGATGAAGTTGTGAGACTCAAGATATAGGCCACATGTCCTGTATTTGCTTGGGCATCCAGGCAACCAGGTATCTGCGCATTTCCGAAGATACTGCCCAAGAGCTTATGCGTTCTCAGTGGAGTATTTGCATTAGGCCAGGTGGCAGCTATAGCGCTGTGTCTAGCATGTAGGTTACCTGGAACAGAGTATCATCATCAAATGGGAGCAAACCCACCAATGCCAACCTTGAGCCATAAGTGCATTGTCATGCAGTAGCCACCCAGCAATCCAGCAAGCACAACATGCTAAGATGCATGCCTGCCTTGCTAGCTCAGCTTGCAGCGGCCAAGCAGCGGGGCCAGCCTGTCACTGCCTGGAGGAGGAATTGAAGGTCATTCCTGTCGAGGCTATGTCTGTCAACTGCACGGGAGGTATTAGACACGTTTCTGAATGTGAGATGCAGAGAGACTCAATGTTCCAGCAGAAAGGGGAAAATGGTAATCTCTGACACGTGATTGCTGCTGCCTCCCTTCGTCTCTCTCTCCGTCTTTTTTTGTTTTAGCGCAGGACCAGGATTCAGGAGTGCGCGGCCAGGTTCCTTGTTTCGGGCGGGATCCAAACATATGGTTACAGGGGCGCCACGTATTGTGCCCGGATCTCTTCCCTACAGTTGCAGCAGCTTCTGACAGACACTACATTTATCTACCACTTTGGAGACAGACTTCAGCTGCGCTTTCCTGGCCCGTCCATTTCATCATCATCAACAAGCCACACCGACTATTCATTCACCTCTATAAGGTCTCTTAGACTGTCACACTCTCTCTATTCCCAGCTTTCCCCTCTTCTCTCCTTTGTGGACTCCAGGCCGTCGACCCAGTCGCTCGTCGACAAACAGAGGCCCCTGGAACGCGCCTCTACATTTGCTACCTTGCTTTGCACCTACAACGGCCAACTTCCTCCAATCCGGCATTCGTCAGCATCCACTGCGCACAATTGCGACGCCTGAACCCGTCACGACATCAAGCCCAAGCCGCAAATTTATTCTGCAACAATGGCACGAATCCAGATCCCCATCGACGCTCTGACGAGCCGTCTCCAGTTGGGAGACCGATTTAATAGCATCCGCTCCTCCTCCTTGTCCAGTCGATTCGCCAACCTGCGGCCTATCTCTGAATTCTTCGACTTCAAGCGGCTGTCGAAGCCCGAGAACTTTGCCGAAGCCCAGTCGCGTGTCAACTACAACCTCGGTCACTTCTCAAGCAACTATGCTGTTGTCTTTACCATGCTCTGTATCTATGCCCTGCTCACCAACCCTTGGCTTCTTTTCGACATCATTTTCGTCGTCCTCGGCATGTTTCTCATTGGCAAGCTCAATGGCCAGGACCTCGAGATCGGCCAGACCCGACTCACCACCTCCCAGCTGTACACCGGTCTGTACGTCATTGCCATCCCGATCGGTCTGATTTCTTCGCCTTTCAGCACCATCATGTGGCTCATTGGCGCCAGCGGTGTGGTCATTCTTGGCCACGCAGCTATCATGGATAAGCCTCTCGAGGAGGCTTTTTCCGGGGAGGCGGTCTAGGTGGTCGGCCGCGAGCTCCCAAACGTGCGCCCCAATGGGGAAGACCATCGAGGCGAGAGAGGGACTACATGGCTGCTGGCTACGGGCAGAGTGTGTGGGGTAATGGCCAGAGAGTGGTGGAAGAGTTAGGAACCGGTGATGACACTGATACACAAGGGGTTGGTCTTGCTTCGGGGAGGCGTTTTTCAAGCGATCCGCTTCGTTTCACAGGGGTAGATGTGGGAGAGAGCATGATTAGGTCACGTAGGAAGGCTTACGAACGATCAGACGACGACGACGACACTTCTGACTCGGATCAAGATTCGGAACTGGACGCCGAGGGCGAAACGCAGCTCGCCCTTCAAGAAAAAGAAAACGCCTTGGTCGAGTCCGCACTGCGACGAATAAGACGAGCGCAGTCAAAAGGCAAGCAAGAGGTCAGGTTGAACAAAAAAGAGCTGGCAGCCTTGGAACAACGGCGGAAGCGCATGCAAGCCGAGTCTGGCGGGAACAAAAAGAAGAGGGAGCAGCGTTATGCGGTACCGCTGTCGCAGCTAGGACCAATGTCTCAAAAGGAGAACCGGGCGCTGGTTGCGCCTGATGATACCTTGCCTCCACATCCATCGCCAGGGACGTTTGAGAGAACACAGGATAGCAGGCTTCAACCTCCTGTGGGCTGGTTCGCTCACCCATCGTCATCCCGTCCCGGAACCGCAGATTCTCGCGAATCTCGCAGATCTTCTGGAAGGGCATCCGACCGCGAACTAAGCTCATCCCCTTTCCAGTATTCCTACGTTCAGCCATCAGGTCCACCTTCGAATCCGAGACATTCATCTGACCCGTCCCTGCGGCATCGTTCATCTCGTGGTCCTCTGCCTCACGAAGAAGCATGGATGCCACAGTACGGCGCATCCGCGTCTACATCGTCTATTCCCTCAGCGCATGACCCTTTTCGATACATGACATCAGGCCCGCAAGCTCCATATCATGGTTCGATGACTGGTTCCCGTGTTCCATCTGGCTCTCAAGTCCACCTGGACCCCTTGCGCGCAGACAATGCTGCTCGGCGCCAATCCAGGCAAATCAGTCCTGACGACACCGAGAGTGACGACAGCGAGGACGATGACGACACAAGCGATGATCTAGGTGCAGGTGTGCGCATTGGGAGCTCAAACGTTGGGCCTTCGAGCAGTCGGGACCAGATCATTGTCGAGGAGGAACGGGAGCCTACACCACCACCTCGACCTGTGACGCGATCAAAGAAGGTCTCATCGGCTACATCGTCCCCTAAACGAAAGCCTGTGGGTGGTAGCACTGGCCGCAAGAAAAAGGGCAGCAAATGAGCGAGTCTTCTTCCACGATACCCCGGGGATCCTCCTTGTGCGCGCGCAAAAACATGTCTAGGGAGCTAATGGATAATGTCATGGGCCTGTATTAATTAATATTGCCGGTTTTGTTAGACTTGACTTCATAGAAAGACGTCTGCTAATAGCATCGACTTCTCCTGCCTGAACATTCACACACCTTGCTTGTGATGATATTATACCATGTTTTTTTGGTGTGGCGGAAAAAGAATTAATTCTGTATATTCGAATATATAGGTATTTCAAGACCGAATGCCACTGTAGTCTGGCCTGGCTTTTCAAAAAAAAAAAAAAAAAAAAAAAAAAAAGATCATCATGTCGTTTCTTCATGAACCTCATTCAAGGTGTCGCCGCCTTGGGTCGCCAACATCGCACACCGATCAGAACCAGTCCCTTACTGACTTCATCAGCCCGTCGCCCCATCCACCACCAACATCCCTCTCCCAGCTCTTCCTCTCCCACTGCATCCCACCATCGTAGCCTCTCTCGAGGCTCACCCTGCCATCTCTTCCCCCCATACCGCTCGCCATCCTCACGGCCTCGCCCACCAGGCCGGCTGGGCCTCCGCTCATGGCCCGCGCGCCGACGCCGAGCATCCTCTCAATGCTAGGGGGCAGGCGCAGCCCGAACCGCGCGAGAAGCGCCGTAAGCGCGCCGCCGGTGAGGAGCGGCAGGACCACGAGGGTGAAGACCTTGACCGGATGCCGCTTGGCGTAGTAGACCAGGTCCCGCAGCAGGCGCTTGAGCTGCTTGTAGGCGCGGGTCAGGAAGTTGGGCCGTGGTGAGCGGCGATAAGAGGACGTCGAGGAGCGGTGCTTGTCTGCGAAGGTTGCGTGTTAGTGTTAGGTCAGGACGCGCCCATTTATAAGACTGAGCAGGTGGGGTTGCTGATGACATACCCATGCCAAAAAAGCTTCTTGTCGAGACATTGGGTATCCCAAAGAAGGAACCCCGGTTGCTTTCGTGCCGGGAGTGGCGGTGCCTGTCCTCATCGCCGCCAAAGAAGGATGCTGCAATGGAGCGCGCCCCCGGGGACCTCGAGCGGGACCTCGACCTGGACTTCGGCCGGAGAAGGGACGAACCCGACTTGCTGCGGCGCTTGTTGGACGAGTGATGCTTTGACGAGTGGTGGGACTTGCGGCTGATCACCGATGCCGAGTCCCAACCGTCCATAAAGCCCATGGTGAATGAAAGCGACGAGGTGGAGCAGCTACGCTGCTATACTTTACTATGCGGAGTAAGTGAGCTGTCGTGGGTGTGGCACTGGGTCCCTTTGGGTTCAGATCGCCCCGTTCGAACAGATGGCAAGCGTCTTCCTTCGCCACCTGAGGATCCAGTGGTGACAGCTCACGGTGTGGGAATGCAAAGCAAGCGCTTTGCGACCGTGATGAGATTGGACGGGAGTGAGAGCTGTCTGGAGCTCACCTGAGCTCGAAGCGGTGAAATCGAGGGGCTGGGGGTGTTGAAAGAAGCACATGCAGGAGACCCCTGAACGGCAACTCTCTGCCAAGGGCTCATGGGGGCTCATTAACTCATTAGCGGATTCAGGAACGCTGCCATTCGCAAGATCCAGGGGTCCCGTCAGTGCTCCGATCAACGGGGCCCTGTGTGGAGAAAAACTCTGCCCCTCGTCTGGTGTCATGCCCAGGTAGAGGAGGGGTGAAAAGGTACCTGTCTATGTCAATGGGATGACTCAATCAAGGTCAACAACATTCGATCAACTTCGTACATAAGCTTGTTTCTGGTGAGTCAACCTTCTAAATTATTTCTACATCCTTCAATTCATCCAATTGACCGTACCAGAGGACGTGATAGCCCAAGACAAGACCCCAGCTTCAGCCCAGCACGTCTACACCTAGCCAGCAGCTCAACATGGCGCCCACCGTCCTGCACCTGCGTGCCGAGACCAAGCCTCTCGAGCATCGATCTGCCCTGACACCCACGACAGCAAAGGCCCTCATCGACGCCGGCTACGAGGTTCACGTCGAGAAGGGCAGCGGCGTCAAGTCAGGCACCACGCGCATCTTCGACGACGCCGAGTTCGAGAAGGTCGGCGCCAAAATCGTCGAGGAGGAGTCATGGATTGACGCGCCCGCCGACCACATCATCATCGGCCTCAAGGAGCTGCGCGAGGAGACCTTCCCCCTGAAGCACGTCCACGTTCAGTTTGCCCACTGCTATAAGGGCCAGGAGAACTGGGACCAGGTCCTGGCTCGCTTCCCCAGGGGTGGTGGTACGCTGCTGGACTTGGAGTTCCTCGCAGACCCCAAGACTGGGAGGCGGGTTGCTGCTTTTGGGTAAGGATTACGCCGCGCTGCTTCTAGAACTGATCGTGGAAATAGACATACTGACTTTATGCGCAATGCAGATACCACGCTGGTTTTGCCGGAGCTGCGCTTGCCCTGGAGAACTGGGCTTGGCAGTTGACGAACCCATCCGAGCCCTTGCACAGCGTTTCTTCGTACCCTAACGAGAACGAGCTTATCGCGGATGTCAAGAAGGGTCTGGCGGATGGAGAGAAGAAGGCCGGTCGTTTGCCCCGGGTCATCGTCATCGGCGCACTAGGTGAGTGCTTATGCTTACTTGCTTGCTTAATATGTCTAGGGCAATACTAATATCCTCACTCTCGTAGGTCGCTGCGGCAAGGGAGCAGTGGACCTGTGTCTTCGTGCTGGTGTGCCTGAGGAGAACATCCTCAAGTGGGACATGGCCGAAACGGCCAAGGGCGGCCCCTTCAATGAGATCACCGACAGCGACGTCTTCATCAACTGCATCTACCTGGCTTCCAAGATCCCCCACTTCGTCAACGTCGAGTCCATCAAGGCGGCTGGTGCTGACCGCAAGCTGTCCGTCGTCTGCGACGTTTCCGCTGATACCACCAACCCTTTCAACCCCGTACCTATTTACACCATCGCCACGACCTTCGACAAGCCGACAGTCCCAGTTTCGTCGCTGGAGCAGGGCCCTCCTCTATCGGTCATCAGCATTGACCATTTGCCATCGCTGCTGCCACGTGAGGCTTCTGAGGCGTTTAGCAATGACTTGCTGCCTCACCTACTCAAGCTGAACGATTGGCGCAACGACCCTGTCTGGGCTGGCGCTGACAAGCTGTTTAAGGAGAAGGTGGCTACCCTGCCCCCTTCAGCCCTGGAGAAGTAAAAGTGGCACAGACAAGGATATGGCATGGTATCGGGCGTTCTGGGTAAATGGGTTTCGAAAAGTAAGGGATACGGTTTGTTGAGACACAAGGTCAAGGCATCTAGACATAGACCAGCCTGATTCCTGTTGGAAACGCTATGGCCAACATATATAAAGATACAAACAAGTCTTTGATTTACCGGTGGCGGCTGTCAATCGCACGCAAGGTATATCGCATTCAAGCCTATCAAGCATTGGCGCCGCTCGCTGGGTTCAGTTTACCCTTCGTCGACCCCCCACCGAGCATTTTCCAGATGCGAGACTTTTCTTTCCGCAGGATCGCAGACTTTCCTCTTCTTGGAGCTTCATCATCCGCGTCTGTCATCACCGTTATCTGCCTCCCAGGATCTTTATATTGCTGCTGTTGATGCTGCTGCTCCGGGACAGCTCTTATCGTTCCACCCACGGGCTTTCTGGCGATAGGAGTCACTGGTGAAACCGAACCAGCCATCGAGTTAAACGCGCCTACGCCCTCCGACACCGGTGATACCGTGTTCGCGTCTGGGTGCGGCGAGGCCGGCGCCTGCAGCGAGTACGATGGGTTGGGATTGTACTCAAACATCGTCCCCGAGGTCGCCGTGCTCGCCGTCCGCGACTGCAATGCCGAGTTCTGTCCGCTCACCGGTTCCGCGGGCAACTCGACAGCGGCCGGCCCCAGCGGCGCACTCGTGCCGTCCAGCTCGGTCTTGTTCCTCGCCGCGCTGGTTCCCTGGGCGTGGACCTCATGCCGGTTCCCCGCGTCGGTGGGCATCTCGGCCTTGTCGTCGATGTAGAGCTGCCCGTCGCTACCGGTCTTGCTATCCTTACGAACATCGGCAGCCGCTGCGGGACTGGGCTTGGCTGGCAGGTTCGCAGCGGTCCAGCTGTCGTCTGTGTCTTTCCTCTTGCCCATTGTCCACCTCTCATACCAGCCGCCCTGTTTCGAGTCCCTCACGTCCCTCATCTGCCTCGTTCTCCTCCGCTTGATCCTTTTCTCCTTTCGCCACCTCAACCATAATACCAGAAGCAGGAATACCACCACGACGACCACCGCGATCGCAATGCCCGCCTTTTCAGCTGGGCCCAGTCCCTTGGGGACGTCGCTCGGCCCCTTTATGCTCTCGGCTGGCACAACACTAAAGCTCGGGGACGCTGTCTCTTCTGTGTCGTCGTCGACATCATCGTAGCGCTTCGAGGTGGTCCACAATAGGCGAAGCTGATATCCCGAGCCAAGGGGCACGGCCGTCCCGTTGACGTAAAACGGGGCCGAGCCCGAATTGTCATGGGCTACGCAGTCATCGTCTGAGTCCCCCGGGCAGTTCGGTGCTGAGCGAGGTTACATGTAAGTTTCTAAACTGTCTGCTGATGTGCGAGTATAGGAGGGAGGGAGTGGTGAGTGAGAGAATGAATTCAGTTGACCAACCTAATACCCAAGTGTAATCCGCAGAGTCGTCACTCTGCCCGTTTGTGTACACATAGATCCCCGCTATGAAGCCTGTTCGATTGCCCCAGTATATCGTGGTCTTCCTGTCCAGGCCAAACTGGCTGGGGAACGATTTCGAGCCACTGGTCACGAAGTCGTTGGCACAGCTCACCCCGAGCACGAGCGAGGCGAAGGTCACCCACGAGAGGTCCGAAGGGAGCATCCTGGCGGAGCAAAGCACAATGCCCAGCCCTGACGAACTGGTCAATTGAGTCTCGAGCTATTGTCAAGGCCCTCAACGCATGAATACCGTTGTGCCTGGGATGGGGTTGAAAGAAGCTTAATTTTTGGGAAGAGTGCCCGTGGGGCGGTGATTTGGTTACTTGTACCAGCATGTTCCGCCCCTACTATCCACTTGTCTTTCCACGATAGGAATGCAGCCTTCCTGCAGGCTCGCCTTTCCTGGCTTCCCGAGCGACATCACATCACATCCCCCCTTGTCAAGCTGAACTCATCGAGCGTGGTCTCCATAGTAAGGAACTGCACTCAACAGGGAAATTAATGGGTTCCCGTTCGACCGTTCCGCAGGTTAGCAGCAGTTCGTAGGGGGCCAAGCCACGCCAAGTGCATGTTCAAGAAGCGGGAGAGCTATTTCTGTGTTTCTTGTCTCTGCTGCAGCTGCTCGCCCGACGCCAGGCTGGTGTGTGGGTTTGGGTACAAGCGAGGAGGAGATCGTCTGTAATTTGTCGGCCCTTGGCGTGCAGAAAGACGGCGCTCGGCAGGCCAACCGAGACCCCGGCCAGGCCTGCTCAGCCACGAGAGGGTGGGCCCTGCGGCCTTTTGCTGCCGTGATATCGAGCGATCGGTGGTAGCACTGGAACGTATCGATGACGACCATGTTGGGGGCTTTTGATATCCGTTCAGCTCTGGTATCAAGGCAGTGCTTAGTCTCTTGCATGCTTGATTGTAAATGAAGTGTGTACGACTCTGCTGGGAGACTGACGATTACATAAATGGTGGGAATATTTGTCAATCAATCACACCGAATCATGTTCACCAGCGCGTGACCATTCTCGGAATTATACTGTGTACCCTCGCTTTTCCTTGAATGGAGCATGCTCAAATCTTCCCGTCCAGTAGATCTGGCTGTTTGACTCGCTATATCCCTTGGTATCTCCTATTTATATATGAAGGTTTCTTCGCGCCTCGCTTCTAGAAACTGATGATCGGCCTAAGGGCAGAGGGGACTGAACTCGTGCGGGAGAAGAATTAGCAAAACGGTGATTTCAGTGCGGTACGCAGAGCTTCGGGCTGGTCGAGCTTTCACTTAATCTACACGTGGTTGGCGTTCGTCCCTGCTACGTACACTGTTACTAATATAAGGCTAATGTGTATCAACCCGATTTGTGCTACATGGTCCACTGAGGGATCGATTAACAAGGCTCTTCGGGTCACGACTGCAATCTGAGCATATACGTAGTGTAGGCGCAGTGCACAAAATGCGTGGAACTAACGAGAAGCATTATTATATAAATGTCAAATTTCTTTTACTTTATTTCTTTTTACACTCAAATCTCCTTATTTTTGTTTTCCCAACGCTCCTTAAGTGCTTCGTTACAAGATCTTGTTTGTCGCTCTTTGCCTCATTACCTGCGATAACTTACACGGCTTCCGGACAATGTATCTGAAGCGTACTAAAAACTTGCCTGTTCATCAAATTTAAATCCAAGTACTTTTTTGACCTTCGCCGGTTGATACATTCTCAACTCGCAAAGGAAGCTTGCCCCTGTGCGTAGCTGTAACCCTCAGACTGCTCAGACACCCATCGCCCAATCAATATAACCATTGAAGCCAATCTACGAGAATTATGAGAGTAGAGTGGCAGCAATGCTGCATAATGCTCCTAGATGCGCGAGTACCGTGCGCTGAAGATCCGCTGCTCTCCAATCGATACACCATTGCCTCACGGAATCGATGCTCGCTCTTTGAGCGTCATCTGCTTTCTTCCCTTCTGAATTGATCAGGTGTTCATGCTCGGCAAGCATCTTATCGTTGGTGGGAAAGACAATGATGAAACTGTGTGGTCCAATTGCGCCCAAGAAGATGGAAGCCGCAAGGTTGAAGGCTGCTGCAGGCTGGTTTTCCCATCCTGTAGAATATTAATACAAAAGTACAGAGCCCCAAGTAGGATAGATCAAAGACGATCTGTCGAAAATTGGGTCATCCTACCTTGCCATGCCAGGAAGCCGTGGAGGATGGCTGGACCAAGGGTCATGTAAGGTCCATATCTGCGACCGAAATCCCAAGCCCGGAACCAACCACGGGTGATAGCATCGCGGTCGCGGATATCTAGTAAATTATGCATCCCCACACGGTCGTGAGCGATTCCATATCCTATTGATCTCTGTGTCAATAGTCTACAACAAAGTGATCCCGAGAGACGGTAGTTATCCAACCTGACATATGACAGGCGCCTGCAAGGCCGATAAGCTGAACCAGCTTGGTCCACGGAATACGCGTAAAGGTTGTCGAGTCCATCTTTAGTAATTGCAAATAATCCGCCGATGAACAGCTTGAATCAAGTATATGGTTATATTCATGGGCTCCTGCAGGCTGGGAATAATAGTCTGGATCTTATAAGTGACCAGCTCGGACCTCGCACTTTGCCATGCCCCGACCCCCTGCCCGGGTGTCCTTGCTAGTAATGAGTGTACATAATGAAAACATGAGGTTGCTGACAAAAGGCAGTTTGGCTGACAAATGTTTTTATCTCGGCTGCTACTATTGCGGCCTTGTGCTGGAATAGTTATGTTAAGATCACCCTGTATTCCAGAACGCGTTCTGGTATTCTGGTGTTTCGTTAGGAAGCGGTCCTGGTTATAGTGTAGCGGTAGCGGTACCGTTCTCAGGTCTGGACTCGGCTCAATCTAGTTTGCTTTAGTACTTTGCACTAGTACTAGTATCACGTTGATTGAGCAAATCGACGGGATACATGCAGTTTAGTTAGGCAATTGTCTGCTTTGCATTCGGATGTTACTTCAGAAGCTATAGTTAGATGAGTTTCAACTAGCAGCATTCCGACACGTGGTAAAGCCGGCTAACACACAATAGAGACGATTTGGCTCGAAACGACCGCTGGCGTCGGCTCAGCTTGTGTCGAACATGTCTTACTGACCTCTTAAGGGAAGACAGTCTTCAGCACATTACCGTAATCCGTGTACGACGATCCCATCTTTTCGATATCATAATCATTCCAATATCCTCCCCCTGCGAGCGTGCTCCGTGATTGCCAGCCGCTGAACTTGGTCTGCGCCTGGGCAGGCGTCGTGCCGTAAGATGGTTTCGAGTCATTGGTGACCCAGACAAGCGGGATAACCTTCAAGCCCAGCGTGGTCTGCCAGCCCGCGGGGTCATTGCCGGCGCCGCCGTCATAGCATTGCAGATAGACCCTGTCCAGAAGCAGGTTCGGCTCCGCGAGGCCATTATTGAGCTGCGTCTTGACCGAGTTCCAGAAGCCCGAGTTGGTGTATGGAGCGATGGTGTACTTGTAGCCTATGGCGCCGAGCATCTTTCCGAAAGCCACCGTGCTGGAGACGTCGTAGATGGACTCGTCGTCGTTGTTGACGGCGTCGAGGGTCCAGGCTGTCTTGAGCGCCGCGAAGTTGCGGTACAGGTTCGTTGAGGAGCCGGGACCCGGGCTTGCCATTAAATCGGCGATGTGCTGCGAATTCATTGAGATCTCAACCCGATTAACGCCCGTAGTGCCTGTCTTGAACGAGCGGACCTTGTCGGAGAGCGCTGTGCCGCCGACATAGGCACCGTTGGATGCGATCAGCACATCTGAACTTCCAGGTGTGTTCGAATAGTACACTACATCATACAGAATTAGCAATCAAGGTAAGGGATATTCTTGAGTCAAAGGTGATCGGCATGGGACATCTCCTGTTCATGACCTGTCTCTCACGCTGCACCCCAGCGAGTTCTTCCGAGATAGTTCACGAGATGGCGTATGATCCACAGGGTTGCGTCCTCATACGAACGAAATACTCTTCTAGGGCTGCTTACTGATATCGCCATTATCGATGACGCCAACGCCAAAGATGATAAGACTGTTGAAGCCAGATGTCTTGATAGCCGTGGTGTTGGATTTCAGCACGTCCTTAAACAAGTATATGCTTCTTATATTGGCAGCGAGAACATTGCAGAGAAGAGCCTGAAACAGTAGAGCTCTTGCTAGAGCGTAGTACCTCATCTTTCCGAGATAGTGCAGTTTGCACGGCGATTGCTTTATCGAGTTTGTAGTTGACGACAAAATGCTCGTGACAGAAAGCGAATCGGACTGCACCTATTCCCAAATTCGCACGGAGGACGTCGCCGGTAGAACAGACGGGAGTGCTCGCAGCTTGGGTTGCCGGAACATGAATCGCATGGAGGGCTGTGTGCAATTTATATATCTTTTTCACCGGTTTTCAACATTGGTGGTAAAATTAATGGGGCAGAAGATCGCCCACTTTCTCATGTCGTATCCATCAATAGGGTTCTTGGCCAACCTTCTCATCAATTTCCCCGCGGCTAAAGAACTCAGCTCTTGTCGGCGACCCTCTCAGATCCGTAGTCGAACCATCCTCGGACTGCAACGTGCCATAGGTGACAAGTTCGAGATACTGAGAAGTAACATCAAGGTTACAGACTAAGTGGAGTATATGTGTCAAGCCGGCTTTAACGTGGTTCCGCGGAGAGGTGGGACAATAGCGATACGAGCGCAAGGGCTGTTCCAAGTAAGCGTCGCATTATCTATCGCAGTTGCCTACTCAGGAAGGTATTTATCTGACCGTCTGAGCAACACTAAGCCATATTTGCAACTCATTGACATGGCTTTGCGGGGCGTAGTATTATATACTCGAGAGCTTCAGCCAACTAGGCAACTTTCCTTTCCCGTCGGGTATATAGAATATGATCTACTTATAAGCCATTGGGTTCATGCCACGACATTGCATACTAGTACTAGTTTGGGAATTTTCGACCAGTTTGATTTGTATCGTTGCGGGCGTAACTCTGCTGCTACCCCTTAGCCATGCTGCATTACTCTCGAATGGCCAAGAGATTTTTGCGCTCAAAAACTCTCAAGAATTCATCGCGAGGAACACACAGAGTAAAGAGACCCTGAGTATGGTGGAAACTGATGGAGACATGTGTCCCACTGTCATCGAATTTCTCAAGGGCGCGTGCCGCCATCTCAGCCACGCAAACCTTGTCGACAAACATGTAACGATAATCGTCGTCGCTGAGGTCTTGGTGTACAGCTAAGCACAGCGTGGACATCCTACCCTCCACTGGAGATGGAACCCAGAAAATCTTGGTATCTTCTTTTGTTATGTATCGGCCGATGCCGAAGATGATGTCGTTTTGCATTGATCCCTCTTCAACTATATCTCCGTGCAGACAAAACCCCAGAACGTTTCGCGTAAAGTCAAAGTGGGCGCTGCGAGCTTCCTCGATAGATTCGTTTTGCATGACTTGATGATACTTCATGATGAAATCGAGGGATAGCGAGGGGCCGGCTTCCATGCGTTCCCAACCAGAGGGGTCTTTGAACGCATAGCCCTCACGGTGTTTCTCGTTCTCAGCTTTGAGTAAGGCGCCCAGGGGCAAGCCAGCCACTACAGTTGACTTGAGAGCAAAGCGACTCTTGTATCGCGAGCCTTGGCCGCTGGATTTGTTCGAATGTTGTGACCCATGTGATCTCTTCTCATGTTGGTCCCGGGCGGCAGAGATCGTTGCGTCGCGTGCGTAGTGAGATGAGGGCCGCATCAGCAACCGGACCTGAACCCGCGGCGTGCCACGAACAAGTCGCAAGGCCGAACCGTACATGATGATTATGCGACCTCTCGGGATAGGACAGAGCTAGGTGAGATTCAGTTCCCTTGGCGAGTGCTGAGACGAAGGTGGATAGAGAAATTCCGTCCTCGTGCCACTCAGCCGATGCTGTGCCCCCTTCTGAGGACAGCTTGCCGCCCGGAATGGATGAGTCAATGCGTCGCGTGCCAGAAGAAGCAACAGCGTATGTGTGGCTTTTTGCTCGACATCAATTAATGAATTAGAATAGCTTCTTGTTCTGAGGGACCAGTAAGCTAACAAACTTTAGGTCTTTCGACTAGGCTGCTCCCAACCCTGCTTGCAGTGAATCAACTCTCACGTATTTTATATCATGAATATGATCATACCGATAAGGCTTCTGTTTTTCAATGAGAGAAAATTAACAAAAAGAACTTGCGGTAGACTTGTAGACGGGCGAGAGTATTTCTTGGATACCTAGGTACAAATAGGGAACATATGCAACATCTCTCCCTTCGCCCCAGTCACCAAATTGGGTTCAGGCCCTGGGCCCTCGCCCCGGCCCGCCTGAGAACGACTGAAATATAATCAGATTACCGCAAGTCACACACGCGCCTTTTCCAATATGAAAGAGTCAAAAGAAACTGGGCTGTCCTGCGGAACAGCGATGTTGCTCCGATGGTACAGCCGCATCATGCTGAGTCGGAATAAGTAGCTGCCGAGGTATTTCGGATGTCCCTATGCCGATATACTAACCGCGCTTCCAACCCCAACAGCCCTCACAACTGAGGAGAACCGACATAAGAATCAGCTATCACTCATACGTACTACATTTAAAGTATACTTAACCTGTTTCTTAAGACCTCAACCAATAATATGACACCAAAGCATACGTCCTCTCCGGGCAACGAGTTCTCATCGGGCGAGCCCCCAATGCGCATGCCGCACCTCGAGTTCATATACCGGATCGTGGCAGAGATGGATCCAGGGGCATCTCCAATCCCAAACGTCCACGGCACCGGCATCTCACGCATAGTGCTCCCAATCACTGGCGGTACGGTGCGAGGGCCGCAGATCAAAGGCGAAATTGTAAAGAATAGCGGTGCAGACTGGGCGCAACGCATAGATTCTCCCAAGGCAGGTTTACGGCCCTCAATCACAGCACGCTGGCGGCAAATCGCTAACAGGGCGACAGTCACCAACCAAGCTCAATGCTCGTTATACACTCAAGACCGACGATGGCCATTTCATCTTGGTCAATGCCGTGGGGACCGTGACGGGAGGACCACCTGTGGAGGGCGCAGAGGGCGCTTGGCCACCTGCGCAAGGCAAGCCTTTGACTATTGCGCAGGATCAGGCGGAGTATTTCACGCAGATCACGTTCGAGGCAGCTGGCGGAAGTCCGTATGAGTGGATGAACTCGGTGGTCGCCGTGGGAGTGATGATAATGGCCGAGGGGAAGCCGATTATTGACTGCTACCGGCTGACAAATTTTCCGGGGACGGGGACGGCGCACCTCTGATGCTTCGATCAAACGCTCCAATTGAAATTGAGAGCAGTTTAATCAATTTGATAGATTGGCATTTACTTGTCTTTTTTACAGATTTCTACGGTAACATAATGGGCACTTACCAGAGTCAGTTCAAAGGCATCAAATATGGGCCATATGATGAATAAGAGAAGGGATTACTTGAATTCTCCGCATCAAATTGAAAATGACATCAAGAAATTGCAAACTTCGCGCAGTGGAAAACCCACGGGTCCGACTCGGAAGGCTCAATCTCTTCCATTCAGCCCTCACGAGGTTTGTGGCACGCTTAACTGCGACTCTCGACTGGCTGCGAGTATCCGTTCTTTGATCGGATCCAGAATCAGTGAAAGAAACAAACACAGGTCGCCATTGCTAAGGAAAGGCGATTCGTAGAAGGAGGATCACTCATCCACCCGTGCATAGTCAGTCCTGTCGACCTGTCATGTTGCTGTCCGTCGATAGACTGACGAAATGATCGTAGAGATGAGGATATATCCACTGACAAGGTCAACTCTATCGAGCTCTCTCAAGACCACCAAAGCGACCACTCTCAGCTACTGGGATCCGTGCTCACCATAGACTTTGGCGAATATAACTAGAATGTCGTACCCAGAGTCTAGAACTGAAGAAAGTCTCTTCAAAAGGTTACCCGAAAGGTCGAAGGTTTCTTGAGAACACAAATGACGGACTGCTCGGAACCCCCGCCCAGGCACCGACTGACACCCACGGCGCTGACAGGGGAAGAAGGGCTCGAGATTAGGAGGTCACCAACATATAGCTGGTGACCCTTGCTCATATGCATGGCAAGAGCATAACTAAATTCCATTTTGTCAAAATGCTCCGTAAGTGAGATCGTCTTAGTGGCACCCAAGCAGGTAGACAGTGGTAGTGGGCTACTCTAAGGTCTGTGATACTATCAGGAAAATGATTAACTGAATGACAGTTGAAACCTTATCAATGCGCTATAGCAAAATAAGAAGCGACGTGTATATATGACACGGCAAGTCACTCGGTATTTACCGAGCGGAACATGTGGAGTTGTGTGGTGCGAGGTCATCAACAGCTGGGTGAGGGAGGAACAGCCAATCGTCTTACACGTATTGGAGTGGTCGTCATGCTTATGATCGTGATCCAGGCTCTGTGCCTGTTCAACCACAGGCTTCTCCAATTGACAAACCTCGCCTGGCTCACCATTGCCGTTGCCTTCGATTTTGACGAAATCCAAACGTCCAAGTGCTTGTACCGTTGAATTTCTTGACGGGTGAAGCCGCTGGTGTGGGCTCGGAAGCCTCAAGACAAGAGCCCAGCCCACCCATCACCAGGGCTGCATTAGCCCAGGGCACCCGTACCCCACAATCGGACCACCCCCCAGTCGCCCCGGACCCTGAGATTCAGGCGGGACCCACTTGGCGGCCGATGGCTGAACCACGCCATCGTCATCGACACTGCAGCGACAGCGGCTCCGATCGTCACGGCCGATTCACTCGATTCACCCGTCCGGATCAGCGCCAAAACACACACATATGTCTCCCTTGTTTTAGCAGCCCCTTAGCTGCTGTAAGTAGCTTCTGAAACGGCAGGGCGGCCAGTTCGATGATAGTCTCTGGAGACTTATTAGCTCGATCAGGCCATGCGGCAGCACTAGTCAGTCGTTCGTCATTCCCCCCTAGGATATGGTCTAGCATTTCTCCCAGGCTTCGATCTGGGCTGGCGACGGTCAAGGCATTGAAGGCTAGACCCTCTGGAACCCGCGATCGTATGGATTCTGGGGCCATTGAGTCAATGGCCGGATCGGTTAGCTACAGGAGAGGAGGACACTGCCTATTTGCTTGGTCAGCTCCCCCAATCGGTCAGCGTTTCTCGCGTCTCAGCGGCACGCGACCATCATTCGATTAGTAGTTGTTGCGGGGTAGTGTTATGTCCCAAGGTGAAGGGTACACCTGCCGTCGTGCCTTTCTGACCACTATGAAATGTATCCCAATAAGACGTACGGACGGACTTCAGGCCCTCCGTGGTCCAGGCGGCAGACGGGCTCGCGGTAGGATCCTTGCCCCCTTGGGACGGGCTCCCCCAACCATCATCGTCATTGTCCCGATCAGGGGCTAGATTGGCGGCTCCGTCATGGCCTGGGTTGAGACGGTGATCACCTCATTGGTGAGATCATCAGGGTTGACGCTGTGAAAGCTTATTCCCAGCTCGTTCGTTCTCGCTGCGACGCATGGTACGTCCACAAGCGAGAGCTTGAGCCATCTCTGTCGGCCTGGATGCCTAGGAGACTCCCATCGCGATCAGTTAAATACCCCGCTCCCCTCTGTCTTCATTCATTGGTATCTTGAGTAATCCTATCATCTACAATAAACCTACATACACTATTAAACCTGAGAGTCACTAAGAAAGACACCATTTTACCACAAGACAAGAGCTTTGAATACCTTCACCATGGATAAGACCGAACGCTCCAACTCCGTCTCCTCCGACTCCTCCACTGCCTCCCCAGTCTTCCCAACCAGGTCAGGTCGCCGCGGCTCCGCCTCACTGTTCGCATCCCTACACGAGAACAAGCGCCCCAATGACCCCAGCCTCATTGCACGTCGTCAGAGTTTAAATGAGCAGAGGCCGCCTCCTGGTCTGATTGGGAAGATGTGGAATAAGTAAGTGGCTGAGTAAAGAAAAATATTACACGCAAGAGCGATATGGCTAATAGTTTTGGACCGCAGCTGGGTACGGGGACCTTCATCGTCTTAGAGACTGTTACTTCTACAAGCGAATAAGGTGCGGCGTGAGATTGAGTAGCGCAGCTGATGACATGCATTGTATGCTATGGACACGGAGAATAAGGTTGGCACAGTTTGGCGCTGATTGGGATTGTTTTATACTGCATGTTGCATGATGTCAGAATCATATAGTCACAGATTGACGAAAGAGATTGAAATGAATATTTTCAAAAACTTCGCATGTGTCTGGCTACGTGCGATCTTCTGGGACAAGTTTATGCTGCATTAATACGCGGAATCCGTCGAGATTCTATCTATTGTCCAACAACCAAACCGTCTCCAGAAGTTTGTCAGAGGTCACAAATTAATATGTTCGGATCTAGTAAATGTCAGATGTTTCTAACCACTTACCCCGAACTTACAGACTCTTTCCAATTGCTAATATTATAAAGTAGACTGCGAAAACTCACTGCCGCTTCGCATGCGAGCCAGGCAATGGTAGTGAGGCAATGGTAGTAGTCTACAAGCAAAGCATGACGACCTGCTTTGCAGAGTCTCAAGCTCTTCGTTAAGAAGCTCTCGCGGGGTTGTTCAATATGAAGAAGTACTTACTTTTACGCTGTGGTATTTATAGTCACATTGTATAATGCTGGTTCAACCATCTCGTCCGAAGCGATTTTGCAAGGATTGCTCGTTGAAATAAATGGCGAGTCGATCAACGCCCACATATCCGTATTCGCGTAAAGAGCTCAACAGACTCATTTGTCATCGATGAACACCCTGCAATCATTCCCACATTAGCCAAGAGAACCGTGCCCAGAAGCAACAATGCGAAAGCTGCAGCATCATGACTCGACGGGCCAGGAGGATGCACCAGGAGGATCGAATGGACTTCATCCGCAAGCAGGTTAGAGTGGTGGGGCCTCAACTCGAGGATGTGCAAGTGCTGTTCAGCTAGAGAGATAGGAATGTGTGCCCAAGCACGGGAGAGTAGGCAGTTGGCACGTGGATGATTACTTTGTAGATACGGTCATGATCAATGGGAATGTTGGAACGGGACTTGTGATTCAGGCAATGTACAACACGAGGTAGATGAGGATGACGGCCGCGAACTAGGACGGTGGACGATGATCAAAGAGCGAGGACGACAGGACGAGGGCATCAGTGTAGAAATGAAAGAATGTGTCATTAGAAAGACTTTTGCCATGCAAGTCGGCTGGAACTAATGAAGTCATAAACCCCGAAGTGTGCTCCATGTGTGTATCCGCAGACGGGAAGGCCAATGTTTTTAGAAACCGTCATAACTCCTCCCACTCAGACTTCCAGTCTCATTCAGTCCGAAATACTCCGCGAAACGAATGCGCAAACCTGTCTGTCAAGGTGTGTCGGGATGCTCCAGTAAGCACGGAGCCCAGTGCAGAAGTTTCGGTTCCGCCTACCAGGCTTGTTGTTACCTCTAAATACGATGCTTTTCGCTCTCTGCGTCGGAAGGTTAGCCTCGCGCTGGAGGGACCGGTCCCTTGTTAGAGGTCTCACCGAGTCTGGAGTACAGCATGTACAGGGCCATGCGGTTGCACTCCTCTGTGCCGGTAATGGTGACGAGGCGTTCGTTGCTGTTATCCTGGGGCTCGTTGATCTTGATGACGCTGCCACTGATTTGCCGGATCTCGTTGATCTTCTGGCCTCCCTTGCCAATGATGGCGCCGACCATATCGTTGGGAATGTAGATCTGCTGTGTGAGAGGGGCTCCAGGCATTCCACCACCACCGTGCATCGGCTGTTGAGCTTGAGGGCCGCCATGTGGGTGTGCGCCAACGTGAGGGCCATGGTGAGGCTGTTGCATGTGAGCCGCCGGTCCATAGGCTGCTCCGGCTTGAGCACCACCATAGTGCATGGGAACAGCCGGGTTTGGCTGGGCAGGGTGTGGCTGGCCCCCGTACGGAGGCATGTATGACTGCGGCATCTGTTGACCGCGCGGGTCATGGCGAGGTTGGTTCCTTGCGTAGTTTTCGCTTCGACCAAAGTTTCCACCAGCAGGTTGAGGCATGTAAGGGACTACTTGCATCCCTCCCGGAATGGCTCCGGCCGGACCACCGCTCCGCGTTGCGTAAGCAGATGCAGCAGGGCCGCCAAAACGCTCGTTGAGCTGCTCGAGCAGCGTGCTGGCGACATAATACGTAGCAATATGAACAGCATCGGCGACACCCATGACAACCAGGGAGCGCTCTGTGGAGAGGGGAAGAACCGAATCTGATGCATTGAGTCGAGCACCAGAAGCCTCCTGAATCTCCTTGATGCGGGCACCACCTTTCCCAATGATGGAACCAATCAGTATGGACGGGATGAGCAGTCGAAGTGGATAGGTCTTCGACTGTGGGTTCGAGGCTTCGGCCAGCGGCTCATTGTTCAGGGTACGAATAATCAATCCAAACGCCTTGGCCACAGCATCAACACTACCGCTCACAGTAAGGATCCGCTCTATGGCGCCTTTCTGGTAGTCGCTGACAGTGCACTTCGCATTGGACATTTGCCTGATCTTGGAGACATTCTCGCCTCCCTTTCCAATGATAGTAGCAGCCTCAGGGCTCGTGATCACGGCTCTGATGTGGATCCAAGCTGTCTCGTCATGGGCGGAAGCGGCCGGGGCCGAGTTGCCGCCGCCCAGGGAGCTAGTGCTCACGATAGGCTTGGTCTCCGTGGCGGCGTCGGGCGCCACAGCATCACCCTGAGCCTCTTGGGGCTCAACGTTGTCTCCGTTTGCCTTGGTCTCGCCGTTCGAGCTGGCCTCGGCAACTGGTGTCTCCACGTTCTCTTCATGCCCGTTCTCGGAGGGGACATCGGCCTTGACCTGAACCTCCTCTTCCTCGCCACGAAGGACCTTGTCTAGGGCAGGCCGCTTCGCATCTGGTTGGTCGGTTCGGGACGGGGATGAGGTCTCCTCGAGGGGCCGCTTTGCGGACTGAGTTGGGGGTGACGCCGACATATTGATTTGCAAAGCAGAAATGCGGCCGTTGTTTTGGGAGAAATCGTATTGAATTGAATTTTTGGTCTTATCTACACCTGTGGGGGCGGATTCGCAAGGAAAACGTGCAGGTGTAGTGGCGCGTCGGGAGTGGGTGTAGATGGATCGGACGGACTGCTGGGCAACTGGGATCGAGGTCTCGGGGGTGAAGTGAAGGCCGGGTGAAACTATCGCGGAGGGCGAATGCTGACACTGCGGAAGAGGTGAAGTGCTGGGAAGACAACCTCCTCTGATAACTGCTTCAGATGGATGATGGGTGCAGCTTTGGTCGGGAGGTAGGGCGAGGCGATGTGCGGGCCAAAGATATTGTGGTTGTGGTTGAGGCTGAGGCTTGAGTTCGGGTAGATGTAGTCAAGGGAGGCGCAAGATGAAGAGTTGATATGCTGAAGCAGGCGCTCAAAGAACTCAGAAGAAGGTGACGGGTACGGTGAGGCTTGAGAGTGTAAGGCAGGCAGGCAGGCAAGATACCGAGAGAACCAGATCTCAAACCTTTTTGCTCCGTCACAAACAGCAGCAAGCACCCGAGGTGGCCGTCTTTGGCAATTGGCCAACTCGCTTTTTCTGTTGGCTGGCTTAGAGCTAGCTCGATGCCGCGGTCGATACTGGGCCTCGTCTGTCTGCACCACGTTAGATGTGTGTGTCCCTATCGGCGAGTGTTTGACAAGCAGAGAAGGGAAGGAAGGTGCGAAACAAGAGTTGCGATGTGATGAGAACTGGGGAATATCAACATTGACGGGAGCTGGGGAGGAAGCTGGGGGGAGCTGGGTAGGGGAGGTGATTGCTGAAACAGGACGGAGAAGAGGCCGCAGGAACACCTTAGGGCTACACGTACCGTACTGCCAACGGGGCAAAAATAGAGGGACGATCTGTGGGTACTGTGTACCACAAGCTAGGGAGGGGGGTTAGTGGTCAACAGTGACTGGCGCAGACGGTGGCGACGAGGGTCTGGGTGATTGATCGCCAAAGGGGAATCTTGGGTGGTGGTGCAGCGGGAGGTAGAGATTTGGGCGACGGGGACGGACAGGAAAGAGGTTGACGGGTGAAGTGAGCGGTGGTGGGGTCGCGGTGAAAAGGCGTAAACTTGCCCCAGGCGAGTTCGGACGTCGCGTAAGGCAATGCAGCAGGCCGCTGATGCTTGTGCTTTGGTTTGCCGGAAGGGGTGGGGAGGGGATTCAGAGACTCACAGTGAAAGAAGCTGGTTGGGATGAAACTGGAGGAGAGGTGTGCCGTGCCGTCGGCGGGCTTGCCCCTTCACAGCAGGGTGTGGACTGGCAGAGCAGGAGGTCAAATATTATGGGTCTCTGGCCCGTGCACGCTCCCCAGCGCCTCTGGGCTGTCTGCAGGCTCTGGCCGTGGCAGGCTAGGGGTGCTAGGCTACACAAAGTTCTGATGAAGTGGAGACGGGACGGCTCTTGACTGCCACCTGGCACTTGGGCGCAGCTCCAAATCCTAGGTAGCCTCTAACGGCAACTAACATCTCTGCCGGTATATCGATGTTAGAATGAGACGGGAAACGTCAGCCGCTTCCATTGAGCATCATCTTACTGCGGAATGAGGAAACAAGAAGCACATGCCAATGGTCGGTCACTCGAGCTCTGTCCAGCCCGTCGACACATTTCCCTCCACCTGTCTCACGTCCAGGCCTGCACGGGTACTGCAGGTGTGCTGTGGATGGCAATACCCATGAAGCACTTCTGCCTGGGATTTGCATACGGCGGCACCTCCTTCCCGTCTTCCGGATCTGCCATCGCTGCCGTGTGCTCGCTGGGGCTCGCTGGGCGCATAAATGCTACATGCACACTTGAGATCTCCTTGAAACCCTTCTTCTAGACCCTTGCTTCACAAAGCTACCCCTAGCTGAGCTGATTCGTCAAGCTGGGCCTTGGCCAATCGGACCGAGCTCGTCGCTCCTGACAGCCCCAGAGCCATCCCGCCCAAAATCTGCATCTGGGGTAGCTTCATCCGACGCGTTCTCGACGCGACGGCGGCGCTCAGTCTGCTCGAGATGGAAGAATCCGCTGCAGCCTTGACCAGCGAAGACCTGCACCCAGGTTACTTGGAGCGCTCCAGGAGAGAGTTGCAAAAGAAGGTTGAGCAGCTGAAGCGAGCACTTGCAGAGGTCTGTCACCACTCTACGTGAGAAAATAGACGCCTCATGCTGACTACAACCCAGGAGAATGAGAAGTGCGCTGCAATTGCACGGAGGAGCCATGGGAAACAGAATCCTAGTGGACAAATCGGTACAAGCAAGCAATTGCACGCCGTAGCTGGAGCCTACCGAGATGTTGCTGCGTCGGAACCGTTCTTACCGTTCCCTGACTCTGTCGTGTCTGCACTCGTAGCTCTGCGTACCACGAATTCGACAATCACCGAATCGAGGAAATTCCTCGCTTCACAGAAACTGTCACTTCAAGATGCCCAAGAAAGGCTGGATGCTGAGAAGGCAAATTTGTCAGATCAAACAGCCCTGACCAAAGCGCTGGAGAAGCGAATACAATCACTACACGAGGGCATTGAGTCGAGGTCGGCCATGAGTCCCAAACAGGTTACCCGGGAACGGATCTCAGAGCTCAAGAAGAGTATCAAAGAGACCGATGCCGATACATCCAAGCTGTTGAAGGCCCTGAAGAAATTTATCGATGAGCAACTAGCCTTGATGTTGGCCGCTGAGCAGAGCGGCGGCCCTGTGGCTGGTGACATGATGGAAATCGACTCAGACGATCTAGAAGCCGGCTTCAGCGCAAGGGGCAAGCGGAAGAAATCCAAGCCAGACGCTGGCACGGACAAGAGGCAGCGGAGGATTGACGACATGTTTGATGGCGGCCAAGAACGAGAAGGCAGGGACAACGATGAGAGTGACAAGCGGGCTGCAGCCAGAGAAGAGATGCAGAGACTCACGGAGGAGCTCATGAATAGCCTTATGGATTCTGGGAGTTCGAGCTCGGATGCATATGTCCATGTTTCTGACGAGTCGGCGGCCGTGCGATTGCTTGTTCGATCGAAGGTTGCCGAATTCCATCCAAGAGATTCAAAGCGCCTGCGACTCGTGGACTTTGGCCGAGAGATTGGCGATTAGGCGCTCTGACGGGATGATCTAGGCCACCTTGTGTCGTTCCTCGTTTCGCTCCGCTGTCAATCAAACCCGACACTGTCGATCAGTGCTAGTCAGACGGAACGACGCCCAGCATAACAACAGGAGGCGTTTGACAAGCTGTAGTAGACATGTTATGCAGGTCGCTCAAACACCTCGGTGCCAAACATTCATATGACAACGTTTACATCGACTTCTTGCATACTACTTGCAGACGCAAGTCTGGCTTGGCTTCACTCACTCCAACAGGGAAAGCAGTGCGCCAAGTCCCAATTCTTGGCGAAATCAAAGCCTGAGCCGGCACTTGTGATCAAGGCTCGCCTTCTCGAATGCTGGGCCGAAAGTACCCAAGTTTGAGGTATCATCATAGTATATACTGTCAAGTGCAGAGATGGCATCTGTTTCCACCGTAGTGAGGAAATATCCTGCGAAGATGACTGGTCGACGGTCGCTTTATGTTTTACAGCGTTGGTTTCGACACGGTAGTAGTATCGTTGCCTGAACTTCTAGATGACAGGTTCGTCTGATGCCCGTACTCATCTACTCATGTTGTCTACCTACAGGTGCTCAGCAGCGATATAGATGAGAAAATGGAAACATGGGACGATGATCTCCAGCGTTCTAAGTGAAAATGGAGCTAAAGCTGTAGATCAGTACTGCCTTCCCGTCTCCTACCTCAATAATGAAGTCGAGCTGCGAATGTCGACTTAGAGCCTCTGTGTGGCTTAGAGACGAGGGGTACTAAAGTGTCTCCACGAGAACACGATCAGACACAGAGCAAAATATTCTCTGGGAGAGATAGTAGAGAAACAGTGAGGCTTACCCAGTTGCTTGAAGAGTGGGTCCTCCCGGCCAATTGGCCAATTAAACTGTGGGGAGCGAACGCGTCCACGCAACGCGGTTTCCATTTATATCCTTGCTCAAGTGAAAGTTGAAAGAAGGGACCACCATGGCCATGAATCTCTGTTGCAACAACAACGCTTGAGTCTTTCCCTCATCGTGCACACTGCGTCTCTCCCGACCCTCTCTCACGTAACATGAACACCGACAAGAACAACTCAGTCAAGTCACCACCGAGCTCTCCCCCTGCCAAACGCGTCAAGACCGACGGAACTACTTCGACCATTAGCACGATGGCGCAAGAGAACGGCAGCACCGTCCCTGTCACCACAATGGAGCAGGCCCCTCCTCTCCTCATCAAGAAGCTGTCTGACAAGGCACGTCTGCCCACCCGCGGCAGTGCCTTCGCAGCCGGCTACGACATCTACGCAGCCAAGGCAACAGTCATTCCCGCGCGGGGCAAGGCCGTCGTCGACACTGACATCAGCATGGCAGTACCTGCTGGAACTTGTAAGTCATGCACAAAGAACAGCAAGACAAGGGGCGCACATAGACCTGCCAGAAGCTAATCACTTCCCAACAGATGGCCGCATCGCTCCCCGTTCTGGCCTCGCAGTCAAGTAAGTCGCTCACTTGAATGCCGGGGGCACGTCATTAACATCAAAACTCAGGCACTCTTTGACCACTGGCGCCGGTGTCATAGATGCAGACTACCGCGGACAGGTCAAGATTCTGCTGTTCAACCTTTCTGACACCGACTTCAACGTCTCAGAGGGCGACCGCATCGCGCAGCTCGTCCTGGAGCGCATCTACACCCCGGAGGTGCTAGAGGTCGCCGAGCTGGAGGAGAGCGTGCGGGGCGCAGGTGGGTTCGGGTCCACGGGCGGGTTTGGCACCGCGGCGACCTCTAACGGAACGACGGACGGCGCCTCCGATGCGCCTGCTGCTGCCCCTGCTGCGGCTGAGAAACCATCGTCCTAGGGGGCTTGGTTGCGGGACAAGAAGAGGGCCGTGGACGCTGCTGTTGCCGTGCCTCCGGGTGTTGGCAAGGCCAAGTCCAACAAGGACGTGCCTTGGCCGTGGAGTGATAGATACATCGGGTTTTCAGAGGCGTGTTGGATGGGAAGTGCTATCTGAGAGAGACTTGTGCCTCCTCGGTTGCCATCACGATGATGAGCTTACACGTGAGAAAAGCATCGGTACTGCACAGCTTGGTTACGAGCCCGTAGGATATTGGCATCGGGGAAAAGGCGACAACGCGGAAGAACATCTGCATATATTTGAGAGTCCATTACTAGGACCGCATGATCGGATTAGATGCACCACAGACAGAATTCGTGCAGCCTGCAATTGTGAGGCGAGATAATGGGAAATGCAAGATTCAATATTAGCTCGTCTAGTCCAATTCTGCTTTTGCAACAGATGCTCCGTCTACTTCTAGTATAAACACCCAGGGTTTAACCAAGATATGCTCCTCTTTTGCAACATCTACATCTTCTGTGCTTTGAATTCGACTACTGGCTCCCTTAGGGAGCCAAGATGCCTAACCAACCTCAGCTCGGCGGCTTTCGACCGTGCCAGGTGCATCCTCTTCTCGTCATCCCCACCAATGTCCGCCTCGACCCTCTTCACCTCAGCCTTCATGCTCTCGCACGTCGCAGCCAGCACCTCGTGCATGCTAGCCAGGACGCGCTCCGCCGCCCGCGCGAGCGGCAGGTCCAGCGCGTCGACGTCGTCCGGGCTCAGCCACGACTCGGTCCGGCCCAGCCCCGCCTCCGGCCCGCCCGCCGCCGTCACGGCCTGCCGCATCCGCACGACCATCAGCGCGGCGAACATGTCGCCCGTGCCCGAGAAGTAGGCGTCGATGGCCGGGAAGCGGATCTTGAACGCGCGCGGCTTGCGCGTCGACGCCGTCATGGTCGAGCCGACGACCGAGAGCGTCCTGGCCGCGCCCGGCTCGCTCGCGTCGCCGTCGTTGTCGAGCGACACCGAGGTCAGGACTATGTGCGGGACGAGGTACTTGGTGTGGATCACCTCGATGGCGCGCGTCAGGGAGGTCATGTCTGTGATTTTGACGTCGGAGAGGAGCCTATATTCGTACAAATCGCGCGGTTAGCACCTCCTTTTCTTCTGCTCCCGGGCGCCAAATCGTAGAGCCGGCGGGCAAAGCTGGAAGGAGAGGGCGGCGAGACTTACTCAGCCTCGAACTGGTTCGGCAATATCAGGTCCGCGTGCGGAAGCAGGGACTTGTACGCGGGCACAACGTCGTCGGCGACGTACAGCCTTCCATTGTCGCCCATCACCGGATCCAGCACCCAGAAGAAGCTCCCCGGCCTTGACTTGGCCTTGGCCTTGAGCTCAGCCGCGATGCGGCCCACGGCCTGCACGGCCTCGGCGCCCGGTATGTATCCCGAGAGCATCATGTCGAAGTCGTCGAGGTAGGACTGCTTCAGGCCATCGTAGAGGTCTGTGATCTCCTGCGCTGACACCTTGGTCCCCTTGACCTGCTTGTAGCCCGTGTGGTTGCCTGTTTCGCGCGGTGGGAGAGTGTCAGGACGGGTTCATCTGCAGGCTATGCGCGTGCGCGCGCGCACATGAGATCGAGAGAGGTGGTGGTGGGAACTGACTGAATTGCACCGTGTTTAGCGCGGCGACGTCGCAGCCGAGCGACTGCATCGCGAAGACGGCAATCTTGTTGCCGACATATCTGTGGTGCGGCCAGCGCCGTGATCAGCAGGGAGAAGCGGTCGATCGTTCAGTCGTACCCTCGCGGGGGATGTGCGGCACTTACCCAGAGACAACCTTCGCATCTTGTCAGCACGCCTCTATCTTTGTCTCTTTGTGTGTATGGGTTGAGGGTGGATGTATGTGCTCATGGGAAGAGGAGGGCACGTCTCCGTACATGACTGGCAACAGCGAGGACGCGAGTCTCTGGGACTGGCAAATCGGCTGACATCCTCGGTGCGACTTGGCTAACGCTGCCCATAAAGCCAAAGGGGTGGTAGGGTGGCGGCGGGTTGGGATTCGAAGTGCAGGTGGTTTTGGTATGCACATGTATGCACCCGGATCAGTGACGGGAAAGCGCAGCGCAGAAGACCAAGCGACGTCTGGGAATACACAGGCAGTTTTACAGCAGTGGACTAGACTAGTCAAGATTTCAGATCCTTTCAGAAGACGGAGGATCGTACGTGCGATGTCGCGCCCAATTACGGTATCACCGGCAAGCGTGCTAGAAATTTCGAATGACACAGCGAAGGCGTCGGACTCATACAAAAAAGTGCCCCGCAAAGTGACAGGCTCGGCGCCGGTGATCTAGATGCCAGGGGATAGGATCTCGGGAGGGACGCTGGAACCCCACGTTGTGACCCTGCCTGGCATAGCTGCAGCTGCGCTCTAAACACACCATACACTTTCACTTGCACATGCGCTTCAAAGGTGCTGTGTTTGAGGTCTCATTTTTTTTCATTACCGTCGCATATCGTATCAAACATGATGCTGCTGCACTACCCTTCTCTATGATGATAACAGTGCATTATCCTGCAACGCCCAGACAAGCTCGAGTCCACCAATTTTCACAGATCCGCCCGTAAAAGGAGGAGCCCAGGTAATATCTCTGCTCTTGAAGGCGAAGTCGGGCCAACCAATGTGTCCCGCAATCACGATATTGGTGTAGTTCCCTTTGAAGGCGACTTGCACAGGACTTTCTCCGGAGTGGCAAGGCGTTGCTGCCTCACGGTGTCTATTCTCGCCCGTCTATCAAAGCAAGTTTCCAAACAATTACTCGTCGTCACCAATCTGTTCGATTAGGAAAGTAATTAGCATCGAGCTCAGATAGGAAGTTGGGAGAGGTAGATAAAGGCTCACCTTCGGGGCCAGGTAGAACCGCAGGTAGCTGTTGCCCTGCACGCTGTACTCGACCAGGAGAGGCACCTCGTTGGAGAGGCAAATCTTGACTTGTTCCGACAGAGCCGAGGCCTTGCAGAAGTTGACCAGGTACTTGAGGGAGAAGGTCAGGGACACAGGCTCGCTCAGCTCAATCTCGATGTTCTCCTTAGGCTTCTCGACGTTTTGATGGCTGCGCAGTGTCACGGAGCCGTTGCCAATGTCGCCGCTGCAGGCAAACTTGACACCGTCCTTGCTCGCCTCGATCGTGACTGTCGCGGTCGATTCATGTTAGCCAAGCCGTGACACACCACGTGTGACTTGTATATCCCGTTTGAAGCTCTTACCAGACTCAGACATGGCCAACAGATCTGTGCAGATTCTCCGGAATTCGGCCGAGGGCATGGTGATCGTAGCGGCGTACTCGGTCTCGGGGATGCCCAGGTGCTCCTGGTCAATGTCCATGAGCTTGAGGTCATACTCGGTAAGGCGGTCGTTCTCGGTGTTCTCAAAGACCAGGTTCAGGCTGTCGGGCGCGTCCTCGGCCTTGAGGGTCATCATGTCGTCGTTCTGGGCGGCGCGGAGCACCTTGGTCAGGGAGGTGAGGTTGACACCCAGCGCGATGTTGCGGTCGCACCGGTAGGGCGCGAAGCTGTCGGCTTTGAGCATCATGGACACGAGCGCGACGTGCGAGTTGTCCATGGCCTGCAGGGCGATGCCGGAGTCATTGCAGTCGAAGTTGCAGTCTTGAACCAGGTCCTTGATGGCATCGACAACCTTTTCGACGAGCGAGATGTCAGAAAAGCCCACTATTCTAAGGAACTATTTGGGGCAACTTGTTCCTACCTTCTTCAGGATGCCCGCCTGCTCCAATCGTGCCTCAAGCATTGCTGCTTTGGATTTAGTGTATGTTCGCGTAGAAGCGGGGAGGTGCTCAACTGTCGCGCCTCGCAGGACTTACTGAATGTGTGAAGAGAAGAGTTGTTGAACGGATTATGGGGAGTGTGAGATAGAAAGAAGTGGTCGTCCGGGAATCTCTGGTGGATATCGCGTCGTAGTTGGTTTGCGCAAGCAGGTAATGTGTTTGGAGTTTGTGTAGGCACCGAGAGAGAGAAAGTAAGTAAACCAGAGTCGCAGCCCAGGCTTTTTGAATGACGCGCCTCCAGGCGCGAGCTCATCGCATTCACGCGTCGGACGGAGCCCATTAAAATTTAGTGGGGCCCAAATCATGTACATGTGTACATCCATTGATAGCAGCTGAGACCCCCCATGATCCTTGCACGGTAGCCTCTTGTCCCCTCCTTCAGATTTACAATGTCACCGCTGAGAAGCCGCTCTGACCACTAGAGAAAATAATTACTGACCTTGGACGCGGCAGTCTGCTTTCCCAGTCCATATTCCATCGAATAGGAAACAAGGGGCTTCAAATGCCTGGATTGCACAATCTATCAGAGTCGTGAGCTTTAAAGGGACATCTTTGGGAGACTGGGCGGAATCCCATGCGATACTGTTCCTGTAGTCATTTTGATAAATTCTTGTTGATTTATTGTTGGCTTGTAATTTCAGTCAATATATTCCTACTGTACAGTGACCAAACATTATCGACTATTTTCCGTGTCCAGAAGGACCCTTGGATTCAAACAAAACATATCCTCGACGCCGTATGACCCCTGAGTTCCGTCGCCCCTCAAGATCTATGTGGTACTGTACAGGTCGCTTGGATATCGCCTCTGTATGCATTTTTTGGACATAAGAAAAGTGGTAAAAGATGAGAAAAATAGGTATCCTTAAAGGACTGTGTACCGCCGTCACACCACCGCCGCCGGATGAAACGCCGATAGCCCATGGATGCAATAGCATGGAGCAAGTAAACCAAAAAACCAAAACAAGCAAACATTAGTCATCAAAGGAGCGGCACGGGATATGGCCCGTAGAGGTAGTCGCTCAGAGGGAGACGACACGGCTCGGATTCGGTGGCAGCGTTTGCCTCCTGTTCTTGTTCGGGCGGAGGTTGATAACCATCTCGAGCTCTTTGAGCATCCCGCGATTCGCGTCGAACTTCTCCTTCGTCTCCGCCCTCTTCTCACGTTCCTCTCTCATCTTCGCTATTCTCTCACTTCTCGTCAGCATACTCCTGGGTCGCTGTGGCGGACCGGCAACAGCCTCGAATATCTCTTCGCTTTCTCCGGAATTACTGCCCGCGTCAGGACTGTCAGGCGATTCTCCCGTGAGTGCCTTCAGCGCGTCCGAGACACTGCCACCGCTTTCTTCAACAGTGGTCAGTCCGCCCAAGGAAATGGCTGGGGAGAGCATTCCACTGATAGACGACAGACGTTTCTCGTTGCGGTCGATACCCGATGCCACAGCGGCCCTGCCGTCTTCCCATGCCTGTTGGAGCATCTTCAGATCTTGACCAATCGACTCGTATTGTGCCATCAGGCTCGGTCCCAGCTCTGACAAGTCCGAAGCAGTGTTTAGGGCCCGGTCGGACTCCTCCCGCAGCAGTGTCATCTTGGCCTGTAGCCCACGAATACCCGTTGTGAGAGAGTTCAGCTTGCTTAGTTGTGAGCGCCATCTCTCGCGTCCGGGTGAGAGCGGGCCCTTGTCTGCGAGCGAGACCGGGGCCTGGAATGACTGTTCCTCGCCAAGGATCTCTCCTAGCCGCTTATAAGACGCAGTCGTGGCCTCATTCAGTGTCCGGAGGGATTCAACAACGGTGGTCCATCGCAAGAAATCGGAGTCGTCGCCCTTCGCCTCCATCGAGAGGAGTGCACAGAGAAACATCTTTCGCAACACGTGGAACCGTGATGCCACGATCTTTAGGGTTCGCAGGGACTCCATGTCCTCGAATTCGCTCTCCGAATAGCCCTGCAAAGCATCCGACATGTCAAGGTCGCTAATGTCGTAGATGTCGTAGTACCGTTCCAGATCCAGTTGTTCAGAGAACCCTTTGATCACCGAGGAAGCCTGCTCATACTTGGGAATGATCCCTCCGAAGCTCTTCCTCAATGCTTTCCTGAGTCTAACGCATCTCCGAGTCTGACTGCGGTCCTCGATTCGGCTGATGGGTGGCAGTGGTGCGCTGAGGCGATATCCGCGTGAGACAAGCTCCACCTCCTGGACTAGTGCCACTGCGGCGCTCGATGCGCTGTCGAAGTCCTGCGCACTTGACACGAAGGTTGTGATCTCTGCCAATGCCTGCTCCCTGACATATTTGAGCCATTGTTGCCTTATGTATGCCTGTGACGCGACACCAGCAACGGCAAACACTACCACAAATACCACCACTCTCCTCTTCGACAGGTGCGTGTATCCTCCGCCATATAGCCAGCTGATGAACCAGGCGAGCCCAAGTGCCCCGACAGCCGTGAGGAGCAGGCCAGTTTGCGTGGGAATGTTCGGGTCTTGGCCGCTTCCGAGGTGGATCTTGGAGCTCTGCGCTTGGCCATGCTGCCCTAATATCGAGTGACCACTTAATAACTGGGAGGCAACGATCGTATAGCGGAACTTTTCCAGGAATTTGGAATTGTCTGCTCGGTCTAGCTTGGTAGCGACTGCGGTCTGCATGTCTCGTTGATCAGCCAAAGATGACAGTAGTCGCGCGAGGACTTTCTTACCGCTCCATCTTGCAAAGAGCTTAGGCGCTTCTTGGGCGTGGGAAGCTTGATGTTGAGCGCGTCGGGTATCTTGCTGCGGAAGCGCGCCTTAACCAAAGGCCTGCCCGTGGGCGCGAACGAGGGACTTGGCGGGCTCGGCGGTGGTGTGTCTATGATAACGTCTGGTTCCTGTTGCGCCCAGTCACGTTGCTGTTCCTCGCCCTCGTCTATTGTTGTGAGAAATCCGGTCAGCGTGAGGGGCCGCATGTTGATGTTGAATCATTTGATAAGAAGAGTAGGAGTACGGTCGTTGGAAGGAAAAGGGCAAGCACAGGTCGTGGACTGACCCTTGAGGTACTCGGCGAGAGGAGTCTCGTCGTAAATTACCGTCTCCATGAAAGAGATCTAAATCGAGGGTAACGGGCTGCGGCACTTGTTGCACCAGCCATGCGGTTACATGTGCACAAAAAGGCAAATGATCCCAACGGAGGAGTTCACGGACTCCCGAGGCTGCTGAAAGGGGTCGGTCGGTATTTCGGGCCCAAATCCAACAAAGGAATCCTCGAAACGAAACGAAACAGAAGAACAGGCACTAAGCACTGCCTTGGAGTCGAAGGCGGTGGCGTACAGTGGACTAAGTGCGTAGGATTGGTGGGATCGGAATATCGGTGTGTATTGTACGGAGTAACGAAGGTGTCAGTGCCAGAGTCAGTGCCAGTATCCAGTATGGGTTTTTTGGCTGGAGATCTGGATCTGCGCGGTACCAACTTTGTCTGCAAATGAATGCAATTGCCAATCGCTATCTCACATCAGTGCAGTAGAGAGAGGGAAGAACCAAAGGAAGGCATGTGCAATCAAAAGGGAAGAAGGACACTTGACGAGCCTCGTATGCCCACCGCTCCCTCTCTCGCTTGGGCGGTGCCAGGGGTGTTCATCAAAGTAAAATGAGTCGACAGGAACGAGCTAGGGGTCCAACTGTCCCTGTCGAGAGTGGACACTCGGATTGCAAGCGATGTTAACGAGTGCTCAGTGACCGCTGGCTGCCCTCTGGTGCTGTGCTGCCAAGTAGATGGGCCCCGGTGGATTGGCCCAGTGCTCATCTCGGTCTGCGGTTAAGAAGCTGGGGCCGCAGTTCGGGGCCGTCAGGTGCCATTTTTGGGGCGAGAAACACCTGCCAGCGGCTGGGTTCAGGGCGGCATGAAACGGGAAAGCCGCAGGGATTCCCGCTGAGGCCTAGCGGCAGGCTTGGTACCCAGGTAGATCCGTTTGGGAAGGCGGGAAGAAGCTCCCAAAGCTTCCAGATCGACGACAGCATTGGCATTCCGCGCTCGAACCAGCACTGCCCCAGTTGGTGAGCAACCTCAGACGCACAGGAGAGATGCCCCAAGCTTCATCACAGCAATCTTGATTCCCGACCGCAGCCCAAGATGCCGTCGGAAAAGGAGCTGCAAATCTCCCCCATTGTGCAGGAGTCTGTTATGCACAACACCAAGGTTTGAGACACCACGCCCTGTCCCCATCGTCAGGTTATCGTCAGCTAATCAAGCGAATCCACCCCCAGGCCCTCGCCAACCTCCAATCCTTGACAGCCTCCCTCTTCGGTGTCGCAGCCGGCATCCTCGGTCTCGAGTCTTATGGCGGCTTCCTGTTCTACATCGGCTTCACCCTCCTGACAGCCCTGCTCTTCTACGCCATCCGCGTCGCCCCGGCCTCCTTGTCTGCAGGGAAGCCTGCCTTTGATACGAGCCGTTACTTTCGCGGACAGCTGGAATTATGGACTAGTGGGCTATCTGGAGGACTGGCTGGGTTTGTTCTGACGTGGACACTGTTCTACGGGTTGGTGAGGGCTTAGGAAAGCCGTATGGAGGGGAGGGCGATGAGGATGATACAGGCGCACTCAAAAATTGATCGGATGGCGTCATGGCACGAAGGCATCGTAGGCATGCCGATAATGACGGATGTCATACCTGTTGTATGGGTCAGCCTCGTAGAAGGCAGATGAATGTGCTCAACGAGTCCAAAGAAGTGCCCGGTCAGCTTGTCTATTCACGAGGACCACGTCCACTTTGTCAATGCCATCGTGTCTTGATACAGAATGGAGCTTATGATATGGTCTCCTGCCATGACCATCCGCAGTGTATACAAATACAATATGTGATTACTAATCGCTAGTTTCATCAAGGAAAATCATATCTCCAGTACAGTGACATGCGCAGCTTATTTCTTTGAAAAGCTAGATGCACCATCGATCAGCTTTCTTATATTCTGCTTTCCGGCCACGGGAACAAATCGGATTTGGAGGACCGTTCCGTTCACAACTATAGACCAAGAATCAGCGGGACACGCAATGGTACAGTCGGAGCACAGTCATACAGGCAGAGACCATGGGAAGCATGCTTGAAGGCTGTGTCATCGTCAAATTCAGGCAATTAGGCAGACGGCAATCTAAGGAGCGGCCTACGGCAGTGACAAGGCAGACATAATGATGAAAGATAGAGTGTTGATGAGAAGAAAAAGTGGTAAGCTCTCTATACCAAGGCTAACTTAACAACAAATCAAACAACGCTATTGTCTATGTACTACTCCGCTATCTCTATTACCTTGCCAACGAATCCCTCAAGGCCGGACTTGTCCCTGCTGCCTCCCTCCAAGATCACAACCTGTGAGCCCATCTCGACCCACTCCCTCTGCGAGAGGAGCTCAAGCTGCACCTCGTATACCAGCTTTCCATTATCCTGTTGCCTGGCCGAGTCCTTCTCGTCGCTGATGACGAATACGTCGTCGTCGTCTTCTTCCGCTCCACTACCACTTGTATCAGGGTACGTCCACGTCGGAGACACGCGTACGATTCTGGCCGAGGCGCGAACACTGGCGATGTAGACCTTGACCGTACTCCCCACTATCAGCTCGTCCGCGGAAGCATCCTCGAAGACGGCAGTGACGCCGCTTGCTGCCTGCAGTGTCAGGCCCGTCTCCACCATGTGTTTGCTGGGCATCGCTAGCACCATCCCTTTCCGTATCTTAGGCAGCGGCCGCGGTAGACGCTCAAAGATACTGTCAGAGAGGTCCTCGTGAGGCATATCAAAGACTATACCAATGGTGCCTGCCTGGCCAGGTTCCAACACGCGCACTGGGAGACGCAAGTTGCGGATGGTGGCGATTTGGGCATTGTACCATTCACCCTTGATGGCAGAGGCCGGAACAGCATTCCGCATCGCGAGCCGGCTGAGCTCTGAGGACGAGTGGTGCGAGACGGATAGTCCTTCTCCGCCAGGCGACGCCCGGTCTTCGGGAGTGATAGTACTCGAGTCGTCCTCTGGTGGGAAAGGCCCTACCAGCACTCGGTCGCCTACAGCAAGGTGGCCGAAGCGGAGATATCCCGCAACAACCGTCCCATGTTCAGCTTCTTCGTCATCCTTCACAGCATTCCCGTACAAGGCAGAAAGGCTGAATTTGTCCTCGATGTGAAAGACAGAATCTGGCTGCTCAGGATTCAGAGCTAGACCGATGTAGTCTCGAGCGGTTGGCGTTGGCGGTATTGGCAGATTCTGGAGCAGTGCGTGGAGTAGGCCAATTCCTTCGCCTTTCACAGCACTTGTCGACACAATCGGGACGAAGTCGAGCAGGTTGCCACTGCTCTTCATGCTGTTTATTAGAGGCTGTATGTCATCTTCGTCTACCGCAGGAACCCTCGTGGGATCAGACTGTATTCTTTGCTTGATTAGAAGCTTCGGTATCCTCCCAGCACTTTTAATCGCAGCCAAGACTTTCGTCAGCGTTGCGCGAAGGCTTATGGTGGTAGCAACATCGAGCTTCGTGATGATAATGACGAGAGGCATGCGGAGTTTGAGACATAGATCCAGGTACGCCTTTGTCTGGTTCACTTCACCCATTGGAGAGTCTGCCTCATCCTGTGAGGACGTCGGCGTAGATTTGCCCTTAGCCTCACCATCAGTGGCGGCCAAGCACAGTATCGTCCAGTGGGGTGCCCACCCAACAAGGCCCCGCAAGATTGTCCTTCGAAATCGAAGATGACCAGCAGAATCGGACACGAAGACCAGCCTGCCGTCTCGCGACAAGTCGTGTATGCCTTCCCAGGAGTCAATATTGCGGTCTGAGAAACTGTAGATGAGATTTTCGTCATGGCCACTGTTCTTGTAGCCAATCAACATTTGAGAGACCGAGGTAGTCATTCCCGACGTGAGTTCATGACGATGCCGTAACAAAAAGGTCCGGCTTCTGCCTGAGCCATTGTCGAAAATCCCTGTGCAAAGCGTACCGAGGAGCGTAGACTTGCCACCGTCAGTAGGACCCGTAAGTGTGACTCGAAGCTGCTCTGTTGTCGAATTGGCTTCCACATCGGCTAATTTCCCTGGCGAAACAGAGGTTGTTCGGTCCACGGTGTCCGATACTTGATCCTCAATGCCCTGATATGGTTTCACAAACGCCTCAACCACATAAAGCTTCTCGTGATGAGTGACCGGTTGCGGAGCAGTATCACCTTCCTTCGACAGAGATCTCTCGGTCCACTCACACCTCCCAACACACTGCCGCCGAGTCACTTCCACGACACACCCAAGACTCGCTGCCATTACTCGAAGAGTCAAGAGACTCTCCTCCATCTCGTCGTCGGGCAGTCCGACCAGCGTGCCATCATCTGAGACTCCTATCTCGTACAGTGCTCCTTTGGACTCCTCCAGGCCTTGCCACAAGTTTCCAAGCCGTACCGCCCCAGCCAGATCAACGCTGTCATCAGGGAGTTTGGGTATCAACGAGTCGGTCGTGCCTAGCGGATTGTACCTCATCGATTGCTGAAGCCTCCATAATAGCTGAGTTGTGAGATGGTAGAGACGCAATTTGCGCGATTCGCTGTTTGTAGTGTTGGGCTCAGAGGAAAGTTTCCGCCGTGTGCTATCTGTCGGAGACGGACTGATGGCCAGACGACCTACATTAGGGAGGTTGCTGTTGGATAAGTCTGTAACCGAATGAGGCTCATCCCGTCCAGGACGCTGGGACCCCGAAGCTGTCCCGGATGTGATCGTCTCATACGGCCGTCTGGGTCGTAGGAGCAAATGAAGTTTGTACTCTATTGCTCCCTCCTGTGGCTCGGCCTCTAATTTCGTGACACTTTCCTCCGGGTTCCCGGCTGGACGTAACCACGGGGACGAGACCCTCGTGGGCTCCGTCTCAAACGTAAACACTGACATTATCAAGGGAGACCAACTTGACCCAGCTATCTAAGTACCAGAACAGATGCGCCGGGTGAAAGACAGCGCCGGGTGGATAGGCAGGTATAGCGGTGTGAACTGCAGCAGCAACGGGTGGTCTTGGGAACACGTAGCTATCCCACACTCGCGCATCCAACTCAGCCAAGGTAGGCCACTCCGTGGTCAAGTTTCAATCTCCTGAATCTGGCAGCCGGACACTTTGGTGAGTGCAGTCGTCTAGAGGCTCGGCTTGTCAGGATAAAGGGGTTGTACTGAGTCTGGATGACAGTGATGCGATCGTTGGTCGGGTGTATCGACGATCCACAAGACTCAATATGCGGTGGATTTTCGTATAGTTCTCAGAAGCTTTATGCAAGGAGGACAGCTCTTCGGTATTTGAGGTAACATCTTGACCTAGTATTGACTGCTTTCGCAGAGAGAGTGTGGTGGGTTGACTCGTAGCTTGCTCTTTTCGAGAGGTTGGAGCTACTGTTGCGGTACAATCTTGAAGATTCAAGACCGTCTGCAGCGTTGCGCTGTTTAGCACTGCATGTTTGCAATCTAGCGATCAATTGAATTGGAGTGGATTTCAGTCTCGCTTGGTTTCCTTGCAGTTCCAGGCCCCTGTTGAGTGGTCTTGGTCCAGAGAGTTTATCAAAGTGAAGATAAAGGTGTGTGAAGTGTAGTTGGGAAAGGTGGCGTTAGTTCCCCTTCCTTTGATTGCAGCAGGGTTGGCGGGCAGCTTAAAACCAACTGCCAGGCAGGCCTGTTACTCACTACGGGTAAGGCAGAGAAAGCGACGAAGAGTCACGCCGCTCCGCCTCGCAAACGAGCAGCGCGACAAACGAAGACCCCATAAGCATCAAATCTACTGCGAGAATTCCAACCCTCGCGTTGCCGACCATGGCAGCACATGGCATCTCACATTCCACGACGGTGGACTCCCGGGCACTGCCTACGATCGGAGACGAGAAAGTCGACCAGGATGTACGACCGGGGCAAGCTACGCAGTTAAGCACGGCACTAGACGAGGCAACGGCCGATCAGCAAGACACGAGCGACAGCGACGACCAGGACCCTGGAGGCGAGAAAGAACTCGAAGTGCAGGCCGACACGATAGACAGGCCACGTCCACCACGGCCACAGCCACATTTACAGCCACCTGAGCCTGGTGCTGGTGCTGATGCTCGCCCTGATACCGTCGAGCGTCTGGTCCCTGCTGGGCCCAACGCTGCATCATCTACGAAACATGGCGCCGGCACCAGAAAGACCACGGACACAGATGCTGAGAAGCAGCGAAAAGGCGCAATTGCCGCGGCTAAACCTGCAGATGCTGAATCGGAGACAGGTGCTGGAGATGCAGGTGCAGGTGCAGACAACAAGTCATGCCTGCCGTTCCGCCTTAATAAAAATGGCCCCCGCAAAGGTGGGAAGCAGAAAGCGAAAGGTGCTCTTGGCAGGGCCTTCGAGAAGGTGAGACTGATACAGTACCTATCCCCCAGACATGCCTGACATGGCAACCCACTTTTTGGTTTCTCGAGTCCATTTGTGATCCCGCCAGCCCGCTTTGATGATCCGAGGAAAGGGGCTCCCAGCTTGCCATTCCCCCATCCCGTAGAGGGAGGGCAGAGGCCCGATCCTGCCGGCCAGCGGCTGGCTGTCCCAATGCCATCATGCCTGTCGTGTTCGTCCGTCAGATCAGGTCCTCGATGGGGGCTGTGGTTCAAGTACAATGCTGGTCGAGTGCTATGGGGTAGCCTACCACGTACGCACACCCCGGCATGTGGCAATCTTGTTACGAGGGGGCGGTCGGGGTCCTGGATCTGCATGGACGGCAGCTTACGGCCAGGCGGGTTCTCAAGGCCGCTAGAACGATGAGATGAGCGGCCAGTGCCAGCCAGTGGTGCCAGACGGCCGCAAGCTAATTGCAGGCGTCCACTTCTCTTGCACAAACCCGTCCCACTCCCCGTGCCTGACGACTGTTTTAGCATCTTGGGAGCATTGAAACCCTCCCACTTCAGGCCGCTGTGATCCCCACCTGCTACCTGTTCCTATTTATCCCTGTCAACGCTCTCGAAACACGCCGCAGTCTCAACACCCTTCCGTCCCCTTTTCACGTCCTACATCAGAATAAAGGACGCTCCTAAAGATCGGCAGCACTTGTGCCCTCACTCTTTCTCTCACTCTTTCATCCTGCCATTCCATATAGCACAATCGGTGTACCTCTGTTCCAAGACTCGCAAATTAACCGCCAATACAGCTCAGCATGGGTCTCTTCAGCAAGAAGAAGAAGGAAGCGGTCGACGAGAACCCCTACGCCGCTCCACCAACCGCGTTACAGCAGGCTCGAGCCGACATCGCTCAGGGTCGTGCGCCTGGCGTGCCTGGTGGTCTTCCATCGAACCCGCGCATGAACTCGTTCGCTTCTAGCACTGCACCTCCGCCCTACCAGAGCCCTTCGGTGGCAAGCGACAGCAACCGATTCGGAGATGAGAAGTACGGCAACCAGAATGGGTACGGATCGAACCGGTACGACAACGACAATGCTTCGGCCTTCAGTCCCAACCAGAGGCGCCCCGGTGGGTACGGCGGTCTTGGCGACGGCGCGGAGAACAATGAACTGTTCGGTGGTGCTGCCGGTCGATACGTGCCTCCACAGCAGGGAGCGAATGAAGCGAATGGAGCGAACGGACCTCCTGCTTTTCAATCTCGCCCGAGCCGGTACGATAACGACCCCTCGAAGAATACCTTACTTGGCAATGCTCAAGATCGATACAACCCTATGCCTCAGGCGCAAGGACAGGGGCCAGCAGCAGACGATGAATACGGGGGCTATGGTGCTCCACGGGAGATGACTGGTATGGACGACCGCATGCTCAGACGGCAAGGTCTATGTTACTGACACAGTACAGAGGAGGAGAGGGATAGGGAAGAAGCTCGACTCATTAACGAAGAGACAAGAGCCGTCAGAAAGGCTGGCGTGGAATCCGTCAATCGATCGCTAGCTGCTGGGCGGCAAGCACTCGCTCTTGCAGCATCCTCATCGGCTCGTATAGCAGAGCAGGACAACCGGCTCCAAAGAGCGTAAGGACTTGCAGCTCTCCTTTGTGGTTAAGAGATCCGTCACATTGGTGACACCCACTGACAAAAATTGAAAAGGGAGCGAAACGTGGATACGGCGCTGGTGATGAGTCGCGAATCGGAAGCCAAGACCAAGTAAGTTGAATTCTTCATTTACCTCGTCATCCCACCACCAAGCTACATTTTGAACCTATTTCTTGTCCATGAAGCCTCACGGAGGGAGACCTGCCCCACCACTGATGCTGGCCATGAGCAACTGACTGAAATCATATTAGGGAACTCAACAAGATCAATAGCAGCATGTTTTCCGGCATGATGGGGCCCTCGAAAAAGACTCTGAATAAGAGAGACGCTGCCACTCTTGCGCAATACCAGAAGGATAAAGAAATCCGCGAGGACACAGCGAGAGACGCCTATCGATCCGAACAACAGATGGAGACGACGTTCAATGACCTTTCTGGCAACAAACCAGGGTCGCTTGGAGCGAAGCGCGGTGGGGCCGAGAGAAGCAAGTTTCTATTTCATGACGACGACGAGGAGGTAGATGAGGTAGAAGCTGCGCGACGTAGGGAAGACGAGGACGACGAAACACAAATCGATGAAGGTGTAGATGAGTTGATGGACATGACGCGCAGGCTCAAAGGCGCTGCTATCGGCATGGGAACAAATCTCACGACGCAGAATGGCCGTCTGGACAGGCTTGGAGGGAAGGTGAGTTTGGTTACCACCAGCCCTGACCATTTGGTCACATCGTTAACATGGAATCACAGATCGATGCAGTGGACGATCGTGTAAGCCACCTCTCACCCGCAAATTCTTTTGCGAGGTCTACCTGCTTGGCTTCGAAACATTCGATATCGCAAACGAAGGCGTATCGGACACTTAACACAGCCTCTTTGCAGTCTTCCGCCTTGGTATCGTGTGGTTTTCCTTTTACTAACCTGCAATTATACAGGTCCGGATGAATCGCGAGAAGTTGAACCGCATCCGCTAAGCACAGCAAAAACCAGGCATCAGCACAATGTTGCGTATACTTTGCAGAACCCTCACTCGGGACCCTGGCATTTTGTTTGGTCCGGCTCTGTCGGTTCGCGACCTCGTGTAGACGTTCAGGGCTTCCTCATTGGCATCCTGATTACGTTTTTGATGTGCGGAGGAAATTGTGAGAAGGATTGTATGCGCAGGGTAGACCGGACGGTAAATCGAAGTCGTCAAATAAGAATGTGTCGCAATTACTTCTGCTTCAGCATAGAAAAGCTTGTCTCAGGGGCTTCATGCTTCATGTCGGCTTGTAATCTTGTGCGAGCGAGTCGCTTCCGGACTCTAGACTCCATGAGGCTTTTTCGTGTCCAAAGTGTTCCTCTGTGGCTAAATTCAGGGTACTGGGGTATTCTTAATAGTTAAGTCGAAACTGATAGCACATCTTATTGTACGTAGTTTCGTTGAACAGCCGCAGAACAGCTGCTGACATTCAGTGAGAGAAAACGTTGTACACTCACGGTTACTGAGGCACGCTATTCAGTATCCAGGCAGGAGATAGGAAGCGAGCGCGCAAATGGGGCTTGAATGCTTTTTGTAAAATAGCGCTGGCATGCGGTCTTGCCCAGTGGATCGATGGGGAGAGGCGGTTCTGTAAAGTCAATATCCAGGGTTAAGCCAAAAGGGAACAAGAACCCCGACGAGGCTGAAAGTGAGAGTGAAAAGCACAGGCCATCCATACGCTAAATTCCCTATGAATTCTGCACCAATTACAACACCCTCTGTTCGGTCACCATCCACCTGCTCATAAATTCTCTACGGGGCCCTGGCAAAACGACGACAACCTGAACCATCACATATTTGCTGGACGGCTTAATCCTTCTTTTTCCGCTGCAAGATCACCATGACCAAACGACGGAAAACATCAGACTCTGGCAATTTCATCAGGATCGGTGAGAAGAAAATTTCATTAGAGGGTTACTTCGCTCCCAGCAAGCCAAAAGACACCAAGACTGTACATGATGATCCCGCCGAGCAGAGGTCACAGCAAGAACCTGTCAAGAAGCAGGCTCAACAGGATGTGAAAAAGAACAGCCAGAAAAGAGCCAACAGGGAGCCGGGAGATAGGGAGCTTCTGCGGCAGCGGGAAAAGCTGCCGATTTGGAAGCATAGGGACGAGATTCGACATGGCCTCAGAACTAATGACGTGCTTATCGTCGCGGCGGAAACAGGCTCTGGAAAAAGTACTCAAGTCCCGCAGTTTCTCTTTACGGAAGACTGGTGTCGAAAAAAGACGGTCAAGGTACGCTCGGAAAACAACAGAGTGACCGATGCGTCCGTCGGGGGTGTCATTGCCATCACTCAACCACGGCGGGTAGCTGCAACAACACTGGCCCACAGAGTCTCAAGCGAAGCGGGCACGCCACTCCGCCAAGCAGGCGTTGTTCGTGAGGGCTTGGTCGGTTATTCAGTGCGGTTTGACCACAATGTGCCACGAGGAACGAAGATTAAGTTCCTCACTGAGGGTATGCTCTTGCAAGAGCTGCTTCGTGACCCTCACCTTCGACAGTACAGCGCCGTCATCGTTGACGAAATCCACGAGAGAAGCGTGGATGTCGACTTGCTTTCTGGCTTTCTCAAACAAATTGTTTCCGGGGACAAGAATGGCCGTGGGGGTGTCCCATTAAAGGTTGTGGTGATGAGTGCCACCGCCAACGTGGAATCCGTCCAGTCTTTTTTCACGGTTGAGAATGGCACAGGAACTCTGGAGCCAGCTGTTCTGGATATCCCAGGTCGCCTGCATCCTGTCGACTTGATACATACACCAAAGCCGGTCCCTGACGTCCAAGACGCTCTTTTGAAGACTATTTTCAAGATTCACTCAGAGCAACCGTGTCCTGGTGATATCCTTGCCTTCCTCATAGGCCAGGAGCAAATCGAAACTGCTCAGAAGATCATCGAGGACTACGCAAAGACATTGGATCCCACCGTTCCAAAACTTGTTCCTGTACCACTTTTCGGCCAGATGTCCATTGAAGCACAACAGAGGGCTTTTCAACCCGTCAAAGGCAGGATTGTGAGAAAGGTGGTTCTAGCCACCAATATTGCTGAAACATCAGTCACAGTGCCAGGTGTTCGCTATGTTGTCGACACTGGAAAGGCCAAGGTAAAAGAGTTTCGTGTCCGGTTAGGAATGGAATCCCTCTTGGCAAAACCCATCTCAAAATCATCTGCCATTCAGCGAGCTGGCCGAGCAGGGAGAGAGGCTGCAGGAAAGTGCTACAGACTTTATACGCAAGAGGGTTTCCAGTCACTCAAAGATGCGGACTTGCCAGAAATTTTAAGGGTCGATGCTCTGGGTGCCGTCTTGACAATGAAATCCAGAGGAATCACTGATATCTACAATTTCCCCCTCATGGATACACCGGACGACGAAGCATTTGACAAGGCTTTGCTTCATTTGCACATCTTAGGAGCCATTGATGATGACGGATCGATTACCGAGATGGGTACAAAGATGGCGTCTTTTCCAGTGACAGCTCCTTATGCGAGAGTGCTTCTTGCAGCAGCAGACCCGAAATACGACTGCCTTTTGGAAGCAATCGACGTCATTTCATGTCTTACGGCTGGAGAGGATATATTCCACCAGCTTCGCTCCGAGGAAGAGCGAGAGAACGTTGAAGAATATCGGAAGGAGGTCTATCGCAGGGAAGGCGATCTCCTCACGTACTTGACAACCATTCAGCAGTACACTGCAGAGAATGCAGACCGAGCCGAGTGGTGCCAGCGCAGGAAGATTAATGTGAAGGTTATGCGGCAGGCATTAAACGTTCGGAAGCAGCTCCGAGGCCTCTGTCTCAAGGAGAAGATGCTGTTGGAGACACCAGAGCCAGACCCTCAGCCCTTCAATCCTATGTCTCCGGATCGTGCTGAGTTGATGTTGAAGTGTTTCTTGAAGGGCTTCTCCGTGAAAACAGCAGTTCTTGCGCCAGATGCCAGCTACGTCACGACACAGGGAAAACATGTGGTGGCAATACACCCCTCCAGCGTTTTGCATGGTCAAAAGAAGGAAGCTATCATGTTCCTCGAGCACGTGTTCACAACAAAGAATTACGCGAAGAAGGTGAGCGTTGTGCAGTCAAACTGGGTTCTTGATGCTCTAGAGACATAATCGTTTTGCAAGGATAACAACCTCGACATTGGTCGGGAAGCACAAGAAATGAACACAATTGCCAAAGCATCTAATACGTCAGTCACTTGAAAGCGAACAAGAATAATAAGTGGAGGCCCAGTAAAGCCTCTCGTGCACCAGCTCGATTCTGTCATTGCAGTGTAATTTCCATCGCCTGCAGTCCCACGTGCTCTTCAACGGGTGTCAGCTGAAAGAAAGGATAACCTTCAACATCGACTTCCTCCAATTTGTATTTTTGAAGAGTTTCTCCGCGCTCAAGACATTCACGCATCATCGTCTCTGTGGAAACAGGCTTCCATTCTTGCATCCATTGCGGCGCCAGGTCTCCCCAGGCATCTCTGTTGGCCTCAACTGCGCTGTTGTAAACATCGGCCCTGACGTATTCTGGGACTGTTTTTTCGTAATAGCGAAATTGATTTGAGGCATGGGCACAGAAGAGCGTCAGGCTATGGTCAGCGCCCAAGACGACCTTGCATCCACCCAGGCAATCTTCGATTATTTCGGCAGCCCTTGTAAACTCAGCCCTGCCAGCGAAGCACACTGCCAGGTGTTGCATGCTTCCGAGGGTCTTCGGGTGGTGTTTTCCGAGCTTGATGCCGTAATTGTACATTGCAAGAGTGTACATGTCCCCTGCATCATACAATCGATTCTGTAGCCATAGCAAATGAGCCATCTCGAGCACCGCGTCAGCATGCTGCGAAGAGTCCTTGCCGTAGAGGTCCTCGCTCCATTGGCACACGTTCCACAAGAGCTTTTGTGCCTCCGTCAATGCGCCTGCTCTTATCAGCGCTCTAGCTAGGTGCTTTTTTGCGCGCATCGTTGAGGGGTGGAATTCTCCCAACTCAGTCTTCGTATTTTCAAGGTTCTCTTGTGCCCCTTGGATGGTCATGTCCTTGCTATCGCCGCCGTTCCGGGGGTCTTGGGCGACTCGAGCTCTTTCGGCAAAGTTTCGGAACTTGCGCGCCTGCTCGCTCCCGCTGCCATGTTTTGCCTCGTTCCATCTCATTAATTCCACGAAAAGATCCGCGGCTGCTGACATATTATCCACTGTGACGAGGACGGACGCCAACGCAGATTTAAGGCTCCGGAGCTGTTGATCGTCGAGAGGGTCGTAAGCGTCAAATACGGCCTTGTGGTGCGCCTCTTCGTCCGCAGTAGTCGCATGTGCTTCCTGGAAAGCTTGCCACTTCAGCTCCTTCAGATAAAGTGTACGTCTGTCTATGACCTCCAAGTACAACTCCACCGCTTTTGGATAGTTCGTACGATCGGCGTACAGACGCGCAAGCGCAGACATGGCTTTGAAGGGGCTGGGATGAAGCAGGCCGAAATAAATTTTCCTATACTCTATTGCCTTTTCCAACATGGCCTCTGCGGCATCCAAGTTGAAAACTTGCTGGAAGACCTTCGCCGCTGTGATCAGGTATTCACTCTCTAGAGCAAGATCATCATGCTCAGCGTTGACGCGCTTTAGGCAGGCTTCCATATGTGGCACTATATCGCGGCGGTATTGAAGGCTTCGAACGTCACCCTTGATTGTGATGGAGTCCATGATCAAGCTCTTAGCCGCAACCCCCCAGTCGGACTTCTCTTTGCTATCCATTCGGTCTCTCGCCCAGTCATGCACGAGGATGTGCATATTGACGTAATCCACAGAGATGTCGAATTTGAGGAGTGAGAATTCGTTCAGGAAACCAAGGCCGTGGACAACGTCGGCACATAACCAGTCTCTCCCGTCGGGATGCTCCGGTGTGATGTCTGTTTCAAAAGTCTCGATTAGATCCTCAAGTTCAACTTCGCAAGCCTTCCAGGGGAAATGTTCCACTCTTCCCATTCGGTAGCGGTTTGTGGCTGCCCGTTCGAAAATGATGCCAATGAAACCCTCGTTATGATAGAAACAGATCAGGTTGAGGAGCTTGAGGGCAGTTTGAGCGTCCTTGGCCCTAGCAAGGTCCTCCTTCTTGTCAGCAAAGGCTTTGATAGCCCTGTAAGAGATATTGAATGTGGCGTAGACGGCGACATGCCGCTTCTCATCGCTGCCCTTGAAGCGTGGGCTGCGAAGAAGCACCTCTTTTTGCTCGTTGAAGACTTCCAAGTACTCCTCTAGGGGACAAGGCGCCATATGTATGTAGGCCCCAGCTTGGTCAATAGCTAAAGGCAATAAGCCCAATGCATTGACGATCGGCCTTGCCAATTCATGATTGTCGCTATCTTCGACAGGCTTCTGGGCGGATCGCAGCAAGAGGAGTATGGCTTCTGGGGTATCCATTGTCTCAATAGACGCAACACATTCTGGCCGAAGACGTGGCTCCAAATTGTGTTGTCTGCTGGTGTAGAGGACGTTGCCGTGGTTTCCGTCAGGCAAGTAATTAGCGAGACTAGTGGCTGGGGCGTTGTCGAACACGAGCAACCACTCTTCGTCACTTTTCTGCAGCCACGTAAGGACATCTTGCACCGGGTCCTTTCTCTCCTCTGGGCCAAGTATGACGGTGGCTATCTGCTTAAAACTTTGCTCCGTAGTGACAGCGTCGGTGGCATCCACCCACATAATATGAAATCTTATAATAGTCAGCACTGCGGCTATAAACGGAAGAGACGATACAATTACCTCCATTCGTGTCTTTCCGTGAACTTCAAGGCGATTTGGGTCTTACCCACGCCGCCCATGCCACGGAGGTGGAATTCCCGCCTTGATGTATTCCCGGGCTCACGAGGTCCAAAGTGCTTGTCAAGCCTCTTCAAAATTGTCTCTCGGCCTGTGAAGATGTTGCTAGATTTACCCCTGCGAATAGCTCTTGGCTCTGCTGGTATGGTGGTTTCTTTGCTGAGACTGGCTATTGAATCAATCAGCCAAAATCATCTTGGTTCACCACGTCAAGATGGGTAGAAAGAGTTGACAAGGTGTGAAAAAGTTGTCAAGGGCGAAGTCGCGAGTCCACACTTACCGCCATGAGCAAGGTTCAAACCTGAATTCTTGTTTCCCAGAAGGACTTCAGCTAGGTCATCAATCGATTTTTTGACCTTGGAATTTTGCAAATACTCCCTGGTCCTTGCTTTTAGTTCCCCTATCTTCTCCCAGTCCGATAGCTCAATGCCCTGAGCACCTCCGTCAACGTTGAGACGGAAATAAGTATTGTCAAATTCCTCAAATTTTGTCTGCCATCTCTCATGATCCTTTTCCGAGTCAGTTCCGATCTCTTTCATCACCTTGATCGCGCTGATGAGGAACTTGGCCTTCTCAATGAGCTTCTCTCCTCCTGGTGCCATTTCAACTTTGCGAGACCCCGTGCCAAGGCTGACGACACAGCCGAGCCTGCGCTTCTTGCCAAAAAGACTGACAGCCTCGTCCCATAAGATCGAAATCGGGTTATTAGTTCCCAAGGCGGCATCCACAAACTTCTCTTCCTTGCCTTCCTCATCCTTGATGGCCATTGGTTTGAAATACGTGGTCGCCGCGGTGGTCGCCCGAGCTGCTTCATATATGAGACAGTTAGGGTACTTGTCTCCTGCGACATCATATGTCCTGAGGCAGACGGTCTCCTTGTGTCGCTGCGCGGGCATGGTGCAGACGAAAGCATGACCCTTTTCTTGGGTTGGCCGCCGGTTCCGCATAACACTGCCCTTCCCTTGCTCCCGCACGAGTTTCTTGACCGTTTTTTCGAGGGCCTTGGCCTTGTACTTTTCCGTGATGCTAAGCCGCCTCTTGGAGAAGATCGCGCTGGCGAAATTATCGTATGCTTCCAGCGCTTCTTGAGTACCCATTTCTAAGCGACCGAGCATGATTGCTACGAGGCTGCGTTTGTCTCGTGCGTCAACTCACCAGCAATTGTGGAAACAGGTTGGAAATTTACTGACCCTCCAGTGCTCGTGCCCCCAAATAGGTGGAAATAGTCGCATGGCTTTGGAAGACTAGCAAGGTTCCCCTTTTGCTGCACTGTCTTCATCACTTCATCAAGTATGACGAGCTCAGAAACTCCCCTGATGCCGCCGCCATCCAGTGCCAGCAGGTTGACGGGCTCATTCTCACTCGAGACTGACATCGCCAGCTATGCAATAATAATGCCACTAATTCATGATAAAGATACGCTCGTACATCATTGCAAAGACTGGTCCTCAGCTTCGAAAGGGAGGTGAGTAAAGCCATGGGAGCGAGGTCAAGACGGGGCCGGCTGGGACACTTATGGCAGGAAGGTTGGAAGACCCAGCGATGCCGTTGTTCCACTGCAACCTCGGTATGCATAGATCCATTGGTTGTGGGCCTTGCAATGCATGTTGGGCTGCCTCGAAGGCCTATCGCATGCGGAATGCCGAGTTTGTTGGCTACGGCCCGTTGCGGCACAGCTCGACGTAGGATTCCGAGCGAATGGGGCGCCCTTGCTCGCTGGAAAGCGCCGTGCCTTGCTGGCGCAGACACAAGCGACACTGCCACAACATATTCATCAATTCGGGAATTGCTTCACGGTTCACTTGAACGACATGATGATGAACCGGGCGGACAGTGGAGTGGCCGTGGGGATCAAGAACTTAGAAGACCTGAGTAGGGAGAAACGGTCGAGGGTGGAAAAGCGGGCCGTATGATACAGCCAAGGACATGGTACGTTACAGGGAAAACTACGCCAATGTGGAGTTACGGATCCTGGATCGCGCGCCTAACTTTGGGGCAAAAATACGCAAGGTCTATGACAACTCTAGCACTACGTTAGGTACCGGCCTGGGTGATCCACCAATTCCCCGTATAGTGCATTGGGGACATCACTCTGCGATGGCTTCGACTCGGCGTCATCTTCAATCCCAGCACTGGTGAGAAGATTCAAATAAACGTACATTGAGCTGACCATACAAGCTCCACCACTTGAATACCTGTTTGAAACAAATGCGAGTTAGTCATCTCTTCGGCCAAACGAGCAGAGCCGGCCCTCACCAATCACCACAAGTCATGAACTCATCAAGGCGCCTCCTGGCCTCAGCAACCTCCGCTCGCGGCGGTAATGGCCTCAGGCCCGAGCCTCTCGCCCTGCTGCCGCCAATACCACTTTACCGGCGCCTCTTCCGCGCGCACCGGAAACATCTGCCCAAGCAGATGCGGGTGCTGGGCGACGAGTACATCAAGGCAGAGTTCAGGGCGCACCGCAACGTTGACAACCCTGCACATCTGGTAATACAGACCATGCCTTGCTCAATCAAGCCATTACATTGTTTCGAAATTTCGCTGACACATTTGTAGATTGGGTTCTTGACGGAGTGGCAGCTTTACGCCCAGAAAATAGAGGGCGATGCTTGGGTCGGCGAGAAGTTGGATCCAGGCAAGGTTGAGAAGATGAGTGGTGCGTGAATTCCAGAAGTTGACTCGGCCCCGAGACTTGATAACATGCTGACCTGGCCGCCGCAGATCAACAAATAGGGCAGCTCTACGAGCTGATGCAGGCGATAAAGAAAAGCCGCGAGGAAGGAGAGCCGGGCAGCTCAGCTCCATGAAGCGAGATTGAAATGCCATGTACCACATATTGTACCAAGTGACACAAACGAACATTTACCTGCCAATTGGCACGCACGCAGTATGATTGTGAGGATGGTGGCAGGAAGTTGGGGCCAATGTGTCTCTGTTCGCACACTTGAGATTATTCATGAAATGGCCGTGACCTGGCCTCCAAATATTAACGGACTAACAGACCATCCCTCGAAGCCATGTTGACGGTAAGGAAAGCAACGCAGCCGCACCATCCCAACGCCGGAGCCAAAGAGACCTCGTCCGCACTGAAGATAGAGCCGACCTCAAATGATAGCCGACTCGTCCAGATACCATGTGGAGTCAAACTCTTGATCCAGCTCCCTCACCGAGAACCCATTTCCCAGATACGCGAAGCGGTTCTGCTTCCCCTTACCAATGCCGTTCTCGCAGTCATATATGTACTCGAAGTCTTCTCCCCTGAAGGTCTCCATCATGTGGAAGAAGTGCACCCGACTCCCCGGGTGCAGCGCGACCACAGGCCCATCCTCCTTGCCCGCCTTGAACCACGACCTTCCAGGGGCTCCCCATGCCGTGCGCGGCATGAACTGCTCAATGTGCTCGTTGAAGTCGTCGACGGCGTCCTGGGTTGGCGCTATGGCGCGGATGTGCTCCGTCTGGCACTTCTTCAAGATGCGAACGATGTACTTGGCGATGTGCTCGCTCAGGGTAAAGACGGATCCGTGGCCGATGGGAGCGTTGGGGCCGAGAAATGCTGTGGTGGCAAGTTCGTTAGTCAACTGCAAACATTGGGTGAGTCGTATGAATTTGCGAGTTCTTAGACTCACTAAAATAATTCGGCATCCCAGCCACAGCGCAGGACATGTAGGCCCTGGGCGTCTCCTTGCCCCATACGTCCTGGAGATTGCCCTTGCGGCCTACCAGAGGGAACCGTGGCCGGAATGAGAGATCGAAGCCAGTCGCGCAAATTATTATGTCGACTTTCAAAACCTCTCCGGAGCTCATCTCGATACCGTCCGCCACGAATCTTCCGATGTCACCCTTCACGACCTCCACATTGTCTTTGCGCAGGGCCTCGAGGTAACCAGGTGCAGGCGTCATCCTTCGCGTTCCGAGAGGGAAGTCCGGTATCAATGCCTTGCACAGACTCTCGTCGCCGCCCAGCATCATCGTCATGTACTCCCTGATCTTGGCGCTGGCAAATGCTTGTATGGGGCCGTCTTTCATCATCTAGAAGGAGGTATAGTCAGCATCCTTCGTGTATCTCGGTACATGCCGGGAGTGTGTGCGTGTCTTACCACTCTAAAGTTGCCGCTGGTGTCTTTCTCGATGCCTTTCACAAAACGCTTGTAGAAGTCTGAATCATCCTCGAACCTCTGGATTTGCTCAGGAACGAAGTTCTCTTTCGCATCGAGACTTATCTCCTTCAGCATCTGGCCGCCACCCATCATGACCTGCCCTTGTCGCCATGGCGGCGGGATATACGTTGGCGTGCGAACAACATGGTACATCTTCTTGACATCTATGCACACCATCAGAAGATGCGGTTCCGAGGAGGCTGTGTTCTGACAACTCACCTGGCTGGATCGCTGGTATTAATTGTATTCCGGATGCACCATTACCAATCACGGCAACAGTCTTGTTGGTGAGGTCGTACTCTTCTGGCCATGAGGCAGTGTGTATCAGTTCCCCTTCGAAGTCGTGGAGCCCCTGTACGTCGGGCCATTTCCAGTTGCTGCTTGATATCAGTACTTGCACACTCATCTGGTGTACGTCCAGGGTAGGATGTATTGCTCACTTCAAGATCCCAGCCGCGTTGATAAGGAAATTTGCCTCGTCATCGAACTCGTCTCCTGTCTGCAAGTCCAAGACCTTCAGACGCCAAACACTCCTGGGCTCATCCCACCATGCAGCGTTGACCTGGTGTTGTAACTTGATCAAGCCCATCATATTTTCTTCCTTGCATACTTGACACAAGTAATCATTGATTTCCTTTGCTGGTGCGAAAAAGTTACTCCACTCTTTGTTTGGCCGCCATGAGTATTGGTAGCAGTGACTGGGGATGTCACATCTGCAGCCGGGATAGCGGTTCTCGAACCAAGTCCCGCCCACTTGCTTGTTCTTCTCGTATATCTGGACCTCATAGTCGGTGATGTTGAGTCGCAGAGTACGAAGAAGGTTGATGCCGCTGACACCGGCGCCGATGCAAACGATCCGGATGGGCTTCGGAGTGCCGAGGGGCTGATCCCTGACGGTATACACCGGGTGCGTCCCGTTACCGTTTGTGTGTGCGTGGCCGTTCATTCTGGAAGTGTCAAGCTGTTCTGAAACTTGGTGAAGACACGGAACAATACAACTTCTCGGCGCAGGTTTGCAAAGAAGTAGGACTGTCTCTCCAAGCAGCCTGAGCACCAGTATCGATCGAGGAACCAAGTATTTATCGAAGTGCCGAACGCGCAGGATCGAAGGCAGATACGTAACTGCTTCTATCAAGGCGTGATCCTTTCTGTGATGAGGAGTGCATTCACTTAAGTCACACTTGAGGCTCTTTAAGTTCCGATCCTCTCCACTCACACAACCCAATGATATATGGGTTTGTCAACGAGACGGGCAAATTGGACAAGCGAAAACGAGCGACAAACAGCTCGGGACAGCGAAGACTTCGACGTTCCTCCCTCACATGGCAAATCCTACCTCTTTTGGTCGCTTGACACGCAGGAGTGGAGTCCCGTATAGTTCTAATGTGAGAAGTTTATCGCCTGCAAGCTAAGGGTCGGTCCCTGCCAACTGGCCACAAAATGGAACATAAGAAGGAAGGAACTGAGCTCTGTTGGCTGATTTACGGAGGGTAGGTAGATAGCCATCGACCATCAGTTCCCGCCGAGCCCGATGTGCTGGTCTGCCCAGCACGTACCTGCTCATCATGAGGCCCGGGATGCTTCCCGCCTAGAATTATGCAGCCTGGCCGACGGCGTCGAGCAGCTCCTGGGTAGCTCCATGATTGAGACTCATCCGAGGTGGGCAGGATGCCGGGATTCACCAGGTTCAACAGCAGGAGGAAGCCATCCTCCTGGGCTAGTAATGCGGCAGGATGGTCGGAAGGAGGAGCTCGCATGCTCGGAGCCAGAGTTGAGCGGCATGGCTGTTAGTAAATGGAGGCGATTGAACCGGGATATCGGTAAAACGCCCACTTCCCATAGGCATGGTAGTCTGTACAAACATATCACACAACCATGCAGCTGGCAAGGTGTACCCGCTGATGTGGGTGCATCAAGCGATCTTAGAGGCGGATGCTTGAGTGGATGTTGGGCGTGGACAAGTCCCGCCTGGGCGGAAGCGACATCGATCGTAAATTGTCCTATCACAAGGCTCAGCCTCTTCCGACCTGGCCGCGACGGCGGTGAGTAGCGAATGGGACAGGGAGGGGGCAATAATCCAGGCGGGCCAGGATGATAGCAACAGAGCTTCCACATTGTGGGTTTCACCGAGCCCGGCTGCTGGCCTGCGGCATGCGGCTTAGGTGCGGTATCTGGGTCGACTGCTAGGGCGACGAGGCTTTTGCCTGAGCTCTCGCGCCTGGGCAGTCATGTGGTCTGCCGGACCTCCAGCTCGTGGGGGCGGGCAGTGCGATGCGATGCGATGTGAGGTGCATGTGAAGGAACGGCTGCGTGTCTCGGACGAGCAGCCACTGGCAGCCACTCCCTTCGCCTGCACGCACGGTGCACGTTGGGCAGTTCTGACTGACATCTTTGCATGTTCAGCTGCGGTGTCTCATCGTCAAAAGCTGAAAGCAGGAGGCGCATGAGCTTGCAGGGTGCATGAGGCGCATGAGGCGACCCTGGAGGCGACCTGGAGGCAAACGTTGGGCGTGATGAGCGTCAGCGGCGCTCGCATTCAAGACCCTTGGAATCGGATGTAGACGGGGTTGGGCCAATTGGGGCCAATTGAAGCCCTTGTTCCTCCTGCAGGCCATGGCAGGCGATGCCTCGATGCGACTCGTCAACGGGCGCGCTCACCACAGCGCCGGACCGCCTGTGAAGCATTCGGCTCCGGGCAGCTGGAGCTGGAGCCGGGGGACCCACCCACCCATACGGTGGTTCTTTTCTCTGCCGTAAAAAACGACCTCGGGTTTTTTTCCGAATCGTGCCAATCGCAAGCTGATGAGTTTCTAGGCTCACCAACACCGCCTGTGGAGGACGCGAATCACACTCAGAAATCGATACCTCACCTCTCATCACCCATGTCTTTCTCCTTCTCCTTCTCCGGTGATGACATAGACGAGGATGTTTCTGCGCAGCAGAACACTCCCTCAGCGCCAGCACCTGCTGCCTCAACCTCTAGCGCATTTCCCGTGCAAGGAAAACCTCAGCTCCCTCCAGTGCACCATGACCTGGGGCAAATGTTGTCAAAGCTGCCGTCCAAGATAGCATACAGTCTTTTGGACGTGGACTTGGACGGCAAGGGTTCGATCCGGATTCCACGGAGAGAGCTTTGGGATGTCAGGGTCCAGCTGATGGCAGAGGAGGATGCTGAAGGCGATGAGCTGGAGCCAGGCCTAGGAGCCCACGACGTCAAGACCGGCATCTACGAGGGGGGATTCAAGAGCTGGGAGAGCAGTGTTGACCTCGTCAAAGTCCTCGCAGCCAAAGACGTCCCCAGCTCCCTGGCCTCGGCACCTTTCCATGTCATCGAGGTGAGTGAGCAAAAAGAAACTGTTCTCGTACCGTCCGCCAATCGAGAGGCTCACTGACTTTGCCTCGCCATTGACAGCTGGGATGCGGCACTGCGTTGCCGTCTCTGGCACTCTTCCAGTGGGCCTTGTTCAGTAGGGCTCAGACGTCTAAGGGTTCACAGGAGGATCAAATCTCCCTGATCCTCACACTTGCCGACTACAATCCCAGCGTCCTACAGCTTGTCACGATGCCCAATTTACTCCTCGCGTGGGCTTTACATCAGCGATACCACGACCAGCTCATCCAGGACGCCTTGTCATCCGTTGAGGGAGAGCTGGAAATCACGGAACAGGTGATCGACTCTTTCAAGAGCTTTCTCACCACGTCCAGTATCAATGTGTCGTTCGTATCAGGGGGCTGGTCGCCCGAACTCGTCGAGTTGATCTACAGCAGCTCTGCATCACTGCCGAGCGGCTCGGGCGGTGGCGGCGCCACACAAACTCTCATTATGGGCGCGGAGACCATCTATTCTCCGTTTGCTCTGAGCTCTTTCACTGATACATTGCTCACAATTTTACGCAGAGAGCGTGGAGCCGAGCCAAGTCGCCAAGCTATGGCCGTGATTGCTGCAAAGAGACTCTACTTCGGGGTTGGCGGTTCTCTCGACGATTTTGTGGACAAGATGCGCAGCCTTGAGGCTGTCGTCAATATGGTGAGAGAAGAGACCGAGGGGGTGAGGCGAGGTGTGGTCGAGTGTGTTCTGCCCTGAGGCACCACATATGGCTGCTATAAGGTGCACTTGATCAGAAGTGCAAGGTGACGAATGGCTCCGTCAAGTGTCCACAACAGCTGCTCCAAGAACCGGCAAGGCTTGGTATCGCTAACACCAAGTCCTCCCCTCGCCGGGACACAATCAGGTGGGAGGGCGGTCATTGATCGACGTTGATCGGGCGGCTCAAGCCGGCGGCAGTGCGCGTCTAAGAGCAGATCGAGCATCGGACGCAGAAGCCGCCTTGCTGTTGGCAATCCAGATGGCGACTGGTTCGTTTCGGCCGGCGGAGAATGCAAGAGACTTGCCAATTACCAAGAGTGGACCACCCGCCTCTCATACTCGCTTTCACCCGGCCTGATCCTTGAAGCATACCCGTACCGCTATGTCGTATCGGTAATACGGGCCACTGCGGAGCGCGGCATTAACTCATCATTCAACAAAATCATCTCCGATGGACCTTACAAACGCCTTGCCGAGGGACGGTGTACTCGCTGGCCTGTAGATGGCGAGTCGTGCGTGAATGATTCCCAGTGTAGAATAGGGAATGCACAATCATTCGAATCGTTCGACGCTCGGCTACCGGGCTTTAGGTCGCCTCCGTTCGGGAGGCCCGGCCCTTGAGTGAGGAAGGCAACATCGACATGGGCTGTACCAGATCAAACAAAAAAATAATAATCCGAAAACACAGCCAGGCGTGCCAGGCTCGAGCCAGGTTGCCAGGCCAGAGGCCGCCGTCGTAACGTTTGCGTTCGCGTGCTACTGTAATAATATGGTAGTCACATTTCGGTGATCTAGACTACCGCCATGCAAGATTCCCAGGCGATCACCGTCTGCAGATCAAGTTTCTGATGAAGAAGGGAACAACGGCCTATTAGCACGCCACCGCTAAGGGTACATGCTGCAGGGACCGTGTCCTCTGTGATGCAGGTACAGGCTCTTCATTCCTGATAGGGACCGAAATAACTGGGTCATGCAAAGCTTGGCGGTCTGACGCCCATCTGGGGGCCCGGAAATTTGGGTACTGCTAGGCATCGGACCAAGTTGCTGAAAATGAAAGCCTCGACCAGTTTGACTTTTTTCCCCGGTTTTAAGCTCGCGAGTCTCCAACTCTGTCGGCACACTGACTGTCAAACCCGTGACCGATGCATAACGAGAGACGGGATGCCTAGTTGTACTAGGGACTGAGCGCAAGGCGTAGGAGAAATTGACAGGATCAGTGCTATGACTGTGATCGATTGGCAGGGCAACATGACAGGAGACGTTGTGCACCACAGCTGTGCTAAGTGTGACAAGTGACAAGTGCTATGGACTATTAGGTGGGTCGTGACTAGAGGTGATGGAGCGGCGCGCAGAGACCCACAGGACACAGACATCTCAGCTCTCCGCGGCCAAGGAGGGCGCGCCGCTACGTCTTGCCACTGATACGCGATCGATGACCAAGATGCCTAGCTGCCTGGCCGCGAAAGCAGCGAAAGGCTGGGGGAGCTTGGAACGTCCTACCTCTCGTAGCACCGCCAGCGCGCTGCAAGATTGGCATGGAATGACGAGGTCGGCTGCGACAATGACGAGCCGCTGAATTCCTCGGGCCCCGCGACACAGAGTCTCAGAAGGCTGGCTCGGAGTAGGCCGTCAACCGCCAGGCGAGCCGTGGCCAAAAAGGACTGTTCTCGGCACGTCGAAACCTTATGTTTATAGTCAAGTGCAGGCACACAGCCTCACGGCACGGCCTGTAGTGTGGTGTGCCAGTGTGCCCAATCGAGCCAATCTGGCAAATCTGGCCAATCCGCCAACGTGTGGCACGCAGTCGAGACAGGAGAGAGGCGCAGTCATCAGATCTAGTGTTACTGTATACGAACAGACGGGCAAACCAGTCCTGCCGGTCCGCCAGCACGACAGTACTGTAATAGCTGGCGGGGGGGGATGAGGCTCGCCCTGCCAGCCTGCTCGCGGCACTGGGGCCGCCCCTCTGGCTGCGCTGGCTGCCTTGGTGGTGTGAGCTGGCAAGAGATGGCAAATGAGGATGAGATGGTAAGGCGCCCGGATGAACCCAATGAATCCCAATGAGGCCAAGGGGACTGGGGAAGGATCAGCGGCCGCCATCACCAAGCCTGCAAGCCCGCAAGTCTGCAGGTCTGTAAGTCGCGCAGGTGGCTTTCCCCCCTGAATCCGCGCCGGCGAGGATCCTTGCCCCGGTGGCCTCTGACCCAACTCGGCATGGCCCTGAACTGGGCAGGCCCTGGCAGGCCCTGACATCCCAGTCAACCCCAGAAGGCCGTGTGTGCCATCGCGCTGGGATCATCTCGCTCATTTTAAGCTAATGTGGGCCGGCGGCCTGGAGGCGGCCTGATTGGACAGCCCCTTGCTGGAATGAGTCGCATTGTGCTGCTCCCCCGAACGATTCCCACGGTCCACGAGGTTCCTTCTGCGCTTCCGCCTCGACCGGCTCATTTCCTGCTGTCGAGCCTTGCAGGCCCTGCCACTGGGCACACACGAACAGACATAGACTATTTGACTGACTGCCTCCGCCTCCTCTGCCTCGTCTTGACTTTTTCCCTCTCCTCCCTCAACCGTATCTATCTAATCGGCGCCGTTCGTTGTCACTCTTTCCAACGTGGACTTCAGTATTAATACTCTAATCCTCAAACTAATATCAACTTGTAAGTTGCCCCGCGAAACAACACGCTCACCCGTCATTCCTCCTCGCCTACTGCTTGCGTCGTGATTCGGTCTCGACCCGAGACAAAACACTTCGGAGCACTTGGCATTGCCTACTTTCTATTTCAGGCCTTCTGCAAACTCAATACCAAACCTTCCATCCCACTAACATAACATCGCAAAGTCCCAACTTTCTTTCACCCATCAACTTGATCATCAATCCACCAAGTTTTAACCAACCCAATCGCCAAGATGAAGTTCACTGCTGGTTTCGTCGCCGTCATCACGGCTGCCGCTCCCGCCTGGGCCATCCAGCTCACCAACAGCGCCTACGCCGTTGAGGCTGGCAAGCCCTTCACCCTGACCTGGTCCGACTCCGAGGGTGCCGTCACCGTCACCCTCAAGAACGGCGCCAGCACCGACCTCAAGACTGTCGAGGTCCTCGCCTCGGGCGTGACCGGCTCCTCGTTCACCTGGAACCCCCCCTCGACGCTGGCCAGCGACACCTACGCGTTCGAGGTCGCCGACTCCAGCTCCAACTCTCCCAACTACAGCCCTCAGTTCACTTACCAGGGCAGCGCTGCCGCCACCACCGGCTCCAGCGCCTCCTCTGCCGCTACTACCAGCAGCGCCTCTATTTCCACCACCCTGTCGTCGCTGACCATCACCTCTTCGTCCGCCTCGTCCACCGCCAGCGCCAACTCCAGCGCCAGCATCACTAGCACCACCAGCGGCAACTCCACCACCACCTCTTCCTCATCTTCCTCCAAGCACACTTCCACCAAGACGTCCTCCACCGCTACTGGCTCCTCTTCTACCTCTACGTCTACCCCAGGTAAGCCTCCACGTTCCAATCCTACCACATTGCTACCAAGTCACTAACATGGCGTCCAGTCAACACCAACGATAGCCAGAAGCTGGGCTCTCCTCTGGCTCTCATCCTGGGCACCATTGTCTCCCTGATGATCTTCAACTAGGAAGGCAATTTCAAATGTCGTCAGACAGATAGACCGAGCTGCTGAAAACTTTTACTTTCTCTTCGGTAGCGGTACATAATAGGGTTTACATGTGGTTTTAATACGTGCCTCACGCTCTGCATCATGATTTTGGTTTTTGCCCCCACAGGCTCTGTGTCGACGAGAGAGCGATACCCAAGGCAAAATGGACGGGATAAAAAAACACAACAAGCCATGAACTTTGGAACGGCTTTTGCCGATGATGGTACGATATTGCAGTGAAGTTGATCAGGGACGAAATCAATTACATTACAAAAAAATTAATACAATGGGTATCATCTACCCGAGAAATACTTGCTCCTTCCCATTTCGCGATGATGCCGGTGATCGACATATGCACAATGAATCTCCTACAGCATCTACCCGCAGCCTAATGTGGTGACATCGAGGTGCATCTGCAGCTGCAGCTTCCCGTCCCGGAGTCGCTTTTGTTTCGACGTCGCCAATCTGCACCGGACGCAACGGCCGGTTGCAGACAGGCCTGCCTACAGTAGTTCGACGTTGGACAAAGGAGATCGACCCAGCGTTTCTTTTTCGTCTGATGTTGAGCAACTACTCGCTACTGTACTGACAGATTGGTGGGCTGTCAAATCAGGCCTTGCAGTAGAGGGGAGGAAAAAAGAGGGCCGCGAGCGATCGGCAAACACCCAGCTGGCGGGCGGGAATGTGTGGGTCCACAGCATACGTCCTGATTGATTGACGGATTGATGGGAATGGCCCTTTTCTTTTTCCCCCCTCGTCTCTGGGACCTCGGCCTGTGTCTGTTCGAGCGGTGATCGGAACGTCGCCGTTGATCTCCGTCCCCAGTGATTAGGATCGGCCGCGTTTATTTTGTGAGCTTGCGCGTCTGCAGGGCTGTCTTCCACTCTGGGTTCGGCAGATGCGGGAAAACCCAGATCTCGGCATGGGCCGCACGTGTGGTTCGCACGTCGGAGACGCCGGGGTGAAAGGGAGTTGCGGTCGAGGAGAGCGGTCTCGCCCTCGGGTTCAATATCTGGAAGACTGGCGTCGAATGAGCTCTACATCCCATGGTCACACAAAGCTTTGAGAAGTATTCAGATGGTTACCAAATTTCTGTTCTTTATTGACTGCCTTTATCGAACGCCTATTGCCTCAAGTTGCCTTGCCGTCCGAATGAGTTAGTCTAGGTATCTGCTTTTCTGAATTCCCTAATGCTATTCTGATCAGCCACTTCGAAGACCTTCAAGCCATGCGTAACCCTACGCGCTCCCATATATCGTTGATTGATGCTGACATCGGACGATGTCAAGCTCATGCGTCCGTCGACACAGACACCAATGAATGCCACTCCAGTCAGACAAGATTGGCATGTATCCTAGCGAGTTCATGCCAATTCATTCGACACAGTAGTCGATATCTCATAGCTTGGCCTTGACCGGAGCGTCATCGGATGTGGTCTCAGACACCACGACGGCGACAACACAGATGTCATCCACCTTGCCACCCCTCCACGTCTCCATGGGATAATACTTCTTCACTTCCTTCGCGAATGGCCCATCCAGCTTGGTGTTGACGCTCGCTGCCTTGGCGGCTCCGGTAATCGAGGTAGCTATCAAGCTCTGGAGGCTCGCCGCTCTTCCGTCCCCATCTCCGCTCGACGACGTATTCGTGAAGGGCGACAGATCTGGCCTGACCCTGATTCCTCCGGCGTCGCTGTGGACCCACGCACCACTGCCCTCCATGGCCGCGCTCACGATGCGAAGTATGTCCTGGTTGAACAAGTTGTCCCACACACCGTCGGTCGCAAAGACGAGTACGTCGCCATGACGCAGGCTAAGCCGCGAGACCTCGGCGTCACTGGGCATGTCTGCGAGCTGCGACCCCCCAAACGCCGACATGCGCCGCAATATCCACGGCGGTATTATAGACAGCTGAAATGGCGTATTAAACGCATGTGTCTGTGGCTCAGAGGAACCATGTACAGCGTTGAGTCGTAGATGGATATACCCGCTATCTCCCAAGTTCGCAACCTCGAGTGTTCCGCTGGGCTCGAGAAGCCCAACGATCGCAGTCGACCCACCGGCGGTGACCGCAGGATCACCACAAATGGCCTCATAGCCTGTCTGCATCAGAGAGCGGGCAGTCAGGTTCTGTGCTCTGGGGTCACCACTCGAGGAGTGAGAGTATGCTGCCTGGGCCATGTAGTCGCAAAACCCATGGGAAAAGTCCGCCGGGTCAACACCCGAGTCCATCCACCCGCCAACCCCATCTGCCACGCCGAGGGCAACACCGCCCGTGTTTAAACGCGTGACGAAGAAAGCATCCTGACCACTGTCGGGCCGGGTGCGCTTGGTATGTTTTCGCGGGGCCTGGACCCGATTGTAGGGATTGAAGTGGAAGACGTGCGTTGAGGGATCGTACGGTCGGTCCTTCGCGATGTAGGATGCGGCGACGTTGTACGTGAACTGTTTCGCTGATTGCTGCAAGCTCAGCGACGGTGTCGTGGAGAGCTTCCGATATATCGTTGGCATTCGGGATAGTGGTGTGATGTGTTTTGGGGACCGAGCTGCTCTGGAGGAACGAGTAACTGCTGCGAATGGGCTGATATTGAGCACGTTTCCAGGGCATTGTTGGGAGGGTCGCATACAGGGCGCTTACAATGCAGGTGTGGTCGAATTGACTGCGCGAACCTGGTCGTACAGCTGGGTGTTGCCATTGCGCCTTGGCGGCTGGCCAGGAGTCTGGACGACACGGCACAGGCAAGGGGGAACACTCTCAATTGCGCAAAGCCCGGCGGGGCTTGCTTTACTTTCAAGTCGTATTTGCAGATCGTTCAACCGCAACCATCATCGGCAGGAGTTTTCGGAGACGCGGGAGTGGGTGAGAGACAGACAGAGAGGGGGAGTGAGCAGCGAGCGAGCGAGCCGACATCTGTTGTCCGCAGCCGCTGATTGTCCGTCACGGAAATCATCAAACTAAGAGTCTCACTCGAGACAAGCAGCGCAGAAGCCCCGGATAGAGAGCTCCATAATTAGCACCTAGGCATTATGTCATTAGCGCTCCAGCAACAAAGGCACTGCGTAACAATCGCTACGCCGCCGCTATCCAGCCAATCGCTGTTGAACCGTTTTGACCCGGTGAGGGCCCGTTTTTCTGAGTCGAAGCAGATGTGCTGTAGAATGCGAGCATGCTGTGGAACGGCCACCTGCTGTTAGCATCCCTGGTAGGCTTGCAGCAATCCTTATGGCATTCAGGTGGAAAGATAAGGTTCAAGTGACCCATATCTTGTCTGTCTCTGAAGTCATGTGCATCACACAGTCCAAGATGCAGGCATGGATGATTGAAGCAAGAGAATGGAAAAGACTAGGTGGCTACAGTATGCCGAGGGATTTGAATTCATCCGTTGCAGTAGAAACGGGACGGGTGTTGCTCCCGGCACGTGATATCCCGGAGAACGGTAGGAAAATGACTAAATAGCGCCTTCTGATTGGTCGGGCGCTCGCTGGTCGGCAACTCGGTTACTTGCTCTGCAGTCCATGCGTCCATGTCGATGACCTCTACAACTCTGGACCATCGCCACAGGTGAGCCTAGAGTGCCGAACCAAACAGGAGGCTTAATCTTCTCGTTTCAGATCGTGCGTAGTTTCTTTGGGACTACTACCTCTTTTTGTTTCTTTACTTGACAGCCAATTCTTATGAACTGAACTATCTCACGGCTTCACGATCGATCGCAATCCCTGACCAGTCCACAAGATGGCCTCTCTCCGCTCCACCTCCACCCGATTCCTGGGTGCTGCCACAAGGCCAATGCTCCGGCCGGCGACCACCATGCTTGCATCACGATCCATGGCGAGCGTGTCCGAGCCCAAAGCCCAGGTGGAGGATTCCAACGCACACTCCACGCCCGCCGCAGAGGCGTCGCGTCTGAAGAGCTTCCAAATCTACCGATGGAACCCAGACCAACCGACAGAGAAGCCACGAATGCAGACCTACACACTCGACCTGAACAAGACCGGACCTATGGTTCTCGATGCATTGGTGCGGATCAAGAACGAGCTGGACCCCACCTTGACCTTCCGTAGGAGTTGCAGGGAGGGTATCTGTGGTAGCTGCGCGATGAACATCAACGGCATGAACACACTGGCTTGCTTGTGTAAGTAAACTTCAAGAGACTCTTCTGGCTACGAGTTATCTTTAGACCTTGACACTGACTGTTCTTACCAGGCCGGATCCCGGCCGACTCGAACAAGGAGATGAAGATCTATCCCCTGCCACATACTTACGTCGTCAAGGACCTGGTACCAGATTTGACGCACTTCTACAAGCAATACAAGTCCATCAAGCCGTACCTTCAAAGAGACACACCAGCACCTGACGTAAGATCAATGTTCTGTTGTTTGTTTGGGCTTGTGCTGACGATTTCATAGGGCAAGGAATTCCGCCAGAGCAAGGAGGACCGGAAAAAGCTTGACGGTCTCTACGAGTGCATTCTTTGCGCCTGCTGCTCGACATCATGCCCTTCGTATTGGTGGAACTCTGAGGAGTACCTCGGACCCGCCATCCTGCTGCAATCCTACCGGTGGCTGATCGATTCCCGAGACGAGAGGAAGGCCGAGAGAAAGGATGCTCTTGACAACTCAATGAGCTTGTACCGTTGCCACACCATTCTCAACTGCACGCGGACCTGCCCCAAGGGTCTGAATCCTGGTCTGGCCATTGCGGAGATTAAGAAGGAGATGGCTGTGTAAGAAGAAGTCTAGAAGGACATACATTCAAAGAAAAGGGTTTTCTTGGTTCGTCGGTCAACAGGAGGCAGCGATGCGTGGGGATTGAATTGTACATTGGGATTACTCGTATGCCTTCGCGCATAGGACCGGAGTTCACGCTGTGATAGTATCTACGAATCGAATTTTCAGAATTCAAGGCATCTTATTCCAACAGCGTGCGATGTTAGTCACAACCAAGACTTGGCCCATCGGCTCACCCACACGTGTTCTGCTGAGCTTTCGAGGGAGAAAGAGCTGATTACAAGAAGAGAAAGGGGCGACTCCCAGAAATGTAGCCACGACCGGACTGGCCCCGGGAACCTGCTGGATCGCGCCTGCTGCTCGCTCAGATCCTGCTGTGGCATGGACACTGCGGCCGTGGCCTCCTGAGAGTTGTGTCTGTCGCCACCACTTCTCGACACCTCCCTGCCCGTGAGAGCTTGTCGGCAGCCAAACAACTTTATCTCACAACTGTCTGTTGCTTGTTCCTCTCGTATCCAATCCTGTTGCTCGCTACGATCAATCCAATACCCACTCGTCTACCATTTTTCTAACAAGCGCTACCACGTTTGAACGAATTTTCCATCATGGATACTAGGTTCTTCCTACTGTCATGCCTTCTCATCACGGGGACAGCTCAGAATCCAACACCGCGAAGAGTCCAGGCAAGTGGCGTCCCATCTGCCACTGCGCCTGCGCCCCAGATCGATGCTCACCACCCTTGGGACAACACTCATTGCGATTTATCGCCAGAAGAGCACACAGAACTTTCCGAGATTGCATCTCGCGTCATGCAACTGCCATGGTCATCCCTCGCAAATTGCGTGTCTGACGGATCCATCTCGGAGGCGCCAGAATGTGGAGCACTGCGAGAGGTTGCAGACTTCCTTCAATCAAAATGCTTCACACCACCAGACGACCTGCTCTCAGACAGTCGCAAAGACAACAGCGTCAACAATGGTAGCTCTTGGACCGCATCCCGTGACGTTGAAGACTCACTCGACGACACGAGTGCTCCAAAAATCACATGGCTGGCGAGACGTATCGCACGGCTGATAGAGGAGGACGCGGAGACGGGCGATACGTATCCCCCAGTCTTCAAGCCAATCTATGACTACTGTGATGTTCTGGAGAATCCGGAAGAACACACAACATGCATTTCCAAGATACTGGAAGATAAATTGCGCGAGAGGGCACCGTGGGAAATTGAGATGTTCGAACGTGCTTGGTGCAAAAAGGAACCGTGGATTCGGGAATGTCAGAAATCGGATGCAAGTCCCGCCCGGAAAACTTCATCCGAGTCTGTCACTATCGACAGTGACCTAGTTGATGAGGGCATCGATGAGAGTATCGATCGGCACGGTGTGCTCCCGTCCCTTGACGATGTTGGCTTTCTTCTCCGACGACGCCAGTAGTCCGCCGGTCTGGATCCGCAGAGGCTGCTTACTTTTTCAGAGGGGCTTGTCTGTGAGGCCTTAAGCCCGTCTACCACGAGTGCGAGCATGCTGTCGGCTAGAAGTCATTAGGAAATTGCGTCTACGAGAGACGAGGTCAAATAGGTTTGGGAGGCTGCACACTTGCTAGAAACACCTAGAAATCACTAATTCAGTATTCTCTCCTCAGACCTCTGTGTAATATGGCTCACTGCTTTTGAGTACAATACGATATTCTCTCAGAGATGTTCCGCTGAAACAAGACCATCTTGCTCTGTCTATCTCTCATCTATATTGGCTACAGGGTGGAAGTTAAAGTACTAGACCAACAAGAGGGTGCCACAGGCAAGCAATGGAGGAAAGAGGTCCAGATGAAAACATCATTTTCTTTTGGCTGTCAGTTACCCTGTCTTATCCTCATTCATGGTTACAAGATTCACTTCTTTCCCATTTTTTCCAGATATGCCTGGACGTCGATTTCCTTGAGTAGATTTGCTTTTTCGTGGACCTGTTGCTCTATCTCAAGCTGGTAGTTCTTCATCTTATCGTGCAACTCAGGTATAAACGCTCCCAAGAAGCGAATGGCGAGGAGTGCCGCGTTTGTGGAGTTGTTGATCGCGACGGTTGCGGTAGGTACGCCTCTCTGGAATCATCATTAGTAGGGTTTCATTAGGAAGTCCAAGTACGAAGGCGACGTAAAAGAGTCAGATACTTACAGGCATCTGCACAATACTCAGCAAACTGTCAAGTCCGTCAAGGTGTGTCGCCTTGACGGGCACACCAATGACCGGCAATGGGGTGTAAGCGGCGATCATCCCCGGCAGATGAGCAGCTCCTCCGGCCGCGGCGATGATGACCTTGATCCCCTTGGAAGCAGCCTCGGTGGCCACCTCAGCCATCTTGCTCGGCGTCCGGTGCGCGGACGTGATGTCCACGGTCCAAGGGACGTCGAACTGGTTCAGGATGTCGATACCCGCCTTGAGCACGGGGAGATCGGAGTCAGAGCCCATGGTAACCAAAACCAACGGGTCCTCGGCTGCTGACTTCGCTGCCCCTGTTGGGCGGAGAGCTTTGCTAGATGCCTGGAGGCGCTCCTGGCGGATCTCATCTGCAGTTTGAATCAAGGGTTGGGCGAACTTCTCCAGCTCCTCGATGGAACAAGACCCTGTGACGGTAATGTGACCAATCTTTCGACTCGGCTTGGATTCCTTGCCATACATATGCGGGTACACGGCCTTTCCTTTGCCGAGCAAGTTCTCGGCTTGCTCAATTAGTCGGTGATGAGAATCGGCATTTGCGCCACCCAAGACATTGACCATGATACTTGATGACACATGAGGCTCCAAGACTTCTGGGAAAGGCTTATCCAGGATGGAGTAGAGTTGTGCTTTGTACTGTGACATGTACGGCACAGCCTCGATGGTGTAGTGGCCTGAGTTATGTGGCCGAGGAGCGATTCTTGAAAGGGGTCAGCGAATTCTGCATCAATATGTGCTTGAGGTCATGGACCTCAGAAAAGCACGCCAAAGAACTTACTCGTTGACCAATATCTTGCCTTCTCTAGTGAGGAACATTTCCACAGCGAAGACTCCCCTGCCCCAAAGCTTCTCAACTACATCACAGGCAACTTTCTGCGCCCGCTCACAGATCGGAGCAGGCACACTCCGAGGTGGCATGAAGACCTTGGAGCAGATGTTGTCCTCGTGAATTGTCTCAACGGCTGGATAAGGGATGACTCGTTTTGTCTTGCCGTGGTTGTCCTCCGTCCGGACGACCATGACGGCCAGCTCCAGCTCGAACGGCACCCACTTCTCAGCGTAGCAAGAGAGCTTACCAAATTCTTCGAATGCCTTGTCAATGTCCGCCTCACTGGATATCTTGAAGTTGCCTCTCCCATCGTAGGAGCCTTTCCTGGCCTTTAACATGAAGGGGTACCCGAATTCCTGAGCCGCGAGCTGCAACGACGCAGGCATGGTGGCACCACTCTCGATAGCCATCTGCTCGGCTATAGGCAGGCCCTCCTTACGTAGGTGCTCTTTCTGGTCGAACTTGTCCTGGATCAACCTGAGTGTCTTCCAGGATGGATGCACAGAAACCTTGCCCTGCCCATCAATCTCCTCGAGCACTTCGGTCTCGATGTGTTCGATCTCAACTGTCAAGACGTCACACTTGGCTGCCAGTTCCCGGATTTTGGGCGCGTCTTTGAACGATCCGGTCACATGCTTGCTGTTGCTGTTGATCTGCTTGGCCGGGGCATTCTTTTCGTCCAGAATGGCGATTTCGATGTCGAGGGGAGAGGCTGCCTCGCAGAGCATACGGCCTAGTTGGCCGCCTCCCAGAAGACCAATTACAGTCATGTTGCTGGTGATGTACAGATGCGGTCCTCTTGCCCTTATGTTGAGTGTTGGGGGACGTGATTTCCTGCTACTTCGGAAATGACAGACTGCGCAGCCGACGTCAATTGTCTCCCCGGGGTATCTGTGAGACACGGGCACCGTTCGTTATTCGTTGTAGGGAATAGGCAGCTCGAGGAAAATATCACAGGTTTGTTTTTGATGGCTCACATGAATCAAAGGTGACTGAATTTGGGAAAAGGTGGGTCCTTCTGACGTGTCTGAGCCAATCATGTCATGGTATTGGGGCTGCGTGAACCCAGCGCTCAAGAGAGGTGCTAGGGTTGTTCACTTCACTTAGTCCAGAATGACTCCTGAAATCTCATGAAGGCACGGCCAGAACGAAGTAAGACGCTCTTTTGAAGCCTATATGGACCCGGCTTATTATTTTCAGGTTGGAATTCTTCTTCATGATGAATAAAATTTGTCTGTGTTTCCCCGAATACTAAGATAGTGTTCATGGAGGCATGTGTCATCGATAAACTCATTTCTCACACTTCTCGGGACCCCAAAGACCTCTGAGTTCATGAGGGAGGCTCGCAACGGCTGCCCATCACCCAGACGCTCGAGAATAATAGGCTATAGCAGCTCAATCGGAAAATTTATCAGCTGTTGCCGAGTGTGAAAACATCGTCAGAATGGGTTCTCAAAACGAGCACGACGACACATCGCTCATGCAATTGGAGCAGTAAGTCTGCGCTCCTCACACGATGGAGGTGAGGATGTCCCACTATTTACTGACGATGACCTTCCCTCTAGTCCTCTCAAAATCTTTGACCTGGTCAAGAGTCAAGGCAGACTGCTCTACGCTTGCGCGCCTATGGTGAGGTACAGCAAACTCGCTTTCAGACAGACGGTACATGCCTACGGAACGGATCTATGCTGGACTCCCATGATTTTAGCGAAGGAGTTCAACCGCAGCTTCATTGCTCGAGACAGCGGTGAGTTTTCTTGGGATCAAGCAGGATTTCCCTCTCACAGTAAAGAACAAAGGGAACCACAGCTGACATGCCGCCTAGACTTCACCATCTCGACAGCGGGACCACGGGTGCCGACAATAGTCCAGTTTGGCGCCAACTCACCCTTGGAAGTAGCCCGCGCGTCGTCCCTGGTCGCACCTTATGTGAACGGCGTCGACCTCAACTGTGGCTGCCCCCAATCGTGGGCCTGCGCGGAGACTCTCGGCGCTGCTCTGATGGAGAAGCGAGAGCTGGTCAGGGACATAGTGCTCGAGACACGGCAAAGACTGAGGAGTGAAGGGTGGGCCGTAGGAAAGGAGGAAGACATCAACAATCCGAAGGGAAGGAGCGTGAGTGTGAAGATAAGAGTACACAAGGATCTCAGGTAAGTTCTTGCATCGAAGTCGTTACCATGACTCTGGCCCTGGATTCACCCTGACACTTTCTTTAAGAAAAACCATGGACTTCATAGAGACAGTAATAGGTAACTCCCAAGATCGCAACATCGATTTCCTAACCATCCATCCTCGCACCCGCAACACACCATCAACGACGCCCATAAATCTCGAGGCATTGGAGCTCCTCACCAACAAGTATGGAGACCAACTCCCTATCCTTGTATCGGGCGACGTGTTCTCCATGGGGTCACTGCCGTACGCATCACCACTCCCCTCTGTCGAGATCGAGGGAAGTATCAAACCACATCTGCCCAAATTGGCGGGTCTTATGTCCGCCCGAGCTCTCCTCGCAAACCCGGCTCTGTTCGCCGGTTATGAATCCTGCCCCTGGGAGGCGGTCCAGCTGTTCATGAACAAGGTTGTGAGAGCGCCCCTGCCGCTGAAACTTGTCCAGCATCACCGTATGTTCCGTCAAAGTTCACTCTGTTAATCCCGCTGAGAAGTGAGTGCCGAATGTTTACTGACCAAACACAGTTGGTGAGATGTGCGGGCCAGGTTACGGTCCCGACAAAAGATCATTGCTCAGTAAGAAAGAAAGAGGGGAAATGTATGATTGCGCAAGCATGTGTGATTTGATTGATTTCCTAGACGAGAAGTTGAAAGACAGAGGCAACAAGGAGGGGGTAGGCAGGGCCATTTCACCATCTGTATAGGCATAATACAAAAAGGTTTTGGAATATCAGTGTCAATGAGTTCGGCCGTCCTGTCCTACTGGAGCACGCCCTAATGGTATGCCTGTCATCCTGGGATATCGCAGTCTATCACTCCTTGCTGGCGAGCCTCAGCCCTCGCCTGCTACTCCGAGAACCCTTTATGTACTTTGAAAAAGGGGGCTCGGTGGAACCTTTCCCGTCATCCTTGGGATGCTCGCATGCCCCATCGAAGTCTGCCAAATAATATGTGATGATTTATTAAGAGCGGGTTCCATATCTGGGGCGATGTCAGGGCTCCATGGACCAACCTGTGACGCAAGCCTCATATGTATGGGATGCTATCCCGTCGCCGACTTACTGCTGCTGGAGGCAGTGTCCATCGTGGCGCTCTCATCGTTTTCCGAACAATTATCAAGCCTAATTCCGGTGATTCCCTAGCCCGGAACTTCTCCTTCGTCCTCGTCAGATAGCCGCGCTCGCTTAGTGTCTCGGTCCATCTCTTCCAGGTCTGCCTCTGGGGTCTTTCGTTTCGAGCCTGGTGACTTCAGGCCGTTGCTGAGGCCGTTGGCTCTTCGGTCAGCCAAGTGATTGTCGACGTCGTTGGCTGCAATCTTGAGGTTCGCATCAGAGTCGCCCTTGTGTTGCGATGCCGCCGCGTCAGTTGGCTCATTCTCCCCATTCTCCCCGCCTTCTTTCTTGATGTCGGCATTGCCATTAACATCATCTTCCCGATCCGGCCTGCCTTGGTACCGTGCTCGTGGGCTTTGTGTTCCACGGTCCGTTCCCATCGGCGTGCCGTTGTGACTCGAACCAGCCTCTGTCTGGCTGGGTAGCTCGCGCCCTCGCCTAGTGTTCTCCAGACTGAAGATTGGTGATCCTTGGTAGCGAGAGTCCGATTTCCTAAGAGGGTTCTCCGAGTAAAAGTCCATCACCACACTAATGGCTGATTGGGTGAGTGCCTCATCGCCCTTCAGAACTCGCCACCACGGATCACCGTCTCTTCCATCTTCGATCTTCTCATCCAGCGAGACTGTCGCAAAAAATATCGCGCTCACGGCGATTGCGCTGGCGTTCATGAGTAATGGAAGGACTGTGAGCGCCGAGTCACAGCAGAATGCCCAAGCAGCATCTCTAATGCGCTTGTTGTGAAGCATATCAAGCTGAGTTAGACACTCGTAGAGTCGTTGGTATGGGTTGTCCACCATCAGATCGAAAGTCAACATCTCCAGCATTAATTCTTCATGCATCAGAATGCTATCACGCCACTTCCAATATTCTTTACTTTGTTCGTCGACGATGAGTCTAGGGTTCTTCTGGGCAACTTTGACCACGGCATAGATGATGTCCTTCGTCTTTCGGCAGTTTTCCTCGGTTTTGTTTGCGAGGAACAATGCCGTCGCAGCTATGTTCTATTCCGGTTGAGCAATTGTGTTAGCGCGTTTTTCCTTTCTTCTTCAACTCATTCACACCATGTTTGCGACCGGGGAACCAACATAGTGATGTATCCCGCCCTTCTCTTCGGCCATACTGCAACGCATGTAAAACCGGTGAAAGAAGACCGCGGCGACCCATAATGTCGTCTGTGGAAGTTCGACCATCGCGCCAGCCTGATAGATGAAGTTGACCCCTTTCGCTCTTCTCAGTCTCTCATCGGCCGGCGCAAGGCCATCGACTATACTTGGCGAGCTGAGGGCCTCATCTGGAGTGAAGTACCACTGGTGTGCGCGGGCTCGTGGTGTGGTAGGCGAGGCTTGTGCCGGAGACGGTGCGCCTCGCCGGGACTGCGGTGGGAGGGAGGATGTGCGTGAGGAATGAGTCGGAGGCGATGGGACTGCCGGCGGTATGTCGCGTTGTTTTGACGGAGATCTGGATGGGCGAGGGGGCTTCGGAGGTAGAGAGGGAGGTTGGTAGCCTTCCCGAGGCGGTCGGTATCTGTCGATGCTGGCCATCGCAACTTAGATCATACAAGATAATCGATTCCGGAACCTCACTTTGGTTTTGTAACGGTAAGTAGTGGGTGTGGCGGAATGCGAACTTGGATTAAGTAGCCATGGACAAACGGAAATGGAGTAGAAATAAGGCACGCTCCAGGTTGATGATGAAAGACGGGGAGTTGAAGTTGGACGCTGCAATCGCCTTATCGGCCAAGCCCCTGCGGGCGCGTCAATAGCGGGCCCCACTGCCAAATATTCACGGCAGGCAATCCATTCAGTGCCTTGGCTACCCGGCAGTACAATAGGTCAAAGTCAACCTTCAATAGCAGACTCCCAGCGCAAGCTCAATAGGCAGCTTCCTATTGTCTGTTGATTTTCGCTGCCAAACCACCATCTTCGGCCAAGATGATGCACCCTTCGAGACAGGCGTTTGTGGAGGACCATCCCATGGATGAGGTAAGACAACCAAACCGCAGCTTTCAGTGGCCTGCCTTTGCTCAAAACAATACAACAGCGCGGCGCTCGACTGACTGGTGTGCCTCTGTGCAGGATAGGGGAGGACTGACACTTGAACAAGTTCGTGAGTATACCGGCACACCCAATCTATCAGTGCTATTTGAGCTGACCACAGGCGCAGCCAATGATTACAATTATGAACTCGGCACAGGCGAAAATGCATCGGCGCTGCTGTCCCAATTCGAGCGAAAACGCATGGCGGCGCGTCTGGCCGTCCCGACCAACGATGAGGCAATCAAGAGCATGCTCCGCGAAAGAGGGCTGCCAATCACCCTTTTCGGCGAGAACAACCCTGCCGACCGCCGCGAAAGATTGAGAGAGACCTTGGCCGACGAGGCTGAGCAAGCAAAGGCTCAAGGCCAGGGTGGCGTCGATATCGAGATGGATGACGCTGTTGACGAGGAAGACGACGAGGAGCAGGAGGAAGAGTACTACACGCGAGGAACTGACGAGCTTCAGCTAACCAGGGTGGAGATCGCAAAGTACTCGCTCCCGAGAGCAAAACGGCGAGTTCATTTCCAACGGCAGGAGGCTAAGATCCCCCTGCGGACGCATGTCAAGCATCGAAAGCAGATCAAAGAGCAGCTACAGGATTTCGAGCTACAAAGCTCACAGGTCGGAGGACAAAGGTATCTGAGTGTCGTCAGGCTGGCGCCACAGGGGCAGCTTTGCGCCACGGGCGACTGGGGTGGCAGCTTGAAGGTCGTTTCAACACCTGATCTGGAAGTTAAGAAGACGCTAAGGGGCCACACGTCGAAGATTGGCGGAGTCGACTGGCTCCCCGGGGCCACATCTCCAGAGAGTGAGACGGCCCAGCTGGCATCATCTTCAGCAGATGGAGTTGTCCACTTGTGGTCACTTCAGAAAGACACGCCTCTTTCTACATTATCCCAGCCTGGTGGGCCAAAGGTCAACAAGATCGGATTCCATCCTTCGGGACGCTATCTGGCCACCGCATGTGAAGACACGACATGGAAGCTCTACGACGTTGAGACCGGCAGTGAGCTCTTGTCTCAGGAGGGACATTCAAGGGCCGTCATGACCGTCAGCTTTCAGTCGGAAGGCGCACTGGTTGCAACGGCAGGGATGGACAGTGTTGGCAGAATCTGGGACCTTCGAAGTGGCCGCACCATCATGCTCTGCGAGGGCCACATCCAACCCATAACATCCTCGAGCTGGATAGATGGGCATAGGATATTGTCGGCCTCTCTCGACGGTTTCGTGAAGGTTTGGGATGTGCGCAAGGTCGTACAGAGTGGCAATCTTGCAGGAAACACATCCGGAGTGACCGACATACGTGTGTTCAGGGGCCTTGATGACCCTGTGGAGGGCGAGGCTCCGGGACAAGACGAGAAGGGGGCGCAGATACCAAAGAAGTCTGCGACCTTCTTTGCAACATGTGGATTTGACAGAAAGGTCAACGTCTACTCAATGGACGACTACTCCCTGATCAGCTCGCTCGAGTCTCACACGGCGCCAGTAAGCTCGGTTGACATTTCAAGGGACGGCAGGTGGATTGTGTCTGGTAGTCACGATAGGACAATCAAGCTCTGGGCGCGCAACGAGATGGAGCCGTTGTAGTAGGGCGAGTGAAGGAAAGAAGGAGCAGAAGAACAATTGTAGATACCCAGACAGTGACAATTTACAGGCACCGGATCAAGCGTGGCTTCGGTGACCGACGGCCACATGGCGAGCTACCATTTCAGGCCCCCGGGCCCTTGCGATATTAATTCACTGCCGTGACAGTCAACCGCCGGAATGTCGGGAATGATCTGGATTCACCACTCCCGAATTTCATTGTGTGAATGGACTGTGAAAGAACTGTGGCCAGGCTGTCTTTTGCTGCGTAAAACAGCCGCTTTAAGCCGCTGTCCCAAGGTGCCAGTGTCTGCTGCGGTGGGGAGCGCCCGCCGGTGGATCTGGGGGATCAGCGCTAACAGGGGCCCATAGTAAGTTTTCAAGCGGGCCGTCAGAAGCCCCACATTTTCTTGCATTTGCGAACCGGTAATTTTAGATTTATGCCTGACTGCCTGCCTGCCTCCCTTTCCCTTTTCAATCTTTTTTCCTCATCACTTCCAAAGTGAAAGGTCAGCCCACTCCCTGCGAAAGAAAACCAACGACGACGGACCAGATCCGACAAACTGCAAATGCATACCAGTAACGATACACGCGAGCCCACGTTTCCCCATTTCCTGAAGTCTCAGATGCGCCTCCAGAGCCACCAGCGACTAGCCCGAAACGAGTTCAACGACTCCCGCTGCGACCCCGAGGGACGACGAGGCGCGCCTTGAAGGGCGAAACCCGTCGAGAACGACCTAGTACGCGATTATTGATCGCGACTTGGTCAGAGCGAGATACCACAATCCACAAAGACTCTGACAACGAGACACCACGAACATGATACGAGGAGGCGCACCCGCGGCTACCACCGTTGTCCGCGGGTTTCAGACTTCAGGCGGTTCGGGAGACGATGATTCCGACCATGGGCGTGCGACACCGCGACTCATCGCCGCCGACAAGGCTGCCACCCCGATCCTGCGCGGCCGTCGTTCCAAGAACCCCATCATCGACGACGTCGTCAGCGCCAACTGCAGCCCCGCCTTGCGACCGGTGGCCTCTCCCGCTATGAGCGGCATCGGACTTTTGCGATCCCAGCATGTCGACTCCTTCAACCTCGACAGCGCGAGCACTTCGCGCGCGAGCTCCGTGACTCGTAGCGGCAGCCTGCCCAGACTCGGGTCGCCACTGGCCCGACCTCGCGGTGGACGTCGTGTGCGCAACGCAACAAATAGCAGTGACGGAAGCGGGGACGAGGCGGCCTCCGAGTTATCGACCTCGTACGAGATCAGCCTGGAGAACGACTTTGTCAGTGCGAGCGCCCCGGACCAGGGTTTTGCTTCGGACAGCCCCACCCTCTTCGAGGCCATCGAGGGAGACCTCTCGAGCCGCCCTCTCAAGAAGACAGCGGACGACTTTGAACCCTTGCGATGCTTGGGCAAGGGATCCTACGGCACAGTCATCCTGGTCAAGCAGCGAACTACTGGCAGACTGTACGCGCAGAAGCAGTTCAAGAAGGCCTCGCTCGTCGTGCATAAGAAGCTCGTCGAGCAGACCAAGACAGAGCGCCAGATCTTGGAGTCTGTTAACAAGCATCCGTTTGTCGTCAAGCTGTACTATGCATTCCAAGACAGGGAGAAACTGTACCTCATACTCGAATACGGCCAAGGCGGAGAGCTTTTCACACATCTCGCCGAGGAACGCATGTTTCCTGAGCCGACTGCAGCCTTCTACCTGGCTGAGATGGTACTGGCTCTCTCGCACCTGCATGACGAGCTGGGCGTTGTCTACCGTGACCTCAAGCCCGAGAACATTCTCTTGGACTCCGAGGGCCACCTGCTTCTCACAGACTTTGGCCTCTCGAAGGTTGCCACTGATGATGCCGCTTGCAATTCCATGCTCGGGACGGTCGAGTACATGGCTCCCGAGGTGATCAAGGGCGAGAAATACGGCAAGGCTGTGGACTGGTGGTCGCTTGGGGCGCTTGCCTACGACCTCATGACGGGCAGTCCGCCGTTCCGCGGCAACAACAACCACAAGATCCAGCAGAACATCCTGAAGCAGAAGCTGGTCATACCCTACTTCCTCAGCCCTGACGCGAAGGACCTCCTGAACCGTCTACTCCGTAAGGAGCCAAACAAGCGCTTGGGAAGCCACATGCCAAAGGACCTGGCCATCATCAAAGGCCACCGGTTCTTCCGCAAGATCGACTGGAAGAAGCTGGCCGCCCGCGAGATGGAGCCGCCCATCCAGCCCATGATCACCGACCCGGAGCTCGCAGAGAACTTCTCTGCCGAGTTCACGGAGCTGAGCCTCAGCCCGCGGACCTCCCTGGTTGAGCCGTTCAGTCCGACGGCATCCAACTCGGAGGAAAATCCGTTTGGTAACTTCAGCTTCACTGCGAGCCACAGCTTGCTGAACTCGCATGGATTTGCGTGTCTTCAGAAAGCTTGAAGAAAGATTATTCCCTTAGACTGCGAAGAAACAGAACAGAACGGGGCTTGGTCCACAGATGGATCTGAGCTTGGACAGAGAGCGATACAGCAAAGACAACAGGAGAGATACTGGATAGGTCCATTATCATAGATGATACAGGCTTAAGACGTAGGGTCATCTGGCATCAGCAATTTGCCTGTCCACAGAAGCGATTCTACATCCATTGCACTGGGCAGGCCACGCATGAATTGAAGGGGAGTGGAGCAAATCATGGTGATAGAGACAGTCAACAGTTTAGACATATCTTCGAGGAAGGAACGGTCGCAGAAGAAGGGAGACTAGCGAGTGCCGGCAGGGCGCATAGTTAATTATTCTGTATTGATACTTACTCCTTTTCTGTATTGGCATGGTCACGAGAATCACCCTCACCACCGTCCCCTGGCGAAATTGCGTGCCCTTGGCTGCTTATCAATCCATGACCGTGGAATTCACGAGCCTTATGTAAAATGGAGACCTCACTTATAATACTGACCGCGAGATATTGTGTCTGCTTGGCGCCAATACGTGCCCCGTTGCGAAGCCCCGGCGGGTAGGGCGGGCGCCTCTAAAAGATGAGAAGTCGGTCAGATACGAACGTATGTGCCTCCGGGCACTGACAGTCTGGCCGTCAGGCTCACCGAGTACAACATTCCTCGGAAGGTGTTAGACCACATTCCAACCTAGCCAGCTCCCCGGGACTGTCTTGACGGCACGTGGACGTCTAATTACACGCGTATCGGCGCGCCGGGGGCGGGTGGTGCCAAGGCCCGCCCGCGCGCCCTGCCATGGCCTGGTTGAGGGGGAAAGGGAAGAAAAGGGTCGAAGATTGGCATGAGCCGATCTTGTGCAGGTAGTTGTCAGGTGGGCCGCGCAAGCCAAGGGTGGCTTGGGACGCGCCGGCCAGGGACAGCTTCGTGCCAAGTGCGGGCCGGGATTTGAAAGAGTGCTGATCGCGGTCAACGGTGCTTGGTGGTTGGGACGTTGGCATTATTTTTTTTCCCTTTCCCTATCTCCCTCCACTTTTCCGTGCGATGACCTGATAGAACTAGAGCCTGCAGCCTCCAGTGTTTCGGCTACTGTGCTGTGGTGCGTGGCCCTTCTGGACTGGAGAGATAATGGCAGATGCATGATAGGGCCGGCCGCTGGGGTGGGTGAAGCTTTGTGGGCTCCCGCAGGGCGCTGGTGATACACCCGTCATTGTGCATGGACATTCATCGGCAGCGTCATCATCATGTCGTCTCGTAAACCCGAGAAAGCTCGATGTATTTCCGCCTTCCCACGTGTCTTCCAGGGCAAGACCAGGCGAGGGCCAGGCCGGGATGGGGCGGTTGTTCGAACCGAAACTCGCAGTGTTTATCTCGGATTTCCGGACGGTGATTTACTGACACCGAACGCAGCGTGCGGACGACAGCGACGACAGAGATGGGACGAAAGGCCCGTGATGCGGAAGAGGGCCAGGCCCATGCGATTCGACGTGGGAGCGAGCGACGGGGATGGCACGGCGGCGGGCGCAGTGTCCGATGAAACGTGTTTGAATCATAAATTCCGAGGCATCGGAGTCTTTTCTCGCTAGTTCGGTGACGGCGACGCTGCCCGCGGCGAGGTACTGTCGCTGCATACTCCAACGTGCCAGTGTCGTTGATAGCAGCCCTGCAGAGCCCTGCAGAGCCCACATTATAGAGTTGAGGCGGAGTGACGGAGGGTTTTCTTTCCTCGGTGGGGGTTGCCCACCCTGTCCAGCTGAGCCAGGGCTGGCAAGACTATCATTTCGTGATGATCAAATGCGGGCAGGGACTTGGCGTCATCCGAGGGGAGATTGTCAAAACCCTTGGCTCGATTGGCAGAACGATGTCAAGTGAGGAGATACGTGGAGTCTATCATCAGTCTATGCGGTCTATGCAGCACTGTACTGTGTGGTAGATATCTGCGATAGCATTGTACCTTGGTTGGCCCTGTCGCGTCTCAGGGTGGATCACACTCGGCAGCCTTACCGAACGGGAGGAACCCAACCTAAACCCCCCCAAGGCCAAATCCAAATCCCAACCCAACCCAGCCTAAGCCCAGCCCTTTTGCCGAACCTTGCAGCACACGTTGTTATCTCCGTTACAGAAGTGATGGTGTGTGCGTGTGTGAGTGAGTGCATGTGTGTGTCCAGACACCAGACTTCAGAGCCGAAACTTGCTCGCTCGTCCGCTGTCTCACCCACCGGACCAGGGATTCATGACACGCAAGCTCCACGATCCATCACTCGCTGGATTCAGGTCTCACTCATGCTCTCTCTCTCTCATGCTTTCATGCTTTCACGTTTTCCATGTCCCCAATCACAATCGCACTCACATTCTTGGACATGATAGCCAATCCTGCGGCGCTATTGTCAGCGCTACCGGACGGAAAGGTCTTCTTCCAGGCTGAAGATCATCTATCTATTTCCAGCCGCGCCACTCCGAACTGGCGCCCTTTGTCGGCACCTGCGCGGCGTGGAAAGCAGATGCCATTCTGGGCACCTGCACTGTGACATCGAGTAAGACTGATGGCGATCGACTCGCAGGACACAATGTACCTAGAGTACCGCACCTTCCCCCTATCACCGCGATGGTGGGGTGGGTGAGATGCTGAGAATACCGCTTCATTCTATTGGACCCCCTTCGCTGCTGCTGCTAGGGGTCGCCTGGGTCCTTACTGGGGGCCAGTCCTACCCACAGCTGTGTGCAAGTAATGTATTACTACTACACTAGTGGTCTGTTGATGGGCCCCATATCGAGGCGAAGCCGTCTTCTCCTAATGAGCACAGGTACAGTAGCAACCCATTCTCTCGGCTGTATTATTCGTGTATCTGGGAAGCACAGACGAAAGGAGTTGCCAAAAAGGGACGGAAAGGTCTATCGGATGGGTTCAGTGGCTTGGTGTCAAGTGCCTTGCACGGGCGCAGGATCCCTCCCTCCCCGTCTGTCAACCCAAGACAGCCCAGCTAAAAGGTCCGGATAAAAATCGAAGGACCAGCCAGGGAGGAACAGGTATGACACGAGCATACTTGACCCCGTCCCTCTCGCAAGTCTCTTTTCATCTTGCTCAAGCGAGCTAGGCACGACCAGGAAGGCCTAACCACGAGTAAGAACGACAACTTGCACCAACCTTGTCTAAGTCAGCAGTAAGGCTTAAACGAATAAGTAATCCTCGACAATAGTCAGTCAGTCCCAGTCTGCTGCGACGCGAACCTGTCTTGTCCTTTCCCAGACGTCCTGACGTCCAACGGCACCGAAACAATCTTGTCGAGCTCGGCCTGGGTGTATACCCTGTCCGTCCCTCCCTTGGCTCCCCGGGGAGCCTCGAACTTCGAAAGTTGGACATCCCAGCCCATTCCCGTACCCATTTCTTCCAAGCCGCACTGTCAACCGCCAGAGCCAACCAGCGCCAACGTTTTAGCTACCGACCTGTCTCAAAAGCCTCGTCAAGCTCAAGCCCTGCTTGGCGCCGCGTCACGGGCCATTGTTCATCGTTTTCATTTTCCCCCAAATTCGAGTCCGGCGTGTGGTCCGCGCTTTTCCCACCCTCACATGAGTAGTAGCCTCGATCGGCACTGACATGACATATCCTTCCAACTCTAACTTACACGAGGATCCACATACCCTGACTGTTGGAATACACCGCCCAGCATCGAGGTCGGTGCTTGAGCTTCTGGGCATAGGAGTAATATTTGTATATCAACTCGTCACATCCCTCTTCCACCCTCCAGAGAAATCGGACGCGAGGAACCGTGCCGGACATCTCACGACACTGACATCAAGTCAATTCGACGCCAACATCTCCTGCGACAGAATATCTACGCAAAGTGTTGTGTTCACGTCAAAATGCCGACTTATTCATCTTTCGCGGCTGCGGCTGCGGCTGCGGTTCTATGTGAGTGAAGCAAACCCACACACGCCCTCGATCACTCGCGCACCATATCGGTGTACCAGCCCTCACTATTCGTCCTAGCTGCTGACGCCCCAGCAACAGCAGCAACTTCAGCAAGCGCAGCAACAGTTAGCTACTGCGCTTCAGGCAGCATCTGCTACGCCGTGGGTGTCCCAAGCACCACGGCTTCATCTGGCAGCGGCAACATCTACTTCCAGATCTCAGCACCAACGACCTATTCATGGGTAGCCCTGGGCACCGGCACCCAGATGAAAGGGGCAAACATCTTCATCATGTACCAGGACGGCCAGGGCAACGTCACCGTGTCAGCCAGGCCTGGTACCGGCCACCAGCAGCCCCAGTACGACGCATCCACCGCGTCGCAGCTCACGCTCCTCTCGGGGAGCGGCGTCAGCGGGGACACCATGGTGGCGAACGTGCAGTGCGCGAACTGCGAGTCGTGGTCGGGTGGGACCCTGAACGTCGCCAGCTCTGGCTCGTCGTGGATCGCGGCGTGGAAGGAAGGGTCCTCGCTGGCCTCGACCAGCCAGTCGGAGTCGATCTCGTACCATGATGCGCACTCCGAGTTCAACTTGGACCTGACGCAAGCGAGCATCACCTCGGACAGCAACCCCTTCGTCGGTGCTGCAGCCACGACGCCTTCGTCGTCAGGGTCGTCGGGTTCCAGCGGCACCACGACGGTGAGACCTAGTAGTGCGGTCATCTGGGCCCATGGCCTCGGTATGGCGATTGCTTTTGCAGTTCTGTATCCTCTGGGGTCTGCTGTAATGCCTTTGTTCGGGAAATGGCAACTCCATAGTGGTTAGTACACTCGAATGGATCCTTCTCCTTCCAATGCAGCGGTAAGGTGGCTTGGTAAAAGGCGTAGGAGACCAAGATTCTCTGCGACATCTGCCGCCCCTTGGTCTGCTCCTAGGAATGTAGACATCATGTATTGACGAACTCCTAGGCTGGCAGATGGTGACCTGGCTGCTCATGTGGGCTTGCTTCGGCCTTGGCGTATACGGCGCTCAGCAGCGGAATATGGTGAGTAGAACCGTGACCGAATGCGTCTGTCATTGCTGACCACGCCTCCAGCTCTTTACCAACTCTCACGTTCAACTCGGCACTGTTGTGGTCTGCGTGCTTGCGATCCAACCTGCTCTCGGCTTCATCCACCACCAGCAGTTCATGAAGACTGGCAGCCGCGGCATCTTCAGCCATGCCCACATCTGGTGGGGTCGGCTCTGGCTGGTTCTGGGAGTCATCAACGGCGGCCTGGGACTGCAGTTGACCGACGCAAGCAACAGCCTGATCATTGCCTACTCTGTGATTGCTGTAATCATGTACCTGGTGTACGCAGTCGTCAAGACACTGGTCTCGTTCCGGTCCAGGTCCAGAAGGTCGAACGGCAGCATAGAAGGACGCAAGGCGTCGGGGGCTGGCTATGTTGAGCATGGGGATGAGATGAACCTCAACAGGTATCCGGACCGTCAGTACAAATGAGAGAGGAATGAGCCTCGGTGAAGGAAAAATGGGTAAGGGGTGGAGAAGACTAGATCATGAGCGACTTGGGTATGGAAGAGGCCTGAGAACTCTGCGCTGAGCAAGTAACAAAATTGTAGATATTTAATGAACGAAGATCACGATGACAAACCTTATTCACTTGCTAGCTTAAGGTCGGGTGTCCGCTTCGCGGCCACAGTGTCTCTGAAATAATTCAAAGGAAATAGGTGAAATATATGACAACCCCATAAGATAACCTCCTATGGGATGACCTGTTGTCAGATAACCTTCTAGAGGATAATCACCGTTGGGATAATCTGCTGTAGGATGCTTCCCTGTAGGATATACAGGCATGGGGATGTAAGCCACAGGGGGCTCCGTAACGACGTCCTATCAATTTTGAGAGTGTGGCGGTTTTGTTCAAGAGCGTATGTGACAAGTACTAGCTTTTGACCTTGTGCCACAAATGCGCTTGACAAGGAGCGATGGCTGTCAAGATCGTGAACTTGTTTCCCAGCATGCCCAGGTGACCAGTAGAGCAGTGACGTATACATGAGTGAACGTTCATTGACGACATGTGCAGCCAGCAACCTTAGCATTGGGCTCTGGCCTAGCAATCAGGTCTAGAATAATAGTCTAGATCGATTTGGGGGGGGGGGGGGAGGCGATGGCATGAATCTGGGGGCTAAAGAGCTGGCATCGTCACTTGAGGAGGGAGAAGAAAGCCGGGGTGGGTGAATGCGGGGAACACGTGACTCGCCATCGCTCCTGCAAGCTCCGAGCATCCATGATGATGGTCCGTTTGGCCTTCCGATTTTTTGGAAAAGACCTCAGCCCAGCCAACGCAACCAATCCAACTCGCCCTCCCGCCTCTCCCCCCCGTTCACGCGTCAATTGAGCACCCCAGAACAGCCAAGATGCTCTTCTCCGTTTCCCGAGCTTCCGTATGTCGAATTCCTGATGAGCCTGGCGATGGCCGCTGCCGCGTCGTGACGGGCGGCCGTTGCAGGAGTCGTTTTTCAAGAGAGCTGGCTGCTAACAATCGGGTGCAACACAGAGCCGCCAGGCCGTCGCCGCAGTCTCCCGACTTGCTGGCCGCAACTCTATTCAGATGAGGACCTTCCTCAACCCCACGGTCTCGCGAAGAGGTACGTCGAGCATTTTCCCTTTCGCCCATTACACGTGTTCGCACCCCAGTCCGGGAGCGGCAGGAAGGTGGATTGCGGTGGAGGAGCCCTCGAGCGGGCCGGACCTTGGAGATAGCATCACGTCACGACTCGACCTGCCCGACCAAGCTTCCCATCGGCCACATCTCCCGGGCCTGCTTGCATTTCATGCCATACCTTACTGCATCTCCATAGAGCCTGCAACTCTTCCATTCACTTCTGTTCACTGCTCCGGCACCACCCGTCCAACCAACACACGCAGCCCCCTCGACCCACGCTATCTCTGATACCAATCCTCATCACATCGATACTAACACCGCCTTGTCCTCATAGCCGACTTCGTCCAAGAACTCTACCTGAAAGAACTCAAGGCCTACAAGGCACCAGCACTCAAGGCCAACGACGCCGAGGGCCAGGTCCTGACCTTCAACCAGCCCAAGACGCCCAAGTCCCCCGAGGAGACCGACCTGGCCTCCTCGCTGCAGGAGTACGAGAGCATGGCCGTCGAGGTCGAGGGCAGCGAGGGCGCCGACGCCAGCAAGCCCGCCGCCGTCATCGAGGACTGGCTCGTTGAGGAGGACGAGGAGGAGCACGCCCACGGCCACTAAATTTGCCGCACAAGCAGGCAGCCCGGCCGGGCAACATGGAATTGCAGAGCGAGGGTGTGGAGATAGGAGAAGGACCTTGGCGTGCGTCGAGTCCGCAGGAGTACCTCATCCATATACACAAGGAAACAGCAGCCGCAGCTGATGTCTAGCGAAAAGACGTTCTTGGTGGAGGGAGGTCAGGTGTGCCGGGAGCAAGGGAGAGACTCGGAGGAGTAATCCGTGTACATTTTTATATCATGCTTTCCTTACGACGTTGGGAATCGACAGACATCGCCTCATTGAGGCACTCACTTACCACTTTTCTCTTGCGTCGATGTGCTGTCAGCATCTGCCCGCTAAAATACCGCTGCACTAGTGTCGCCGTCGTCTCCATCACAATACTGCAAAACACAACGACTGCCGTGGACAACAGGTTTCTCACACTTGACTACTGAATATCTAAGGAAGAAGGCGTTGCCATCCGGATCTTAATTGTACTAGACTTCTGGTGTCATGTACAGCAAACAAACCTGCTACTTGTCAACGTACCCATCCTATACGAGAAATGTTCGGTGTGATCCAGTATTTACCAGGCCAGGCTCATCTGTATACAGAGCGTCCTTGCCATCGTCACCGCTGCTATCAGAAGCTACGCAGGTTGAAACAAGCACTCTTGAACTTCGAACATATTGAGTTGACTGACAAGCCTTGTCTGTCATCAGTATCAGGCCTCCGAGGCATACAAAACAGCAGACAGGAAAGCGAAGAGACCTGCCAGCCCAGGTATCTAGGAGTATCTCCTTCAAGAGACTAACTGCCAAGTTAGCGATAAGAGGAAAATCGCCGACCCTGGATGGCCGGTATGGACACATTCCTTCGCTCTCTTCGGTCGCTACACCGCTTGGTTGTATTCACCGTCGTCCCACCGGGGTCGCCCGATGGATCGCTATTCTACATACCAGTTATAGGACGCCACTACTGATTCACGGTAGGACTGCAGAAGCTCACGATGGGAGTCGCATTCGAAGAGGCCCTCAGATAGTAATTGCCATCACTTTAGAGACCACGCTCGCTCCGTGCAAACATTACGAAGAAGCTAGCATCGAGTAACTAAGAGAGTAATAGGAGAGAGCATTTCTCATGCGATACCCAACTCACAGCACGGTATATAGCATAGCACAGCATTATGGTATGTGTAGCATATAGACGCACCTTTGATAGCTGCAAAAGGAAACTTTTGCCCGTCGCCCTGCTCGTGGACTCTGTCTTGGGGATTCTGTCTTGGGGATTCTGTCTTGGGGACTCTGTCCGGAGAAAGCATTGCCACACGGCTCCCTGCGGCCGAAGACAACCCATAAATTAGGTCTCGGTGGACGGGGGGTGGATACGGACCTGAAGACGGTAGATGGAGCTCGTGTGCTCATATGAGCGTCTCTTGCTCATCTTGAGTCTCCTGCTCCTCTCACTCTATGTCTTCCTGCCCAGGTGTCCACTCCCAGCAGCTCCTCCTCGACCGGCATCTGCCCCACGACCATAATAGCTAAACTGCTGCGAGAGAGAGAGAGAGAGAGAGAGAGAGAGAAAAAGAAGGAAAACGGACCACCAGAGAGCAGAGCACGCGGAAACGAGTAAGAGGGGAAACGCTGGCCCAGTCTACCTCTACGCCATTCGATTTCTCACTGCGGTCGCCGTTGTCATTGCCAGGCCACCCACTCCACTTTAAGGGAGAATAACAAGAAAATCTCGAGGGGTCGATCGCTTGGCATGTTGGGTACGCGCTCCTCGAAAGGCGGAGAACTATCTGTGTGGCGAGATAAATGCACTGATTGCATGGCACACGGTCCGTCAAGGGGAACCATCGAATCAAGCTCTGGATCTCACTTGAGTTCTCTGTTATGCTACCATTCACTCATTTCAAATCACTATTCGCTTGTAGGCACACGAGGGCAACATGAAAGGGCTGGCATGCCCAGTTGAGTACAGCGCATTAACTATTACCACCATAGGCATTGATTTCCATCGATCTGTTGGAGACCTAAATACATGCTGGTATCTGGCTGCCCTTTAGAGTAGAACAGCTCGTGATCTCGCCTCCCACCCCTGACGAAGCGCTCTGTTGCTGCCCTTGGAATACTTGCTAGATACCATACCATGTTGATATCTCCTGTGTCAAGTGGCCATCAAGATACTCGTATGAAGTATCTGGGTCTTGCCTGGCGGCGCAGATTAGCTAGCCAGCCGTTCCGACCAATCCCTGTTGTCAGATACACGTCCACAATGTGAAGCGTACCAGCTTGTGCTACCTCCTCCCCAATCCTGCTGGTGGTCAACCACTCGTACAGGCTTCGCTAAATAGCAGAGCCCAAGCAATCGTCGCGACTCCGAAATGACCAAGAGGGACTCCAACCCCCCACTAAGAGGCCCCCACCCGAAAGAATCGTTTTGTGCAATCATGAAATCAAATTCTGTTACCAGGACGCCAGGGCCTTGCGCTGCATCATGTGCCAAACGCAAATGTTTCTGAACCGCCCGTATGCAAATGCGTGATGCGTAGTACCAATCTCATGAACGTGAAAACCGTCGATCGCCCTTTTTTGTATCCCGAAGAGGGAGAGAAAAGTTAAGAAGCATCGGCAGTCGATGTCGCCCTCTCACATGTCGAAATCGCCCCCACCAACAAGGTGGTCGTCATTGGTGCGAACCACCCCGCTCATTCGATTTGGCTTTCGAGTATTGACATCGTCTGCGTCGTCCCATTCATTGGTCTTGCTCCGGTCTACATCCATCTCGTCGTCTTGTAGCCGATCTCTCATGTGATCGTCCAGTGCACTCTCGTCAACAAATGTGAAGCCTTGGAAGTTGGCCTGCACAGATGGTGACAGAGGCGTAGACGTTGCGAAGCCACGTGCTAGGGCAGCTGCTCGCTCGTTGAGAGAACCATTCGTGTTCAGGGCGTTGGTGAATTCGGGGTCGAAGTATGACACATCGGTGTCAGACTTGAGGCTGGGCTTGAATGGTGGTGTGATTACCTTCTTCGACAAGGCCTCCCAGTCAACGTCGTTAAAGAACGGGTGGCGCTTGAGCTCTTCGGCATCGTCGTTAGCGCCCAGTCGATGCTTCGCGTTCCTGTTCAACAACCCCTTGACAAAGTTGCGCCCCTCTAGGGATAATGTGTCTCTTGGGAACCGGACCTTTCCGAAGGCGATGTTCTTGTACATCTGCTGGGTATCCTCGGCGTAAAACGGAC